AAAAAAAAAAAACAATTAACCAAACGGAATGATGCAGTCCATCATGTTGTGAATTTCCATCATTGTAAATAACAAGCATCGTGCACGCGTCATGGATGCGTCCGAGAAGAACAAGCGAAAAGAAAACCTACCTCCAGTTGATTTTCATTTTTTTTTGCGGAGAATCCTCAAGTTTGAACTCCGTGCGGTGAAACAAATTCGATGTTTCTGGAAAATCTCGAACTCTTGTCAATTTAATTAAAATCTCAAAAAGAAAATAAGAAAGGTCAGAAACAAAAACCACACAACAGTGATAGCCAATAATTTGTACCAATTAGATTTTTCTGTTAAATCTCGAACTCCTGTCAATTTCATGAAAAGTCTTAAGAGCACAATGTTCATCAATAATCGAATCGACCAATGTGCATGATCTGGATACACAGCATGTGACCAATCACCAACATGGACAAAGCCTAATTGTTTGTACAAGTTATAGGCAGCCTTTGTAGATTGCAATGTGCAATGTTTGAGACCTAGTTGTTTCTTTCCAATTTCGTGGACCACATATCGTGAGAGGACTCGTGCTGCTCCTTTTCTCCTTAATTGAGGATTAGGTAGGGTGGCAACATTATACAAGCCACACACTTGTTTCTCGGGTTCAATAAATAAAGATGCAACTGAAATAATGACAGGTTGAGCTTGAGGGGATTCTTGATGTGTCACATAGAACATTCTCAAATTTTCGCTGGGCCCATATTTACAATTCCTAAATAAATGATAAAAGTGTTCAATGGTGGACTCTTTCGACATGAATCCAAAAGAGTTCACTAAAACACTACACCACTCCCTCAGTAAAATATTATTTTCACTTGTTTCGTTTTCATCTCTTTTCAATTCACCGATTTGTAAATCATGGAATATCGCTTCGCCATGACTAGTCTCACATGCATTCAATTCACAAATCATTCCAGGACTCTTATTCATCATGAAAAATCCATTCGTGAACAACTCTTCTAATCTCTGTTCAACACTTGGAGCAGTATAATAAGGAATACTGGCCAACAATGGTACATGAGCTTCCCGTGCGTAATTTTTGATATGATCTAACTCGTCAGTCGTTGGAAATTGTGTTGGGTTGAAATGTACTTGATTGTAAAACGTCATGACTTTGCCATCATTGGAAAAGGGATCCATTCCGAGGCTTAGAAAGTAAGAAGGTTTGCTCTCGGAAATGATGCAAGGATTTTTCCCTTCCATTCCCTTTCGATCGTTGGAATGTGCAAGATGATCATAATATTGATTCTTATTTTGCCAAATGAGATCAAACAGTTCTTGCTTATTTTGTAACTCTTTGGTTGTGTCATGGGATGATAATGCTGAAGTACTTTCGTTTGGAGGTTTGGATGAAATCATTTTTTGTTGCGATACAATCCACTGTTGTTGGCTCGAGAGTTGCGTTTCTGAAAGACAACAAAAAGTGCGCACGCCAATCTAAGGTGATTCGAAATTAATTTCAACGAATGCGGACACAAAAATTGTCCAAATAGACATTACTACTCCTCCTCAGAATCTTGGGTCTCTAACTTGGTTTGTGGTTGACTGAAGAAAATGCTCAAGTTGGTTTGTTTCTTTGTGGTTTTTCGAACCTTTTCTTCTTCACCAGTCTCCTTATTCACAATAAGCACATCATCATCATTGTCACTTTCTTGATTATTACTGCTGCTACTGGATGCTGGTGACGCTCTTGTTTTACGAACTAACTGAATTTTCTTTTTATATTCCTTCTTCTCACTATTCGGTGTGGTGTTGTCACTGCTTTTTGTCTCCTTTCCAGGAATGAACGGTGTTTGGAAGAGATTAATAATACGCTTCACTTTCTTTTTTCCAAATCCAGGTAAATCAGTTAACTCATCTGCGCTTGTTTGAATAACTTCCTTAACAGAACCAAAATGGTTCAACAGAGTAACATGATCTCTCTTATTGAGAGTTCTTTTGAACGAGACGGCAAAAAGTTGATGAACCTCTTCGGTGTGAGAAATTTTTTCAACTTCTTTTCCTGAATTGGTACCAGAACTGCCACTACTGGAAGAGCCAGTGTATCTTTCCTTACTCCATCGTTTTTTACTTCCAGATTTCTTTTTCGTGGCAGTATTTGAGTTGGACATTGAGGCGGAAAGACTAGGTACTGCTTGAATAGGGCCTTGGATGGTGGACGCACTCTTATTTTCACAGTATCTTAGAGTTTCCAAATAAAGAGCACATTCTTCGTCTGAAAATGCACACAACATGGTCCAGTCGCCCCACATGCATATTCTGGTAATTTCGATTAGGGCTTCATCGAGAGCAGTCTCTGAAACAAAGGTGGGTGTACTTTTTGGTTTAGTTTCGTCATTATTTGATGCATTTCCGCTCGAGGCCTCTATGGATACGTCAACGTTCACAAGCACAACTTTGACTGTGAACGCCTTGTTCTTACACACTTCTGTTTTGTGAAAATTTCGAATTCTTTCCAAAATAAATCTTGGGTTGGTCATGTGATATTTCAAGCTTACATATAATGCTGTTGTACGTCTTCCAAGAATGAAATCTGTCAATTTCCACTCTGGAACATAATTTACCTTAAACACTCCTTCTCGAATATGTTTTGTAATTGGATTTTTCTTTTGCACAGCATTGGCTGTAATTGATGTTGCTGTCATTGGAAACGGAATTTGAAATTCGCCAGTATGTACGCTTGCTGATGGACTAGAGGAAGTAGCTGAAGAGGGTGACGATGAAGTAAATGGAGGAATGGTAATAGTGCTGTTTTTCACAGGGGTAGTTGAGGTTGTTGAGGTAGTGTCTAATGTGTCACTGATTGGTGGTTTTAAGGCAAAGTTCATGGTTTGACTGTTATTGCCACTGCTGGTTGCCGAGTCTGCTGAACTTTTTTGAGAATTTTGTGAGTCCTTTCGGGGAGGTGGGATGAATTTCTGTGGTACAAATCCAGGGGGTCTCTTAGTATTAGGAATTCCCAACAGCGATACGCTCGGACTTGTGGTGGCGTTGGGCGAGGATGATGCATTGCGTTGTATATTTGTATTATTCGTGAATTGATTATACTTGACAATTGTCGAAACATATTTTCCACTATTATTGGTGGTGTTGTTCCGATCAGTTGAAGAAATATTTAAATTCGAGCTATTCGTCATGATGGTCGTTGAGGATATCTTTTCCGAAGACGAATTCTTTTTTAATTCTGCAAGTCTTTGCACAGTGTTTTGTCGATACAATTCAAATTCTCTTGCTTCCTTTTCCTGCTCTTCGTCGATATCAATATCCATCACATTTACTACAAATTGTTGTTGGTCTGACGATGATGAGGAACCAGCACTGTTTTGGCGTTGACTCATTTTTTTCTGTTTGCACACTTCCATCATCCACGAGAACATTTTGCAACAAAATATTATTTCATGAAAACAAAGCTTTCTTCTTAGCAGTGTTCATGTTTTTGATGCAAGATTCGGAGCTTGAGTTCTAAAAAGCAAATTTTCATGGTTTCTATTTCTCCATTTGATTTCAACACAAAAAAATGGCCATAGCACCCAACAGGTCCAAATATGGTTCAAAACCAACCCGCAAGAATACAACACCATCATCGGTAGTACGTGTTAAAGACAAGAAAATTTAAAATAATATTTGTTTTTCTTCAAGCGATCGGGAATTGAAAAACTGAAGGAAGAGTCATGTTCCAAACATTTGAATGATCGTCATTCCGAGGGCTTTGCAGAAAAGCCTAGCCAACATTTCCCACTTCCAAAATTTCCCAAGTCATACAAACATGGTCCACAACATGTCCCAGATGACCTTTCTCAAGTGGATGAATTATATGTGTTTGACATGTACTTTTCAGATTTGATTACACATCTTGCTGATGAAACGAAGTCTCGGTTTGAAAAAGAAAATATTGAATCCAGTCATTTCAATAGCACTAACATACTGCAATATTTAACTGCTCACATTAGTTTAGGAATAGTTAATTATGAGTCTATTGCCGATGCATGGTCGGATCCTGATAGTTCTTATTATTTACTTGGGAATGAATTTTTACGAAAGGTTTGCTCCAAAGATTTATATAGCCATTGCAATAGATATTTATCCGCTGATATGGAATATGTTCGACAATTAGTTCCACAAGTATCTCAAAAATATTGGAATTTATACCCTATTGCTTGTATTGATGACAATTTTTATAGATGGACTGGTCAAGGATTTCACAAGCAAAAAATTGATAAAAAGACGAACCACACAGGCATATTATCTTGGGAAGTAGTTGACCAGATGCATTATGTATATGATGCAGCGTTCAGTTATACGATTGATCAATCAGCAAATCCAAACGAAAATTTTGGTGACTGTATGTTGAAAAGATTAGTGGACAAAATACCACGCTTCCCATTTGTATTCGTGATTAACGCTGGTTCCCTTGGTAGCCTGGCAACTGCCAAATACTTGCACTCTCACAAGCACAAGTTTGTCATTAATTGTAGAAATGATAGACCTACTTTTCTATGGGCAGCTCTTAATCGAAATATCAATTTACACACGTATCATTTTCTAGGTGCACCCAAATATACTGCAATTAGTCATTATTTCAAAAAAAGTGGATCTGGTAAGATAACAATGAGTTTTCTGACTAATTTGAACCATATACTTGATACTACTCAAATCACAACATTTGAAAAGGCACACGGTAAAAAGAATATAGATGCTCCAGCTATTGTACAATTTTACAGCAAAAATCGTGGATTTGTGAATGAGCGCAAGGCTATTGAAAATAGATGTCGAAATAAGGCAAAAGCAGTTCATGGATGGAGGGTTGAGCTGGATACTTGGATATATATGTTGCTCACAAATGCTTTTATATGGTATTCTGTTGCAACACAACAACAACATTCAAAGTATTCTTTTGGCAATTTTCTTAAGAATTTAATAAGGCAACTTGGATTAAGGCTCGAAGTTAACATTGTCCATAAACGGGAATATATTGCTCCATCTTTAACCAGTCCCAAAGACACCTTAGAAATACACTCTATGTTCAATACGGGTGACAGCAAGCCTTGTGTCTTGTGTGGCCACAAGACCACTTTTGCTTGCAAAACTTGTAAGGAAATGACAGGGAAAATTTTACACTTTTGTGTTGTACATGACAGACTTTGTTTTATTCAACACTCCAATACCAATTTATCAATACACAAACACTAACCATCAACGAGTTTGTTTCTGAAGGTTCTTGGAGAGAGAAATCCTCAAAAAAATGTCAAATCTCTGTATTCACCCATGTCCATCATTTACAATCAGTTAAATGAGATAATCTCCTTCTACGTGATTGACTTCCCATCTCTTCATAATTCTAGAATTTCTGAAAATTTACAATTGGTGATGATGATTTATCTCTATCGAGGCGCCAATTAATCCAGAGAGAGCATTATTATTTGACGATATCAATGATGATGAGAGATGTCTCGGAAATAATGACAGTGATTTCAATTTACGAAACATCTCTCCTCTTTGATTTGACACTACAAAGAAAATCATCAACACGATGTCTAAGGTTGTTCCAACCCCAACGCAACATGATGATGAACTATTGTCATCAAGTCAACACCATCATGACGATGAAGAATCTCTTCTTTTTAAAGAGAAAAAGAAACGTCCTGCAATTCTATCGTGCCTCTTGTCTGTTCGTTTGTTCTTGATTGTGGTCATTACTCTTGTCGTTCTTACCACAGCAGTGTCCATTTGGCTCACCAGCTATTTGGTCAACGAGCAAGCTTCTTTAGAATCTGTTGAGATCCTTATTCAAAATATCAATGAAAAAGTTCACAGTTTCCTGAATGGACAGCTTGTACCTGCTAAACAAGTGGCTGATCAAGTTGCCTATGACTATCATTATGGATATATTGATGTTGCCGATTCCATTCGCAATTACCTCTACTCCAAATTAAAAGTGTATGAAATTACCTTGGTGAACATTTGTTTTGGAAATTATGGATTGAATATGCTTCAAACTGTGACCATTGGTCCCGTAGGTAAGTGTTGAGATATTTGCACATTCATCATTCCATGATGCATTGGAACAGGACAATGGGTCTGGGCCAAGAAAATGCCTGGCGAGAATTTGCTATCTTGGGAGTTAGACCCCAACACTGGTATTATTACAAAACCTTATGTTTTGAATTTTACTGTTTATAATGTTGCCAAGGTGGATTATTACATTGAATCCATGAGCTTGCTCAAAGACAATCCAAATGGCGCTTTTGGAAACGTTTATCAAGTGATTAATTCATCCATGCAAACATATTGGTCTACACCAGTCTATAATCGTACGGATCTCTCAACCAAACAAGTGATTGGTATTGTAAAAGTGAACATTGCTTTGGACTTAATTGCCAAATTTTTAGCATCTTTGAAAGTGCTAGACCGTGGCTATATCGTTCTGTCCGAGTTCAGTAACGGCTATGTTCTGGGAAGTTCTTTAGAGATTCCTGGTTTGCAATTTAAGAGAATCAACGCCTCAAGCATCACAGCAAGAAACGCAGGAGAAGTGATGAAACAAGTCATGTCTCAACAAAACGACCAAGTTCAATTTACTACAACTGTGGCAGGTGTAAAATATCTTGTTTCTAGCAAGCCCTATACTTTTTATAACATTAGATGGAGAATGACACTAGTGTTCGAAGACAATGAAATTAAGGAAGCTATTATCACAAGTAGTTATATTATTTTGGGAGTGACCTGTGGAGTTGCATTAATTGGTGTCATTGTGAGTGCATTGATTGGTTATATTGTCACAAATCCATTTGTGAAATTGCAACAAGACTTTAAAAAGATAGAAGTACTTGATTTGATCAATATCAAACCTCGTTCCTCCATTTTCTCTGAAGCTAAAAGCATTTACTCAAGCTTGACAGACACAGTGAGTTGGTTGAGCGAGTTCAGAGCATTTTTGCCTGACTCTGTATTAAATCAACTTGAGAATAGTAAGGCACAGAATCACCTTGATACTCCACAAACATCCATGAAAGCGGTCGGTGACAAGAAAAATAAGCCATCCAATGACAAAAAAACGGATTCTGAGATGGGCTCTCATGCATCTTCACATTCTCGTAGCCTGATGGAAGAGACACAATCAAAGCTTGCAGAGAGTATGCTCAAAAGAAATCAACAAGCAAACATGTTCAAGCTTGGGTTGTCCTTTAAGGAATGTTGTGTTCTTAATATGACCATTCTAAACTTGAATGAACAAGAATTTGAAGATCCCGAAATATTGAATCAGACAGTGTCGAAAGTATTGACTGGAATTTCAACTATTTGCAAGACAGTAAGAGGAGATTTGCAAATCAAGTCGTACAATGAGTTTAGTGTCATATTTGCTGATCGACCAAAAGTGAGTCTAGTTGGTCTCGACTGCTCGATGAAGATTTTAACAGGAATCGGACATTTGAATCAACAATTACAGAAACAAGGTCTTTCAACATTGAAAATTGGCATTGGTGTCAGTAGTGGTGATAGTTTGCTCGGAAATGTTGGAAACAAACAATTGAGGTATTTTACCTTAATTGGATCTGTTGTGAATCGTGCAAGAGATTTATGTTTCCTCAGTCAAGAATTAGATGTACCAGTGGTTGTTGACAGAGCCACACAAAAGGCTGGAGACGATGAATATGTATTCAGACCAGTCGAAAGATATTTGGAAGGCTCCAAAGGAATATCCACTGTGTATGGTAAGTTAGTTCTAGTATACTTTTATTATTAACCATGAAACAGGTTGTTTGAATAGAAAACGTATTGAAAATGATGAATGGCTCTACGAATTAGATAAGCAAAATCAAAACGCCAAATTCAAAGAGTACTCGGAGCACTTTAGCAAATTGTTCGAGAAGGATGACATCAAAGAGGACGAGATTGCAACCACTAGAGATTTCTTGTCTATTTCTGCTGCTCAAATGCCCTCTGACAAGGTGATTGCAAGACTTAATCGAGTGATAGAAGCCATGAATCAGGAACGAAAACAATTGTCACAAGCAAAACTTTATCATTCGAAAGTGAGAACTGTTCTGAATGGATTTATGGAAAATTCTAATGAGCCGTTGTTATTGTAACAGTGTAAATATCAATCTATGATTGCATGTAAATATATTGGTCGACAGAGAACCTCGATCTAGTGTTTCGTAATGCTAATTATCACACCTCTTGTTTCCACGGGTGGCCAACTCCTTCAGTAAAAATGACCAAGATTCGAGACAAGATTCTTTACGAGCGCACTTTTATTTTTTACTCGATTTATAACACCGACCATTTTTCAAATTTTGTTTCAGAGTTGAACTGTTCTACAATTAAGCATGCTGAAACCAAGATTTTCATTTGGTAGATGCTTCTTTCGGTATAGTGTCAGATTCTTTTTTTTGGTATTGTGAGACCTAATGTTCAATTAATAACAGCCGTTAAAAAAAGGTGTCACTGACTTTAGCTGAATTAAACATAAAGCCCGTGTAAAGTGCAAACAAGCAACATGAAATTCTAGAACAGCAGACCATCTTACACCCAAGGATGTTCTATTTGTTGTGCACTTTTGACGGGCTTGGTGTTAATTTCAAACTCTTCTCAATCACATTGTACTCCACAAATTGAATTTTTTTTTAACACCCTTTTCTTCGAAGAGAAGTTTGAAAACATTTTAGCGACACATTTCTCAATGTAAGAGTTGTGGTTTGAGAGAGATGGTGTTGATAATGTGACGAAGAGGGGAAAGGGCCCCTTCAATACTATACCACCCTGGACGTGACAAAGTTTTACGACGTTACCACCACGGCTCTTGTAATGCCAATTCAACTTATTGACGCACCAATAATTAAGTAGTGTTTCCCTCACGTGTCAGCAACAAAATGTTGCATTGGCAAGTTTTGAGGGGTTGAAATCATCATAAAATCGTACTATGATCGTAGTTTTATTAAAAATCCCCAGCGAAATTCTCTCTTGCAGCTTGTTGTGTTCACGAAAAAATACGCTTGAGTTGGACACCCGTGCTTGTTTCCTGTCAACGATCAAAATCATCAACAAAAAATATGCGACGTCCAACAGCTGTCGAGTTGGCCTCTCTATTTCTCTTGTTGTTAGTATTGACACTAATAACAACACCATTCGTGCACACACAGTCGTGCCCACATACAGCCGCTGGTCTCATCAACTTTTCAACACTCTCTGGTTGGAATGTGGCTGGTTCTGATATTGTCATTTCATCGGGACAAAATGTGTTGGTTGATCAAACAAGCTCAGCAGTGTTACGTTCCATCGTTGTTCAAAATAATGCCAAGCTTATATTCTCCGATTTGAATTTAAATTTAAATATTGAATATATTCGAGTCGATAATGGTGGAAGGTGAGTGATTTATTATGAAACCGTGGTTTGTGTTAAAAAACACCCAATTGCATTTGTGTATGTGTGTGTGCGTGTGTGCGTGGCATGTTTATTCACAATCTTGATTATTATGATGACCACACATTCAGCTTTATTATGGGAGATGAAACATGTCCACTCCAAAATAAGATTGTCGTGACATTTTATGGAGCTCGCACCACGAGCAATGTCATTGGTTCAGATCCTGCTGATAATACAGAAACTGGTTACAAGGGAATGGTATTCATGACTGGATCTAGTGTCAAAATTCATGGTCGAGTCTACACTCCTACTTGGACTGTGTTACAATCGACTGCTCAAAAAGGAACAACGACCATTACTGTGAATCAATCGACTCAATGGAAAGTTGGAGATAAACTTGTCATTGCCAACACTGACTTTTCTGATTTGTATCATTGGAATGATAATGTTCCAGATTCTCTCAAATGGAAACAAGGTTTCAGATTTTTAGATCAAAATGAAGTGAGAACGATCGTTCAAGTTGTGAATTCTCAAACTTTTGTGTTAAATGCTCCATTGAATTATACTCACTTTGCTGAGGGTGATATACGTGCTGAAGTAGGAGTTTTAAATCGAAATATTATATTCCAAGGAGATGCCTCGAGTGAAAGTAGTCAATTTGGAGGACATATCATGTTTAGACCTGGACTTGTGATGCAAATTAGAGGTGTGGAAATTACTAAAATGGGTAATGCAGGTATTTTGGGAAGATATCCCATGCACTTCCATGTGTTTGGAGAACATGCATTCAAGATGGGAAGCGCTAATTTTTATTTGAAAGATTCTTCCATTCATGACACTTATCAGAGATGTGTCGTGGTTCATGACACCAATGGAGTGACGATTGAAGGTAATATTTGTTGGAATACGAAGGGACATCAATATTTCCTTGAGGTAGGTTACAATCATGGAGTATTGTTCACACTGTTCACATTTCGATTGCTCTTTTGAAAACAACATGCATATTTTGATTGCTCTTTTGAATTTTTAAAAAACAAACCTGTCACACATCATCATAGGATGGTGTTGAAATGGGAAATACTTTCAAACGTAATTTGGGAATTAATCCAATTCCAGTAGCTTCAGAAGACTCGTATCAATTAATCAAATCTGATTCTGAACCTGCAGTTTTTTGGATTACTAATCCAAATAATACTTGGATTCAAAATGCAGCAGTTGGAGGTAAATGGAGTTATTGGTTCACCATGCCAAAAGATGCCACGTAAGTACACATCGTGAAGAAACATTTCTAGAAACTAATATAGTATCAAATCAGTGGTGTTTCTTCTGCCAAATATGGAAAAGACAATTATTACATTCGTCCAAGAAATCAACCATTGGGTCTATTTTCAGACAATGTTGGTCACAGCTGTGGTAGAAACAGTCTTCATATTGATGACATGGTCAAGCCAGACACCACGACTGAAATGGCCTCTTACGTTCCCGTTCAGGGACCTTACGAATATCCTGCAGGAGTATGGTATCCAGCAGTTTATGTGAATGCACTCTTCTCGAACTATATTTCTTACAAGAATAGAGGTTATGGAGTTTGGAGTCGATCTGGTCATTTGAAATTCAGTAACATGCGTCTCTATGATAACATGAACGGAATGAATGCTCCTCCCTCTGGTCCTGTACTTGTGGAAAATAGTTTAATTGTCGGAGAGACCAATAATGTTGGAGAAATTTTCTCGACACGAAGTAGTGTCGATGTGGGAGGTCGTTCGAGGCCTGGACTTTGGGAAGCGAAAGAAGTGATCAAAGGATTTGAACATTATGATAATGGAGGTCCACAAATTGTGTGTAAGTACTAGGATTGTTCTTAGCATCATGGTAATTGTTAAAAAAATTTTGTGAAATAATTTTGTTTGATCATGATTCATTTCGTGTGATTATGACTAATTTTGTGTAATCATGATTAATGTTGTGTAATCATGATTAACCTTGAATGATAATTTCATGTAATCACATGCTTAAATGTGGCTCATATTTTCACAACAGCCAATGTGACATTTAGAAATTTCCAAACCAATAGTTATAGACCTGCAGGTGCATTATCTGGTTTATCATTCGGTCCTTTCAAACATCAAACAAGAAATAGATTGATCGATCTCAAATTTGAAAATGCCAATGTTTATTATCAACTCCCATCCTTCTATGACAATCACAAAGGTTCTGCCATTGCAGACATTGACGGTTCATCCACAGGTTACAAAGCAGGTGGTTGGATTGTTTCCAATGACTCTCTGGTTTCATTTGGTGCATGTGAAGGTCAAACCTCATGGAATGGTTACAAGTGTCCAGCATTCCCTGAAAGTTATGGACAATTAATTGTGAACAACAATGTTTTTACAACAAGTTCCAATCAGGGAGCTAATGGTGTCAATTATCCTGACTTGTCAGATCCTTCCAAACGTGTTCCTAGAATGAAAGTCATTGATTTGACAAGAAATAAGGACAGTGAAGTGATTGGAGCTGTTTTGAGTTCATCTTCAAGTTTGTCTCTTTATAGTAATGTTATTATGAGAAATTTCTATACATTGCGTTGGTCATTTAACACTCCAACTCCAAGTGATTTGAGTATTGAATTGAATTCTAATGCACATAGCGATTGGATTATTTTGTCCATTCAATATCCTACGACTGCAACACTTCAAGTCAATTCATTGACATGGGGTACCAATTCCAAACCTTTGACAGCTGGCAGTTCCATTCAACAAGTCATGGATTCCTATGATGGAAGTGTTTATTATTATGACTCGAATACTCAACACTTGTACATCAAACTCATTAACAGAGCTGGTAATAATGCCTATGAAGAATATTATGGTTTTGTCGATTACAGTTATGATGGTCGATCCATTCGAATTATTGCCACATGTCCAAATAATGCATGTGCTCCTTCGAAATTCGATCTTCCTACAGATGCACCCAACATGTTGAAACGTTATTCGAGAGATGAAAGATATGCTGGAGTGTTGCAAACATGTCAACAAAATCCAACTGTGAATTCTCCTGGAAATGGTTATGTTTTTGCAATGGTCAATACTTTGACAAGAACGATTGATTTTAGTGTTTATCATGATTTGACAAAAATTGCTACCAAGGTAAGGCGATTTTTGTGAATTTTATATTTTTTTTACAGTATATATATTTTACACGTTAATGACGTTAATGATTTTTTACAAAATTTTAAAATTTCTAATAGATTGAAGTGGGTATTGGTCAACCAGGAAATGAACAACGAATCTTACAACGAGATTTCAAGATTAGTCCATATTCCATTTCTCGTTTCACATATTCTTATTCCTATGATGAATATACTTCATTAGTGAAAGGTGAAATGTTTGTCAAGCTTTCTACATCCATCAATCCAAATGGACATTTAAGAGCTCAACTCTATTGTAACAATGGAAAGAAGAATAATGCTCCAACATGTTCTCTTCCTCCTTCGATTCCAAAAGCTCAACCTTGTGACGTTGTGAATGATTCAATTTCAATATTTTCTGAATCGAGTGACATTACTGGATGGCCTCATTGGGCAATGTTCAATTGGACAAGTAACGTGGATACAAAACCAACCTATTTCAATTATCAATATTCAGCATCTCCAATTTGTGGAAAGACTTCATTATTGTTTGGATCACAAAGAGGTGGATTACAAATTTACAAATTTTCAGCTGCTCAAAGTCCATTCCCATCTGTCGATACGAGTGTTTACAAATATTTTGAATTTTATGCAAGAGCATTGAGTGGAGGACCATTGAGTTTGTCAGTTTCATTTTCAGAAAATAAGAATTCACAAACGACTCAAATTGGACAAACTTCAACATCGACGACACAACAAGTTCAACATTTTGTTATTGATGATACTCGTGCCACACGTGTGAGAATTCCATTGGCATCTCTTGGTATTCAAGGAACATTTAATCTTCAAGTTATTACGTTTGGAATTGATCAAGATTGGGCAACTGCAAAATTCAGAGAGGTTATTCTTGATAATTTGAGATTTGTGAAAGATGCAAATGATGAATCCGTATCGAGTGGATTGACTTCAGCAAATATTGCCTATTTTGGACCTGTTTGTTCTGGACAAACAACATTGGCGAATCCAGATGCAGATCCAATGTCTGTTACAACAACAATCATCCCAGAGGTTCCACCAGCCTCATCTTCCACAAAGAATGGCCCTCCTAGAACAAGTGTGAATCAAGCAACAACAACCATGTTCAGATTGGATTTCGCAATGATTGTTGTGCTGATGTTGGTGAGTGTGATCATGCATCTCATTCAATAGACGAGAATTAGCTTGTTCACAAATTGAACTATTTATTGTATCGAAATTAAATTCTACATTCATAGACTCCTGTTTGTGTTGAATATTTCACCCATTTGGTGGTTTCATAATTTGATTTTTCCAACACCTTCAAAAATCGAATGTGCATTCCACTTGCTGCAAACATGGGTACTTGGAAATTCAAATGGATAGGAGGGCGAGACCATTTCTTAACCTCACTCGTTTGTGCAATTAAATCAATTTCTGCATGCAATGTCATTTCTGTATCTCCTGGAAATCGTTTAATGATCCAGACAATACAAGATTGATCTGCCTTATATGAAGCGCGCCCGTGTGGCACTGAAATTTGACATTTGGCAGTGTTTGAAGGACATGGAATTTTCAATTGAACATTTCTGCCAAACAATCGAGAAGGAAACATTGATTTGACTGTAATTTTCACCTCCAGCTTTGAATTCTTGCTTGTTTCATTCACTATTGGTGGTAATAAACGGAATGGAGGAATAATTCCCTCAGATTGAGACACCCTATATCTCATTAATTCAAATTCTCCATCTGGAGGAACAAAACTAATAGTTTTGTGAGCTTGGAATTCCTTCAATTGGACACATTGATGGAAAGAAAAATCATTCACATAAACGGCATTCTTTTTTGGAACCAAGTTCGAAGAAAGTGTGACAGTGGGTGTTGAGGAATTTGATCCCTGAACATTCGATCTTTGATTCATGAGCTTGTTATCATTGAGACCAATTCGACATTCAGGCATACCACTCAGCATGGAATTCATGACAATTCGACCATTGACATCACAGCTCAAAACACTTCCCTTCTCATTCATGAGCATGTTGACATTTTCAATAACATCTAAAAAGACTTGATTTTTGGAATGTACAATTCCATGACGTCTCCATGGCGTATCTCCAGTCATGTGTTTCAATACTTCGCTTATTTCTTGAGAGGATTGTCTCTGAATGAGTGTGTTTTCATTTCCACCAGGGACATGAGACAGAATGCTTTTCAGAGATTCAATTTCCAAATGTTGTGGATACCCAAAATCAAGAGTTTCATCCAATAATTCATAGATCAATGGTGCATGTTCTCGAATCATTTCTTCGGACATTTCTCGTGTCAAGTAACAAGCAAGCAATGAAAGAAATTTGTACATGAATTCATACACGAGAGCAGCATTGGAATTTTGTCTTGAAACGGTTAACACGAATAAATCTTCATAACGAATGAACATGAAAGAAAGTCCAGCAATGGTTTTAACTGGACACTTGTCAACAAGTTTTGAGGTGAGTATTTGTGTCTTGAAGGCAGTGACAATACCTCGTCTTGTTTGTTCCGTCATGATACATGTTGTTCGAACTTCAACTAGTAAACTTACATGTCCAGACGATCTTTGAAAGATCGAGAGAGAAGGTGTTGACCACGAGCGTTGAGAATCAACAAGGCGTCAATCATACTGTTTTTTTGGTTGATATGAAAATCAGTTGTTTTTCATTTAGGATCATTCAGAAAGGAACTTGGAAATTGGGCGTGGCTTGAGGTTTACAATGAAATTCATTCAAACAAAGTACAAATTCTAGAAAACAAAATTTTTGTCATTCCTCGTTTAATATGTGTCCTCTTCATCAATGTGGAGACCACTCATGTGCTGAGAATTTCCTTCAGACACTACATTCCAATTACTGTGAGGTTTTCCAATTGGAGCTGATCCACCAAGTTGTTTTTCTTTGAGTGAAATATATTCTTTGAGTGCTGTATCGACAAATGGTTTCCAGGTCGAGTTGAGAGATGTCAATGTATTTTGTAATTCTTCGTTGGTGGATGAACCAGCCTGAGAAATACGTGTCTGAATGACTTCTGCCATTTCAAATAAATATCCCATTCCTACTGTTCCTTTAAAAGTTTGTCCAACAAAATTTTTCAAGTTCTCATGCTTTTCAACAATACGTTTGCATAGCGATGTTTCCTCGAACAATAATTGGTTCTTCAATTCAGCTGTGACTGATTCAGAAATGGTTAGCTCGCAAATAGATACAACCAGTAAATAGACTTGTTTGTGAAGTAAAGAATTAAAGTCGTATTGGAAGAAAAATTGAACGATATGATGAGAAATATTACTGGCTTTGGCTGCTGTAAATATGGATGATAGTGTTGTTTGAAGTTCGGAAGCTCGTTCGTTCTTTGATTTTTGTAAATTATGCAAGCTTTGTTGAAGAGAAACGCAATGATTGAAAACTGATGTTAAATATTCAATAACTAGCAAACGTGACTCTCCTAGTGGCTGCTTGAGAGGTACTCCACATTGTAGAACTTGAATTTCATGTACTTGTGGTACTACTTGTAATCTATCAACAAACTTTGTCAAAAGTGATGATGAAGTTAGCTCTTTCAAAGCGTCAATACCGAGTGTCAACACCTTTAGATCAGTACTTGAAAGGTTGGCATATTCAATTGTTGTCATTGAAGAAATTGCCGAAATGGAAGAAATCACTTGTGAGAGTAAGTGTCTCAAAAATGTAGTACCCAAATTAAAAAGAGAATTTTGGGCTCCCTTGGTTGTGTCACACTTTAAAATAATGTCTAGCAATGTTCTTATATTTTCTGGAGAGAGAACAGCCTCAATACTTGGCAAGCAATAGCTTGGTCTCTTGAGCAAGGCCTTCTCGATAATAACAGACAATAGAGAGAAAATATTTTGTTGTTCTTCTTCAATCTCTATTAACAATTCATCATTGGTACTTTCAGAAATGTATGATGATAATTTTCTCAAAAGCGATGAATATAATCCATATTTTGTAAAGGCCCACTCCTGAACTGTCTTGTAGATTTTCATTTCTGGAGCTTCCTCTTCCTCATCAGACGAAAACTTGTCATTTGAGGTCACAGAGAAAGAATAAGTGCTAGCAAAACTTGAGAATGATCCTACAGCTCCAAAATCTTGCATGTTTGCTGTTTGTTCTTGGAATATGGATGACTCCATTCCTAATATTTTGAGCAAAATATTATCGATACCACACAAGCCAATATTTCTAACGAAAAGGCTCTCTAGTAATACCTCAGATGATGAGTAAAGATTTTCGTCAACCTTTTCGTTCAAACTTGCTGGAATAGCTCTGTCATCAACAATTTCCATCAATCTCTTTACCACATCCATATAATATTTTTCTGGTTTGTCCATTAGTACGTTCAAAGCTTTGAACAAGTACTGAGAAAGACTTCTATTCTTTGGAATTTGATGTGGCTTTCTAAGAAGAAGATACTTGACGAGCAACAGGTCCAAAAATCGTTCTCCGTACAGTTGATAGTTTTCATCTTCGGTTTGATGTACAAGAGCATTGGAGATTTTGTCAACACAACAACCGAAAATCTCAGCTACTACGTATGGATATTGATAGAGAGTTTTGAGTTCAGGTCTGTTGGATAATTCATCGAGTTTTTCCTTGATACTGGATACGGAAAGGTATTCTTGTTTCATCTTTTCCTCTGCTTGCAAAGCCTGTTGTCTAATGCTACTAGTAGCGGTGGTGCCATTGGTAGTACTGCTATCGGATGATTGGCTTCCAAAGTTGTCGTCAAATCCAAAATCATCATCAAAGAAATTAACTGGCTTCTTTTTACTGGTAGTATTATTCTTGATATCATCCTCAAAGTATTGTTCTGTGGTGATGTAATCAATGAGTTTACGAAGAGTTTTAGAACAAGTCAAATATTGAATGAGTTTCGGAGAGAGAGATTTCACCTCTTGGAGAAGAGTATCCTGATCCAGAATGTCTTCAAGAGTCGTTGATGGATTGTCCAAAATGGTGTCAAAGGATTCAAAGGTTTCCTCGTCAGTAAATAAATCCCAAACAGAACTTGGTTCAGACATTTCGCTGTGATGATAAAAAATTGTGGTGTTGATGTGATGATAATTTTTTTTAATGGACAATTTTAAAATTCATTTGTGAAATGACGACACTTGATTCCCTTTAAAGTTTAATAATTTAAATGCCATACACCACGCCAACCTTATCCATGATGGTTTGTTGCATTTCCATGGACTTTTGGAAAGATTTATATTCTGGAGTGAAAACGAATCGAGAAAAAGTGTCACCAATGTTAAGCAAAACTTGTCGATAGAGATAATCGAAACAATTCGAGACTGTCTCTTGATCAATTTCTTGGCGAGGTATTGGATTGTTCTTGGTGGCAATTTTGATGTCCTTATCGACAAGCTCAATGTCTCCTTCATAATTTTCATTTGATTGTTTAAGATCAGAGCTTAATAATTGATCTTTTGATGCCAACACATTCTTATACAGATAGAGGAAGGAGTTTCTACATTTCGAAGGAATGTTCACTTCTTGTGTGGCACCTGTTTTGACATAGGTATTGTAGAGGAAGGACATGAATTTCACAATTCCTCCCAAATTAGTGCCATGTGTAATTTCTGGATTTGCTTTTAGGTCAGAAAATAGATACAAGTTCTCAAGTGAAAATTCTTTTTTGCAAAATTCTTCGAATAATTTAAATCCTTCTTCATGTTCCAAAACGATATGCATTTCTCTGTTGATAAGCTCCTCTTGATTTTTCTTTTGTTCTTCCTCTCGTTGTTGAGATTGTTGGTGTTTCTTTTTAGATTGTTTGAATTTGTAAATCAATGCAACAATTAAAGCAAATCCACCAAATACAAACAAGTAGCTCACGACATAGAGAACTTCAAAAATAAATGAAACAGCATCCATGGTGAGCGCTCTTCTGTAGGATTCATTGCTATCGAATCTAAATGACAAACTAGAGCTACCAATAATGAGATTGAGAACTTGGAATATAAAGCAAACAATATAAATTATCATTTCCATTCTGAAATAAAGAGGTTGATCCAAAGAAATAAACCAATTCATCAAGCTCTCTGGTAGAGTGACTAGATTTTGTTTCTTTTTGTCTTTAAGATTTTCACTTGGATCGCTGGTAATAGCAATGGAGTTCGTATTGCTGAAATTTGCTGATCTTCTTCTATTACTTTTCACTTCGACTTCTTTCTTTGAGGAGAGTATCCAATCAAAGACTGCAACTGTACAAATCACAGCACTAAACGTTAAAATACAAACAATATAAGAGATGGAAACAATATAAGAATAGGTTGGTGAGGAAATTGCTCCTGTTCTCACAAGAATCACCCATAAGGTCCAATAACAAACATTACATGCTGCGAATATGGCAATAATTGTGTAAAACAATGCAGTAGAAGTAGAGTACTTCAAAGCTTTGAGAATTCTTTCACTGCCCTTCTCGTTACCTCGACTTGAGGACATTTGTTGATAGAGGAATTTCATTAATTGGAATCGGAACACTTGCAAAACATAGCACAAAATAGCTGACAAGTTCAACGTGTTCACAAATATGGTCACAATGTTAGCAATGATATTGGCAGCAGTGTCGCCTGCTTCCCACATTTGCGTGTTGGCTCCAAGTAATTGATTGACCAACACTCCTCTCTGAACAATATAAATTAATACACTCTCCGTAATTAAGGCAATTAGACCCACATACGGAGTCAACAATCGACTAGTTACTGGTTGTTCTTTTCTCAGTACAATCAAGCTCACTAACAAGAAGATGGCACTAGTGTATAAATACAGCCAAAGGCAATCTGAGCAAAGTAGAGAGAGGCGACTTGATCCTTGACTTCGAGTATGTTCACTGTTGTCTTTTGTTCCAAGAAGGTTGTAAACATGGTTGTGTGCGAACATGCACAATCAATCGTTCCAGTAGCAATTTCCACTCTATGTAACCAACATCCTTCATTACTCCATCGTTTCTCCTCTTCGTCCCAATATCTGCAAGAAAAGGTAGAATTGGAGATGTTCTTTCCAATCAAGATGGATGAATCCAATTTGAAGGAGAGAATGATTGGTTGATTAAGGTTGTTCAATATCAATGGAGTTTGTTCTTGAATAAATTTAAAATCGTTCACAATGGAAGTAATGACATTGTTGGAAGTATAGTTATCAAAGTTCGTGTTTTTGGCATATTCAATCATTGAAACTCCACATTCTTTGGCAAATGCATTGTATTGTTTCATAATTTGTGAAATGCTCATCTCCACAGAGTTACTTCCCGAAGTTAAAGTTTGATTGCTTGAAATGTCAGAATTCAATTTAAAGCTAGAAATGGTAATATTGATTAGAGAAGTGCTATAGGAGACTGTTGGTAAAGTATTACCGCTTGATTGATCAATCACTTTAGCAACTTCTCCCAACAATACCATGGAAGAAATATTCTCTGTCACGTTTCTCGTTTTGTCACTTGAAACACCACTAGCCAATAAATTGGATGAGACAGAAATGGTAGACGTAACATCTTGGTCAGCGAGTTTGCTCTTCACAAAACCATAGAGTTTCTTTTCATCACTATATGTATTTTTCACTCCATCCACAAAAGATGATAACTTGCTGGTTACGGCATTGACAATGTTGGCATCGATCGAACTAGAGCTTGAGGTTAAGCTTTCAAAACTGGACAAGGCCACTGATGGATTCTTTGGATCAATCTCAATATTTTTCACAAGTTCATAAATCACAGCGCTTGAATTGGTTCCACTCGAACTCAAAGCAGTATAGGACTGATCAAACGAAGCGATAATCAAGGAGGTTCCAGAAAGTTCATTAATTCTCTCTAGTAACTGTGTAGAAGTTCCATTAAATGGAGATACAGAAACCGAGACATTTGAAGATTGAGAGGCCTCATTTCCAAGTGCATCCATCACATACACCACCAATTCGACTTGCGAGACTGCTTGAACATTTCTTCTTCTTGCCTTATTTTGAATAAAAGGTAAATAAACAGTGATGGTAAGATTCTGTGAAAATTCAGTAAATCTCACGTCCTTTCCTTTGGACTTGTCATAAAATCCAACTGCATATCGAAGTGGAAGTAATTCACTTGGAGCATTCCATGCTGTAATATTAATAGTGAATGTATCTGTGAGGGCAACTCCTTGAGCTGGTACGACTTGCATGAATGAAGATGCAACTACTGAATTAGTCGTATTAGTAGGAAGTGTGACGTTCGTACTCGAAGGAGGAGACATGGGTGATAAAACTGGAATATCAACACGAGAACTAATGTTTTGCATTTGACTGTTGAATAAGGCCAATGAAAAACCAATCTTACTATTGCTTACTAAAGTTCGAAGAGTTGCAGAGACTGTAATGGGTGGTTGCAAAATCATGAGATTATTTCCACTTGTAAAGGCAGATACGCTTCCAGTGGATGAGGCCTCCAATGCGTTGCTACTCGTGCTTGTCAATTGCCAACTATACGTGAGAGAAGATGTACAGTTGGCTTTGCATCCAAGGAATTTCTCAATATTCGTTTGGTTCATGACAATGTTTGAAATGACAGCACTGATAGATTGACCAGAACTCTGACCGCTTCGTGTTGACACAAACGCAGAAGGAAGACCAAATACTCCTAAAGAAGGAACAGACAAATCGGGTGCGTAAGGAACGAGGAGTGTTAAATTGAATACAACTGTGTTAGAAATTCGTGAAGGGAATGGATCTGGATTCATGGTGGTCGTATTTGCATGGAACAAATAACTGCCTGGCGCCTTCAACTCGTTAATAGAAATGGTTAATTTTTGTTGATTGGAGCCAATCATGAACACAGAAGCATTGGAAACTCCTTGACAATTAAGGCAATACCAATGGAAGGTTGTGTTCAACAGATTCACATCGGTAGGAATATTAATTTCTACTTCCACACTTGTAATGTTGGAGGAGGTGACAATTTGCATTGCACTTGAAGACAATGAAATCATATAAGGATTGATATTCACACTGCAATCGTAAGAGGTAAATCCATCAAGACAAGTGCAATTGTTGTAATCTGTACATGTTCCATTTCCACTGCAAACATTGGATGAGTTTGAGAACTTTCCAAAACATTCGATGACAGAACAGTCGAAATTGCTAAACCCCACATTACATGAGCACATGTTGGGCAATATACAGACACCTTTTCCACTACATGCATTGGTGGAATTAAATTCAAATCCAAAACATCCATAGCTTTCACAATTTGTTCCCAAAAAACCAGGAATGCAAGTACAATTGTTGAAAGAGCTACATTGTCCGCGACCTGAACACACTCCAGAGCTATTGGATGCAATTCCAGAACAAGTAGTCAATTCACACATATTTCCGAAATAATTGGTATGGCAGTCGCACCTGTCTACTGAATTACATGATCCGTGTCCACTACAAACACTACCAGTCATATTTGATAACAAGCCATAACATATTGGCATGGAACAAAACGTGTCCGTCCAACCCAAATGACATCGACACACATTGGGAGCATCACACGAGCCATGTCCATTGCAAACTAATTCTGTCTGGTTCTGTAAAATATTGTTGCAAGTGGGCATGGAACAGTTGGAGCCAGCCCATCCTGCCAAGCATGTACACATGTCGACATCATTGCATGATCCATGACCACTACACACTTCACTGGTCATGTTCTGTAAAATTCCGAAACACATGGGTAAGGCACAAGTAGGACCACCCCAATTGGAATAGCATTGACAAGTGTTAACATCATTGCAAGAACCGTGACCACTACAAACTTCACTAGTCATATTTTGTAAAATTCCAAAGCATTTGGGAACCGAGCAGTTTTGACCTCCCCAATTTGGATCACACACGCACGTGTCGACATCATTACAAGAACCATGGCCGCTACAAACGACTCCAGTCATATTTTGCAAAATTCCAAAACATTTTGGGATGGAACAGTTTTGACCACCCCAATTCGAGAAACATGCACAAGTATCCACATCATTACAAGAACCATGACCGCTACAAACAGAAATAGTCAAATTCTGTAAAATTCCATAACATTTAGGTAAGGCACAACTTGGACCTCCCCAATTAGACGTGCATTCACATGTATCCACATCATTGCACGAGCCGTGACCATTACAAACACTTCCAGTCATATTTTGTAAAATTCCAAAACATTTTGGAAGAGAGCAGTTTTGACCACCCCAATTCGAATCGCAAGAACAAACATCAATATCATTGCAAGTGCCGTGTCCACTGCAAACACTTGTCGAATTTTGATAAATTCCAAAACAAGTAGGCATGGAACAATTGCTTCCAACCCAATTCCCATTGCACACACAGGTATCTACATTCGTACAGTTACCATGTCCACTACACACCGTTGCTGATGTGTTCGAAGGAATACCAAAACAATATGGATATTCACACAAGGGTCCAGTCCAATCCGAATGACATCGACACACATTGGGAGCATCACAAGAACCATGTCCATTGCAAACTAATTCTGTCTGGTTCTGTAAAACATTGTTGCAAGTGGGCATAGAACAGTTGGAGCCAGCCCATCCTGCCAAGCATGCACACGTGTCCACATCATTGCATGATCCATGCCACTACACACTTCACTGGTCATATTTTGTAAAATTCCAAAGCATGTAGGAAATGAACAGCTAGGTCCTCCCCAATTTGAATCACAAGAGCAGGTATTGGCATCGTGACATGAACCATGGCCACTACAAACACTTCCAGTCATATTCTGCAAAATTCCAAAACATTTTGGGATGGAACAATCAGACCACCCCAATTCGAATCACACGCACAAGTATCGACATCGGTACATATTCCATGTCCACTACAAACTTCACTGGTCTTATTTTGTAAAATTCCAAAGCACATGGGTAAGGAACAGCTTGGTCCACCCCAATTCGAATCACACGCACAAGTATCCACATCATTGCATGTTCCATGACCACTGCAAACACTTCCAGTCATGGTTTGTAAAATTCCAAAGCATTTAGGATATTGACATTGTGGTCCTCCATAATTCGTAGAACAAGTGCATGTTTCTGTTGCAGTGCAAGTACCACGAGAATTACAAACTTCAGGCGAGTTGTATAATGTTCCATTGCAGTAATAAGTTTCACAATTTGATCCAGAATATCCAGATTGACATGAACAGCTGTCAGGAGAATTACAAGATCCATGTCCACTGCACACACTAGCACCATTATAAACAATGCCATTACAATAATAGGTTTGACATTGTGAGCCACTATATCCTGAATTACAGGAACAGACATCTTTGTAATTGCATGAACCATGACCACTACAAACACTTGCTACATTGGAAGCAGTGCCATAACACGTGGTAATGGAACAAGTGGATCCTGACCAAATATAAACATTGGATCCTCCATCCTTGAATCGTTTGACAATAGTTATGAATTCAAGAATCAACAAATTAAATGTAAACAACTTACATAGGTATTTGGTGTCCAACACACTTCATGTCCTGGCCCATACAACACTAGATTACCATCGTTTTGTTGAACTAAATTAAGGTAATGATTATTTCAACAAGCATATTTGTATGATATCGATACGAATGGTTATATAAATTCAGCAAATGAATAATAATTTTGTTAACACATACCCAATGTGGCTGGAGTTGCTGAGCAGCTTGATGCTAGGGTCGATATCACTGCACCATTTCCATAAATTTTCAAAGCTCCATTCGATTCCAACACCAAAGAATAGGGTTGTGAAGAACCGACCGTACCAGAAGCCCATTTGGCTTGACTTGTTTGTGTGTCGTATATCACCAAATTACCATCGGCTTGCATGGAAGTTTTGTATCGACCATTGGTCGACACTAAATCATTGCCTTGTGTGAGAACAACAGAACCAGTGATTCGAAGTGAATTGGTCGAATAAATGTCCAAACATTCACACGTATCAGTGGCTTTGCATAGACCATGTCCTCCACACACATTGGCAAGATCCGTGGAGGAGTATCCGTAACATGTAGCAGCGAGAACAACGAGTTGTGAATTTTCTATGAGAGAGGAGAAGATGAGTGGTATCGTGGAAAAGAGTAGAATGGAAATGAAAAGAAGCCATGACACTTGTTTCATGGATGAAAGGAACAACCACGACAAGGATGCGTGTCGAATCATTCCTTCACCGTGGTGATGATGATTCATGTTGCGTGTTTCGAGTTTCGATAACAACTCTGCGAGAGAAATGGCAAAGACGCTTTTTTTTGGTTGAAACTTGGAACGATAACACTATTCGACAAGTGACATGTTGAATCAAAAGGTGGGCCGGATTGTTCAAATTTGCAGACCACTCAAACGTTGATGCCTTCGTTGCGGTCGAAAATTCATTTACGCAACAACGGATACAGTTCAGTCGGAAATTGTAGGCTACTCTTTTACTGTATCGTTTAAGTTTGAATGAACCTTAATCAACGGTCATATCAAACGTTTAAATCAGATCCAGTGCAATACAAGATCCGATTTAGGAAAGGATAAATTGGTATCATTATTTATTGTAACAACAACACAAATCATCAGTGTTCATGAATGAGGTTCACAACACTACTTGAGAGCAATTTCATTATTATTCTGATGCAACAATATGGCATCGTCGTCATCATCATCTTCATCATCGTCATTATCACGAGCACTAATCAAGACATAATTGGCTGTTGTGCTCGTAGTGAGCTCGTGTGATGATTTTGTATCTGATGAAGATGCTAATGATTTATCTCTAAAAATGTTAATCAAATAAACACCCACAAGGTACATGGGTACGCAACCAATTAAGCAGAGACCAATTGAGACTCCCAAAGCAGCAGCACACACTTGTAATAGACTTTCCTTATTGGTATTGGGTTTTATAGTTGCAGTTCCAGCTCCAAGTTGAACCACTAATACTAAACTGCAAATTGCTAATGAAATTAATAAGAAACTTGTTAATCCAATCCAAAAACATAAATGAAGTGAGCAATAGAAATTATAGATTCGTTGTTTTTTTCGTTGATGTTGGAGAGAATGTAACTCTGTTGGATCTGAAGTGGTTGCATTGATTAGTTTTGTTAGTCTGTGATCGGAAGTGACATTTTGTTTATCTTGAACAAGTGTTAGAATTGAAAAAAAGAAGCACAAAAGTCCAGTGACTGTCAGAGCTCCAGCTAGTAATTTGTAAATGGAATTTTTCAAATAACATTGAAATTATTATCAAATGTCCAATAGCCAAATTATTATAAAAGTCGTAAAATTTTTAAAGAAACGTAAACGATCAAATGTGCCATTGTAGTAGCAATATCATACACAAAGGAAAAACGAATCAATATATTCACCTACCTGTCAAATGTTGAGTAATGACAAATGCGAGAGGGCCATCACGCGAGATGGAATAACTTTCTTGAGTAATTTCTAGAACGAAATTAGTGACACCAATTCCGAACATGATCAACCCAGCAATGATTAGAAAAATTCTGACCCCCAAATAGATTTTGCTTCTTTTCATTTTTTCTGTGCTCGAACCTTTAGGTGAGACAAGTGAGTGATGTCGCACGTCGTTAAAAATTGAACAATCTGCTGTATTGATCTATTTGTCTAAACCAGAGATTGTTACTTTACAACCTTGTTTTCATAACCATGTACATGAATTGAGATAACTCAAGTCTCCACCAAGTTCACTGCGATTCGGTCACCTCATTTTACCTTATTCAAATTATCCTCACCTTTTAAGGAATATTCTTTTCGTTGAGTGGACGTTGAAAGAATATTCGAGGCATCCAAAATTTCATCAAAAAAAAGCCTCGACCAACCATCGACCCTCTTCATAAAACGAATTGTTGAGCTTTTTCAATCCTCTGCGCACAAGAGACTCTCTCCATAGGAACCCGAACGAACTCGTATTTGAAACTTTTCATCAAAACCAAAAGCAAATACTCTCTTATTCTCCTGATCATCATGACTGCAGCTACGCTGAACAATACCTCCAAGAATAATAGCAAGGAATATGATGGAGTGGATCCATCTGTTCTCAATTTGAAAGACTTTTTGTGGTCCAAGCAAGATGAGCCACACTGGAAGAGAAAGAAGGAAATTTTGAAACGTTATCCACAAATCAAAGAACTCTACGGAATTGATCCTGCCACCAAGTACAAGATCACTGCTCTTGTTTTGATTCAATTCTTGAGCTGCTACCTTCTTGTTACATACCGTCCTGCTTGGTATGTGTGGCTTGCTGTGATGTGGATCATTGGTGGAACTTGTAATACTAGTTTGACAGTCGGTATTCATGAATTGACACACGGTAGGTTGAAGTTAATTGTGCAACAATGTAATTTAATAACACAAATTTATTTGCCTGAATGATGATGATTTGGTCATTCCCACCAATATATAATGGACTAATTGAATTTGGCCCTCGTGATGGCAAACATTGCTCACGGCACATTTATTCATTTCTGTCGGCTACCACCATATGAAATTTCATTATCCTGTTCATCACATATTATTTCATCTCATTACTCCGCATGGCCTCGTCCACTCCTGTTCAACAACTTTGAAAATAGGATTGGGATTTGAAAAGTTTGAATACAATCTCTACATGGCAATCTTTGGTAATCTTCCACTCGGAGTGCCATACACAATGTCCTTCAAACGTTATCATCATGATCACCATATGTACCAAGGAGTGGTTGGTGTTGACACTGATATTAGTACTCGTATTGAAGCTTTGCTCATCCAATCCAAGTGGACCAAATTCATTCACGTCTTCTTTATGGTCTTCTTTTACAGCTTGAGACCAATCTTTGTTGCACCAAAGAAATTAACTTTTTATGAATGGGTGAACAATGTTATTGTGATTGCCTTCATGGCTGCAATTTATTACTTGTCGGGAACATGGTTGGCTCCTTTCTACTTTTTGGGTTCAAGCTTTTTGGGATTGGGTCCTCATCCATTGAGTGGACACTTTATTTCTGAGGTAAGTCAATATTGAAATGTTTGAAAAATCAAATGTTTATTCGTGTGAATTGAATGACGATTAATTTAAATAATTTGCATTATTCAATGATTACAGCACTATGTGACAAAACCTGGTCAAGAAACTTATAGCTATTATGGACCAGGAAATTGGCTCATGTTCAATGTTGGATATCACAACGAACATCATGATTTCCCAAAGATTCCATGCTGCAATTTACCAAAAGTGAGACAAGTAGCACCAGAATTTTACAATAATTTGAAGACTATTGATTCTTGGGCCTATGTTTTGTGGGAATATATTACCACAGATGGTTACACTCCTTTCAACAGAGTCACAAGAACAATGGAAACTCATCGAAGTGCAAGACAAGAAGACAATAAGAAGGATAATTAAAAATTAGATTTAAATAAATTAGATAAATGAAACGGTTGTACAATTTTCTTTTCCCTAACACTTGTGATTGTAATGCAGTGTACCTTGAAACGAGATGTGAATTAAATTACATCTACAAAACCCATGTTCACACCCTGACCTTTGTAGATCAGAACCCGAGCATTCGAAAAAATGTCTCCCTCGTTTGACAAGCAAAAAGTGTCATCATCTTTGCCCTCGTTATCTATATCCTCCTCCGATGCATCATCAACAAGGAATTCTACAGGCATTTCCATACGAGAAACATGCTGTTGTTGTTGTAATACAAAATATAGATCCGTCTTTATATTTTCCTTTTTTGCAACGGTCTTATTGATTGTTGCATTATGGATTGTCCCCGTGTTGAGATTGGTACGATGGAACTCTAATTTATTTTCTCAAACTGGACTTCGATTTGTTGAAGACCAATTTAACATGATGATCAAATCTCCATCAGAATATGATTTACAAGCAAAAGTCAATGTCATTTTACAAGCAGAAAAAGAAACAGGAATACATGTGATTCACGAGTATGGAATTGCAAAATTTTCTGACGATTTGACGCAAATTTTGAAATTATTTCATGAATTGAAAATGAAACAGGAACGAGTCCGAGCGAGCAATGCTAAATTATTTAGTGAGACATTTAGACAAAATTACGAAAAATTAATTCAAATTTATTCGAATGTTTTGATTCGTTCACAGTCAGTGCCAAGAGTGATTCATCAAACGTTCAAGACAAGTAATATTTCACAATTGCCTAATCATTGGAAACTCTCACCTGAGCAGTGGCAGTTTAAAAATGTTGTTGCCAACTCATTTATTGAAAATTCCATGACATTGAGTGGTGAGTAGAATGATTCAAATGTTCAACTATGTGTTTGAAAAAACTATAATGTGTGAAAAATATTTTCAAAAATACTAATATGGAATAGACAACTTCAAGTTTGATTATTCTTACAAATTGTGGTCAGACACTGACATGGAAGAATATTTACAAACTCAAGATTGGAAATCTGTCTCTGAATTCAATAAGAATTATTATGAGTATTTTTTCAAGAGCCTGCCACAAAAGATTCAAAAAATTGATATCATCAGATATTGCTGGTTATCACGAATTGGAGGTGTCTACAGCGATTTAGATATTCGACCACAGAGAAATATCGAACCCATTCTTCGATATATGGAGTTGTATCATGTCACTGAAGGGTTTTTCCTTCGAAAGTCATACTTGCTTGAGAAAATGAAGACCTTCCTGAATCAATTAGAAAGCGCTTTACAAAAATCTCAAGTTGTACCATCATCAGAAGGCGATTCTAGCACAGGTTTAGAATCATCTCTTCAAGAAATTACTAGGGATGTATTGGAAATTGTGAATTCCCCAACAAGATTTTCAGCGATTGTTCCAAAAACTTATCCATTTGGCTTTTCGAATGATTTTCTTATTGGTGTGAAAGATTCTGAATTTTTCCAGTTTGTAACAATGAGAGCAAAATTTGAAACTTTTCGATGGAAAATATTAAGTTATATTCCTTTTGCAAGATACGCCAACGTCATGCTTACTGGTGGTCCCATGTTTTTAACAGATTGTGTTCGCCAATTCACAGCTCAGAAACTAGCTCAAGCCCAGGAGAATGGTTTTAGATTTTCCAATACTGTTGCTTTGCTGGATTTGGGGTTATATGGTGCTAATGAACGCTCTTATTTGGTGCATTCTGATGGAAATTCTTGGCATACATGGGAAGCTAAAATTATTATTGATACTTGGAGAAAATTGAATGGTAGTCAATGGTTGAGAAATGCTCTATTCGTGACCGTGGGAGGAATTACTCTATTGGTTCTTATTTACATGTTTAGGAGATTGCTCAAGAAAAAGGGAATGCCTTTATTCTGTATGCGAAGAAATGGCAATGTTTCCTCACATCAAGCAGCCTCAGAGATGATGTCATTTGTGAAAAAGGAGAATGACGTCCTTAAAAACGATGAGGAGAGCTCGATTGGCATTACCATTTTATCTAGCCATAGTAAGACAGACTCTGCGTCATCACAGAACGATGTGTCCGTCTCAACAGGAGAAACCGTGAAGAGACGCAAGAATTAATCACCGAGACCATCACAATAATTGGGTGTTGATGAGAGAGAACAAGGTTCAACAATTTTTTGAATTTTTTCTTGCAACCAAAACGACCGAGCATTTTTCAGTCGTGTCTACTCGCAACCATTTAAGTGCAATCGTTTCAGTACCCACATTCCTGTGATTCATGCCCATTCTGGCATTTCCCTCACGGATTTGACAGTAAGGATCTATGGATAAACGAACGGATTCAAACCTATCGCTCCGCTTGCTGATGTGGAAGTTAAAATTCCTTGAAGCCCTGTAAAAAGCGATCACATTTATGGCATAATTTTGGTATTTTAATGATTGAGACATGTCACCTTATCGACCAAATGCAAACATTCGAAAAGCAAATCCCAAAAACCGGAGACATTCACCTTTGTTGCAACATGGACATTCTTTGGCTGGTTGGACATGTGGTAAACATCACACACAGTCCGTCCATTGCAGAATCTGGAAGAACACTCCACATCAACTCGCATAAATTCCAGGGTAAATAAAGAAGGATTCAAAAGGTAGGCAATTGTACATGGATCATGCAAAGGAGGATCTCTACAGAAAGTTTCATTTTGAGTTCCTTTTAAACTGTGAATTCACAAATAAAACTTACTCCATGAAAAATACTCTCTTATAGGTATCCTTGAAAAACATGAGCAATTCTTTGCAAATAGCTCCAAATTTGGAATTCATCTTGTCGCACCGTTCAAGAATTTGAGGTGTGGCCAATGCAGTGTGCGTAACTTCCAAAGGACACATAACAACCTTCAAACCAGACTCAAACAAAACTGAAGCAGCTTCAGGATCACCCTCAATATTAAATTCTGCTGCAGGACTTGTGTTTCCAAATCCAATAGCTCCACCCATGACTATTATTTGTGCAATTTTCGATTTGATTTCTGGATATAAAATCAATAAAAGAGCAGCGTTGGTGAATTGACCTGTGCAAATTAAATTAACGGGTCTATCCTGAGATGAAATAACCTTATACATGTAATTGACAGCTTTTTCATCTGTGATTGCTGTTTTTGTCAGCTTTGGAAATGTTGGTCCATCAAGACCTGTTTCACCATGAATTTCAGCACAACTATTTGTAGCAGTGGAGCAAATAAATTTAACAAGTTCATTGTTATACACACGCAATACTTACTGCTTTGCTGGTCGTACCATTGGTTTTGCTTGTCCTTTCACTACTGGCACCTCTGCAAAATCAGAACCCATAGCAGTAATAGCCTTCAATGCATTGAGGGTTGTTTTTTCAACAGTTTGATTTCCTCCTACAGTGGAAATTCCTAATAATTTAATATCGGGATGAATACACATTAAAATAGCAAAAAAGTCATCATGTCCTGGATCACAATCTATCATCATTCCGAAATGATTTTGAAACATTGATTCCGATCGGAATGATCATAGCATGTCGTTGTTCATCATCCATTATTATCCATGGTCCATCCACAAATGAGGACTATTTCAAAAACACCACATACCCAACCATACAAGATGTTTTCCAACGCATTGTCCGACATGCTCTGTGTTTTGTTGAGACATTTTTTATGTTGCAATTTGCAATTTTCAAGAGTATGGCGTCCGTAAACAAAGACCAACAATTCAAAGTTCAGTGGGAGGACCCTGCTCAACGAGTTGTTGCAATTCCTCCTCCCATCCCAATTCTTTCACTAATTGTTCAATATAGGAATCAATCGTGTCTTCTTGTCCTCCCAAATACAAATCCAAATGATGATTTTTCACTCCATCCATTTCTCTCACTGCCGATTGCATGTTATAAAAGGCACCACATCGCTCTCGATTAATGAGTACTCTCATGGTTCCTTGAGGTGCATAATTGGGAATTAAGGCAACTGGATACACCTGTAAACTAGTTCCAATGACCATGAATAGTTGACAGTTTTTGTGTTTTTTCAAATCACTAAAGACACACTTTCCAAATTCTTCAGGTAGGTCTTCGCCGTACATGACAATATCTGGTTTAAGGACTTGTCCACATGCGTCACAGAATGGAACTGGAACGGTGTCTTGTTCAGTGGTTGTCATCAATTTTTCATTCACCTCCTTTCTTGAATATTCCTTCTTACATTTCACACAATGATAAGTTTCAAAAGTACCATGACAATGTACAACAAGATCTTTCGAGATTCCACACTTTCTTTCCAATCCATCAATATTCTGAGTGAATAATCTCATCAATTTGTTTTTATCTTGTAATAATTTCAAAAAGTAATGACTTTTTGTGGGCATGTATTCTTTCATGAACATTTCTCGACGTAACTCATAGAATGGTTTTGGATTTTCCATGAAATAATTCTTCTCAAAGATGGCAGTAGGATCTGGAAGATTGTACTTGTCGAGACTTCCATTCACAAAGATGCCAATTCCAGGTGAACGAAAATCCGGTATTCCACTAGCTACCGAAAGACCTGAGCCTGCCAGAACAATGATGCTAGGTTCGGAAATGCTTTGAATCTTCTGAGCTAATAGTTGAATGGCATGTTGCTTTTCTTGGGGAGAGATTTGTGGTTCCATTCGTGGCCGTCGATTGTATTGTTGATTACTGGGTAGTGAAGAGGTAGAAGGTGGAGTGGTATCATCTTGTGAGGAAGAAGAGGTGACTGATTCTTGTTGTTGTGACATTTTTTGTTTGACGGGATATGTTGATTGAGTTCATTTGTTTAGAAACAATTTGAAGATGGTGTTCCTGGTTCCTTGAACGTCATGTCTTGCACCTGGAAAGAACAGAAGAGGTGTGGTTTGAACAAATCGGATATTCAACACGGATCCGAAGGATTTTGGCAAACGTGGACTAGGTTTAGAAGATGTAATTATAAAGAAGCGAGGAATCATCTCGAATGAATAATTGGAACTAATGAATACTGCACCGCCATCTTAAAAATCTGACCGTTACATTTTTTAAAAGCAAAACAAAAATTTCCCAAGAGTCATCAATTCTCAAGCCAGCCAACATCAACAAATTTCCAATTAGAAGAAGAGGCTTGTTGAGTGTATTGGTTAGCATTTGGCTTTGGTGTTTTTGTTGATTCGAATCTTTATACATGATGTTGATTTGAACCAACATTCCTCTTGTTCATTACAATGACTCAACAACCTTTCCGTTCCGATGTGCCATCATCATCAACAACAACTCCAATACGTCATCGTTCCAAACGAAAAACACCAAAAACACATCCCTCTTCATTGCAATTTATTGAAAGCTCTCTGAATGAAACGACCACACAACAACAAGCCTTCAAGCACCCTTCTCCCTCTCTAAAGATTGAACATCATGATCATGGAGGAGAGATCATCAACCCTTTTACCCAACAAGGTGCTACATCAACATCATCATCACCAAATACATCTCTTTCTTTGAGTGCTTTGAAGATTAACACAACACCAAATTCTTTGAAATTTCAAGATCATGAAGCACTACCTTCTCCTCCTTCTGCTTGCTTGAGTGATACAGTATTTAATGTATTTGGAAATGCCAATAATCCGACGAGCAACATCAACGACGACAATATTACAATGACATCAGTGGCGAATATATATCATGATTTTGGAAATACTTATTGGGATGGCGCTTCAAATTTTACCTCAATCAATGACAGTTTCAATATGCCACTCGCTCTCTCGGCTGAAGATGAACAAATGTTAGACCCAGGTCGAACCAATGACGATCCCATTATGGTTCTTTCACAAATACTCTCTGAGCAAGAAAGTATTGACGCTTCCATGCACACGACCCTTACACAAGAATTGAGCGAAAATCTGATCCTTTTATCACAACAAAGTTTTAAACAAGATCGAGTGAGTACTTGTACGACATTTGCTCAAGCACCTCAACACAACGAAGAGCCAACATCTCCCATTATTCGAATGGTAAACCCCTTTGAGTATTACAACCATCAAATGTACACAGATGACGACATTCAAGAACCTCTTGCAAGATCACGCTCTAATAGTAATAGTGGCAAATTCAATCGACCCAACAAGAAACAAAAAACCTATACCTTAACTCGCCTGAAAGAATTACCCATCGATATCAAATACGTAATTTTGAGCTTTTTACCTTACTTGCCCTTGAAGTTTTATTTGAATTTGGCGTTTAACCATGCACATCGAGAGGTATTTTCTCAGCAATTGATACGAAACTCTTTTGCAAGATCAACTATATCCTGTTCGTTTATACCATACCTTAATGTGGAGCTGGTATTTACTACAGAGCCATTCGACCCATTTATCAATTCATTCAGCAATAATGGTGAGAACTCACAACAAGAAATAGTTCCATTATCACAAAATTCCAATGTTTCAACGAGCTTGAATACTCAGAACCATTCAATCACAAGATCTGACATGGAAGTCCTGTGCATGCTTTATGCTCCAATTTTCAATCATGTACACCACTTGAAAATATCCACTGTGCTGACAACAACATCAACAACAAGCAACAACTTGCCTTCCTCAAACATGCAAAACGAACTACAAATGTTTATGCAGGTCTTGCATTTTTATAAGAGGCGCTACAAGCTGGTTAAAAGCTGCTTGGATTATCCCAATTCACCCTTTGTGAAACCTTATATCTCCTCCATTCCACAACACGCATTTTCGTCCGAAAATACTGTCGCTATATGCTCCAGATTGAAGTCCATATATTTAAATTTTGATTTCCCAAATACTATGAATAATGATGACACTGCAAATGACAGTAGCACACAAGAAACTTTTCTGTACGAGCCCAATCCTACTTTTGATACAATGGTCAGCAATATTAATTTGAACCAGTCCTTTATTTCTGTGAATAAGGCCATTTCTCATTTGCACAGATTTCCCAATCTACGAAACTTTCAAACTTGTTTATATTTTCCAGAAAATATTCAAAATTCTCTGATGGACTTGTCACCACTATGTTACATTCAAAGAATACACCTCTGTAATATTTCTAGCAAGATGCTGGAGCGACTATTCTACCATTCAGACAACAAAATCAAAGCTTTAATTCTCACTGGTTTGAGTTATTCTCCACTAGAACTCTTAATGAACGCTAAAACTCCTATTATGAAGAGTTTATGTCATCTCTCTCTTCAATTCTCAGAGAATGACCTCATACAGATACCAAATTTTCAGAGTTTTTGGAATCGAATTGTATCCCTTCGTTAAAATCTTTGGAAATTTCAGAACCTCAAACCGAGAATCAAAGACCACGTTCAGAATGTACTTTGAACGGCCTTCTTCGAAACTCTTCCATTACCAAACTTTCTTTGGTCTTCTTTTTACATTTAGGTGCTACTGCAGCCAGGAATTTATCAAATTCTAATATCACCTCTCTCACAGTTGCCAATTCATTCAGCAATGCCACTCGTTTTTCTGCCTTTATGGATGGCCTCGCCCAAAATACGGTCATTAAGAGACTTCACATCTCGACACATTTCTCATCACGATTGGCCTTTGAGAACTTTCTCATTAATAATACAGTGTGTGAAAAGTTTATTGCCGAGTATGATGATAGAAATCGACTTTTGGTACTGAGCATTGAATGTTTGAAACAGTTAAAGACGAATCAAGCGCTAAAAGTACTAAAATTGCTGAATTTTACCTTTGATACTGAAGATGAAGTGGTTGAAGAAGTATTGGCCAATTCTATACCTCAAATTGATGTTGCTATTTGTAGAAAATCATTTGCCTCTAGTTTTTCTCAACAATAATCAAAGACGATCACTTTGAACTCGAATGTTACAAGGGTCGAGAGCATTTCATCAATAAACTCTTACCATGGTTGAAGAGTTTACTTGTCTTGGTGATTGAAACAATGGAGATGCCAATGTCCAACCAACACCCTTTTAGATTTCAATATTTGAAATCCTTAATTACAAATATAGAAATTGTAGTTGGCCCTATCTCCTCAAATTTACAAGTAGGAAAAAAATTATTTGAAAATACAGGTTGACCATGACCGATCTCCATCAACGTTCGGGACCTCTTCGAACAACAACAACAACCAACAGTAACAGCAATAGAAATACCCTCGACACTATATCTGCCCAAATCGAACAAATGGAAAAACAAATCGATGCAAACCTCATCCATTCGCAATCACTCTTTGAAAACAAGTATTCCATTGTCAATACTTCATCCCAAAAGGACGCTAGCATTCTTTCAATAACCAAAGATCCAGTTATCGAGAGAAATCATCATTCTTCTCAACCAGTGCTTTCTTCTGGAATGATCGATACAAGTTCAATGACTCTTAATAATTCTTCATTTATAGGTAGTGATCATTCTGCCAATGATTATCGAAAATACAAGAATCAATTGAATATTTTGCAAAATATGAAAGGAAATGGATCATTTCAGAGAAAACATTTTCGTTGTCGATTTCAAGAAGTGGATGAAGAAGAGGAAGCGACTCAATATCTTGAGAGAATGATTCCAGAAAAGATTGTTGGACATTATTCGAAATTTCAGAAATATAGAGAGAATGAAAAAAACAAATGGAATGCATTTGTGGAACATATTGCACCACCTATTGAAATGAAAAAGATCAAAAAGAAGCAAAAGAGTGTTTTGAAGGGAGTGACAGAAAGTGTTGATGACCAGAAGGAAAATAAGGAAAACGAATCACCCAACGTGCAAAAACAACGAGAGAACAAAAATAACGTTCCAACCAAAAAGGTAGACAAAAAGCTTCCAATGATAAAGACTGTAAATCTAAGAGATCAACAAGAAGAAGAGGTAGACCATACCAATTCAAATGAAGATCGAGATCAAAAACAAAAAATCAAGAGTGTTGAGTCGTATGCGTCAAGAATTTTACAAATACCATCATCTATTGAATTTCCTGATGAGGACAAGTATGATTTTTCTGGCTCTCAAAAAGTGTCAAAATGTGACACATTAATGGCTCGATATGAATACATTTATCAATACAAGGACGCTCTTCAGCCCCACTTTGCAGGACTCAACCAAAAGACGGCCGACTTACTTGTCAGATGTAAAAAAGAAGCCATCTCAAAATGGAATCAGGTAGAAGGGTTTTTCGAACAAGACAAACAAGAAGGCATGAAGAAGAAGTGTGAATATAATTTAAGGCTCATGAATGACAAGTTGCATCAATTCAAGTGCTCACCTCTCACACAAAATATATACAACAAAAAGAGTGTCACGATTGCAGACATGAAAAGATTTAAGAGTGAGAGTGCTCTACCAACTGAGCTTGTCACGAATCATAATAATTTGTCAAAGAGTACACATTCAAAAGACAAACAAGTCTTACCTAATATTCCACTCATTATTACCAGCAGTGATGAAAAGACATCTACAATTAGCACTGTCTTTGAGAACAAAGACAGTAACTCTCAGACCACAGCTAGAGCCAAATCAAAAGAACATTCCTTACTGCAATCTCCTCCATCCATTTTAAGAGTTTCAAGATCGACAGGATTTATCGAAACCACCTCGTCTCCAGCTCAACATTTTCAAACCTTATTTGATAAGGAATTTTGACCTTTTTACTGTTATAATTTATAAATTACAAAAAGTACTAATCAATTAGTGATAAATTTGTTATAAATACAGAATGCATCATCACATTTGTTGACAGATTTAGAGCAAACAACATTTTAAACCTCTGCTTCAGCACTCTGGTCCTTCTCTGTGTGCAATGGTCCAACACAACAAGCACACAAAACCAAATTGAAAACAATTCCCGGCACCCAACACAAGACTGTCAACATGACACTCAACATGACCCACATGAGTCGATTGGTATCCACATTTTCATTTTCGACTTCTCCTCTCACTCGTTGAGTTGCAGTTTCTGACTCTTGTTTTTTAATGGATAAATCAACAACACCTGCTGAGCCGCTACTCATTGCTTCATTCATTCCATCCCGAACATATTTCCTTGGATGTTGTAGATGAGGAAATAAGTGGCGAGTGGAGGAAATATGATACAACAAGTTAAAACACTTGAAAACCACAGAAAGTATGCAAAATATGCATTAGTGGTCCGAGTATCTCCAAATAGCAGATGGGAGGGCCCCAAGCAACATAATTCAGTACTTGATGATCCTGGATTTGGTGAAGCATTTTGATCCGATGTTTCTTTCTTGTCGTGATCTTTTACGAGTTTGGCGTCCATGGAAGTCATGATGATGAATATATTGTTTATTCTCAGTGATGATGAAATAATTTTGGATGATGATATTACTCGAGTGTTCCGTGTAAAGATGATGATGAAACTCTCTAACGAACTCTTTGTGTGTGAGATTCTAGTTGAAGCTTTTTGATTCCCAATCGTGTGCGCTGAGCAGCAAAAGGGAATGCTTGTGTGTTGAGGCGTGAATAATTTTTCTTTTGAAAATGAATGAAGAGTAATAGATTCTAAATCTCATGCCGTCATACTGATCCCTTCGCCTCCATTCCGACAATGGATCTTGTTTGTAGTTGATTCTCCAAAATAGTAAGTGTTATTGTAATGTGAAGAGTTGAATTAGAAAAAAATGCATTCATCTTGTCACCTTCTTTTTGTTGATTCTAACATCGAGTTTCAAAAAGATCACGCCCACAGGATGGCATATTGAAATTAATAATTGTTTGGTAGTCAATTGTGTTTTTTATTATGATCATTTCGAAAACATGGTTTTTGTGTCCATTAATGATCAAATCTTGAGCGTATGAAAAACTGCTGCTTGTTCACAAGAAATTCCTTGTTGTTACAGGTAAACACTCAATTTACAACTGACCTCATGCTGGACCTTCCAACAAACATCAACACACACACTTGGACAGTTACACTCGAATACATCCCATTTCCAAGATTTAAAAATGGAAACACACCCCTCCCGTTCAGTTACAAGAGCGGAAGGAGGGAGTACAGCAGAATTAAGGCACGAGGAGGATTCATCTATGCGGGATCAACAGAAAAATGCGAGTAAGGGAAAATATAATTCTGATCATCATGAGATCCAGGACCACATGGTTGGTACTTCTGTAGCAATTCAATTACCAATTCTTCAAACCGAAAGCAGGAGTACAGAAGATTTTGAAGCTCCTTATTATTCTCTTGCAGACAACAGTAAGCGTGATGATACTGAATCCGACATGATCGAATTGAAAACCATGTCTGGTGCTACCACATCACTGACATTATTGAAGAATTACTTTTTCTCGACTCCAAATTCCCCTCAAAATCTGAATCTCGAGCAAGAAGGCTCAATAGATCAAAGTATTCACTCAAGGCGTGAAAGAAGGTTAACTCTTCGACAATTAACAACACCTACAAATCCAAACGAAAAATACTGTGTCGTTTCACAATGTTACTTTCCGAATGCCATGTTTTCTAAGAACCACTTTGTAAATTATGAAAATTTGGAGATGTTCAAATTTGTACTGACAGACGTGGAAGATATCGAAGAATATTTAGCTGAATTTTACGAAACTTATGGTTATCACACTAATGAAGCAGATGTGACCACAAATCTATACGTGTGTGATAACGTGTTTTCTTGTATATTTAATAGACATGAGTATGCTCTTGGCAAATATAAGAATTTAATCAAATATTTTGGCTTGATTGACATTGCTACTTTACACAAACGCATGAAATCGTACCAGCTCTCATGCAGAGACTTTATTACTAATTGCTTGTGGATAATGTTCATGTCTGTAACGTATTTATTGTTCATAGCTCTGTTATGTATTTCAATTTGGTTGGTTGAAGGAGGTCATGAATTAGAATTGCTGAGAAACACAACAATAAGCTCTGGAAACGTTACAGCTTCCTCACTAGATTGTCATGAAGACAATTTGTTACGTTTGTCCCAACCACTATTTGAACATGGAAGCATGAATAATTCAGCCCTTGAGCCAATAATGCAATACTCATTAACCAACCTTCCTAAGTGGAATTATTTGTCTTCATTTTACTTTACCTCAACGACAATGCTAACCATAGGGTATGGTGACTATAGGTAAGAATTTTTTTGAATGATGGGTTGGTATTCACATAATTTAAGCCCCTCAACGCCAGGTGGGCAGTTTCTTGTAGTAGTTTTTGCGTTTTTTAGTCTTTTCCTCACTACTCTAGTGATCACAGCTATCGGTGAGAGATTTTTATCAAACACTACATGTGTATTATACATCCTGTCACACACCATGATGAGAATAGTTCGATTCACCATTATTAAGGCTTCCATGAGGTACGTAATGTTATGATTACAATTTGGAAAGTGTCAACAAGAAAATTGGTCTAGAAACAAATTTAAGAATATATCGAAGGCATTTACAAGTCCATTTGCACAGCTTGTTTATCTAGGTGTATTTATATTGATTTACATTCTGATTGGCTCATTATTTTTCTATCTGCTTGAGGATTCCAAAGGAGACACATGGACTTTCGGTACCGCTATTTATTTCGCTGTTGTCACTCTGACAACCATTGGATATGGCGACATTTATGTCCAACGTAAGTATGGTCTCGAGCCTTGTCCTTAAACAAACATGTTTGTCATGTTGAAATTACATTAATTTTAAATCAATTTAGATGAGATGTCAAAACTAGTTCTAGTTGTATTCGTTTTGTTTGGAGTTGGTTTTCTTGCAGTACTTTTTACCAAATTGATAGAAGTTGTTACACCAGCCATGACCTCAATTGTCAATAGAAAGACATCAAAACAAAAGCAAAAGTTGATCAAAGAATTCAAAGACAGACATCAAAACAAGAGTCCTTAGTGATGCACTGGCTTCCACTTGGCACATGTACGAGTTGAAATGATCAGAATGATGGCTGTGATCACTCTATTTCAACTTATCACGAATCAGCTGTTTCCACCAGAAAAAATTCACGCATCTCGCTTTGAAGCACGCGAGGAACTCTCTTGTAAACTTCTTTCCAACAACGTAACTTTGTTGTAGGCAACAACAACAAAGAGTTTAATATCGTCCGATTCATTGTTGTTTCAATCCCTCTCGGCAAACACTTGTCTTTGTCATCATCAGCTCGAGAATAGGACAAGCTTGCAAATAATAATCATCGTTCTTTTTGAAATTGCTAGTCATCATCATTGTTATTACTAGCCTAGAGTATCATCAAATCACATTTATAATTTAGAATTATACAATATATACACCATGAGAGTTTTTAAACAACGAATCAAGGTCAAATTAGGTAAAGCTGAGTCAACACAAGACCCAGAAGGCTATCTTGAACTTCGCGATCAAGTACAAAAAACTGAAAAGTATGTGAAAGGAGCTTTGAAGATTGTTAGGAATTTTTGTCAAAAATCGGAAGCCATCACTAAAGTGCAAAACGAAGTGGGACAATATTTAGTAGAAAGTGGTATGCAGAGCAGTGATGAAGGTAGGTAGATGAATGCAAAGTTCTCGTCAGTTTTGGATTCAATTCCGCTTATTTGTGTTTTAACAAAATCATTATTGTTTCTATTTCACCCGTGATTCGGTTCACGAAACAACAACATCAAATGATTGTGATGAATAATTCTCTAGTTGGAGAATCATTAATGAAGATTGGAGAAGGTTTGAAATCTCTATCTACAATCCATCATGCCATGTTAGTAAATATTGTCGAAAAGTTCATTCAACCAGCCACCGATTTCAAGAAAGATGTCAAAGACTCTGAACAATCACACAAAAAGTATGACAAAAAACGTCTTGAATTTGATGCCCAAGTCGATCTTGTGAATGGACTCAAGCAAAAAGGTGATAAAGCAGACCCACAAAAGATCCAAGCAGAGGAAGAAAAACAACAACAACTTGACACTGAAAAGGACGAAGCATTCGAAGAAGCCCTTGAGGAAACTTGTGATGTTTTAGTGAAACGACAAACCAAACACTTAGCTCAACTCAATGAATTGTTAATGAGTTTCCATCACTTCTTCGCAGAAGGGTATACATTAACACATGATTTGAAGGAACCACTTGAAAAGCTGCTCGAAAAGTCCAACAAGAAAGCTTCCTCTTTCAAACAACAAACTATTGATTCCGTAGGTGGAGGTAGCTCTGTTAGATCAACTCCATCACAAGCATCTATTACATCATCACAGCCACCAACCTCAAAAACAACCACAACAGAGACATCAACAAGTACAAATACTTCATCAGCAGGAGTTTCCGGAATGGCAAATGCATTCAAATTAGGTGGAGGAGGAGCCAACAAGGCCACAAATGGCAGCAGTACCACCAACGCTTCCAGTGGCACATCAAAAGCAGGAGGTTCTAACAAGGTTCTTTGCACATGCAGAGCCATGTACGACTATGACGCTCAAGAAAGTGGAGAAATATCCTTCAAAGAAGGTCAAACCATTTTAGTGTACGAAAAGGATGAAGCAGGTTGGTGGAAGGGAGCCGTGGAGTCAACTCCAAACAAGTCTGGTCTTTTTCCAAGCAATTTCGTTGTGGACACCTCATCAAAGGCAAGCGGAAAGACTACATCTGCACTGTATGACGTAAGTTTTGAGTAGTAGTTGTTTCTTTAAATGTATTAATTATGTTTCTTAAATCTAACACGTGTGTAACTCATTCAACCGAATTGAATTTGCACCATTCTAACATGAAAAATTTAGTATGATGCACAAGAATCTAATGAGCTGACCTTCAAAACAGGAGATGTTATTGAGGTATTGGAAGAATCTGAAGGAGGCTGGTTTATGGGTCGCAACTTATCCACAAACAAAGTCGGTTTGTTCCCTTCTAATTTCACAGAATTAGGAGCAGCAGATCAATAATGTAAAATTTATAAAGCATATCAATAATTTATTTAACACACTCTTTAATTGCTAAGATGTTGTTTGCAGAATTGAGTTAAGGAAGATGGTTGTAAAGAAGAATTTATTTTCGATCCAAAATGTTGGCAGTACCTGGTAACTCCCAACGTTTATCAAGCATGACTTTCTTAATGTACATGTAGAAAAAGTCAGCGTACAACACAGTCTGAATTAAGCCAGCAAGCCATGCATTATATGGAGAATATCCCTCAGCAAAGTATCTATAGACCCAATTCAAAATGTACAATACACGATAACCTCCCAACAAAAACACATAATGAGATGTAATTGCTTCTGCTCCACCCTTCTTTGTCAATAAGAACAATTGAGGCATAATAGAAACACTTTCCAAGAAAATACTAAATGTCCACAACAACTCGAACAATGAATAATCGTCAGTGAAAATAATTCCCAACAAAACGGAAGGAATAATCAAAATATATAATGGGAATGTATCATTGTCGCTGTCATAGGTAGCACGGTATTTTGTTCTCATCAAATGTACGATGGTTATCGAGGAGGCAATGAAGAAAATTTTCATCACTGTATTATAAACGGAATGGAATGTAGTGAATAAATCAATACCGTATCGAGTAATAAATACAAGGACATATAAAAATTGTGTTCTGAGAGAAACTCCACTAGCATTCCTCAACATGACCATCTTATAGAGCAATAATAAAATTGAGCCTAGGTGAAGTAAATCGCCAAACAAACGAAAAATGTTCATCTTGATCCGACGTTGTAAGCTCTGTTGTTTGTTTCAAAATTTGAATTTAAATCTCATAAAATTCTAAAACTCAAACACTCTATTGGTGATGATCAGTAATTTGTCTTTTTGAGAAAAGTAAAAGACAATGAGTCGTGTCTTGTCGTGATGAGAGGAAGCTTTTAACGTTTCGTCAAAATTTTTTTGATTTGTTAAATGTAAAACCTTTTATGACGTCATTGTTCATGGATTGTCTGTATCTCAAAGGCAAGTCGTGAAAGTGTTTCTTTCATGAACTGAAAGACTTCAGTAAAGTCATTGTACTCGTTACAAATTCCACTTGAAGGACATCAAAAAATTGGCAGCACTTCATCAGAGAATTTCGTCTCTTCTCTATCGTCTCTTCAATGACCACCACGGAACGAAAATCAGGCCTAGAAACTCTGGCCAAGTTTTTAGCATTGCATCCGAGCGAGAAGGGAGAGGTTTGTCTTGCTCCGAATATTAGTTTCTTTCAGAATAGCAAAACTCTCAACGAAACCATCAAGGAGAAGGGTTGGACTTTAAAACCATGCGAATACATGATGACATACCCTTCTCAAATGACGGAGAAACAGAATTACGTGTTCAATAGAAGCGATTTTGTTGGGAGGTCTTCAGCAATACTGGGAGAAGATGATCAAGTAGTAGTCTCGTCTAGTAGTTTCAATTCGCAGAATAGTTCTACGAGCCGTAGCTCCAGAAAAACAAGCAAGTCTCCAAAATCCTCTTCTTCAGCCAAAAAGAAGAAACGGAGCAAAAAGGAAGCCGAGGATTTTGTTCAAAGTGAAAACGAAGACGAATGTATTGAATTTTCGGACGAGGAAAACATAATTATGAATGACGAGGAGGACGACGATGAAAATCAACCCAAAGTCCACAGAACAAGAAGTAGAGTTAAACAGCAGCAACAACAGCCACCAAGTTTATCGTCACAGCCCACCAAATCAATACCATCAGCAAGCAAAACAACCAAAACAAGTGCAGCCACAACAAGCAAAAACAAAACTATTGACAGCTTCTTCAAAACTGTAGAGATGAAAGCTGAGTCAGAAGATGACAGGAAAGAACACAGCATGATCATCTCTGATGATTCCCAAGATGTGTCAACAAAAGTGGAGAGCAAAACGACAGCAAGAAAATTTCTCAAAAAACGTGAGGAAATCAAAGTATCGACTAATTCTCCAACCAAGGTTTCTCCGTTACCAGCCAATTCTGCAAAGCTTGAGGACATCTTCAAAAATCTTCAATCAGACCAACCAAGCACACGCTCCATATTCTCATCACCAACTAAAAATTCCACAACCAAGAGAGTCGTGACTAGAAAGAAATGATATAACTGTTGGAATACTCAAATTTGATTCTGGAAATCAACATCGATTGAAATTAGTAATCGCACTCATTAATTATCTAATCAATAATTATCGGTATATTTGAACTCTATTATTGTAGAAATCTTCTACCACGAGCAGCTCACTAGTCAAGCTCAAACAAATTCCTCGTGGATAATTAAATTGAGAGTTGCTATGCCCTTTTCCCTTTCCAAATGAAGTTCAACATTTTACCACTTGAAACCTCCAATATTGCCAAGCTATGACCGATAGTATAACTTGTTTTGCAAACCAAACATTTGGTAGGAGGAATGAAAGAATTAATTTAATCATTCGGGCCTTATTATGAGTTATTGAAAGATCTCACTCAATCAACCTTATTAACATTTTGGTAATGTGTCAAGTGTCATCAAACAATTGTGTCCTTTTTGAAAAAAGTGCAGACAAAAAATTACCTCATCTCTTCTGTGTGTAGACCATGAATCAAAGAGTAGAGCCTTCAACCACTCCAATTTCCTCTCCTCATCCGTTGAACCCTTCCTTGACTCGTCATCATCATTCGCATCACCATCCACACCATTCCGAACAAAATTCAATCACTTCTCCAAACTCCATTTGGTGTGCCATTTGTCTCAAAAAAGCTGAAGAACACATTCAAGCCATCTCACTGTGTCAAGATTGTCAAATCCATCTTTGCAAATTTCATACAAAAACACATTTTAAAAAACATGAAACTCATGTGGCGATTCCTGTCCTTTTGAATGAAATTGAATCAAGACAACATTCCGGGAATGCATTGAATGGTGAGAGGATTTCTGATCATCATCGTCATTGCATGATTCACTCGTCGAGCATCAATACATTTTGTAAAACTTGTGAGCAATTAATATGTGCAGCTTGCAGTGTTCACTCTCACAAAGGACATGATTTATATTTGATTGATAGTATTGAGAAGGAAGAACGAGAGCAATTGAATGAACAGTTACATGATCTGAAAAAGGAAATTGTAGAGTTTGAAAATGAACATGCATTGGATGATTCCAATGTGAATAATGAATTGGAAATGATTGAGGAAATGAATGTGAAATTGAAACAACAAGGTCTCACTTTGTTTGAAAGCTTAAAATCCATGATTGAAACGCAACAAGAAAAGCTGAATCGATCCATCGATGACATGTGTGAAAAGCATAAATTTGTGGTGCTTCAAATTGTTGAATTGAAAGTGAAATTAATGACCATGTTGAGCGAATTTGATCAATTGGAACGATTAAGTGGCCTTGAAATGATGGAACGGAAAATTGTGACATTCAAAAAAGTGTGCGAATTATTTGAAGAGTTGAAAAGCAGTTGCAAATTTGGACACATGAGTGAATTACATGGCTACGAATTGGTAGACGCTACGAGTTCTTTAAAAATCGTTGAGAAGGAAATTGACAAGTTCAGTAATATTGTACACTCGATCAAACCAAAAACAACACCACGTAAATTAGATTATGTTTCAACTTTGGTGGACAGCAACACCACATATGCAACAAACAATGAACCGTTGTCGAATCCATACGATGTGAAACTTTCCTATCCTTGTAATTGTATACTTGTGAGCGATTATTTCCAGAATAGAATCATGGTCTTTGATTTGGAGACGAAACAATTCAAGACGACGATCAAAACTATTCCACGACCGCACTGTTTGTGCATTGAAACAAATTACAATGCTCAGTTCAACGATGCCTTACTTGTGGGTTGTAACGATCGATCGGTGTACAAATATGATTTGAAATCGCTCATTGAAGCGAGTGTGAATAAGAAGCAGCACCATGCATTGATTTGGAAACAATCTGATCAGCTCGAATATCCTTCAGGAATGGTGGTTGCTTACCAATACTTTCGAAATTTATCAAGTCCAAAATCTCCAGTGTCGACTCGACAGCAGGACACACTGAGAATTGTCTACGTTTGTGACTACACTAAGAATTGCATTCATCTCATAAGACTACAAGATGGAGAAATTATTTCTCGTTTTGGTTTGAATGATGGAATTGTATTGCAAGGTCCTTGGGGCATTGACATGAACGAGCTTGGAGAACTAATTGTGGGAGAAACAGGTTCGAATAGAATTCAATTTTTGAAACCAGACGGTATGGGTTCATGCGTCTCTGTGAAGAGCTTTGGACAAAATGGAAATGGAAATGGTCAATTTAATTTCTTGAGAGGAATTGTTTACGATCGGGCGTGCAAGCAAATTATGACATGTGATTTCAGTGGAAGGAGAATTCAAGTGTTTGACAGAAATGGTGAATATCTCACGAGTTATTACGACCAAATTCAAGGTCCTTATAACTTTTGCATCAATGATCTCACACGAGAAGTGTTCATTGCAGATTATTCAAAGAAGAGAATCGTTGTTTTCAAATAATATGTTTTTGATTATTATTTATATTAATACAATAAGATTACATCCTCACTGAGTTTTTTCTAGATTTCTTAGTCTTCATTGCTTCTTTCTTTGCAATTCGATTTGCTTCTTGCTGTGCAATAAAGCGTTGATGAGAATCCAACATGAGAATGCAAATCTCAGCGAATATGGCATCGAATAGTTGATCTGGCAAATGTTCTGATTGACCAGTGGCATAAAAGTCCAACTGTTCCTTCACAGGCTCAGCTGTTTGTTTGTTAATATTCACAGAATGCTCACCATTCACATCTAAAAACTCGGAATAAATTTCGAATGCAATTTCAAACTTTTTCTTCTCGATTTGTTGCAAATCCTTCTCCGTGAAACCTTTCTTTGCTTTTTTCTTCTTGGTTGGTTCTTGTTGAGTCGATGAAGAAGTAATCGTGGAAGAAGTTTCATCATTCTTTGACGAGTTCTCATTGTCATACAAATATTCCTGAATTTGGAAGCTTCTCTCACTGTAATTCTTGTAATCCGTAATCTTATCCAAAAGCATAAAGTTTTCCAATGAAAACTCTGAGGCACAATGAGCTCTAAACAGCTCTCTCATGGTTTGATCCTTCATGGTATCTTGTAACAAGTTGGCCTTCATTTGCTTAATCTTCTTGGTATTACTGGAGTCACGCTTCAATGAGAATGCAATAGAGGCAACCACGACAGGTATGACCACAGCAATGGACACACAAATCACTATGAGTGACAAGGTCGTAATGGTAATTGAAAAATTTTGTCTCTCCACTTCCTTATTCTCATAATAATCCAACAAGGGCTTATATTCAATATCATAACCTTCTAAATAATACTTGTAGATACTGCTTTCAATCAAGTCCATGGCTTTTACATAGCTACCGTTTAAAGCAAGACCAATGGCCATCGATTCAGTCACCATTGCCTTGTACGTTCTCAATTCGAAAATGGTAATATTTCTTGGAATGTGATATTGTAATTGAGGAGGAACTACTTTTAACACATCTGTAATACTTGCAATATACTTGACTCGATACGTGGAATAGATTTGTGAATAATTGTAAGAAATGGCATAACTTTGATTCGAGAAGACACATGCACGAGCACTGGCGATCAACATTTTACGATAAAACGTCGTGTCAGCATCAATATTATTCAATAGAGAGTTGTAAGCAGATGAACCACTGTATCCAGCAATGATCAATGCAGCCAATGCTAAAAAGGCGACCAAATTCAAAAACAAGGACATGATATTCAAAGTCTTGATCCATGAAAATTCAATCACTCCACAACATGTATAGAGTTTAAATCCCTCTCCATTGGCTTTGGATTGAGAATGTGTCGTTCTTGAAGGAGATTTCCCTCCAACCGATGACACTTGACTCTTATTATCTCCCTTATTATTGTGGTGACCAGAGTGTCCAGTCGAGGTCGAAGGAACATAAATAATATCAACGACATTAGTGGGAGATCCAGCAAATTGAGCATGTTTCTCCACAGTGGAGTCGACATTGTCAGTGGTCAAATTGGCAGGTGTGAAGGAGCTTGAGGAATCAATGTCATCGTCAACTTCCTTTGATCTTTCCATGAGATGAGTAGAAGAAGAGGGACTGGAGCATGAACTGATTGAGTTGTTGGAGGCAGGATGGACAGTAAGCAAGTTATTAGGAGGAAGATCTACTGTGGTTGTTGTTACTGGATCCGCATCATGATTGTCACCACTGCTACCAGTTGTATTGATAGAGTTGCTTTGGCTATCCATTGTTGTTGTTGTTATCTGTGTTTGTTTTTAAATGTTTGAACCCACATCGAGATCCAAGTCTTTCTCTTATATCAACATACAGCTTTTGGTGAAGTCAGTCCATAAAAAGCTCGGTCCTTTGTGACATGAGTATTTAAATGGTCTTTTAAAAATAGTAAAGTGTTCACGACAGTTGTCACAGTGACAAAAAGATATCACGTGTAGAATATCTGGAGTGGGTCAGTTTCAAATTGTTGTTTTCCGAAATCGATGTTGTTGAATGGGCCCAAGTTGGAAGAACCAATCCAAGAAGAATTGTTGTCTTGGTTTTCAAAATCCTGATCAAGCATCGCATTCCTTGAATTTACAACAAGGAGAGTACCGATATAATTCGATCAGAACAGCTCACCGTTCGGGGTGTTATTCTAAGGTTCATTGGCATATTTAAACAACTTTTAAAAAGATCGTGCTGAATATTAAGGAATCTTGAGGGGTAAGTTTTTCAAAAGTTTTAAGCTCTGAGATTTTCCCAAATGATTGAAATTGTAAATAGCGTATGTGCGTTGTTCCTCAATCAGAGCCTTTGTTACATAGATGAGTTTTAACAGGATTGCAATAGAGAATTCCAAACACATACATTAGGAACATTCAATCGGACATGCATGTCATCTATATAAAATGATGAAGAAATATTTCAAAGAGGATGATACGAAGGCTAGTTTGGAATTTTAAAATCAAAATGTTCAACAGGAGGCCCCGAAGTTTGTACAGAGACAACCGTTCAAAATACGGTGAATTTTCTTTCATAATTCAATAACAACAATCATAATTAATTGATTTTCGTAATTTTGTTGTTGTTGGCATTTCTTTCATATCTTCTTCTCGTTGGCAAATGCCACAAATACTACTCTTCTGACAAGATGGAAGACTAAGGACCTTAGTCTAGTTTACCAGAGAAGTCTGACAAAGAACAAACAAGCTCGGATAAAAACGAAAATTTATCGAAGTGTGCACCCATTCTATTGAATTCTGAAAGAAATACACCGTATTTTGAAAAGCTGATTTTCGTAGTTGTTGTTTGCGACTTTTATCATCTTCGAAACTCAAACTTCTTAATTTTTTGGGATCAAAAATTTGACCGCAGAGGGCGACATTACATCTCAAATGTCAGCAACACAAAAAATTGTTCATCACTTCCAAGCCCAATATATTCTGAATCTCATTGAAGTCTTCTTCGAAACGTTCATTGACGACCACCGAGGAAGATTAATTCCCTTGTTCCTTCCAGTCGTGTAAAGATGATTCCTTCCTCCACTTCTTCTTCCTCTACAAATTCATCATCAGCAACACCATTGTTGTTGACGCCATCATCATCCAATCCTCATACAACCACCACCATCAATAGCAATGGAACAACCATCATGACGACGAGTAGCTCCATCCCCACAGGTACTAGTAATAACACAACAACCACTACTCCATCAACGGCCATCAATATTGGAACTTCACTGTTGACAGTTAGCAATTCTTCTAATAATAATAATAATAACACCATTTCAATGTACAGCACAATAGCACAATCTCCTCCGAGCAATACCAATTCACCCATTCATCATTTGGCATCATCTTCGAATAATCCATTCAATGCAACGACCAATGCTACTAGTAGCAGTAGTAACAGCAGTAATAATAATAATAATACGACCAATTCCACAACTATTATGAATAATAATTTCATGAATGGAACTCCAACGACATTAGGTCTTCCCAATTCTGGAAGTATTTTTAAACCATCCTCGACATCACTCGTTTCAACAGCAACAGGAGAAAACACAGTGATTACAACTACGAGAGAAGAACAATCAATTTATGGACACTATACAAAAATTGTCGATAAATCTGAAACACAACGAACAGTGACATATGCCAATGTCTTTAGATTGGCAACTGATTTTGGATTTTTAATTGATAATGAAGAGCTCAGTGATTGTCAACTTCGAGTGGGAAGTGGAAAAAATCAAAGGACTTTTCATTGTCACAAAGTGATTTTATGTCAACGATCAGAATATTTTAGAAACATGTTTTTGGTACATCGTGGCATGTTTTTAGAATCTGCTTCTACACCAGTTTCTGGAGCTACAAATTTACCTTTTTCTGATAAGAGCGGAGAAGTGTTAACAAACTCATTCGGAACGAGAATATCAGTGGTTGAAAAACCAAATATTGCACCAGCTGTCTTTGAAAAAGTTTTACAATATATTTACACTGGAAGAGTGACATTTACCACAAAACTAAAACATAGAAAAATTAAGGACAAAACGGTACATGTGGCACAAATGCAAAGTCCTGATGACATTGACAATGTAATTTCCATGTGTATGCATGTATTGGCTGCTGCTGACGAACTAATTCTACTTGAGCTTAAGAGTTTCTGTGTGGATTATGTAAAACAATATATTGATTCTGAGTCTGCCATTGTACTTTTAGATTTAGCTCTCAAATACGGATCTGAGGACTTGATTGAGAGTTGTTTTGATTTTATCAAACATAACGCTCGTGAAGTCATTGCAAGTGAATCATTACCTTTTGTCTCGCATTTAACCATGAAAGTTTTCTTGGAAAGCGAATATTTAGCTGTTGACGAAATTGAACTATTTCGAGCATTACTTCGATGGGGAATGTCACAAATAGAAAATTCAGATGATACAGGATTACTTGCCACTGAAGAAGATATTTCAGATGACGAAGAAGTTGAAGATATTCTTATTGATGAGGAAACCAAAGAACAAACAGTCACGCATGTGGTTGATATGAAAGACTTGAAAGACCTCTTATGTGAACCTCCAGAAGAAGAGGAACTCATCTTTAGAAAGAAACAGTTGGCAATGAACCGAAAGCGTCTACTCATGAATGATTACAATGAAGCGGATGACTCAGAGTCAGACACACCATTTGCAGTTGTGAAAAATCCACTACGAGACGATGTTAGTTTACACACTAAATTTTCATTGGATCCAGTACCACAAAATAGACATCATACCGATCTCATTCAACTGGCCAATAGACTTGCTGATGAAGATAAAGATCTCATTAGGCAAGTGGTGCGAGATTTAATTCCATGCATTCGATTTCCTCTCATGACAGCTCATCAATTAACAGATGTTGTTGAAATATTTGGAATTGTTGATGATAGTTTATTGTTGGAAGCTTATCGACATGTGTGTGCTCCAGATCGAACACTACCAAGTACCTGTAAAAGAGCTCAAAAGAGAAAAGGAGCCTCTGACAATGAACAATCACACTTTAGTGGTTCCACCATTTTGAAATCAAAGAATCGACAAGAAGTGATCAAAATGTGTGGTGAAACAAGCATTACCAAGGGTAAAATGTGGACATTGGCATTTAAGGCTTCCAAAGATGGTTTTGATAGTAGTGTCTTTCATCAGAAATGTGATACGAGAGTAAGTTGTTTAATTAATATTTATTTCAATGACATGATCAATGATTCTCGCCACACACTCATGAACATTCTCATCATACACTCATGAACAACAACTTTTTGAAACCTTAGGGACCTTCAGTGTTGGTATGTCGAACGACAGAAGGTTACATTTTTGGAGGTTACAACTCGGTGGAATGGAATAGTAGCAATCAATGGCTCAAAGCCAATGACACGTTCCTATTTAGCTTGGTCAATCCTTACAACGATGGACCTCGTAAATTGAAAGTGAAAAATCCACAAAGAGCCATCTATTGTCATGCCAGTAGTGGTCCAAGTTTTGGAGGTGGTACCAATCTTGTATTCGATCCGTATGATTTGTATCTCGATAGTTCATTGAAACGAGGACACACCAATGTCGGTGGTGCTTATTCTACTTTCAGAGGTGGATTTAGAAGTGATGAAGCACAAAAGAGTTTAGCAGGTTCATTGAATGCATGGATTTTGAACGAAGTCGAAGTTTTCTTACTTCAATAAAGAATTTGTTCAGTAGGTTGTTGTAAGTCCTTCGAAGATTGGCTGTTCATTCGTTTCAATTTCATACAACAACAATAAAAATGCAACAACTCCCTCCACAGGCACAAGGTTCCGAAGAGGAAAGAGCAAAACAAGAACAACAAAAGAAAGCATTAGAAGAAGCAGAGGAAAAGAGAAGAGCTCTTCTTTCTCAGATCTTGGATGGTGATGCAAGAGAAAGATGTAAGTTTGTACCATCCGAGGAGGTTGGAATTTTTGTAGATCAACATATGATTATACAAACATCAATATTGAATGAAATGAATGAATCAAACATGACCACCTCACATTCAACATATTGGAAATTCCGGAAATATTGATATTGTTTTATTGATTTAAACTTTGCGGATGTCAATCTTATTAATTTTTTCTATATTGATGGTAATTTTCTCTCTTTACACAGTAAACAGAATTTCACTTGTTAGGCCAGAAAGAGCACGATCCTTTGAAGACTATGTCATCAAGTTAGCTCAGACTGGAAAATTGCCAGGAAAGATTAATGAGGAAACGTTAGTGAAAATGTTAGAACAAATGTCAGGATCGTCAACCAAGGTCAAAATTCAACGAAAGAAGAGTGCATTTGACAGCGACGAAGAAGCTGATGAAGACGAGGACGAGGATGAAGATGAAGATGATTTCTACAAGTAAATAATTACTGTAATTTAATTATTAAGTGTTCCGCAAACGATTGGACCTTTCCAATACACATCTTAATCATTCGATTGGATGCCTTCTCTATTTGTTGGGTGAAAAGCAATGATTTTCTCTTTCCTGATCATGGTCAACAAAGGTCGCCCTTTGATCTACTCGCTTAATTTCTTGACAAAGAAGTTAAACCGCCAGTCCACGAAGGAAACCATGTTTTTTGACACAAAAAAACAAAAACTTTCACCAATGAATCCACCAATGAAACTTGCTTCCAATCACGTGGTTGTTGTGGTCATGATACTTGGTCTGTTCTTATCTGTTGCCACACATTCGTTTGAAGTCGTTGTGTCTTCCACTAGTGAACCAGTTCAAGTTAACAAAGTCTTGCTGCCCAGCAGTCCTACCTCTGTTCTCACCCATGACACGTTGCAAACCAAAGCATCGTATGCATCAGCTTGTGACTGCCCAACATGTACACCAATAGTTATGGAGCCAAAAACCTATGTCTATCTGAATGTCTCATGTCCGTCCAACACCTTTGCCAGATACAAAAGAATGAGTGTTGGAAGTACAAATCCTAATGACTATTTTACCACCACTACCATTGAAACCTCTGAGCAATATGCGTTCGAAACTGGAAATCCCTACATGTATTACATTTATCTCTCCAAAAAGAACTCATCTTGCTTTGCTGTAGAAGATGTCATTCTTCCAGTCACCAAGACACTCACCTATGTTCAATGTAACAATCTTCTCAATGCCAATTGTTCCCTTCTGTTCAATTACAATTACGTTTGTATGAAGGTAATCGATTCAGGTCGATCGTAATCGATTTTTTCGACTTTGCACGAATAGCATCAACATCGTATCTCGTCAACATCAAGCAAAATCGTTTTCGGGAAGAAACGTCCAAAAAATGATGGTTGACCGAATTTGAGCAAGTCGTTTTCGATTTTACTCGATTTTTTTTCGCACTTTTTCGAAAATCACAATACCCTCGATTGTTGCTTACGGGCGAGATTTTACAGTAATATGCAAAACAACAGCAAAATGATGGGAATGTCCATACGTTCACCACGCAGATAGGTCTTGACCAAAAGTTGTTGTAATTCACATTTTCGCCGTATTCATGGATCCCTTCGAGGAAGGAATGGCCAACAATTTTTAATACCTCCAACAAACCATTCAATCCATCAAACACACACTTGACAAATTGTTCGGATGAATGTAATTGGAAAGTCACAGGTTCTGTAATTACGTTTTTATACCAAACAAGCATGAACCATCACCTTCTTGGGAAAACGTTCCTTTTTTGATGAATGTGCGCCTTGCATCTTGGGCTCACTGGATTTCCAAATTTAAGGAAAACAAAAAAGCCAAACCAGACCTCCAGCACCAACCACAACAACACAGTTTATCAAGGTTGTCAACCAACTACACGACTCTCAACAACACATCATCATGATGAGGAATCAAACATTCAGCACAACAAATGCTTTACAGATGCAAGCACAGACTTGTCTTGTTACTAATGGCCATCAACATACCACAGAACCACGATACGTATCGTTGGACCAACAAGAATTGAGAATGATTAGTGATGATACCATCGTGTCCAATTGCACCTCGTCGGAACAGCAGCTACAACAACAAACAACATCCCCATACCGTCTCACACACATTCCAGTGAGAATGCATTTGTCATTCACTAACTGCCCCATGTCAGTTCGAGAAGTAACTCTGCGACTGCCAATTGACAGCATGACCGAGCAATATTTGGATGTTTTTTGTAAATTTGAAAGTGATGATACCAAAATAGATGTATCATTAAGGTTGCCTATAGTTCTAATTTGGATTGCCATGGAATCAGCAAAGCATCGACCTCAATTTTACCTTGATATTTATCTCAACCTGCATTCTTCCTTGATAAGAGATTCTTTAGAACGTGATAGTATTCAATGTTTTGTTGCCGGTAAAGAGAGAACCGATTCTCAATTCATTCACCATGAAGCAGTGACCAGTGGTAATTGCAACGTTTATCAAAAAACTTCAGGAGACATTGCCGTTAGAATTTGCATGTTAAACCAACGTTTACCTCTCGTTCGTCTCGACACTTCAAACATTGAAAATGAATTATGTGACATCCTTTCGAATTGTAAAAGTTTGTCAGCCGATTCCTCAAATTGAATTCAACTATGGACAGTTTTACATGCCTAATTTCGAACACAAAGAGCAGATTAGGCTATCATGGTTTTATTGGGAGAGGTTCAAAGAATTGTGATACTTGAAATAAGCCCTTTGTTTCATGTTGTATCTCTGTCACAGTAAAAGGTCGAGAAGGAACTGTGAAATGAACCGTTTCAACTTGTTCGAGAACTGATGTTTCTGAACTTATCTTCTCATTGAACCACTCTTTACAACCATCACGGTCACACAATGTGTTCACTGATCCTTGATTACAGCGTGACAACTTCACAAATCTCTTTCAATCAATCTTTCCAAACACTGAATTGACAAATTTTCATTTACCGTTCGTAAAAGACCAAGTAAAAAAACACAATTTCCATATATACTGTTAGAAAACTTCATGAACCAAAGTTAAAATGTACTATTTCCACATTCAAATCGATTCTTCAGCTCTCTCATGTGAACAGGTGGAATCATTTTCATTCACTTTGTACTATTTTCAACTGTGAGCAAGTTTACAAACGCCCCATGCAGCCTGTTTCTACCATCTACGTCAAGGACACTTGATGCATGGTGCGAGACAAAGGGCAAGCATGAAAGTTAACATTTTACAATGTCCAAGTTCTATTTAAACCAGTTGGCCTTTGATTATTTGAAAATATAAAAAAAGATTGAAATCAGCCGACCAGCAATTTCAAATAATTTACTGAAAGCAACACTTTGAGAATCCTTTCACAACCACTCTCTCTCTGCCGATACTGAAATCATCTTCACCATGAACCCATCATCATCATTTCATCAACTGACAACATTTAATGAAAGTATTAATTCTGTGATGATAAGCTGTGACCATTCGGAAAGGACGAAAACAACAACTTCTACTCATGACTCTCAATCATTAGAGCCACTCTCAAACGAAATCAAGACTACTTCATCGAAAAAGAAACCAACCAATGCCATTCTCAAGAGAAAGAGACAAAACTCTTTCGATAGTTTGCAAGCAGCACAATACATGATTCAAAGAATTGTGAACACAGACAACCTTTCATCCTCCTGTTCGCTCAGCAATCAGCAAATCGACAAGAATGGAAATGGATCGAATAAGGATCTTTCCAACACTGATCTTTTTTCTTCAACAACAAGTGACAATGAAGTGTGTAACTTTTTAGAACAGATTCTCTCCAAGAACAGTTCATTGATTGTTTCCGGAGAGACGCTGACGAGAGGAAAACGAACGAAAAGAGTTCATGTGCAAACCAACTCTACACAGTCGATTCATTCATACATTCATCATGAATCAGTGAATAGCTGTCAAGCTCCTCATTCCTCTATGTTAACCAACAATGTATCATTACCACCCTCGTTTTACATGCAATCGAGTTATCAACTCTCCTTTATGAAATAGATGCAATTTTGTAAATTTTTGAGTGTATTTATATGTACAATACCAACAACAACCACAAAACACTAATGATCCAAACCACCACGCCACCATGTACAACTAACTGAAAGCACTAACTTTGAAATTAAACTGTAATACCAATTTTGTTCTGTACTTCATTACAATTTTCTTTTTTCGGAACTTTAAAAAATGAAAGCTGGACAAGCATCATCATCACCACAGACCAAACAAGGACACAATGACACATCACAACAAGCAAACAAACAAGCTCGGAGCATCACTAAATATTACGACCCAAAATCATCACTCTCACACATAATCGGAGATTATCGATTATTATCACCTTGGAACAAACTTAAATTTAATATCATTCAATTCATTGCGGAATGGAGAGTTCTTTCACATAATATTTCTCAACAGCAAACGATGCATCACAAGTACAAATATTCAGATCCATATCTGGAAAAAGCTACACGAGAAATGTATCATCCACAAATTGTTTCCTCTATGAAACAACGTTTTTCGAGATGGTTCAAATACTCACTGTATTTGACAGCCTTTTCTCTTCTTGTGGTGTACCCTTCCGCTTGCAAAATTTGGGAAACTGAAAAGAAGCGACGAGAGCTTTATCTATCTCAAAAATATACGTTTGACAAGGAAAAATCCATCTAGGTCAACTTTCGTGTACTATGTGTTAATCAGGCTGTGAAGAATTTTCACTTGTAACACACCACAGCGGTACGTTCATGTGGAAGATCTGAATTAAGGCTTCAATCAGTGTGCGAATAGGACGATCAATGTTTATTCATGCTGTTTTTAGCCTTTCAGAGCATATTATCTCAATATTTTAGAGCGATTAAATATAGGACCATCTTCAATTTAACGACTATTCACCAACTCTATTTCTAATCACTATGATTCATCCAAAAGATTTCATTCCAGCAAAATTACAGGACCTTAGATACTGGTTTTTCAACTCTTTAATGCTTTCTCAAGTGTAGCAGTTTGAAAATTTTAGAAAATATCCATGAATTCGTGTGAACCGATCGACAGTCCTAGATAATTGTTGATTTCTGCATCTGAGTATTTCTCGTCCATGATGTATGCTATGATCATTTCTTCGGTTTCCTTTTGTTCCTTCAACTTTTGGATTTTTTGAAGCTTTAGCTGTCTAAGCGTAACGTTAGGAGCTGATTTAGGAATAATTTCAGGTGCTTCTTTTGGCTCCTGTATGTTGATAACAATGTCTGAATTTCCATAATTTGTTCTTGTTTCGTCACTTGGCGTGAGACTTGAAAAATCACTTCTGGTGGTATATAATGAGCTTTTTTCACTTGAGAGATCTTCTTCATCCGTATATTTAATAGATCCTGTTTTTGGGTCAATAATTAGCCTTGATTCTTTCTTTTTACGCTTAATGGAAGGAAGGGTAGGCCTGGAAGGAGCAGTGTTGAAAACTCTGTTTAAAATTTCATCTTTGGAAACTGTGCTTGTATTCGACGTAGTGCTTTTAAAACTTGATGTCTTTTTCAACGCTTTAGGTGTAGAAGATTTTTTTAAGTCTCGTAACAAATCCTGACTGCTTTGGGATAGGTGTTTCTCCTTCGTGACCAAACTCGATGTAATAATTTGATTAGAAGAAAAATTTCTTAGTAACTTCCGTTCCTGGTCAGCTTTCGAAACAGGCCCTAAAATCTTAGTTGTGGTTGAAGAATTTGTTTTGTTGGAAAACAAATTATTAAGGCTCATACTTGCAACTAAATGTCGCTCCTCAGGTATTGTGTGAGAGAAAAGCAGAGCTTCTTTACCGTTGACTTTTGCATCAACTCTCTTGTTTTTTCCAATTCTTGGAGTCGGCGATCTTACCAAGGATCCAGAACCGCTAGTTCCAGTGCCTGACGATGTTGTACCTTGAGAGTCCAGCGAGTCTCGCTGCTTTTGACCGTGTTTCGACTTAATGGAAGCTACTGAAGAGTGTTTTGAAAGAGCTTTCATTTGGTGTTCTTCGACAAGAGCTCTATGGATATCAGAAACAGTGTGATATCGATGAAATGATGATAATTGTGGTTTCTTAATACCAGATCCTGTTCTCTCAAGCCGATATGATGATTTAGTTTTCAAAAGCCCCTTTGACGCTGAATGGTTGAATATCTCAACTTCCACTGTGCTGCTAGAGGTTGTAGACACCGTTTCCACTGACTTAATTTCGTCGTCATCCATTGGCAAATCTTCTTCATTATCTATATATTGCTGTACTGCCCCAAAACGAAAAACCTCCAAGCTTTCTCGTAAAACATTTCCTGCAGAAGGATTTCTTGTCATGACTTTTTGTAAAACAGCTTGGTCAATCGGTTTAGGGGACAACGTGTTGTAATTGTCAAAGTACGAAGAATCATCATATTTCATTGTGTTACTAGGTTGAGTTGTTGGGTCGATATTTACAATGGGCGATAGGAGATCAACATGCTTTTTCATATCCACAAAGCTTGAAGCCTTTGTTTTGAGCTTAGATGTTGCAATTAATGAAGGAGTCCTAAATGATAATGTAGCTTGAAGTGGAGAAGATTCTGGCTGGCGCGGTGGCTGCAGCTCTGAAGATGTAAGCGGTACAATTCTATTGCTTCTTCGGGGAGATCCATTCGTAGATTTGGAGCCACTGCTGGCGTTCTCTGCGTTTGTAACATCGTTCAGAGTAGGTACGGAAGGACATAAATTCATTAAGGCTGGTGTTGAAGAGGAGTTAATATCTTTGTTGGAAGGCTTGACTCTGAAGGATAAGCTTGAAGGTGTTGATGATGTTCTTATTGTTTTTTCCACTTTTTTCCTTGGCTTGTTGTCCCTGCAATGATCGTGGACATTAGAATCCGAAACTTTGGAGCATGAGAATTTAAAAAGTGCGCTTCCCATGATGATGGTAGTGTTATGTGATGATTACTATATATTTATCGAAAGAGTGAGGGAAGGAATAAACATAGCAAGACTGGCCAGCGAAAGTGAACTCCGGGCTTCAGGGACACGATTTATGTCCCTCGAAAAAAAAAAAGGTTCTGTAGAGAACCGGCTTAACGCTGGCAAAGAAAAATCTTGAAATTGAAGCTTCCAAGTTCACTGTTCTGTCAATAGAGAGCCCAGCGACAGGAGTTGGCGACCAAATCCATCCAGCAACCCGCTCTGTTGGCTTGTCTTGCTATGTAATAAATTAATAAAAAGACAGTGATGGGAGAGTGGTCTCTCTCAATTTAATACAATCCAGCCACAAAAACGTTGTCTTAAACGTATCATAACAACCTCAGCACACAATATTACGCTCCAACCGAAAATTCCCTCCTAGTGCAAACAAAACGGCCTTTTTTTTAGGTATGCACATCTTTCCTTAATTGTTCAACACTAACAGGCTGGCAACGATCGACCTTAAACGCTATTTCCATTAAAAATCTACAACTCTCACTTGCTTTTCATGCTGCTGGTCATTGCTGCTCGGATAGTCTCAATGGGAATAACGATGGACAAGATTAACAGAACCACCAATAACAAGATGGAGAAAAGGAATAGGCCAAGGCTTACTTTGGCATAGATGGCTGCTTTCACGAAGGATGATTTTCGAAACTATCTCCATACATGTGAGTCATCGTATATATATATCAACACCTACTCATTTCAACTTACCAATGCAAAGTTAACGACCCAAATGAAAGGGAAAAAGAACCCAATGATCATCAAAAACAAAGCAGTCGAATTTTCCTCATCGTTCGAAAAATTTGTAATCCTTCGTATGGATTTCCGAAGTGAGTGAAACCCACTCTTTCGTTGCCCATAATATGATGAGTAGCATGGCTCCGAGCAAGATGGTTCTCGAAATGATGACGTTTGGTTACCATCAGGCGTTGTGTTGTGATGAAGCTGGATGAGACATTGAGCTTCGGTCATGATGATACGAAGAAAATGTGGTTTCTTTTGTTTTATGTGGTTTATAATCTCATCACGGCTCTTTGAAATGTTTCATGCAACCACACTATGCTCCCAATCATGTTCTTTCATGCTGAATGCGTGATATCACCCGCATGATGAGGACATATCCCACAGTACTGTAAAAAAATATCACCCTTCCCTTCCCTTATTTTTGAATATTTCTTTCGGAATCGGAAGGCAAGATTGATCAAATTGGATTATTTTAATATTATCATTGAATCGAAGATGAGTAGTAGCAACAACTTTGAAATTCCAGAAACAAGCGAAGGAAAAATTAACTATGCAAAAAAGCTGAAGGACGATGGTAACGATCAGTTCAAGCAAGGCAATTATTTAAAGGCCATCAAACTCTACAAGACCATCTTTCTCTATGTTACGGGATTAGAATCAAATTTAATGTCAGTAATGTCCAACAATAATAACCCAAACGCAGGATCGTCTGCATCACAAACTCTCTCTGAAACAGAACAATTACAAGTTACAGCAAATCTAAATATTGCACAATGTTATCTCAAATTAGAGAAATATGAGCAAGCTTTGGAGTATTCACAACGAGCACTGAAATTGGAGCCTAACAATATTAAAGGAAGATTGAGAAAAGCTTTGGCACATCTCGGATTGAATGACATTGATAATTCCGAGAGAGCGCTTGAAGATGTATCCAAAGAAATTCCAAATGATCCTCTCGTGAAACAAGGATACAAAAAATTAGAAGCATTAAAAAAGGAACACAGAACAAAGGAAAAGAAGATGATGATGGGTATTTTCAGTGGTCTCGGATCCGATCAATAAATTATTTAATGCTCTGTGGTGAAACATCATTGTTGCGTGGATTCAATGCACGATAAAATTGTGAGATAGTTAATTGAAAATTCAAATTTTCCATCCTGCAAAAAAAATGTGCCGTAAAATTCAGTCAGGCCTTGTGGGGTCGTTGTTGATGCACATGATGATACTATGCACCATCACGATGACCTTGTGTGTAGTTGAAGGCAATGCTTCATCATTGGTGAAAAATTCTTTGGAGACTATTCCGACATTTTCCAACTTTAAAACGCTTACATTTTCTGGATTTGGTTCTGGAGCCTCTATGGCTGTTCAAATGCAATTTGCTCACTCAAAGAAAGTAGCTGGCGTTGCATCTTTTTCAGGGTTGCCATACTATTGCATTAAAAACAATTTAACAAGATTGGAAACATGTTTTAAACATACTGAACAAGTGACAGTGGATGAAATTGTGGACATTCTTCAAAAATTGACATATTACAATTTAATAGATGACTATTCAGAATCCATTTCTTCACATAGAGTTTATTTGCAAAGTGGAAGCCAAGACAAAAGCCTAACTCAAGCTGCTGCGATAAAGTCGAGAGAGCTGTTCGAATTTTTGAATGTTCCAAAGGAAAACATAAAAACAGTCCTTGACATTCCCTCTGGACATGCTATGGTATCCGTTGACTACAGTGACTCTGAAAAGAATAAGTGTGGAAGTGAAGTTCAAAAACCATATATTCAAAATTGTGGATTTGATTTGGTGGCTGATGCTCTTAAATTCCTTCTGTTCCAAAATGATGACCAAAAATTTGTGAACAACAAGATAGCTAAAAAGAATGAGGACTTACTGAATAACGTAAGTGCTAATATGATTGAGAAACAGGTCGAATGCTCACACTAATGATTAGCTCTTCAAGATTGATCAAACTCCATTTGCATCACAAAGACACTTAATGGGAGATTACGGATACTTGTACATTCCATCAGCTTGTCAAAAGGATGAAACTAAATGTACTCACATTGTAAGTCTTGGAGTTTTCATACTGTAATTAACAATAATTTATTTAATAGCATGTTGCCTTCCATGGTTGTGACCAACTGGAAGAAGAATTTGCTCTCTATTCTGGATATAATAGAGTTGCTGAACAAAATAACATTGTTGTCATGTACCCTAGATCTTCGATTCAAGATAGATACAATCCACACGGATGGTAAGTTTACTAAGCCGTTTTTTTAATGTATAGAACTTTTGAATCGCAAAAATAGTTGGGACTTTTTTGGAACAGAGAATGGAGATGATTATCGTTCAGAGTTGTATTTAGCCAGGTTAGGACCACAAATGCAAACAGTTGCCAGGATGATTGAACAAGCTGGTCACAATATGGACATGAAGAAGTTACTCGAGAGAAGTGCTGCAGAAGTTTTATTAATGCTTGGAGCTGTGGTGCTTATTTTTGTGTACCAAATGTACAAGCTTGTCATTTCTCCATCCCAAAGGAAGAAAAAGTCAGACTAACAATTTTCCAACCGAGACTTTTTAAGCAATTTTGAAAAATCGTAAACACACATAAATACATTGCAAAGCTATTTATTCTCCATCATGCGTTGCTTAAATTTTGACACTTTTTTGGGAGCTTGATCTTGCGAAGCATTGCTGGCACCAGACGTCATCGATTTTGGAGCAAATCCTACAACATCTCTCTCCACAACGTTGAATGTACTGGAAGAAGCACTTGAAGGTTTAGCTGATGAGGGTGTATTCTGTGAGGCTTTGGGTTGCTGTTGTTCAGTGCTTGCTGTGGGTGTTCTGTGGAAATATTTCAGAATATCTTGTTGCAATTTTTTATCCTCTTCCCCAAAAGTGTGAATTTGCCTAGACTGTGGTTCTTCTTTTTCGTCTTCTTCATGTAAATTGAGGTGTTGCATTTTGTTTTCCATTATTTCTTCCCTTTCTAACTCGTTTAATATTTTCTCTAAATCCTCTTCATCTTTTGGAGTTGTTTTTCGTCTGTAGTGTAGCTCGTCTCTATCTTTTTTTCGTGAGTTATATTCAAATATCATTTCCTCAGATTCTTCCAATTCTCTCAGGTCTTTCAATTCATCAGGTATCTGACTTTCCATTTCTCGAATCATTTCCTCAATTTTTTCAGCCTCAGAGACATCTCTTAAATCTACTTTGTTTTGTTTGGGCTTTAAGATATGAGAATGTTTTCCAAGTCCCATTCCTTCATAAACTGCGTGCAATAATTTTCTCTCGTTTTCCAAAGCATGTAATACTCGTTCAATTCGTCGCTTTAAAATCTGTCTTGCGTGATGAGCAGAAGTTTTAATAAAATAATTTTCTCCGAGAGCAACAGTGACTTCATTGGTTTGGATTAATTGTCCAGGCATGAAAGCTAATCCGTGAGATCCTATCGGAAGCATACATTGATGTTGTAATTTTTGTGGAATGTAAATGAGTGTATCAAATAATGTTTTATATTCTTCAAGAGTTTTTTCGTATTGTTGAATATTTTGACGATGGCGAACAACAAGTTCAGTGAATTGCCTTCCGAAACTTTCTCTGTCTTGGTGCGACATTTTTTGAAATCAAAAAAATAATATCAGTTTTAAAGTTATTTGTTCCACCAAGATTTTAAACGGCTCGATGATGATAGTATTTACATTTCCGATAGTTTTTAAAGATCATCATCAATGAATTGAAAAATTGAAGCGTCATAATATGTAATTATAAAATTATATATTATGACGCTTCAATTCATTTTCACCACGCATCGCGGCACAGTAACGGAAATGAGCGCCAAAAGAAGCATAAAAAAATCCTTCTCTCTTAGGTTTGAAGATTTAAGGAAAGCCTGACTCACTACAGGACAGATACATCTCCATATATTTTGAAAATCATGTCTTCATACGGAAAAGTTTCAGGCAGAGCAACCTCATCATCCGAAGCAAGAAATTTTACGGCAAAGCTTGGAAACATTTCTCCAATCCAGCATTACAAGACTAGCAACACTGCTTCGGGCATGATGGCTACATATAACTATGACAATTCCAACACAAAACATGCCAATGATGAGGCAAATTTACATCATACTCAGCCTGTCGGAAGCAAGCTAGTTGATTTACATACACCAAGAACTATTCCAACAGAACTTGACAACAACCACAGACAATATTCACCATCAGCAGCTTCATCTGTAGACTCCTCACCACCTATTGTGATCAATAGACACTTGGAACAAATTGTTAAATGTTCTCTATGTCATAATAAGCCAGTTACACCTCATCTGTGTCCTTGCTGCTCTAAAATTGTTTGCCTTCCATGTATCAAACGGTGGCTTGTTGACCAAGGCAAATCTAATTGCCCTAATTGTAGAGCCTCTATTCATATGAATCAAATGGTAAATTGCAAATTTGTTTCAGAAATTTCTACAGAGCTTGAAAAGCTGCAATCTCACATACATTCCAAGAAAGAAAAAAACTTGGTATCCACTCCGAGGCACGTAGTTGAACAGTGCTCACATCATGACCTTCCTCTTATATACTATTGTGAAACTTGCAAAGTTGCTATTTGCTCTGATTGTGCCATGTTTGAAGATAAGCACAAATCTCATTCCTTCAAAAAAGTGTCTGAAGTTTACAAAGAGTGTGTGGAGGTTGTTAAATCTGAATCGAATTCTGTAAACACTAGGTTGAAGGATCTTAATACTCTAATTATCAACATCGAAGAAAACATTAAAATGATTACCAAGTCAAAAGATGAGACGCTTAAATCTATTAACGAGACTGTAGAAGAAATAAGAGGTAATTTGGAAACTCTTTACAAAACCAAACTGTCATCGCTGGTATCACAGAAAAACCTCATTATTGATGAAATTACCATGTTGGAACAGCTAAATAAGGAGCTTGGCAAACAAATAGAGACAAGTCCTCAATGTGTCTTGATTCAAAAGACACCAGATATTGTGCGAGTCGTCGACGAGATTAACAAGAAACCACCAATCAGCTTTTCAAAAATCTCAGTTGAACACTCATTCCCAAATGAACTAGTTCCAACATTTGAAGGTGGTCAATTTAGAATAGAAAACTACTTTGAAAAGGTAAAAACTACCGAAGTCATATATTCTGATCCGATTAACATTAATGGTTTGTTGTGGAGACTGAAAATTTATCCCAACGGAACTGGGTTAGCAAAAGGAGTATTCATCTCAGTGTTTTTAGAAATGTACAAAGGGCTCACTGAGCCAAAGAAGTACCACTACAAGGTTGAGATGATTAACAGAAAAGACACAACGAAAAATATTGAGAGGTCATTCGCTTCCATCTACGAATGTGGAGAATGTTGGGGATATAATCGCTTTTTTAGAGTTTCTGAGCTGATCAGCAACGGATTTGTTGATCCTGAAGAAGATGTATTGATTCTAAATTTCTTTGTTCGCCCAACCAGCTATTTTGAAAAGTGTTTAGAACAATCTAGATACATTAAGGAGCTTGAAGATTTTAAGAAGAGTCATTTGGTATCAGAGAGCTTATCTTCACCAGTCATGAATAGAGAGCTCGCACCTCTCTCGGAAACTCCTCTCACAAACAAGAATGATCTTGAACAAAATCAAAGCACCGGTGTACAACTGCAAACCTGGACTGACCCTTCAAGCACTGAAGATCCAAATCTTTCTCCTATCGTTGAAACATTTTCAACTCCTTTCATTACAGAAGATGATGTGTGCGTACCATCATCTGTTTCACCAAAACTACCCAAAGAAGAGTTGTTTACTTCTCAATCTGTGCCTCAGAATACCAATGAACTGGACCATTCCAATATTTCTCTAAGTTCAGACGAGGAAGACGCTCCTCTCCCAGAGTCCGCATGGAAACCAGTAGAGCCTGGCTTCTCAATCCCCCATGTTGGAAATCAAAGCCAAGAGGAAATTTCCACCTCTCAGCAACAAATAACTCCCTTAGATGATCAATAAACTTTTTACCGCCAAAACTTTGTACAAATTTTTTAAATTAAAAAAAATGAGCCATTTGAAACCCGATGACTACGTGCCACAAGCAATCAGAACCAGTTTTTGGCAGCCTTCTCCAACGGAAGATGAAGATATGGTGTAAGTACTAAGTAGAACCGCTAAATGTAATCGTTGGGCCACACATAGTCTCGCCTCATCAAAAACGAAGCCGTTGGTGTCAGTTTTGTCGAGTTTGACTAAAATAGGTGATGATCAAATCCGAAGAAAAATTGAGCAGAATGAAGATGTCATCGAAAATGATTATTCGAACACAGTTCACTCGTACGTGTTTACAAACATCATCTACTTGTAAATTTACATTTCTATTTACAAATAATTTCATACTATTCAGGGTTTTGAATTGCTTTAAAAAGCGCATGAATGTGATTGAAGAGTGTGAGTTATTCGATGAAAGTGACGACGACTATGAAATCGATGTAGATAAATTAATTGAAAGTGAAAATTCTCTCAGTGAAAAATTTCGAAAGAGAAGCGAAGATCCCAATTTCTACAGAGATTACAACGGAGAAGGATCGTTGCACAGTGACAAAGCGTCTGCTATGTCCAACAGAAGCAAGGGTGTAATACCAATTGAGAAGAGCACAGGACCCATATTTGGATCACATAAGAGGATTGATGAGGTTACATACAAAAATTACATCAATGCCAAAAAACCATCTACACTGGTGGTCTCAAAGGTTCAAGGCCTCCAACCTAGAATTGACACAACAGGGGTGCCATTACGGGAAAACGAACGATATAAAAAGTTTGAAGACTATGTTATTGACAAAAAGAAGCAAGCTGAGGAGGACCACAGAATGAAAGACTTCAGAAAAAGCCCATATTCTGTCACTAACATTATTAAGGTTACATGTAAAAAAAAGTCGAATGATGCCGAAAAATTACAAAAGAAGGAAAAAAACAATGACCGTACGATACAGAAATCTCAACGGAAAAATATAGTTTCAACTTGCGCAACCAAAACCAGGAAACGTGTGAAAAAGGTGGTGGAGCATCATCACCACTACTATAAGGATGGTCAGGTTGTCCACACAGAAGTAACAACTCTCCACAGGTCCTCCAGTTGTTATAGAAGAACCATGCAACATTACCCATTCCACAACGTCCACAGACCATGCTACACATATTGCTAATCAACTTTCATCAACTTCAACCGGTAAAACTCTGGATCACACACTGTCAGAAACTTCTTCTCAGAAGAGCTTAAGCACGCATTCAAAAATGTCAATAGAGCCCATTTCCATTCGACAGAAGCAACAATAGAGAGCGCCCATTTTCCCAACGAACAAGAAAAAGAAAACATTCATCATGTAAATAACTCCTCCAATGAAAGGTCAAGCCATGACCAAACGAATTCTGTAACTCTTACTGAGGGTAACCCTGAGAAACTCAAAGTTGTTTCTAAAGCAAAAGAAGATTCAAAGGATCAGAAAAAAGAAACAACTTCGAAACTGTTATCTGACACCTTGGTACACAAACCAACAACCAACGTTTTTTCCAGCGTTGAGATCAAACATGAAAAGCAACCACCTATAAAGTTGCTGAAACAGAAAGAGACCACGTCGGAGGAAGAACACAAAAAGAAGGTGTTAAATAACAACATTGAGAGTATCCTATCAAACAGAAAGGACGATCACTCCATAGATCTCAAACTCAAGCGATTCTTGAAAAAGAGAGAAAGAAAAAAACAGAAAAACAAAAGATTGAGCTCTTCCAATCCGTTGCTGCAGTCTTCAACTTCTCTCCAATCCAGCAAGGCAATCTCTTCCTGTCTCCATCATCTCGAACTTTCAATCATGTTCGGAGGTGTTAAAACAATTAGATTTTTCAAAAGTGAAATCGCTACCAACAGAGAAAAAGCTAACTATTGACGATGTTCATCCGTATCATGTGGCCTCCTTGTCCACGCCTAAAGAGATTTCAGATTTTGTAGAAACAGCTGAGCTCAGTGTCTATAAGATTCTAAAACAAATTAAGCTGGTTCCTGAAAATGAAGAATCTTCAAAAAACAAACTGTGGCCGATAAATTGCTCCGATCACAGCTTGAAAGCATCAAACAGCTTGCCAAACAAGTGACAGAAGCATATTCAATAGCTACTGAGAAATGTAATTCCCAACACAACACTGAATTTCCTCACGATGAGGAACTGGATTTATTTGCTCAATCCACCAAGTTCCATGAAACAACAGTGAAAGCGAATATTAAGGGACATTCGTATCCTCATTCGATGGATGAGTACAATAAGAGGAAATCAGCAGGGGTGGAAGGAATTATCAGAGCGTCATTGAGAAGAAACAAGAGGAGCTGCCTTCCAGATCTTTACCCAACAACCATGTTACAAAACGACCTGCTTCTGCCCCTCCCAAAGGCCAAGTCGTGAGGAAAGCCACAACTACAGCGGTAAAGTGCCCCAAACCAACCAACTCTTTGAAAAATTCAATGTCCAAGCATGGCGCTAGAGACGATACAACCGTCACACCCACGTCTAAGAATTCAAAATTTAAGAGACCTCTAAGAATTGAAATTGAAAAGAATGAAGAAGCCACCATGTGGTCGAGGAAGAGGTTGTAAATTCTCCACCCTCAAGTCCTGAACAGGGTGAGGATCTTGAACGCTCCAAGTCAACATACTTTAATTTAAATAGCTCCGTTGAAGAAAATAATATTGAGGTAAATCCATATTTTTAAAATCTAGGTTTTATACAAGCAGTAAAGTTGAGAATTGATTCAAAAATCTCTATTGTTAATTTGTTTTAAATTCAATTGAGTGTACCTCTGTAGACTCCAACACACACCGTTAGAGTACCATGATCGACGCCCATTAGAGTGAGTGTAAAGTTTTTAAATGAATTCATGGTTGGAAAGTCTTGCTTGGTAAGATAAACCGAGGCTTGCCCCATAAAATCATCATCCGAGAATGTGTCCTAATTTACCGACGCTTATTTCATCCCCATTTAAATTAATCATACTGTGACTTACCTTATCCATCATTTTGAAGACGATATCTACGGAGCTCAGCTCAGGATCTGTGACACAAAATGCAAATTCTTGATTCCAAGAAGCGTTCAACGACTTTTTAATCACGGTCGTTTGAGGTACTTCCGAAAATCCCTTGACATAAATTCGAACAAATCTATCAGCAGCGACGTTGTTATCCACACCAACAGGTATTCATCGTCAAATTTGTTGATCGTTTCATTGCCGTAAATTTTTGTGCTGTAAAATAAATGACATTAAAACCTACGGATCAGACAAACCATTGAGGTCGCACGGTATCAAATCTTCTCCCTAGTAAATAACATTCCGTTCATTATTGAATTAGATCACAATTGTATTCCGAGCCACAAATTGTCACAACAATTTTGATCACCAAAAATATCATGATCATTATTTAAATATCATTGAAGAAATACAAATAATTGAAATACATATGAACAAAAATAACATGAAAGCCCACCTTTATAACCTTAATTCGAATGACATCTCCAGTTTTTAATGAAATATAATCATTCCCACAAGAAATTGGAATGGTTGATTTTGAAAATGCTTGTCGTTGCAATTGTTGTTGATGTCGGAATGAATGAACATCTTGCCGTATCTCATCTCTAACAGAGGGTGACCCTAACTGCAGAAGACGAGAGACAGACATTTTTTTTGAAATTCAGTGAAGAGCACTTTTTTTGGTTAAGAAGTGAAAAGTGACATTTGAGGTACACGAGTTCAAATATGAAGAATTTATAAACACAATTTAAAAAAGTAAAAGAGTAGTACAGAGGTATATTTATTTCAACTCTTTGAATAATCCACAGAATGTTTAATTTGTTTTTCCTTTGTTCAACCTCTTTTTCGCAATCGAATAAAGAAAATTGGTGTTCAAAAAAAAATTCGAAGAAACCTCTCATACCTCCAAACCAAACCTCCCACACTCTGAAGCAATTTTCCATACTGAACTTCGGAACGGATTTATCATCATTGTTACTACTTTCTGTCATCTTTAGTGATTACATCAACAACAACATTGAGTGAATCATATTCTTTCCAACACACAATTTTTCATCATTGACCATTTTCATCATCAAATCATAATAATATCAACAATTATAACATGGCTAGCGACGAATTAATATGGACCATTTTGGACAAATCGTTTTGTTCTTTTAAAAACAAGGCAACCGATCAACACATGTGCACCAATCCTATGAATGTGGATGGTCAATGCCGAATGGTTTTTTGTCCTCTTGCAAACAGCAAATATTCAACAGTTGTGGAAAAGAAAGGACGTTTATATTTGTGTATCAAAACTCCAGAACGAATGCACCTTCCCAGCAAGATGTGGGAAAAGATTCTCATCTCCGATAATTATCAACAAGCCTTGAAAGATATTGATTATCATTTGCAATGGTGGGATCATCAAAAGATTAACCGAGTCAAGAAGAGATTTACTAAATTATATTTGGTGTTGAGAAGAATGAGACAAATTAGAAGTAAAGTTCAACACAAGATCAAGACAGTGAATAGAGCTGTTGAGAAGCGATTAGAAAAGAGAGAAAAGAGAGCAGAACAAGTGGCTCGAATTGAACACACCATTGAACGAGAATTGTTGGAGCGATTGAGAAATGGTGTGTATGGAGACTTGTACAAGAAGAAGATTAAGCAAGACGAAAAGAAAAAAGAAACAGAACAGGAAGATGAAATTGAGGTGGAGTTGGAAGCTGCATCCGATGACGATGAGGATGCCTTCTATCCAGACTCTTTAAACAAGTTTGAAATTGAAGAAGAAAATGAACAGGATATTGAAGACATTTATGCTGATTTGGAAGCAGCAAGCGACGATGACAATACCAGTGTCGCCAGTTTTGGATCTACAGCTTCACAAGCAGACATGGAAGATTTACTGAGGGATCTCCAAGACGCTGACATTAAGAAGAGAAAGCGTGAACAAGCAAGATCCAACACAAAGAAGATTCGATATAACTATGAGAGCGAATACGAACGAGTCTCCTCATCCAGCACTCAACAACATTAAATCGTGCTTATTTATCATCATCAACGACAGTAGCATGTACAATGAGGCTAATTCCCTTAATCCAAGATATTTCATCCACTCGATGGATTTGGGTATTCAATACGGTCCAAAACAAACAAAAAATGCCTTCTCCCCGAATTGATTTTGTCTGATGTTGATGGCTTGTTGGTGTTGATGTTGAAGACTTGACGCAAAACAATCGTTCGCTAACCAAAAGACATGTCTTGCTGTCGGATCCGAGATGGAAAGCGAACACAATTATGCACGCACCTTTTGTCAACGGAGAGTATTAAAGACACAAAAATTTTCTTCGACGTGAATTGAAGCGAAATGGCTTGGTCCATAGGTTGTCATTCCATCTCGCCACAGTGCATACTACCACGTGGCTTCATATCTTGGATCTTCGTACTTGCGTTGATCATCCTTTCCTTTCTCAAAATAAGTTCGGGTCAATCATCATCCAATTTACGATATTGTTCAATTGCCAACACAACAGTGATACCTCTCACAACAAGCTTAACAGGACAACAACAAGCTGGAATATTGTGTCCATTTGGATTCATCAAACAAAGAAATTTGACTTCGGGATTATTGAATTGTGTGAGCATAGTGGATTTATTGAATGAAATTGTTGACAAGAGAGATTGTTTGTTGCCACCTGGAAGAGATGAATTTTCGACACCCTATTTTGACAGCACAAGGTGTATTTTCAATTTTCTTCATTGTTCACCCAGAACAAAAAAGTGCAGCATGTTCAACACGAGGAGTTTTGGAGATTCATGTGTGGATCGATTCAGTTGTGTTGGTTCACTTCAACAAAGTCAAATCAATTGTTTTCAAGGAAAATGCACCACTCTTTCAAGAACACATGTTTTACCCATTGGAGCTGATTGTAGTGCTGATCCTTCATTGCCTACTTTTTCCTCTTTCATTAGCTATGAGAATAATACCTTCTCTACTTGCAATGACCAGTCTGTTTGTGTATCTAACAGTGGTTCACATAAATGTGTGAGGGTACAGAGTAAAAGAGCAGAGAGATATGGAACTTGTGGAATGTTTTATACGGTTGAGAACAACACAGTCATTGATACCAGCGTCAAGTTGTGTGAAGAGGCACATATTTGTTCATACATTGAGAATGGTAAATGTATGCCAAATTATGCGTCTACAGACTTTTATGACAAGTTTAGAGCTCCATTTACAACTTTTACAGATCCTAGAATTAGCTTGTCATTAAGACTAAGTTCAACATACCTTGGTGATCGAACAACTTACGTAAAGCAAGGCACCGAATTTTGTAAGGATGATTACGGCTGTTCTGGAAAATTACTTGGTGTCTCGTCCTTACAAATCAAGACTAGCTATTCTTACATACGAGGACCAGCACCTTTTTCTGGATCGTTCTCTTATACATTTAACAAATGTGATACTCGCGTGCGAAAGTGTGTTCGAACTTTTGCAAAAGAGAATGGAATGACATGTTCGGAACATGCAGAATGCCGTTCCACCTATTGTTCACCTCTCAACATGACTTGCTCTGAATTGTCAAAAGAAATTGAATGTGGACCAAGTGTTGTAACTGCTTCTTTGAGTGATTGTCCTGGATATTCTCAATGTGTTTGCACCAATTCAAGTCGAGGGGTTTGCATGAATTTGTGTTTTGGTGAATTGGCTGACTTACATTCATGTTCATATAATTTTGGAGTTGTTGGACCAAACAGTCCCATTTCTAAAATGGAGAATAGTTTGATACCATTCATTGACAATCAATCTTCATTATTTTCTCTTCAAAATGGAAAGTGTAAAGAATACATGATCAAATATTTTGAATGTATGAAGAATAATCAGAAAGAATTGAATTTAGAAACTCTTGCCTTACCCTATCTCACAAAAAGACAGCAACCAGTCATCACAAGAAGAATTCTGTCGCTCTCTGAGCCAAATGATATTTTGTTGAAAAATAATTTGGCGAATTCATCATCATATTCAGTTGATACAGACATTTTCGCAACTGCTGAAGTGAATATGACAAGTATTGAGAATAATCATGTTTCAAACATTTCAGAAGTCTCTCTTTCAAGAATTGATTTATTCAATGAAAGTTCAAGCTCTATGATCATGAAAGTGTCAGACATTTATTCAAATTTTAACATTTCAGAACAAGTGGTTGTCTATGTATTGGAAAGAATGGCTGGATTGATTCCCAGATACAAAACCAAAGAAATTAACTTGAAAACCAAGATGAAAGTTTGTGGATGTTGTACAGCAACAGTGACCAATTATTTACAACAATCACTTCAAGGAGGAATTTTACTTAAAGGCAATGATTCCACCATTCTCACATCAGGATTAGTCGTGTTTACCGACTTATCGCTAAGTAACACAATCTCTGGATTTGAACCAATCATGGGACATAATTCATTCTTGAATCGAAATTGGTATGAAAAGTGTGACATTATTCTGGTTCCTCCTGATGATATTGACTTGATCACACTCTCAGTGATGAATAACATGTTGATTTTAGATCGAAACTCAACACATGACAACTCTGTGAAGGATTTGGAAGAAAAATCCATGAATGACATATTCTTGGTGTTAGCGTCAAATTTACCTTCAAAAGTATTGTCAATTCCAAGAAATGTGAGAGATGCCGCCATGACTAATGAAACATTGGCGGATCGTGTCTCAACAATCTTTCAAGATGTAGTTACCGAGAATTACTTGCATGTTTATGATGTTGTCAATTTGATAAGATCAACCAATTCATCTGATTGTTCTATTTTCAATTCAACATTTGACATTAAGGCCTATCATAGAGCAATATTCTCATATCCAATGTCATTTGATAGTTCTTTACCTTTCCCTCTTTCTTCACCTTCATTTGTTATTGAGAATGATCAATGGTTCTTGCAGAAACTTTCTTTTGGAGCAGTATCTGACGATACATTGTTAAACCTATTTTCAAAATTAGCACGTCCAAAATGCTACAGCAGTTACAATTCATATTTGGGTGTGTTCCATTATAATGATGTCTCCAAATATTGGGATTTGGTGTTAAAAGACTCGATGCTGTTCATTGTCATTGCAAGCTGTCTCTTATTTTACATTTTTTTGATATTGAGCTATAGAAACAGTTTAGCCATGAAACGAAGGTTGTTCGCACCATTTATTGGACCATTTTGCATGATGATTATTTGTTTGGTTTATATTGAACCAATTTTAATGTCATTGTTCAAGAATGTTGGAAAGAACATTGCTCCTTTCATTCCGATTCCCAATCTGTTCATGTCACTATTGAGTGCTTCTTACATTGTCGTTTCAATAAGATTTTATTATTTGAGAAATTTGTATCAGATTCGAAAAGGATTGGATGAAACCATGAAGAACAACAAGATGAATAACATGAGAATTTACAGAATATTTGTTCAACCTTATGTGACTCTTTCATTGGTGATGATCATCACTTTCATTCTGTTTGGAATTTGGTTTGGAATCTTTTATGGAATTTTAGAAAGCATCATTATTGAAAGATTTGGAAGATTTGAATGGACACTTCAATTTGATGCATCATTGTTGGCGTTGACCACTCAATTTGGATTTTTGAGTTTAGTTTCAATCCTTTGTTTATTTGTTGATGCCATGTTCAACTTGAAGAAAATACGAAAACATGTAAGTTTTTATAGCTTATTCATGGCTTGGTGTGTTGACAATAATACACTATTAACAGGGAATATATTACTACTTATGTTTGACGATCCATTCCACATGAGAGTGGACATCATTTCACAATTGCTGATATTCTTTACTTCAGTTCTCGTGATCTTAGATGTATTTGTTTGGAATACTCTTATCATCAACAGAATTGGCATTGCTCTCTTCTTCCTTTTCTCTCTAATGATATTTGGTGGAAATATAATATTAGTAGAATTTTTAGTCTCTGTAAAGAATCGAAAAGTGAAATCGTTTTGTGTAAACTCAACCATTGAGCAACTTAGTCTTTTGGAAACTGAATGGACTGAAAATATGAAAGATTTTAACTTTAGAGAATTGCAAAAGGTTTGTACGATTTATTATCTTGAAAACTCACACCTCTCTCCAAAGAAATATGCAACCAATGAATTTTCTGTGGAAAATTATTTATTATTTGAAGACTTGGAAAAGTTGGAGCGTAAACAAAGAGTCACTTTCGATGACATGACCTATTTGAATACTAATTATTTTACTCATTTAGCTCCTTATTCGGTGAATTTGCCTGCGTTTTGCTATACTCAATTTGCAATACTTCTTGGCAACCTCACTCTAAATCCAGCTGAAACTATTTCCTTTAGTGATTTAGAAACCATCAAAACGCAAGTGATCACAAATAATCTTGACACCTTTAGTAGACTCATTTTGACCGATGAATGTAAGAAGTGGAAAGAAGTTTCAATGCTGCAGCAAGAGCTGAATATTGTCCAAAAGAAAGTTTAGGATTTGAATTTTTGGTAAGGTTTTCATTATTGATTAAGGAAATGAAAGAAGTAAACGATTTGGTGCTCCTTGCCTGGTGGATTTAACAATTTGCAACACAAAATGTCTTGAGTATTCTTATCCTCAATATTTTAACTTTGTTCATGTCACGTCTGCTGTCATCAAGTTTGACAACTTTCAAAAAAAAATGCCAGAAACACTGTACTTCTTCTTTGAAAACATTCCTGCTTCCGATAAGGAACCCTTTGTTGTTAAGATTGGAGGCAATGTTGTATTTACGTAAGTATTGCTCTCATAATTCATGATCATTATATTTCTCTTCAGTGCCACCACTTCACAAAAAAACACTTCTCACACCGTTCAAATCACACCCTCTGGTCTCAGTGCTATTCATCGTGAATTTATCAATTTTGTCATTCCACAGGCCGACATTGATGAATTGAATCAATACGATCTCACTAATCGAGGTTATTATTTTAGAGTTCGTGTGAAAAAAATCGGAGAACTCTCTGTCTTGCAAGGATTGAATAAGAATTTTGAAGAAGAGAATGCCATTTTGGATGATCAACGTAAATTCTATGTCGATGAAAAGACTGGTGAATATACCTAGTAGGTTTTTGAATTGCGTTTTAGTGACATGATCATTTCAATTTTGTGAATTTTTTGTTCACACATGAAATAATAATGTGAACCATTCATTCTCCGAAATCCATACATACAGTAAATACAACAAACCAGTGTATTTGGCAGACGATTACGAAAAGAGTCCAAAAGCTAAAATTGCCAAAGCCATTGCGAATTCAGCAGATTTCGGAACTGATTCGACACGAATTTGGATTCACTTATCAGGCATTGACGCCAACGAAGAAGAACCTTTTGAAATTCTTGACGCTGATCAGGAAGACAAGAATTTATTCAAAAGTACAAAACCAATTTTTAAGAGAAAGGAAGTCATGCTGTATGTGAGAAAAGCAGATCCTACTGCAAAGAGTCATGTTGCAAATTTACACATCAAAATTCCAAGTGTGGGTGTGGATAGTGTGGTTGATTTTGATTTGACCACTTTGGGAACTCATATTTTAATTGCTGTCTTGTAAGTACAAGATGATGAATGTGTGAATTGAACGACACATCATGATTATTGGGAATTTAATATATACTTTAGAAATGAAGGATCCAATGTTGAAATTCAACAAAAGACCAACAAGATGTTCGATGAAAAGTTCTTTAATCCAGTTCACTATGCCAATGCTGAGAGAGAATATAAGGAAAAGACTCGTGTGAAAACAACCACCAAATATAATGATGATGACGACGATTCTGCTCCAACTCCACAACAAGTGGCCAAACAAGGAGATTCTGAATCTTTGGATGAAGTAACCATTACTCTCTATGTGAATAACATTCCAGCATCCAAGAAGGAACCTTTTACCATTTACATGAATGGTGATGAATTTTTCAAGAGTGAAGAAGAGATTTCATTAACAAGAACGACTGTCTTGAGAGCATCTTTTGATAAGCCACCTCGTGGAGAAGAATTAATTGTTGAAATTCGTTTCAAAATTGATGCTCGAGATGTTGACACCAAACAACAATTCAACATTACCAAAAATGGTACATTCTTATTCTTTGGTATTGAAAAAGCTGCTGGTGACTCTGAACGAATTCAAATGAAACAACAACACAATGATACTTTTGGACCTCAAAGTTCACAACAAACTGCTACCAAACCATCTAGTGGTAATGCCTCTTCTTCTTCTTCAGACATCATTCCAGTTTACTTCCATTTGGCAAACATCAATGCTTCGGCAGAGAAACCATTTGAACTTTTTGTCAATGGACAGCCCATTTACAAGCAAACTCAAGATCTTGGCGATAAGATGGCCATTGTCACTGGTAAATTACCAAAAATTGATGATTTACGTATTGATTTGAGAGCTGTAGCTAAGGCTGATGGTCTCGAAGAAGAATCTGAATTGAACATTACCAAGTATGGTAATTATTTGAAGATTGAAGTGAGTTCAGATCGCTCAGTCATTGACATTACTCAAGCCGATAATGCAGATTTCGACAATGCAACCATTGTTGACTCAAAGAAAATGCCTTCCAAGAGCACTTCCAGTACCTCCTCGTCGACTAGTACCAAGACATCTCCATCTGAAAAGAAGACCACAACGACTAGCCAACAACCTTCATCAACCTCCAGTGGAGATTATCTTGATCAATTGAAAAAGTTAGGTGAGCTTAGAGATGCTGGAATTCTCACTGAAGAGGAATTCCAAGCAAAGAAGAAGAAAATTCTTGGCTTGTAAAAACAGAATCGATCCAATAAACAACTACCATCATCATGGTGTTGATACGACTTGATCCATTGTCACTTCATAATATATTTGAGGGAAAATATTATGTGAGTGAGGCCTTGAGAGTGTGAATGTTATTGTGGCTTGGAAAGAATTTCCAAAATCTTATCAATACATTGTCTTCTCAACAAGACTGAATTATGATCTGCCTTGAATAAAACAGATTCAATTTTCATATGAGAGGGCACTCGCGATGTTTGTTCTTCATAGGTCAATACAAGATCTGATAATATATGACTCGTATGGCTTGAGACTGGCAAATCTTTCAGAGTCGATAATGAAGTTACCACATGTGTCAATTGGACCTTACCAAACAGAGGCGAATGAGATGGCCACCAATACCTTTCTGTGAATTCTGTGTCATCACTCAATTCATTCATCATTAACTGTTCAACAATGGTTGGTTCATGTTCATATTTTCTAAGTATCTTTGCCAGTGGAAGTAAAAAAGAAAGATTTCTTGCAAGTCGAACATTTCCACTCAATAGAGGTGAAACTTGGATGAGATTTAACATTTCTTGTTGATGTAAAATGTCAAGAACAGGATTAGATTGATTTTTAGAGGTCTCTAATTGACTCATGAGTGTCACTAACAATCTCCTAACGACCATACTTCCCATCGAATGAGTGACAAAGTGATATTCTTGTTTCAAGGGATTCACAGTATCTATATTTGGTAAACGTTCAATATTGTTGTTGTTTGTAAACACATTTCGATTCCACAAGTTTCCAACACTCGACAAGACATGTTTCGATCCAGTCATATCCTGATTCTCATTCAAAAATTGTAACAATTCTTCCGATGATCTCTCAATCGATTGTCTCGGAGAAGGATAACAATAATTTAATATTTTAAAATTCAATCCATGACGAGAACCATGTTCCAATAATTTCTTTTCTAATAAACAAAATTGAGATGCAAATCCAAAACATCCATGGACGAGAACAATATTCTTGAGAGTTTGATGAGTCCGATGAGGTGTGGTGTTATATTGAAGATGACGGTTTCGGAATGAAATTTCATTCACTTTGATGGATAATAATGAACGACAAGGACTGAGTTTTGAAAGAGTCATCCTCTGTGTACGGTCGTTTTTCCATCCTGTAATAAAAGACTTTTTCATCCTCTTAAAGAAGTCTTTCGAATGGATGGAACGGGTGGTTGTTAAATATATTTTTTTACACAACAGTTATCTCGCAACGTGTTGCAATTAATATTAAGGAGTTGTTTGAATGTTGGAAAGACATTGATGGCCTAAGTGTAAATGCCCTCACGGATACCCAACATGTGGCTGTACAATTCACACTGGTAAGGTAAATTCCAATTTTGGACAAAAATTAAAAGCTATTAAAAGCTTTGAGAAACACAGAAGGGAATTCACGATCACGTCACACGTTGTTCGAATTCCATGCGAAGGTAATAACCACGCACACCACTGAAAAAAAAAACAGAAAAACCAAGGCCGTCCTCACCACACGATGCAAACCAATTCTTCATCGACGACAACTGATTCACAACACTCGTCGAATGTCAAAAGTCAGCTTGAGAATTACAAGTACATTTGGTCCACATTGAACTGTGATCCTTTACCAGTAAATCATTTAACAGAGGAAGAACAGTTAAAAGAATATAAACAAGCGTATGAAAAACATTGTGCTTCCTATATCTATCAAGATTTAATCGAGTTATACAAGGAAAAGGGAATATTGAACAGTGAACAGAAATTATAACGTTATAATTTCAAAAGATATGTGTTAAGCTAAAACGGAATGAAAACATGTACAATTCGATGCAATCCTTGTCCAAATCGTTTGAAATGATGTAAATCAATTCCTTGCAAAAGTCTTGTTAAATTTTGTTTTTACATGCATGCTCAACCCTGGTTGACAATGAGAAATACTTTTGAAAAATCCATCTCATCATAGTCTAACAGTCAACCTTTCATGTGTCTGTATGATTCCAATATCACAACTGTTGTCCAATTTTTTAAAATTTCGAAAATAGAAAAAATGATTTCTTATGAAACCTTGACCATCCTGTTGGGGTCTTTCTTGACGGGATTTCTTGTTGCAAAATCGTATGATTTGCTCCGAGGCCCTACTGCTGTGGTCATCAAGCCAGAAGATACAAAACAAGAAGAGGAAGAAAACGAAGATGAAGAATGGGAAGATGTTGAAGATGAAGACGCTTCCGATGATGATGATGAAGAAGAAGATTCCGATCCAAAGAAAATGACCTTGTTGGTAAGATGTGATCTTAATATGGGTAAAGGAAAAATGTGTGCACAATGTGGACATGCAAGGTAATGATTTGGATGATTTTTGAAATTATTTGTACATTTCATGATTCATAATTTAATATTACTTCAAAATTTAATAATATTATTTCGTAAATGATACATTTCCGACAATGTTTTACAGTCTTGGAGCTCATCGATCCATACACCACAAAGTTAAGAAAAATCCAAACAATGAACAATACAAAGAACAGTTGAGATGGTTGAACAAGTGGCATCATTTCGGAGCTGCTAAGGTTGCACTTAAAGTTGACGCCAATCAAATGAAACAATATGAAAACGAAGCCAAAAAGAGAGGACTTCCAACATATCGAGTGTTAGATGCAGGAAAAACACAAGTAGAACCAGGTATGTGTTAAAACTCTTATTTCTTGAGCTTTAACTCTTAATTTGGTGAACACGAAAAAGGTACAGCAACTGTTGTCGCAATTGGACCATGTCCTGCAAGATTATTAGAATTTACAAAAGATTTAAAGCTGCTATAGTCCAATGATATTGGTCACATTTGAGCAAGTAAATACGCATTTAATAAAATTGATATTACACACCATTCTTTTGTTGTTCCAACAATGATATTGTAGCCAGTGTTGATGAACATTCATGATTGTATTTCTGGAGCAAGAGTTTAAAGAAAGTACATGAAATTTTGTGTTATTTAACGTTCATTTGAGTTTGGAACGATGCAACTTCTTTCCACTTCTTATATTCCTTAGTTAACGTCAGTCGGTTGAATGTATCCAGATTGTTAGCAATCACTTCGTTCTTGATTGTGTCAAGCTCACTGAATTGAATATTCACATCATTTCTTGCCAAAACCTCAGCAAATTTGGTGTGACAATAGGCAGGTAAATTGATTGAGTAAGGGGACAAGCTACTGAGATAGGTGGTTTGCAGATAATAGAGATCTTCCAACGTTAATACTTTTTGCTTCTCCAATTTTTCTAAATGTTCATACAATAAAAAGTTTTCCAAAGAGAATTCATTCTTGGCATATTTCTGAAAAAATTATTATTACTACTAAATGCTGATAAATGAATCCTCAACATACCATTTGCAATTCTCTAAAATGAACATCTTTCATATTTTCAACCCATTCGCTTTCAAGAACGCTTAATCTGTCAGCAAACGAGTCCAAACAACCGTTTGGTCTTCTATTCTTAATTGAAATTGCAGTTTCAATCATCATTATATTTCCACCAAATATCATTAGAGAGAAAAGGAAGAAGAGAGCAATTCCAATTCTGTTAATGATAAGGGTATTCCAAACAAAGATGTCCAATATTACAAGAATAGAAATAAAAAAGATTAACAGTTGTGATATGATATCAATTCTCATGTGGAATGGATCGTCAAACATAAAGTAATATCCAATTCCCTATTGTTTCAACACGTGTTCAACAAGTTCATTAAATTTGCATGCATTTGATCAACACTTACATGTTTTCGTATTTTCTTCAAGTTGAACATGGCATCAACAAATAAACAAAGGATTGAAACTAAACTCAAAAATCCAAATTGAGTGGTCAATGCCAACAATGATGCATCAAATTGAAGTGTCCATTCAAATCTTCCAAATCTTTCAATGATAATACTTTCTAAAATTCCATAAAAGATTCCAAACCAAATTCCAAACAGAATGAAAGTGATGATCATCACCAATGAAAGAGTGACATAAGGTTGAACAAATATTCTGTAAATTCTCATGTTATTCATCTTGTTGTTCTTCATAGTTTCATCCAATCCTTTTCTAATTTGATATAAATTTCTCAAATAATAAAATCTTATTGAAACGACAATGTAAGAAGCACTCAATAGTGACATGAACAGATTGGGAATTGGAATGAAAGGAGCAATGTTCTTTCCAACATTCTTGAACAATGACATTAAAATTGGTTCAATATAAACCAAACAAATAATCATCATGCAAAATGGTCCAATAAATGGTGCGAATAGTCTTCTCTTCAATGCCAAGCTATTTCTATAAGTTACTGCCAATATCAAGTAAAACAATAGACAGCTTGCAATGACAATGAATAACATTGAGTCTTTTAACACCAAATCCCAATATTTGGAGACATCATTATAATGGAACACACCCAAATATGAATTGTAACTACTGTAGCATTTTGGACTCACCAATCTTGAGAATATATTCATCAAGGTATCATCAGATACTGCTCCAAAAGAAAGTTTCTGCAAGAACCATTGATCATTCTCAATAACAAATGAAGGTGAGGAAAGAGGGAATGGAATGGAGCTGTCAAATGACATTGGATATGAGAATATTGCTCTATGATAGGCCTTAATGTCAAATGTTGAATTGAAAATAGAACAATCAGATGAATTGGTTGATCTTATCAAATTGACAACATCATAAACATGCAAGTAATTCTCTGTAACCGCATCTCGAAATATTGTTGCCAGTCTATCGAATACCGGTTGATTGGTCATGGCAAAATCTCTCACACCTCTTGAAATTGACAATACTTTTGAAGGTAAATTTGAAATTAAAACCAAGAACAACTCTGTCATGGATTTTTCTTCTAATTCCTTCACAGAATTTCCATTTGTTGAGTTTCGATCTAAAATCAACATGTTATTCATCACTGAGAGTGTGATCAAGTCTATGTCATCAGGAGGAACCAGAATAATGTCACACTTTTCATACCAATTTCGATTCAAGAATGAATTATGTCCCATGATTGGTTCAAATCCAGAGATTGTATTACTCAATGACAACTCTGTGAACGACACTAATCCTGATGTGAGAATAGTGGAATCATTGCCTTTAAGTAAAATTCCTCCTTGAAGTGATTGTTGTAAATAATTGGTCACTGTTGCTGTACAACACCCACAAACTTTCATCTTGGTTTTCAAGTTAATTTCTTTTGTTTTGTATCTGGGAATCAATCCAGCCATTCTTTCCAAAACGTAGACAACCACTTGTTCTGAAATGTTAAAATTTGAATAAATGTCTGACACTTTCATGATCACAGAGCTTGAACTTTCGTTGAATAAATCAATTCTTGAAAGAGAGACTTCTGAAATGTTTGAAACATGATTATTCTCAATACTTGTCATATTCACTTCAGCAGTTGCGAAAATGTCTGTATCAACTGAATATGATGATGAATTCGCTAAATTATTTTTCAACAAAATATCATTTGGCTCAGAGAGCAAAATAAGTTTTCTTGTCATTGCCAGTTGTTGTACTGTTTCAGAATAAGGCAAGTCAAGAGTTTCTAAATTCAATTCTTTCTGATTGTTCTTCATACATTCAAAATATTTGATCATGTATTCTTTACACTTTCCATTTTGAAGAGAAAATATTGAAGATTGATTGTCAATGAATGGTATCAAACTATTCTCCATTTTAGAAATGGGACTGTTTGGCCCAACGACTCCAAAATTATATGAACATGAATGTAAGTCAGCCAATTCACCAAAACACAAATTCATGCAAACCCCTCGACTTGAATTGGTGCAAACACATTGAGAATATCCAGGACAATCACTCAAAGAAGCATTTGCAACACTTGGACCACATTCAATTTCTTTTGCCATTTCAGAGCAAGTCATGTTGAGAGGTGAACAATAGGTGGAACGGCATTCTGCATGTTCCGAACATGTCATTCCATTCTCTTTTGCAAAAGTTCGAACACACTTCTTCTGACTCATGTCACACTTGTTGAATGTTTCAGCGAATGATCCACTAAAACTAGAGCCGCCCTTCATATAAGAATAGCTAGTCTTGATTTGTAAGGCAGAAGGACCGAGCGCTTTTCCATTGCATCCAGAGTTACTCTTACAAAAAGAGTGGCTTCTTGTAGTAAAAACTTGCCTCGTGTCCATAAAGGTAGAGCTTAATTGGAGCTCAAATTCTTCAGGTGGGCTCGTGAGAGCTTTAAAAGGAGCTCTAAATGTATCATAAAAGTCGGTAGAAGCATAGTTTGGTAAGCAATAACCATTCTCTGTGTTTGAACAAACGTGTGCATATCCACACACTCTTACACTTGTATCTGTAACGGTGTTATTGTCAACTCTGTAAAATAGTCCACATGCTCCAAACTTTGGAGCTTTGCCTGTCTGCACTCTCAGACATTTAGATGAACCACCAGTAGACACACAAAGGGACTTGTCATTGCAAGTAGAGAAGGTATTATTCTCATAGCTAATAAAAGCTGGAAATGAAGGATCAGTGCTACAGTCAGCTCCAATGGGTAAAACATGTGTTCTTGAAAGTGTGGTGCATTTTCCTTGAAAACAATTGATTTGACTTTGTTGAAGTGAACCAACACAACTGAATCGATCCACACATGAATCTCCAAAACTCCTCGTGTTGAACATGCTGCACTTTTTTGTTCTGGGTGAACAATGAAGAAAATTGAAAATACAACTGGTTGTGTTAAAATAGGGTGTTGAAAATTCATCTCTTCCAGGTGGCAACCAACAATCTCTCTTGTCAACAATTTCATTCAATAAATCCACTATGCTCACACAATTCAACAATCCTGATGTCGTATTTCTTTGTTTGATGAACCCAAATGGACATAAAATTCCAGCTTGTTGTCCTATTAGGTTGGTTGTGAGAGGTATCACTGTTGTGTTGGCAATTGAACAATATCGTAAATCTTGAGCGTGTGCTTGATCATTGGGAGACAGTATCAATGTTCCGACGAGCAACGTCAAAAAGCACACAAAGCAGATTATGTGCAGTGTTGCTGATGAGAATATCCTCATAAGCTTCATATTGAAGTGTTTTCTTTTGATCAAATCTTTGACCGCAAAATCCATCAAGAAACGCAAGATATGGTTCCGCGGTGTTGGACATTGATAGCTTGAACGTTTGGTTAATCCCAGTAAAAGCCAATTAACGGTATTTGTTTGTCATTTTAGTGAAAATATTCGTTCAAAAGGAATCTGTCATGTGAAAAGAGGTATGTGTCTAAAATTCTCATAAAAGTTGACAAAGACAAGAGAACACAAGTGAAAATATGTCTGAGACGTCAATCTCCTTGATATTGATAATTGGCCTTTACTCTTTACGAGAACCATGAAGTGAGAGCTACACGGTCTTTGAACGATTTCAAGACTTCATGATCTACAGCTCCACTCAAAAACAGTACCAAGCGACAAGCTATTGGATTAATCTCCTTAGTAATTCTTTCTGTATGCTTGGAATGGTTTTCTGGCTTTACAAACACTCTTAACATTCCTCCATCATTTTCGTCAACCCATTCAGTATTAAGGTAGAGTAAAGCAGTTACTTTTCTTTGATCTAGAGGTCCTTCATCCTTGCCATTACTGTGTGAATGAGCCGAGATATTTTGGTGACATTCTTAAAATTGTCTTACTTACCTTGGGAATGAGTCTCTGTGTTTTTCATAAAAAGTGCCAGTTTCTCTATAGAGCGACCACATTAGCTCCATACCCTCATCCTCACGTTTAATGCATGGAGCGAACTCATGGAGGCGTTGTTGGATGACTTTGAATTTGTTAAGAACAATGTTTCTAAGAGTATGGTTGTTTTTCCAGAGAATGATGTCTTCCTCATTATCAGTGCAATGAGAGCAGTAGGATGACGAAGAATTGTCGTTCGTAGTGAAATCCTGCAATTGAGGAGTGATAGAGGAAGCGTGGTTTAAAGGATCAAAAATCATTACAGTGTCAGAAATGTGCTACAAACTTCAAATGAAACCTACTTTTGGATGAAGCCACTTGATAAGGTCAGATCTTGCCAGGTTATCTCTAAATTTGTCATCACAAGAGTCCTCGATCGATTTTTTCAACTCGCATGCCGGCTTAAATGTATGAGCAATTCTCTTTGTTAGTGAATAAATTTCATTTGCTTCCTCTGTTTCAATGAAATTATCAATAACAACAAATCCTTTCTGATGCAATTCTCTGAGATGTTTAATGGTCAAATTTGGAGAAACAATTATTTCACCCTCAGGGTGTTCATCTCCGAATAATTTCTCTTTATCGAATATTTGAGAACAAACTTCAAAGGGATCCCTCTCAGCATCCAAAAGAGCCAACATTTCATTTTCCGAAATTTCAACGACTTCTTCCTCTTCTTCCTCTCCACATTCTTCATCATATTCAAACTCATCATTTTCAGAAATGCTGTCGCACGAATCAACAGCCTCTTGCTCTTCGTCATCGGTAGCACCTCTGTTCTTGGCCAAAACTTTTTCAATCTCTTTGGCGAGAGAAAATTCAGAGCTCATTTTTATTGTTGTTGTTGAAATGAAAATTTTCATCATGAAGTGGTGTTCTGAGCAAACAACATGTTGAACAGGAGAAGGTTGCGAACACTGGAAGTGCAGCAGCACTCCAAGCTATTGTTAGCATCCATAAAAAAACAAAATCATGTCCTCTTCCTCTTCATCATCAGCCTCATCGTCCACAAACGAAACAACAGCACCAATCAATAACAAGAGTTATGAAATCGAAGGAGTAGGATTTGCAGTGGAGCCTTTACGTAATTGTCCTCATTTTCATGATCCTAATCACTTCAACATGCCGCACAATGATCGGAAAGCTTTAAAGTCTCTTTTCGCAGTCATGACAAAACAAGGAGATGAAACCAATGCTTCTGCTCCTTGCTCCGTGTGTGGAGATCGTATCGAGAACTGGCTTTGTCTTCAATGCCATTCCGTTTGCTGCAGCAGATACAGAAAGGGACACATGATGAATCACCATGAATCTACCCATCATTCGATGGTGTTGAGCTTGGCTGATTTGTCCATCTTTTGTTATGCATGTGATGCCTATGTTGAAAATCCAGACTTGACAAGGCTCATGATGAGAGAATTGCACTTTGCAAAGTTTGGCGACTATCCCGGAGGCCGTGATGCAAGCGTTGAAATCGGAGAAGCCATTGAGAGATTGAAGGTCGACCAAAGAAAGATCAAGGAACAGGATGAAAAGGAACAGAAAGACAAAGATACCTTGTAAAAGATACTATGTGAGTGCGATGATGAACCAATCAATAATAAAAATTAATGCGACATCATCTTCACGTTTTTTGTGAGTTTGGTTGTTGATTCACCAGCAAAAGTTTACAACGGATCGAAATTTTCGGCCAGTTTACAATGGCCGTTACGAAAAATTTTGGTATGCAACGAGGAATCTTTCAGGGATAAATGCCGTGCTTGCTCCTCTGTCATTGAAACAACAAAAAAAACAAAACAACAACTCGTTCTTACGAAACAACTCCAACAACAAACAACGAACAACAATGACTACAACAACTGGTAGAGGTAAGGGTGGTAAGGGTCTCGGAAAGGGTGGTGCTAAGAGACACAAGAAGGTCCTCAGAGATAACATTGCTGGTATCACCAAGCCAGCCATCAGAAGATTGGCAAGAAGAGGAGGTGTGAAGCGTATTTCTGGTCAAATCTATGATGAGACTCGTACAGTCTTGAAGAACTTCTTGGAAAACGTTATTAGAGATGCTGTTACATACACCGAACACGCTAGAAGAAAGACTGTTACATCAATGGACGTGGTTTATGCCTTGAAGAGACAAGGAAGAACCCTCTATGGTTTCGGATATTAAATTACTTGTGTGCAACAAGCATGCTGAACCGTCTTGATGACTGAGAAACATCAACCAATTTTCTAATCGTCTTTTTGACACCCTAGGCTTCCTTTGTACAAATAAAATAAATTAATTATTGAATTAATTCATATGTTTGATTAAATCAAAAGAATTTAAATTATCATGTAATTTTTCTCAAAAGAAAAATGCTCAACAAGAACCAAAAGTCTTCATCGTCGGCTGAGTCGTTTATGCAAAATTTGATGGAAACTTTGAACAAACAACAACCTGTCTCAACACCAAGCGCAACCTCTGAAAAGGATAAATCAACAAAAGCTCCCTCTAAAAGCTCTTCGTCTGGAATTAAATTTGATGATGAGGATTTGGAATTGGATTCAAAAACTGTGGATATGCTAACGCAAAAACTGGCACAGGATTTATCTAGCAAAGGATTTCTCAATGACTCGGATGATTCCGATGACGGAGATTTGGATGACCTTTCCGATGATGAGGAATTCAAAAAACAATTGCTACAAGAATTTAAAAATTTAAACAGTCTTTCTCAAGACAAGCAAGGAAATGTACCTAAATCAAAACTGAAACAAATATACATTGAATTACTAAAATCCGGACAATCAATGATAACAGACAAGAATACAGCCGATCATTTTATTTCAAAGCTTCAGCCCAATGAATTGTCATCTCTGATGAATCTTCTGCAAAAGGAACCTGACGATGCTATAAAATTCTTTAACAATGATCCCCAAGTGATAGAGGCTGTGAAAAATACAGCCATGGTGGGTAGCGATATAAATGCAAAGATTTGGCAAAATTTAACCGAGGACGACCTGGAAGATGAAGATTTGGAAAGCGCTAATGACACAAATATTACCAAAAAATTATTGGAGAAAGCCTCAGACGCTGTTAAGGAAGCCCTTAAAGTTTTTGAGGACAATTTACTGCACTATACTCAAAATCCACAACAATTGTTACAACTTTGCGAAAAACTTCCAGATAAGGATCAATCATTGTTTCTTGATATACTGTTTAGAGATTATACACCAGACAAAATTTCTAAACGACTAAAAGAAAAGGAAAAGACTGAACAAAAGAAAGATCTCGAGAAGGAAATGGAAATTTTTGATGATGATCTAGTGGCACATGTATTTAAGGAAATCTTAACTCATTTCAAAGCATACAAAAAGCATCCTGAAAAATTCAAACCTCTGGTGGATAGATTGAACGAGCGAGAGCAAAAAGCGTTGAATGCTTTGATAAAGGCATTTTGGGACATCAATATGGACATTGTTAAAAAGTAAAATTCCAAGAACCTTTACAAAGTTATTAATACCAGGAACAAAAAAAAATGTCAACAAAAAGTGAGTAAGCGTTTGATCACATCGGATCATCAAAACAACAATACATCAATTCAAATTAAAATCTATTATGTATAGCTTGGTTTCCTTTGGAATCAAATCCAGAGCTTATGAATTCATATGCAGGTAAATTGGGTATCGGAGCAGACAGCGCATACGAATATGTTGATGTTTTTGGGCTTGACGATGAGTTGTTAGAACTAGTCCCTCGTCCTGTTGTTGGAGTGATGCTTTTGTTTCCTCTCACAAAAGAAAATCAAGAGTTACAATCAAAAGAAGATGCGGAGTCTGAAAAACAAAAGGATACTTTCCCAAAAGATTTATTCTTCATGAAACAAACGATTGGAAATGCATGCGGAACTGTTGCAATTGTACATTCTTTGGCTAACAATGCTGCTCTTTTAAATATTGACAAAGACAGTTTTTTGAAGGACTTTCTCGACGCTAGTCAGGGCAAAACTCCCGATCAGATTGCTCAAGCATTAGAAAAGGACAACCGAGTCGAAGAAGCTCATGCAAGTAGTGCTCTATCTACACAAAACTCTTCTGCTGTAGTTGAAGATACAAATTTGCATTTTGTTTGTTTCGTTGAAAAAGAAGGAAAAGTATTTGAATTGGACGGTCGAAGAAATTACCCATGCTATAGAGGAGAGAGCTCGGGAGATTTATTGAAAGATGTTGTGAAAGTTGTTCGTAACTACATGCAACTCAATCCAGAGCAGTTGTATTTCAATTTGGTTGCTTTGGCCAAGAAGCCGTAATTTTGTTGTGAACAGTGAGGATCTGAAATTAATTTGACTGTATTGTAAACTACTGCAGCGCTTGACAAATGACAGACGTTTTCTATTTCTTCTGTATGAAAAATCGTCCACACAACTGTCATCAGTTGCATCACACCCGATCACGAATCATACTATCACCAGTGTGTGAATCAACGTTCATTCACTCGATTATCATCATCCACACTTGGAGTAATTCAAAATATAAAACATTGAACACCTGCTGCTGGTCATCGGTAGAGCTACCTAACAGAGAAACAATTCATCACAATCACCACAATGACCTCTACTTCTAATTCTTCTGGAAAACTTCTTCTCCACATTGAATTATCACCTACCGATCAAGCAAATACCCTCCACTCAAAAATCATTGAAATCGGAGGCAAAAAAGCAAAACAAACAACATTCAGTGATGTCCTTCTGCAATTACAAGATGAGCTCCAAATGATCTTTCCACAAAATTCTTGTTTTGTCATGACCACTACATGTATCACTCCAGAAATGATCATTGGCTCTGACGCAAATTCCACATCAACCATGTCACATTCTTCCACTGGAAGTAACAACAGTAGCGGAGGAGGATCTAGCACTGAAAGAGGTCATAACCGAATGACATCTTTTGGAACAGGTCTCGTCAATATGATGTATGGAGTTTCATCAAAAAAGAGAAAAAGTGTTCCTGGAAGTTTCTATTATCAACAAAATGATTTTGCATTACTTGACAGAAAGAATACCAATGAATCTTCTACATCTACACAAGAATCAGATTTAGGAGATGTTGAAATGAGAAGAGAATTTATCAAAATGAAATCTGCCGTTCTCTCATTGAAAGAATATGCTCATAATTTTCACATTCTCTCCAGTGATGCACAAGCACCTGTTCATGATATCTTATATTTGGAATTGTTTCCAAATTGTGCACCTACTAAGGCAAAGGTCTATGGAAATTATTTGCAAACCATTTGCAAGAATGAAACATTGTTTAATTTCCACTTTTTAATGAAACACTTGAAAGCAAATGCTTTAAATAGCAATTGGATTGTTTCTGAATTGGAGTCTGGAAAAAAGGTTCAACTCACGACATTGATGAGTCCTCTCACCATTCGTTCACCTCTCTCCATGAAAACCATTTCATCAGCAAGCATTGATTGGAAGAACATTGAAACATTGTATAGTTCTCTCACAGAAGAAGAACGATTTCATGTCAGAGAACCAGCTCTCTTTCTTTTGAAAGAAGTTAAAATTCCATTTGTGTTGAGAGCTTGTTTTAACTTTCTTCGAACTTCACCAAGCGAATCAGATCCACCAAGATTGTGCTGTGAAGGAATTTTCAGAATGGCAGGCTCCAAGATGAAGATTGAAAAATTTGTCAAGAAATTTAACACCATGCTTGCATTTCCTCATTTATTTCCAAATGGTGTTCAGTTTGCTCCTGGAACCGATGCTCACATGGTTGCTGATTTAGTGAAGAGATTTTTACGTGAAATGCAAGATCCTTTATTGACCTATGAAAAGTATGATGATTTCATTCGTCTCTATGAACCTTATATCGAACTTGATGAAATTTCTCTCGAGTCGGATCCAAGTGTTTATACCTATGTGTTTGAAGGAACTAAGAGATTGATTCATACATTACCACAAACTAATCAAAGTGTCCTTCGTGAATTGCTCAGTATTTTGAAATTAGCAAGTGTTGGAGAATATTCAACAGTGACAAAAATGACACCCAAGACAATGGCTATTGTGATGGGAACCAATTTAATGTTTGTTCCTCAATCTTCTGTGGCAGTCGTATTGGATGATTTTAAGAGAATGTCCATTCGAGCTCACTTGCAAAAACAACAACAAACATTGCCAATTATTTGTCAAGTGTGTCGATTCTTAATTGAAAATGTTGATTCACTATTTTCTGGAGGCAGTAATTTGATGAATTCCAATTTGAACACAGCTGGTCACAGAAAATCCATGAGTATCAGTCTTGGAGGTCTATCCACTGCTGATGATTTCAGTTCCTTCTCTGTATTATCTGGAAGAAGATCTGCTCAATTTACTACTTCCATGATTCAACAATTGCAAAATGTCATTAAGGAAGAGGGAAATTCAGCATCCAATAATGTTCAAGCTGCATCCACTACCAATCATCAAGAGATACTCAAGAAACAAGAAGCTGCTGACAATGCCATTAAAGTAATGGAAGAACAAATGAAAGAAATTGAAGAGGATTATCAAAATCAATTGCAACTCTTGAGTGGTGAGTTAGAGGAATTGAGAAAGGATCTTGCCTTTAAGGACGAAACGATCATGTCTCTTAAAAAGGAAACATTTACAAATCTTCAAAAAGAAGATGCTATTAAGAAATTGAATGAAACATTACTTTTCATTCAAAAAGAAAAAACAGAATTAGAAACTCTTTCCAATAATCTCAAACAACAATTAGAGGAGAAGGAGGAACAAAACAAGGAATTGACCGAGTTTTGTGAAAGACTTACACTCAATTTAGAAAGTAAAGAAAAAGAATTAGAAGAAAAGACGAAAGGACAACAAACCAATCATACCTCTCCTCGTGGAGCTACCATTGATCTCAGACAACGCCAACAAGAGGAAGAAGAAAGAAAACTCTACATGGAGAATCGTCTCGCTCAATTACTCGCACAAGAACAAGTCAAATGGAAGAATGAAGTTCAAGAATTGTTGGCATCTGAAAAAGAGAAATGGATGAAAACAGCAGAGCAAGAAAAAACTACACTTACTTCACGAAATGAAAAGCAACGTGATGAGTTAGAAAAATCACACGCCAAACAACTCGAACAACTCAAACAAGAGTATGAAACCAAGCTGACATCTCTAAAAAAGGAAAAAGAAAATTCAGAAAATTCTCTTCGTGTGGAATTCCAACAACAAGTACAAGAACAAACAAAGAAAATTCAAGAAGAGTTACAAGAAGCTCTTTCTAAACAACGAGCACAAATTGAACAAGATGAACTTGTACCACTTCAACAACAAGTTGCTTCACTCAATGAGGAATTAGTCATCAAAACAAAACAATTCTATCATCAAGCATTGTTGAATATGAAGTTAGTGTTGAATGACCACAATTTTGACATTCCAGAGCTCGTTGAACAAGCCATGAATGAAAAAGTTCCTGAAACCAATATGAATGAGTGGATTTCTAAGAAATTAAGCATGATCAAATAAGAAAATTTGGTTGGAGTTTTTATGGTCTAACCTGTCATTTGTGAATTAGTTTTGAATAATATTTAATTTTAAATGTTTCTTATTTGTAAACCTCTTTTATCAATTTGGAAGCGCTTTTGAAAAGATTTCAAGAAAGGTCTAGAATATATTTGTATGTATGAGAAGTAGCATTTGGACCTAACATTCATTGTTTCTTTGATACTATCTTTGTGGATAGCATGAAAATCTCTCTCTTGACAAATTTAGAAAGTTCTTGTAGATTCAAGCCCAATGACAATGACATCTAAACCGCCATTCTCATGACATGTCTTTTTATCCTAAAACAATTCTCAAAGAGAGAGAACCAAATTTTAAAGAAATATCTCAAACAACAACTCGCACACTTCCATGGCCACCACCTTCATTGTTGCTGAAATCATCCACTCGGAAAGTGCTCTGATTGACAACAACATCATTGAAGGGAATAACATGACGTCATTACTATTCTCAACTCCAAGTTATGTCGTTCTTGCTATTAATTATCCATTTTTGATTGTGTTTGTCATGTTATTTGTGACAAGTATTGCGAGTTATGTAATTCAAAGAAAACACATGAAACGCAATCAACATGTGCTGTTTTCTCTCCTGTTTATTCTTGAAAGTTTAATATGTGTGAATATGTTGACTCGAACGAGTGCAGAATTTGGATTTCTTCATTCAGATATTTATTTGGGAAAGATTATCAACGCAGTGATCAAGATCTTTGATCGATGCATTGTGAATAGTGCAGTTTACATGGAAATTGTGATCATGTGTCACATTTCATTAGTCTTGTAAGTAGATGGTTGAGTCCACGAAAGAATAACCCAAAAACAGTTGTGAAACTTGTCGATTGATTAATGCATTTTCAGTGGATGTTGTAAAGAAAATTCGACAATGTGTCATTGCGTTCCTGTTGGTGTTCGCATTGTTGTATGTTATTCTGAGTGCTATCGCTGTGGTATTTGGAGCAGTGGTTTCATCTGGATCTCAGGCTCAAGAGGCAGTAATTCCAGTGAATATGGTACTCTTTTTGACGGCTTCGTTATTGTTTTTTGCTTCTTCACTCATGGTTTCAATATTGCTCAACGTAAGTTATCTTGACAATTGACACTGCTTTTTGAGTATCAACATCTTCTTCTTGTATAGATCATTGGACGAAAACTTCGACATCACCTTAAAGAAAGTAAAAAACGAATCATGAATGCTGCTCTCCACGACTTGTCATTCAAACAGAATTTAGACACACAACACACTCCCAGTGTGGAATGGATCAAAACTTACAATATCAAGAAGAGTGCACTCCTAAAGTCCATGATCATTCAATATGGTCTAAGTGCCTCATTATTATTGCAATGTATTGGTTTCATATTCATTCCGTCCTCACTTGGTTGGTCCTATCTTCTCAACATGTTTCATGCCATCTATAACTTTGGTCTTACTCTTTTCATTGTATTCATTCTAATCATTTACCATCCCATGAAACAAGTGACCAAGTTATTTCGAGAAAGTTCAGAGACATCCAAATTACCATCCACTCCCTTAGCAACGGTTTGCATCAAAAACTCTAGTAGCAGTGACCATGACCACCCTCCACAGGGGGAAGAATCATCCAAGATCGTGAAGGGACATAATCACACATGTGATTGTACCATGGTGGAAAGTATTTTGGAAGAGCTTGAAGTGTGTTCGAGTGTTCCTAGTTCAGGTGATGAAGGAAATCATGTATGATAATGGTTGGCATGATGATTTTTCATTGTCGAAAGACGATGCTGCCCGTACCCTTCACAAACATTCCCTAATTATGGATTGTATTATAATAAAGAAAATAAATCTTGCTGTTGTGATTCGAATATTGAGAGGAACAACAAAAAAAATGCATCAACTCAAAACCATCATTTTACGTGATGCCTGCTCTCGGAGCATGTTATTGCTCAAATCATCTTCGGCTTTTCAGTACAAGCGTATTCAGAGGAGTTTATTTAAAACAAATTCACGAATGATGATGAACAATTATGGGATTTCAGAGTCGATTGTACGTGAATTTTCATCAAATTGTAATTTCCGATACATTCATAATGATAATGGTGATGTGTTAACAAAATGTCCACTCAAATCATTGGATAATCATCACACTACAATTCCAATCTCGATATATTTTCATTGGCCTTTCTGCCAATCGATTTGTTCCTATTGCGATTTCAATAGATACAAACGAGATTTATCATCCATTCAAAATTTAGATCCTCGCCATTCTGATAAAAATATTGGATATCAAATGATGAAAACCTATTTATTAATATTAGAAGATTTTAAACGACAAGTGAAAGTTTTAAATCCTCAACATAACTATGAACTAGTTTCGATTTTCTTTGGTGGTGGAACGCCCTCAACCATGAATCCTCTCATGATGGAAGAATTAATTTCAAAAAGCATGGAAATATTCTCCACTTCAAGAGAAAAAGTTGAAATTTCAATGGAAGCAAACCCAACATCAATTGAGACTGAAAAATTATTAAATTTTCACAAAGCAGGTATAAACAGATTAAGTATTGGAGTTCAAAGTTTTGATAGCGACTGTTTGAAAACTCTAGGTAGAGAACATTCTGTGGATGAAGCATTGTATGCGATTGAGAGTGCTAAAAGTATTTTTGGAAAAGATTCTCTTTCTATCGATTTAATGTTTGGATTACCACAACACAAGACAAATAGAACCATTTGGGAAAAGACTTTAGAAAAAGCACTCAGTTTGGATTTTTCACACATTTCTCTGTATCAATTAACGATTGAGAAGAACACAAAATTTTACAAACTCTTTAATGAAGAGAAAGATTTACCTAATGAAGAAGAATACAGTGACATGTATGATTATACCATTGATGCATGCCAAAGTATTGGATTAGAAATGTATGAGGTTTCCAATTTCGCAAAGCCTGGAAAAGAATGCAAACACAACATCATGTATTGGAGATCTATTTATGACTTTATTGGAATTGGACCAGGTGCTCACGGAAGATTAACCAACCATACGACACGACAACGTTATTCTACAGTACAGGTATTAAAACCTGAAGATTGGATTGAAAAAGCTTCGCTCGATTTTTCAGAAGCACGAAACTCTAATCCTACCTTACTGTTGGGAAATATTAAGCAAGAGGCACTTTCTGAAATGCAACAAATTGAGGAGCTGTTCATGATGGGTCTACGAATGGCGAAAGAAGGGGTCAAAGAGAGCTCTCTCAAGTACATTAATTCTGGAATGACTTTTGAGAAGTTGTTCAGTTCCAATATGATCACTAGATTGATAGAACATGATTACTTGTCATTGATTGAAGAAGCAGATGGACGAAGGATGGTAGCAACTAGAAAAGGAATTAATGTTCTAGATATTTTGCTAGGTACTTTGTTTGGTGAAACCCAAAGAATTAAACACACTCTGCGAGTACAGATCTAATTTGTTTGGCTGTTGGTCTTTCTGAAGGTTTCCAACTTAACATACTCACAACAAGGTCAATCAACTTTTGATTGTCTGTACCATGATTTTTCAACTGTTCATTCACTCTTGACAGCATGTCTGTTTCTGACATGACGTGGAAGGATGTCTTTAAAAATTTTGAATCAGAAGTTTGAACAATTTCGTCACTCCAAAACACTTACCAAATCTCGAGTTAAAAGTTGATAAAACACAACTCCCAAACAGAAAATATCTGAAGCAAAAGAAAGTTCCTTATTCGAATGGGTAGCATGATATTCAGGAATAAATACGTTATAGTGGAGTTGTTTTGGTAAGGATCTTTCCAATTCAACAATATCCGTAACATTGTCCAAAGCTTCCACCATGACATCAATATTCTTCCAAGACGATAATTGATACAAGATATTCTCTGGGCATATTCCAAGATGAACCTTCTTTCGTTCATGAATGTGCACAATTGCATCACAACATTGCATCATGACATTTAGTGGAGGTGAGGTCGTGTCTACATTTCCTTGACTTGAACTATCTTTCGACTTAATAAAAGACAGCAAATTTCCTCCGTTTAGATAGGAGGTCACAATACCAAAGCTTTTGTCTTCACTAAATTCCTCAATTTTTTGCATGATATGTCGATGATGGAATTGATATTTCGACAACTTTTTCCAAATAAATATCATAAATCTTGCAGCAAGTAAACTTCTACTACTTACATGATTACAAAAAACTCCAAAATGCAAAAACACCAACACTAAAACCTCCTTATCATTACTCTTTGTGTCAGCACATAAAAATCGAATACATGCATCCGATTCTGCATCCAACTTTCCAAGTATCTTATAACGTCCATTGAGTAATCCAAAGGTATAACGTTTTCGATCTTGATCTTTGGTTGGAGTCAATGAATCGCTCACAACTGGCAATGCAAGAAGTAATTGCTCGAGCTGTTTTTCCAATGTGAAAAATCCATCGTCTCGAAATGATTCCAAAATTCGTACCACTTGATGTGCTTGCGGTCTTAAAAAGATTTTTCGTTGAATCATTGAAATAATTAATCTCTGAACGAGAGGTGGAAATCCATTACCTTCTAGTACTTTACAAATTCTAGCATGAGCTGAAGATTGATTATTTCGAATGGCCTCATGAAAAAGGAATCGTTGACCATTAATAGTTAAATCTCTCTCGAGAGTCAATAATTCATAAATCACACAACCCAATGAGAAAATGTCACAAGCTTTGTCAATTAATACATTGGAGTCCATATACTCTGGAGCCATGGTCAGTGGAGTACCTTTACGACTGACACTCATTCTAGGATCCCATCGTGTCAACAGTCCAAAATCAGATATTTTACAAACGAGAGAACCAGTACTATCAGAGTCAAGAAGAACGTTCTCACTCTTAAGATCTCTATAAATAAAGTTTTGATAATGAAGTTGTTCCATTCCCGATGCAATATCAATGGCAAATGACAGCCACTCGGGATAGTAAGGCATGGAAGGATTGTTTTTGTAAGTATTGAGATGATCATAAAGAGTTCCATGTGGAATATAATTCATCACTACATTCAAGCCATAGTCATTAAACATTTCACCTTTTCTCTCGACAAACTTTTTCAATACGGTCACTAGATTTTTGTGGACTGAAAGTTTCATGACAAGATCTAAATGTCTATTAATTTCCTTAATTTTTTCTTGATCCATGACTTCATTGTATCGTTTGAGAGCAACAAAGGACATGGTCGTTCTGTCAAAACATTTAAATACAGAACCTTCAGCTCCTTCACCTGCTTTCTTTAACAAAATGTAGTGATTTCCAAAAACGGTCATGTTGGGTGGTTTCCATTTTGGTCCTTCATTGCTCAAGACATTCATAACCAAATGTTTTAACAAGAGCAATGCTTTGTTTTCGATAGAAAGTTTGTTCAAATCTCTAATGAGAGAGACTGCTGAGTTTAACATGTGACTCAACACAAAGTTTGATATTTGCTTTTCGTTAATTCTGAATAGTGTTGTTATTGTTGTTGATCATGAAAGTGTCAATGAATTATATAGTGTTGTTGTTGATCATGGAAGTAAAAGGGCAATAACTTACTTTTTGTTAGTAGAGGCATAACCAGAGAGACCTTCTTTTTGGAACAACTTGGACACAGATTCCTCAAAGGAAGTAAGTGTTGCTGAGAGAAGAATGTGATGTTCTGAATCCACATTAAATACTGATTTGGAAAGAATTTCCTTGTTGGACAGCATTTTGATTGCCAAACAAAGAGCTACGGCTATAAATACAGTTTCTGCTTTGGCCACATAATTGAAAGCAGTTTGCTTTGATAAGAATCGAGAGACATCTTTACGATTCTCTCGAGTGATTGGTAAATTCAGAATATTGTAACAATATTGTTTGAATTCTTCAAAGGTACTGGGCGTCATATTTTGAACGACATTGAATGTGTTGACAGCATCCATATCTGTATATTTTGTCTGTTCTGCTATATAGCAATATAGCTCAATAATCCAAATGGTTAAATTAAAGTCAAAGGCATATTGAATTTGCTTTGGAAGAAAATGTGGCTTGAGTGAAGAAAAATATTGTTCTCTGATGTGTGTGCGCGTGTCGTCACTACTGCTCGATGGCTCAGCAATTGATTTATACAAATCAAATAAACTGTTGTAAATGTCATAATTTTCTCTCTTGGAAAGCTCTTCTGAGTTTGAAATTATATTAATCTCCTTGTCTATCCAACACGCGATCATCCATGGTTAATTTTTCAATAAGTGATAAATGACTTACTATAGTTGTGAGAAATTAAATGACTGACTGCAATGAGTTTGCTAAATTCTTCAATTCCAAAAAATTCAGAGAGAGCCATTAGATCTTTTTCAACATTGTTTAAAAAAGCATCTTTCTGGTAAAATGTTAATTCATATTCTGATGAGCTAAATTCTCCTACAATTAATTTGTGAATAGGTTGGCTATTTAAAAAGCTCACAAATAGTGAAGAAGATATTGTACTATTCGGTATTTGAATATAATTAGAATTTGCGTTGTGAAGTCCCATCGATGTTTTTAAATTCTCTGTGGCTTCAAAAAAAGTTGTTCCTCCAATAGTGGTCTTGGAAAAGGACTTTTCAAGTAAAGGATCGAAGGGAAGTTCTGAACAAGGGTCAAAGAAGTGATGACATCCAAAAAGAACAGGTTTTGGTACTACAACTATTTCACCTGATTTAACTTCTTTGGATGACTTGGAGAATATATCTTGGAGATCGGATGCAGTATGTGTATCTAAAAAGTGTAAAAACGCGTTATGAAGCAGTTGGAATCTATCATTGAAATATTTGTAAACTCCAATGGCTTTGGTCATTCCACAACTGAATAGATATCGGCCATGAGCTGCATGCAACCAGTAATGATTATACAGAATAAAAACATTTCAATTGGTATATACTTACAACTTTTAAAAATTCCGTCTTCCTCAATGGTAACAATGGTATGCTCAATCAAGATTTGTTTTGGAATGTAGAATTCTGGTGAGCCGCCCGTTTGATAAACTCTCACAGATATCAATAATATACAATTCAAAAATAAAGAGATAATTACCTTCCTGTTGTTGTTAAAAAGAAGCATTCACCTCCTTTGCAATAAATATCTTGTAGAGTAATGTCATTCTCTTTGAAATATGTGAGCTCTTTAGGAGTGGTAAAATTTTTAGCAAATCCAATCCCAAAAATTCCATTTAAATTGTTTCCCAAGCACCATACCGTCTGGTAATCTAAGATGAAAAGTGATGTTGTTTGGAAAATAAATTCATTCAGTACCTACCCTTTGCCAAGCACATTAACGTAACTCCGTTATCATCGCTACATGAAATTTTAACAATTTCTTTTCCAAATAAACTAGTAATCACTCTAATGGTAAGAGTACTTGACACGACAGCACTTTGTGACTCAGTGAGAGTTGCAAAGAAAGGACCTGTGGTATCAGGATGACCAGCCACTAGAACAGTGCCTTCTAGGGTCAAAAAGAAGATGCAATTTTCTGTGTTGACAGCATCTCCAATACCGCTTGTAAGGTATGTCGAACTTTCAAGATATGGCATTTTTGGTTTTGTATCGTATGGAGCTTTTACATATAAATTTTCTCCACAAGCGTAGACCATGTTGTCTTCTGTTAAAAATACTGTTGATTGACGCAAAATGCATATCTTTTTGATTTCCTTGTTATTAAAATTGTGACGAAGTATTGATGGAACCACTGTTAATGGAAGGTTATGACCCAAACCTAATCGATAATGCTCATTACTTCCAGCAACCCAAATCAAAGAGTCTATTCCCATTTTATAAAATTAATGTAGAATTATTGTACGTACCGCAAACAAAGAATGTTGTCTCATATCGAGAATATATAGATTTAATTTTGGATACGTCCAATGTATCCAAATAATCCTTTTTCAATATCAACCTTACTGTTGATTGATCGTTAAGAGTGGGTAAAAGATGTTGGCCACAAAATTCGTCATGCTTCTTTGTAGAGACACAAAAAGAATATTTGCATTGATTGAGAGTATCAATCAGTGATGATTTGCTATTTTCTTCATCATCCATAATTGAAATCTTTTTGGCATTTTCTTTCACTGCTTCGAACATGTAAATCACATCCGATTTCACAAACTCTTTTTCATGAACATCTTGCTGATCATTCAAAATTTCAGATTTGGCTGTCTCAACTTGTGGAGAGTTAAATCTATGGGCATTCGATCTATGTCTATTTGCTCTTCCGTTTATGTCAAAGTAATCTTCAGCACGTGATGCAGCCATGAATTCCACCATGGTCATTGCTTCCGATGAGGGTGATGACATGTTGCTCTTTGCGTCATGAGCGATCAAGTTATTCACAGAGGAGCTTTTTGATGATGATGTTGTTGCTGAAGTGTCCACAGCTAGCGTGTCATTATCACGGCCATTTTCATCTGCAGCGGGAGACCAGTTCCCGAAAAAATTTTTCATTTTTTTTGAAATGATTTTTTTGATTTTTGACGCGTGCAACGGTGCGTGTAACATTCAGTCCAGATCAAGTAAGGTAATTGGTTGTTCCTCATTATTGTTCTAATAACACATCCCTGTATTTTTAAGGTTGGAATTTTCTCATTGAAAAGAGAGGTATTGTGTTTTTGTAAAAAATAAGCCTTTCTGTAATAACAATTTAAATGAAGACAAGCGATCAAGCAAATCGAGCTCGAAAACATTTGTTGCGAGAGGATGATGGCTTGATGAATACCCTTCGCGCTCGAGCAATTCAAAAGAGGAATGAAGAAGAACAGTTCTCTTCTTGCTCGCCGGTTGACTATTTTCTGGTTCCCGACTTTAGAAACCCTTGGAATTCAAAAACATATCACCTTCCAACGATCATGAGGTAGGTCATCATGTACTTTCATTTAGATCACTCTCAAGCAAACATACCAATTTGTTATTAACCCTTAAAGCTTGTTGAGTCAAATGAAAGTTCAAAATTATGAAATTACAATGTTCGAAGAAGACTCTCTTGTAACGAAGGAAATGCTTGACCTTTCTCTGCCCAGAGGCGGCAATCAGCAAGAACCTATTTCAACTGTGTTCAAATTTGAGTTGGATAATTTCCAAAAATGATACACATTCTTGGAACGAAGGAGGCTATTTAGCTGGTATTGATGTGATGGTGGGTCATGAAGTCAATAGATGCAAATCTTGGATGAAAAACAAGAACTTGGATAAGTTTCTTGTTCTAGACAAGAATCAACAAACCTTGGATTCCTTCCTTGCCGATGTTGTAAGTTCAAACTGTTTTTACCTTCTTAATCCCTTCCTCAATATCAGAAACGAAAGTTGCACTCAGAGAGTCATACCGAAGAGCCCTCTCCAATGAAAATACAGAGTCAAGAGAAGAAGCAAAAACTGAATCACATCTCTCCAGACTCGTCGTTCACAACAGAATCAGCAGATCCTGTTGTTTCTCAGCATAATGATAAAAACGCCTCTCCTCAAAAGAAGCAGCCACATCCTTACTTGAAAAGAGTGAGAGAGGCTCTGAAGAATGTCAGAAACAAGAGACCTGAAGTTTTGAGCGTCCTCCTGTCCCCAATGATGACGAAGAGAATTTTACCCTTCTTACACTCGACGCCAAGTCGTCTCTAAAATGTTTGCTTCATCTTCGATGCATTAAAAATGCAAGCACTCCATCTACGAACTGACAAGCATCGGCAACACTTTCTTCAAATCAAACCCTACCTCTACAATTCATTCGTAATCAATCAAGGCACAGGACGTTGTCCTGTACTCTCGGATATTTTAATGCTTTGCTTTTCTTCTTCAAAACCGGAAATCAGGCAACACGTTTGCCAAGTTCACAAAGAAAGATTAAACCAATGTATTGAGTATGAAATGGAAATAGAGTACGTAGAAAATTAATAAGCAAAATTAATAATGATGATCAAAAATTCCAAGATTTGAAAAGCTAATAGACTCTTCTTGTAAAAAGCAATATAAAAATGTAGAAAATAATTCCGAGAACCCAACACAATTAAAAAGCGCTTACAACACACTGATAGACTGCATGAGGGCTGAAATTGGCAAGCACCGCAAAGTCAAACAATAATCGTTTTTCGATGAAATGATACATCCATAACTGTGGTTGTAAAATGATTACGATCGATTACATCACGTAAAACTAGAACAAAAAATGTCATCATCAATATCTGATGAGAATGAAGCCCAGAACATGGAAATATTAAACCATCCGCTAATAGTTGAACACAATGGTCAACAAGAATCCAATCATCACAACAAAAATTCTAATTTGAACAATTCTTGCGAAGCGAGTGTCAGCAATCATGACATCACAAAATTAAACAAAAGCGAAACAGAAATTTTGATTGCATTGAACGAACATTCCGATAGGTTGCCCAATGAAAAACAATCAAGTCAACACGAAGAAGTCACCTTTTCTCATCCGTTGACTTCAAATTTGAAACTAGTTGAGGACCATCCAATAACCACAGTGGATGGACATGATTTTTACGAAGTTGATTTAGGAAAAGCAATGGCAGTCGAAGATCACAACTTACAGCCCAGTGTTGCACAGTCAATCGAAAATGATGACCAACACAAGATTTTGGAAAAAAACGAAAACACCTCGAAAGTTCACTCATTTTCTACCATTGTTGATCATCCATTGAGCCAGCCTCTGAGTAAAAATAATGATGACGAACATGATTCTAACAAGCCCCAACAAAAAACTTCTCAACCACACCAAAAAGAAAACCAAACACTTCCCAGCCCACAATCCGCAAATTCCATTTTTGTCTCATCATTTAAAGCAACACCTCGATATACTGTCGATCTTGATATAGAACCAAGAGAAAGATGGAAACACATTGTACATGATTTCATGAGGCCATTGAAGCTTCTTTCACAATATCTTGACTCGATCTTTTCAGAAGAAGGTGAATTTGCTCCAAGCATGACTGACATTATCAGCCAAATTCACACACCATATTTTCTTGAAGAAGAAATGTGGGGAATTGCTGACATTACTAAAAGTATTGGATTGAGATATGACTTGATATTCCAATTCAATGTGTCATACAAACATTTTTGTTTGGAGAGCTCAGTTGCTTTCGAAGAATATGGATATAATGGAATATTTCAAATGAGACACATGAATTTTGAAGAAAAGCTTGCAAGTATTTTGAGGCATTTAGTGATTGATGTTGATTTTATTAGAAGTGGAAGGCTAGTATTTCGAACAACTACCATGCTACCCCTTGTTGGTATTTCTAATGGACTCCGAAATAGCTCAAAAAAGCAAAGTGGTACTCTAGACAATTCTCAATATTTTGATTGTGGTTCTTACTCGCTCTCACTGATTCAGAGAATAACCAATGATGGATTAATTGGAGACATTGCTAGCTGGTTCTCCACCATTATGTCATTTTGGCCAATCGATTTTCTTATTAGACATGTCATTCAAGAATTTGAGAATTTTAAGGAGGCTCTCAACGAGCTCAAAAATAGTTATACTACAACACCCTTTTATTTGCTCATGTGCTCAACAGACAATAGCGTTTTACTCACACGAGGTAGAACTACACAAGAAAAAACTCTCTTACTACACCAAAGTAGCAGCTTGTTAACAGAAACTATTGAGCTCGAAGAACAAGCCCAACGTCGATTCATTGTCCAATGTGAAACAGACTGGTTTTGTGAAGACGAAAAATTAATTGCAAAAGATGTTAGAAAACAACAACTGACTGACTTTCTTTACAAAAATTCGCCTAAACGAAGGCAACCACGTGATCCATCACCAAAACATGAACCAGAGCTGCCGAGCAATCTTCATTTGGTCGAATATTCTCTGAGGTGCTTGTGTAAACCTTATATACTGACACCAGGCACTCTCTATCAGCAAGTTATTAATGCAAGCGATGGACCACTCTTTTTCTCACGTATTTACATTGCTCCTTCAACAACGTCGACACCTCCATCCTCATCAAGAAATTAACAAGCTACCGCGATGTGCGCCCAGCCTTATTAATAAATAAGGCAAAATACGCACCCAAAAAAAACAGCTGTACTACAGTTGCATTGAAGTTTTCTGGATCGTCTCTTACGGTTATCATCACGACGACGGTTATTATTGTTAATATTCATTGCCAGCCATTCATTGAACACACATGAAACGAAATTGCCATGGGATCTGTTCTTTGCGTTTCGGTTCAAGTTCATAGCGAATATTCTGTTTCACCTCGAGAACAGATAAAAGCAAAGTATAAAACCACAGTGAAGGATGTTTGCATTTTCAAATATCCCAATGGACAACGAGAGATTGAATCCTTCCTCGCCAAACCTCACCATGTTGCCTTGCTCGAAGACTCTGCGTCAGGAAAATCCATTCAAATCAATATAAGACATGCTCGATCTCATCGAATATTGGTGGCAGGATCCTCTTTCTGTTCTTCCAAATGCACTACAACAACAAAACCCTGGCCTATTGATTGCGTTGGTCGTTTGGTTTTTGAAAGAACCACAAAGAACAATAAAGGGTTGATCACCACAGAGAGCCAAGCGGACGTTGTTCGAACAGCAAAAAAATGGGTAATTCATTGGAACATCAGTCGGCCATGAATAACGGTTGGATAAAGAGAAGGGATGAGGAAATAATCGAATACTACACACCGACACTGGAACCAAGCAATCAAGCCACGCAGTCTCTGGCTTGCAATGTCCATACTCAAGGACAAAAATATAAAGTCACAATCCGATTGGAGGGAACGCAAACACTGTTTTCTTTCAAGTTACTGTCTTTTTGGCACGGAACCACTAATCTAAAAGTACTAGAACTGATGAGTTTTAACATTGTGTGCATGAAAGATGAAACCTTTTATGACAAATTACAGTCCGATGACACCATGTTCAGCAATCAGGAATATTCCGATTTAATAACACATTCCTTGGAAGAAAGCAATACGAAACTCAAATTCATTATTCGGAAATCAGTCAGAACAGCAAAGAGAGACGAAACGAAATTTTATGTCTTTGGTATTAAAATTGAATTGCCTGATAAAACACACGGAGTAGTGAAATTGGCATTCAGACATGCACGAAGAGACAAACCTACCATTCTTTATATTGCAGGATTTATTGTGAATACAGTTGTGATAATTCCGAATGAACAAGAAGAGACATCGACCACAACAACAAGCTATGCATCTGTGCAATTAGCTTCTAATGACATGATCGTCGTGAATCCATATATTGTGGACCCTCATAAAACTAATACTGTAATTATATCAATGGACGATAACGGAAGGGCAATTAACACCAACGATGTGGATATTAAATTCAATGACAATAGAAATTATTTAGAATCGGTCAACCCATATGCGGTTACTAGAGATATTCAAAGAAACAAAATATTAATAGTATTTGATACGCCTATATTACACGAATTTATGAGTCAACTGATAGTAACATTGGAGGTTATTGTGAAACATTCACACGAGCATTCAACACAAATATATAAGCACCCCTTCTTTTTCAAGCAAAGCAAGCAACGTGAAAAATTAATAGAAAAGCCATTGAGAAGATATAATCATGAAGAAGTAATTTGTTTAATGTACATGTACAATTTTCCAGATACCAATTTATTTAAAGATGTCATACGAAGAAAATTAGTTTCAGGAGCTCATTTAATTCAATATTTAGATAATAATTGCACTAATCCTGAAAAGTATCACTTCTCAACTCGATTCTATGAAATCATTCAGAAAAAGTTAGCATTTGATGAAGAATTGAAAAATCGAGAGGAGCAACAACTAGAACAATCTCTTGGCGAACACAGGTTTAAGAACAGAATAACTGAACCAGCACCTCTTAACAAATACACAGTAGACGAATTAACAGATCGTGAAAAATGGTCAACTTTTACGGCATTAACGAAATTGGGATTCAAGAAACAGAAAGAAATTGAAGCGAGTGCACAAAACATGGTTATACCAGAACGAATGCTCTATATTTTACAACGATATTTTGCGAATCAGCCAGAGATATTTAGAGATACCAAGAAGCAGCCATTCATGCACGTTCAGATAGTTCAATATGATTCAGGTCCTTCATTCAGTCACAACAAACCTCCATGTGTGTTAATAGGACCATTTAAAATAGGATGGTTTGAAAACGCTTTAGCTCGCATTATGATTGTTGAGAATATCAAAGATGAGACTCCTATTTCATCAAGATGGAAACTTTGTTCCACATCTGAGATTATGCAAGTATTGGAATCTTTCTCCAATGTCGTATGCAAATATAATGCAGAGAAGAAATTTCATCAAGATTTATGTAATGGTACTCACTTTGTGAACGATCTCTTGACCGAGTGCAAAATACCTCTTCAATGGAGAGGGTTTGCAGAAATTTCACAGTCAAATGAAGAAGCAAGCCACTATAATATTGGAGATCTCGAGATACCCATACCCATACGAGATACGCTCTTTCAACACCAAAATGAACTTCTTTGTATCCACCATGACAACGACTTTAAGATTCGCACGAGTATTACGTCCAAAATGAGACAACTTTCGAGCAAAGCTGAGTCATGGAAGCAATATCAATTTTCAATGGATGATAAGGAAGAAGAACGAAACTTTTCCACACCTGAGCGATTTGTTACCTACATCATGAAACCCCTAATGAAACAGACGAAAGTCTATCATGGAAATGGTATTGAATTTCTAAATTTGAAGGTCCTACTTTATCACAACAATCACTCGAATTATGGCATGAGTTTAATTGTTGGACCTTTACGACTGGACTGGACTGAAAATTCTCTAATTCTTGTAAGAACACAACAAGATTTTGGAATTACGACATCCATGTCCATTATTGAATTGATCGATATTGTAGGATTTGAAGAAACAAATCAAACATTGCTCTCAATTGCTGAAATTGTTTGCCGCTACAACACGTCCAATCATTTCAGTGAAAGTTGTAACACTTTCCAGTTTGTTCGAGATGTCATGATTCATCTCAATCTCACTTCTCAATTCTATTCTCAAATTATGGCATGGATCAACAACACCAAAACGTTAACACTGACTCCAAAGTTTAAATACCTCGCAAAAATCATCAATTCCATAGAGAGTATAACCTTTCATTCATACAATGCTCTATTGGAACTTGGAACCTTAATGTACTCGATTGGATACCTGTTCACCTTCGATGGAAAAGAGGATATTGGTAAATTAGAATCAATGAGCGCTATTTTGGATGACCAAGATGAACCTCAACACGACTCCAAATTAACATTTTATCAAAAGATACAACATGCTGCTTACTCCAAACCTTTTCATCCAATGGGCGATGTTAATGTTCAAGCTCTATTACTATTTTTGGGTGGAAACAAACGATTGTTCCAGCAATCCAATGTCGTATGTCACAGTCTTTTCCCTCAACATGGTTTTCGATATGAATCGAATGTGATTGTAGCTCAATTTGACCTTTGGCCTCTCCAGCAATTTGCTAGATATTGCATCCTTAATATTACATTAACCTACGACAAGAAGCCAAACGAGAGAGTACTTAGTTATGAATGCACACACATGAAGGACGCTCCTCACGTAATTGAAATAAGAATTATTCCTCCCAAGTCGGATGTACCTGTGAGGGCTGTGTCTTTAGATGTTGCATGTATTCGACATGAAAACAATGATGAAATGGATAATGATTGTTACAATCCAACGTTTCAACTCACTCCAGCACACCTACTGGTCAACATTCCATGTGGATCCTCACTCTTGGGGCTTAATGTGTACTCAGACACAACAACAAACGATATCAACACAGCCTCGTACGATTTTGAAGTGAAGAGATATAGAAATAGAATGGTAGTGAGCTTGAAAAACCAATCTGGAAACCATACAGGAAATAATTTTGGAGAAAGATCACGACCAAAGCATTTCAAAATTTATTGCAGTACGGTCGACGGAGAATGTTTTGTTGCAAGGGTCAAAACCGAATAATGATTGAGGAATAAGCGTTTTTATGACCAAAACGAAAGGCAATTTTCTCGACTAAAGTGTGGAAATAATCAGATTACATTGAGAATTGACCACAATTCCAGAATCAAACGCTTGACTTTTCAAATAACTTTATTCATAAATCCATCAAAATATCGTCATACTTTCTGGTAAATTTCAAGTTGTTGGAATAAAAAGTTATTCTTTTGGTATCAGAATAGGCTTCAATGTTCAATTGAGTCTCCAAATACTTTACAAAATAAATATCTTGAGGTAAGGGTTTAGTTTGGAATATAATTTTGAGATCTTCTCCTTGTCGAACCTTTGACACGATCGAACAATCCATTAACTTGTGTTTTGTCTTTTGGTCAAATATTCGAATATCATAATCCCATTCTTCAGCAGCTGAAATTGAAATGTTCACACTTATATACTCATTTCCTGTAATAAGAGCCCATTCTGTACTCAGATTGTCAATTTCTTGAATGAAAACGCCACCACTCGCACTACTAGTTGTAAAATTTCCAGCAAGCTTTGTTTTTTCAGTGGTACTGTGCTGATCTTTGGACCTCTTATTGGATGAACTTTCATGTGTTTTGGATGAGTAGAGGCTATACTCTGTACTATTTTGAGATGATGATACTGCATAATTCAGAGGAGGAAAATTTGTGCTTGGAGGAAAATACCCAGTAGAAGAATGAGCGTAAAAGGGAGGAGGAGGTAGATAATAAGCATAGGATGATGGAATGGTAGCATGATGATGTTCTTGTGTTGTTGTTGTTGGCGGTGGTGGTGGTAGTAATGGATACGAATGTGGAGGAGGAGGAGATAAAGTTGAATGATAGGGAAACTGAGGAGGATAGTGTGTGGTCGGAAGCATTGGTTGAGTCATGGATGGAGTCATGGATGAAAACCGAGTGGATTCCTTATTCGAATAAGGTATGGGTTGAGGATGGGTGGTTTGTTGAGAGAGATCATTGGAGAAAGAAGGAACATTCTCGAGTGATGATGTGGAGAGATTCAATTCTGAGAGTTTGTTCAATGAGATCGAGCTTGGAGTATAATAGCATTGATCTTTGGTATTCTCAATGATCTTATCAAATACGATATGAGGGATATAGAGCAGAGTGGGAGAGTCTCTTCGTTTATGTCTTAATGCAAATTTGACAAATCCATAATTCCCATCCTGATCTAATTTCACTGTCACTATAAAAGTGTAATATTTGCAAAGATCTCTCTTATTCACTTTTGGAGATCTCTTGATCGAAAATCTAATCACTGTTGTATTTGAAGAGTCAATTTCAATTGATTCTGGATCATGTTTTGCTGTTCTAGCAATTTCAAATAACTTTGAAATGTCATCCTGACTGACCGATGCGATGCAAAAGTGAATGCTCACAATCTCAAGTTCTTTGTTTTCATGCTTGACAACAATTGATTTTTGAGCATAGACCGATCGAAATCCGTTCACTTCGAGAACATATTTGCTTGCACAACCCCTTCGATTCGTCGTCCTCAACTCACAAATATAAGAATAATTTTGAGGTACAAAATCCAAATCTTTGGACTTGTATATTGAACTATTTTCCGTGATGGGTTTGTACTCTTCGGAATCGAGTGCTGTTTTTGAATCGATCATCATGGTATCCTTCTGTTGTTGATTGTGATCCGAAAAAGAAGCACTCACAAGGGTCATCAGAGAAGGAGGAGGAGGTTGAACTGCCTTTTCTTCCACTCGATGTGTGGTCGTTGTTGGAAACATTGGGAGTCCAGAGAGTGATTGTGTTGTTGGATGTCCATGGTTCGGTTTGTAATTAATGCTGTTTTGGAAAAAGGGAGCAAGAGGAGGATTTTTATGATTTGTAGAAGTACATGGAGTGAGTGAATTGTTTTTCGAGTTTCCTGTTGTAACAACATGACCACCAAATTGTTCTCGAGAGTTGTTGCTGTTGGGTTGCAGCATCAAGTGCGTGAGTGAGTGATTTTGCGGGTGCACGTGAGCGAGTGATTATTATTTTTAACGGCCACGATGAGAGTTTACAATGTTTGGTAAACCAAGCTAATGGTATCTTGTTCGAAATGAGATTTTGCTAGAGAGCTCTCTGTACCGCAGTCAATTGCATGGAACGTTGTGTTTGAAAGATTTCTTTGGTGTGATTGGTTTCATTTGGCAGCATAAAGAGAGACTCAATCACACTTTAGTATTGTAAACATTATCGTTGGCCAATAAAAATAAATCAAAAATATTCAACCAATCATCGTGCACGTATTGGCTTTTCCCAATTAAATTCCAACCAATCAGTTTAATTCTTTGAATCGACTGCAGTCGAAATCTTTGGAATACGCATTCGTTGGAGACAGTCAACACACATGGACGACACTTGGAATTTTGAAAAAGACAATAACGGCCAACCTGCCGATTATGATGACAACACTTTTCAGGACGGATCACACTCCAACAACAATCATCACGATCATCAAACACACTCACATCATGATGAATCTGTTCCGAATCGATATTCACAACCCAACTATGAAGATGCTTTTGAAGTTGAAAACGAAGATGATGATGCTGTAGCACAGGAAATGATCAAACATCTCGTGAGTAGCAGCAATAATCATGAACAAGCCGAAGATGATGGTGAAGATCACTACACAACACCCTCCTTTCAAGAGCCTAGTGTCGTATTGCATGATCATTTGGAGGCACAACAACAACAACAGCATAATTTTGACGAAACAGCCCATTCAATCATTCTCGGGACGACCAACAATAGCCTCATCTCATCACTAAATCCATCCACAATAACTTCTACTACACCCTCTTCCGATCATCACCATCATGATGACTCTTCACTACTATTGACTACCTCTCAAACCATGACTTCCAAATCCAATTCAACTGCTATCATGCTCAACTCAACAACGGATGCCATGAAAACTGTTCCAACCCCTACCAACACTCATATTTTGTCTCCTTCCTTAAGTACCTCACACGTTCCAAAGTCATCATCAATACCCTCAAGAAGTTCAGCAGCAATGATCAGTAGAGGAACAGAATTCTTAATGATGGAAGATCATCATGCCTCAGGCACCACTTTTCTTCCACCACCATTGGGAGTTCCTGTTTTGAATGCTACTGGCAACACTTCCATCACCTCGCCACTTTTAGGCGCTGGGAAAATGAATTCATCCTCAACACAACTCCACAATTCTCAAGTTTTTTCACATACTACTCCTCAACAACAACACTTCTCAACAGATGTTTCTTCACTCACTCCAATACAACCATCCACTTCACAAGCCTCTATTCCAGCATCTCCCAAAAAAGTTAGAACTATTCAATCAAAAGAAAACGACAAAAGTTCAACAAGATCCAACAATGAAGCAACCGAGGATAATAACTCTAATTTGGAAGTCCTTTCAACAACAGCTACATCTACGACACACGTTTTTTCACCTGCTTACATGCACTCAAATCTCATGCATTCGTTTTATATGGGAGACATGATGTATCATCCAGATATGCAACATTGGGTGTATCCATATGGATACCCTACACAGACAAGTTTTTGGAATTATGGATTTCAATCGTACCCACACGGGACAATGCAGCCCCCAAATGGAGAACATCACTTGATGGGCAGCGAGGAACACGAAGAAATGCTTTCCAGTCATCCTGAGATGAATCACGAACATGAAGCTCAGCAACAACATTTAGCTCAACAAACGCAACAATTTTCTGCAGATGCTTCCAATTCAGCAGGTGAAGGAACCATTTATGTGAATCCTAAACAATACCAACGTATTTTAAAAAGAAGAATTGCAAGAGCAAAGTTAGAAAATCAAATGAAGAATGCTGGACAGAAAGAAAAGGCCTCATACAAGTACAACTCGAGACATGAATGGGCAAAAAAGAGAGCAAGAGGACCAGGTGGTCGCTTTTTGTCAAAGAAAGAGAAGGAAAAGCTTGAGCAAGCTGAGAAGGAAAAGAATGATGCCTCAACAACAGAAAATTTCGCAAGTATTGAGGGTTCCTTTGATACCTCTTCCAAGCCATCTCGATCGAGCAAGAAAAAGAGAGAAACTGCTCCTTTGAATTCATCAATTGTTCCTCCCCCAATGTTCACTGCACCGAACATGATCCCTTTGGTAGGTCCACCCCAACATATCGCGTATCCCAAAACCCTCCCAACAATGATGGAAGATATCAATTTGCCTTCCGCCTCTTCCCATCGACAATAATTTATTATTCATGACAAATAACATCAATAACACCTCTCTTTTCACGGCATGTGAAATGGTTTTTGATCACACTTGGCCATTTTGTTGTTATGTTTTCAGCAACCCAGCTAGAACGAATCATCAAAGCATTATTTTGAACTCTTGATCAAAACTGTGGTGGAAGTCACTTGTCAGCAACATCAGAAAAAAATGAGCAGCAAGGAAATGAAAATTGTGGTGGTCGGCGATGGTGCCGTGGGTGAGTATCAATATCCACTTCATCATGACATCAACTCCGTAACATCAATTTACCTTCTTTTTGTATTATACAATGTTTTATCCATTGCAAAATCAATTGCCAATGTATCAAACATGTTTGACAATGATTCAATCAAATCAATTACAGGAAAGACATGTTTGTTGTGGGTCTATGCCAACAACTCATTCCCTGAAACCTATGTACCAACTGGTAAGTTTTGAGATGACATCATGATGACGAATTTGATAATTTCCTCATTTTTGTATCATACTTTGATCCGAATCAAATCCAATGAAAAACATTAACACTATCTGTGGGACCTTCTTGTAGTATTCGATAATTATAAAACAACTGTGAATTTGGACGGTAGAACAGTGAAATTGGAACTTTGGGATACTGGTATGTAACATGTTGATGGTTTGAAACGTAGCTGACATCAGTGATGTTCATCATGATTGCTGTTGTGACAACATATAGCTGGCCAAGAAGAGTAAGTTGTTGTTGTTGTACAAACTAAATTATGAATGAATTACTCGCCATCATATGAAATTATTCAATCGTAACAACAGATATGATCGCTTGCGTCCACTCTCATATCCAGGAACTCAAGTTTTCCTCATTTGTTTCTCAACTGTCGATGAAACTAGTTACGCAAATATTAGGTGAGTATATATTAGCAAAATGACACATGGATTGGTCACCATGGAGAAATCATTTCGTTTGCACTTCTTTCATGATATTAACAACAATTATATTTCAACAATTCTATTTCAACATAATTAATATATTTTCAAACATTTCATCTATTAAATCAGAACTAAATGGTACCCCGAAGTGAGTCACCATTCAGATAACGTCCCAATGATCCTTGTCGGAACAAAAGTGGATTTACGTGAAATGGGAGACAAGTCACAAGGAAGTGACAGCATCTCTGCACAACTTGGAGAGAAATTGAGAGCAGAAATTAAGGCTGTTAAATATGTGGAATGTTCTGCCAAGACACAACAAGGAGTGAAGATGGTGTTTGATGAGGCCATCAGAGCTGTCCTTTTCCCAAGAAATTCAGGAACAAAGAAAAATTGTGAGATATTGTAACTTGTTGTAAATAATTACAATATATTTGAATACCATATTCTAAATAGAACAAACTATTGCTTAATGTCCATCTGTGAAAACATATCAATTTCATCCCATGCTGAATTATCCACTGGTGCTTCCGACTCGGAGAGAATCTTGGAAAGGTTTGATTCTTTTGACTCTTCTTCATGTTGTTGTTGTTGCTGCTGCTGTTGAGGAGATGAAGTTGCAACTGGTGTGGTCTTTGTTTTGTTGTTGCCACTTGTTGTAGCTCTCTTAGAAGTTGCACTCTTTAAGATTTTCTGAGAGGATGGTTTTGTTTGCTCTTTTGGTGTAAAGTCCTTAAACAAATCCTCAGAGTCCTCTTCCATATTTTGAAGAGTTTCTTCTTCCAAGTGATCCGAGTCAAATCTAAGGACATTCTTTTTCTTGACAGTACCAGATGTGGATTCTGTGCTTTGTATGGAATGAGAAGGTGAGCTCTGTATCACCTTAGTACTGGTCGTTTCTACAGTTACTGTGTGTTCATCATTGTCAGACCAACTATTCCAATCCTCGTCTTCTTTTGATTCTGCATTGTGATGAGTTTTCAATGATGGTGATGGCTCTTGTTTTTCAGGATGATTGTTGTTCAATATTACACGATCCTGGGTAGCTGTTGTCATGGATGATGGTAGTTTCATGCTACTACCTGCTCGGACAGGAGGTAGTGTCGTTGTCTTGACTGATTCTACATGATGAATAGAATGAGGAAGTGGTGATCCTGATGATTGAAATTTAGGAGAAGATGCAGGTTCTGACAGAGAAGGGGAAGAAACATTCGTCTCTGAATCTTTGGTGTCGTTCGGAAATTGTATCACATGCTTTGGAGATTGACCTGTGAATATTTCGTGCCTCACAAGTTCTTTTTGTGAAGTGGCTGGGAAAAGTGGAGTCACATTTGAAATTCCATCATTTGGTGAAGTGATCATTCCAAGATTACATTTAGAAAGATCAACTTCTCCTAATGTTTCAATGGCAACTTTGAGAACTTGGGACGCTTTAGATCTTACTTGTTCTCTTTCGTGTAGTGTGAGTGGTAGAACTGGTCGCATAATATAAGTCATTAATTCTCTTGGATCAAATCGAGACATGTGAATCAAAATGACATTAAGAGCATGAACTTTGAGTTCGAAAATTTCCTTATCAAACAAATTAGCATGTAATGCCGTTAGAATAATGCCCTTATGAACTCCAGGTATATTCCATTGCTCAACCAGACACAACAATGCATGAGATCGAAGAGCAATCACAGATTCAATATTACTGGCATCCATGGTGACTGCTTGCTTTGGAATGGAGTTTTGAACCGCATAATGGTGTAGAGCAGGTAAAAATTGATTATTAATAATTTCCAATCCTATTGAAGATTTGTCATGACTCACTAAATACTTGGAAAATGAAACACAAGCATTCATAGTGAACATGACGATCTCATTGTTACTGTCTTTCATTCCACGCATAATTTCAGGAATAATTTCAGAAATAGCTACCTGTGGAGCAATTTGATTTTGATAATATTCTAGAGTTTGTAGAATTCTCATTCTGAGACTATAATTTTTGCTTAAATAACATTTTCTGATAAAAGTAATAATATGATCCTCGTAGTCTTTTCCAGACAGAATTCCTTCTACTCCTCTCTTACTAGACTCTTTTGGAGAGAATAAATGTGCAAGAAAAGTGCCAGATGCTGGTTCTGTGACAAATGGCAATGTCAACATTCTGGGAAGTATTCTATTCTTAAAAACTGGAAGTGAAAGTTTGGAAACGTGAGACTTTAAGTCCTTAAAGAATGCTTCCTTTTCTGATGGCTTCTTCAATCTCATATCATCAAAAAACAGCATTATTGAACAGAGCGGATCCTGTTCAAAAATCTTAAGCTTTAAGAAACTGGAAAACGTAGCTCTGGACTGAGGCTCGCTTTCCAATGCTTTACCCATCCAATATTTGATGGCAGGTAATTTCAAAAAATGTTGGTATGTCAGGTCATTGGAGATATTGTTCTTTTTACAACTTTCTTCAATTTCAGCAAATATCTTTGATGCAAGCTTTTCGAATGCATAAACATCTCTACAGGTAGGAGTGTATTTTTGAAATTTCTTCATTCCTTCTTCAGGAGTGATGGTTTCTGAATATCTCATCTCCTTTGTCTTTTCAAATATGTCCTTGTCCAAATTATTGAATTCGAGAGCAAACTGGAAATCCCCAAGCATCCATCTCATTTGTTTATCTTTTGTCACATATACCGAATCAAGATGCAAGTTGTTAAATGTAACTTGGCATTGTTCATTTAGGAAATTAAGAGCGCTCTATGAATGTATAGAAAAATATGTTTCTTCATCGAGCACAAAGAAAAAATTACAACACTTACTGCAATTTGATGTAAACCCAAAAGTATTTCAGACATTTCAAGATTTGGCAAAATAGATCGAAGAGGAACCACAGGCTCTGTAGCAATATAGAAATGTGCAGGGCTGATCTCTAGATCGTCTACATACTTAATAATGGAGGGATGTCTCAATGTTTTTATAAATTTCATTCCTTTTCTTGCACATTCAATAATGGTTTTTGCAGGTTCCTCTTCGAATGGAGACAAATTCTTTGGCTTATTCGTATTCTGAGAGGAAACTGAAGCATCTCCTTCCGAGGAGTCACTCGCAGTATTATTTTGTCGGAACTGTTTTGGTAAATCTCGAGCCTGCTTCTCCGTTAAATTAAATTCAAAAACTGATACATTTCGTTGATCGGTTTGAACACTCTTTTGAACAACTCCGTCATATAAATTCCAAAATTTAAATCGTTTATCAGTGTCCACAAGAGGAACTGGTTGAAGAGAAGCAAATTTTTGTGAAACGTTAGAATTTCCCATTTTGTTTCTTCAATGATTTAATAACTGTATTACTATATCATAAATAACAGCAAAGAACTGCTCCGAAATCGATTCTTGCAGAAGAATCAGCAAGGTCAATTTTTTTGATTTTTTTCTAATTAGAAGCACCAATACATCATTGTAACAACGTTCGTTGGGATGAATCACACAATGAATGCCTAAAGCACCCAAGAACAGTAGGGCGAAAATGAACTCAAAAAATGTCATCACCTTCCCTTTGGCAAATTTTGTTCAAGAGAGCCAATTCCAATCATGTACTTCATCATAACAGCATTGGATTTTATCGAAAATTGAAACAAAAATGTGAGGATTGGATACACAATAATATTTGGAACCGAATGTTGAATTTATCGTCAATCTATAAAACTCAAGTGATGCTCGGAAATGTTGAATCTATGGAGAATGGAAAATATGAAAATCAAGTGATGAGAGAACGATTGTTGTTTTATCAAAAACAAAAAAGAATGTTGCTGCGGACAGCAAAGGAGCAGTATAAACAAGAAGTATTGATGGACGAGCTTGCCAGAATTAATTTTGAAATCTTTAATGAAATTGATATGAATCTTAGATCTCGGAAAAAAACGTTGAGAGCGCGTGTAGAGTTTTGGAAACTGTTTTTCAAGTATTTATTTGCAAAGAAACAACAACCACTATTATTACATGCAGAATTATCTGAGTATGATAAATACAAGATAGAGAAGTAATTACTGATCTGTCAAGCTCTGAACAATATTATCTTCTTAGCATCAACAGATGGGAAATCGAGTCACCGATCGAAACCATGGAAATCATTTCTATTCACAGATGGCTCCAACAAAATATCAGACAAAACCTTGTTTTGTAGGGCTCTAAATAATAATCAGGTAAATCTGGTGTTGGTTTGAAGAGCGAGTTATGGAACGAAAGGACAGAATAAAATTGGCCATGAAGAACTGTGTTAAGGGTTAACTTCTCTTCTTCCATTAATCGATTGAGCTGGGTGTGTGGTAAAAATGTAGATTGTTTGATAATGTCACTTCCAATTCCTTGTTGATTCATACTATTGTTTCCCATAGAATATAACACATTCTTTTGTCTGTCATATTCAAAAAAGCAAAGATAGGACGGAAATATTTCTAACGAGCTTGTGTCAAATGTGACAGATTACTTTGGAACCAAGATGTATAGTAATTAATAACTTTTCCTGAAGCAAGTGATTTGGCCTTAAAACAATTTGCAGAAAAAACATCAAAGAAAATCCAATTTGCTTTTGCATTGTTCCATCCTGCTTGCCAGCTGCAGGATGAGCCATCAAATACATAAATTCGACCTGTGTTAGAAGTGAATGCAAACGAATTGGGATCATTAAGTGCAATTTCATTGATCTCTGCACATCCAAACTGTTTGAGAGCGTCAAATTCAAAAGAATTAGTTGGTGTGTGAAACATTATAAATCTGTTGTCAACAGTGATAAGGAAAGAATTTTCATACGAAGCAATGAATGTGAATTTCTGTTGTCCTGCTTTAAGCGCTAATCCCTTGATTGGTGTAAATATGTTAGATTGAGATTTTTTAAGGAGAGAAGACTCAATAATACCAGAAGCCATTACCACAGACCTATTATTGAATAGCAGTAAAGAATGAGAGTTTCCACATGAAAAATCATCCACACAAAATGTTGTTACTATGACCGGCTCAGGTTCTTGCGATGATTTTTCGGTTTTTTTGTTTGATTTTTTCTTTTCTATTTTGCCTTCCATTCTTTCGATTTTTCGTCGTTCTTTTCGTCTTTCCTTCTTATTTGTTATTTCGTAAGTACTATTGGATTGTTTGAATAGGTTCATTCCATTATTATTATTTTCATTAATTAATGATGCAATGTTAAATTGGCATGGTCTCCACTTTTGAATAATGTTTAAACATGACGATGCCTTGCAAGAACAAGCACCCTCATTGTTTCTTCCAATGGCATATAATTTTCCCAATGGTGCTGGTATCAGAAAGACCGCCATCTATCATGCTATCCTCGTATCTCATGCTCTTACCTACTTTTTATCATCATGTGATTTTTACCACATTTTAAATCCGCGATTTCTTCTCGAAAACAAATCTCAGAAAAAATAGAAGGAGATGAACAGACACCTAATTGACTGTTTTTCCCGCACATCTTGAAAAATTATTATTCATTTGGACGTTTGAAAGGGATACATACGAAATAACGGAGTGCAGTGTGTTGTTTGTGCATTTTTAATTAACATCCATTTCATAATTTATTTCGAGTTGTTATTGTTTATCTTGTTGCAAGGAGAGCGGTGACGAAAGCTGGATAGGTGTTGCTGGAAGATTGACAGTAGATAAAGGTGTCCTAGGCTTGGGAAGGGTGTTGTCATCATGGGAGTCTTCATGATCGTTATTAATGACAGGTTTAGGTGATGAATGTTGAGATGATGCTTGTGAGGAGTTCGACATGTTGGGTGATGATGTCAATGAAGGAGTTGGTCCAAGAATAGGTGTCTCTTGTAATCTAGTGTTGAAAGATGTGGAATTTGGCTGAAAGTTGTTGTGCTGAGATTGTGGTGGAAATAGCTGTTGTTGCTGGACGTGGTTCATGTGTGCAATTTGGTTAGCAAGTTCCATTTGAATTATCTTTTTTTGATTAATTTCCATTTTTGAGAGCTTATGTTCAGTAAGGGTAAGGCGGTCCTCCATTACTTTCACCGTTTGTGTGATAATATCCAACTGTCTTAGAATATGCTCCAATGTGTTAGCAAGTGAGGGTGGAATATTATCTGTTTGAATTGGTGGTGGGAAGTAGACACTCTGGAAATTTGAAACGCTAGAGATTTGAGGTGGTTGTTGTCTATTAGCAACCTGAGGTGATTGCTGTGGAGGAAAGGAAGACCCTGCTGCAGAATTGGTTGTTTGTAATTTTGAGAAAGTAGCTCCTGGTGGTTGGGAGTTAACAAATGTTGAACTTGATTGTTTTCCGTTAGCAACTGGAACAGTAGATCTTGGTTGTGCAGGGGCCGAGGTCGGTCTTTCTGAATGACCTGCAGTTCCCATGAACAGTCGCTCTGCCATCTGATCTTCTTCAATTCCTGCGTATGTATTTACATTTGAAAAAGGTGGGGACAAATTATTTTCGAACAGGTAATTGGAAGAGATTTGTCGAAATTTGTTTTCCATACCATGCATAGATTGTCTGCACCTCCACTTGCAAAATAGTCACTGTTTTTGACAATCAATTAGAAATAGATACGTTTTGAAGCAGGTACTTACCCGAGAGGAGAAAATGTGACTGCAGTTGTTGGACTGGCATGACCACTGATCGTGTAGAACAGCCTTCCTTCACGTGTGTCCCATATCTTCATTGTTTGATCAGTGCTGCAACTGATAATGTAGTCACCACTTGGATGATAGCTCACTTGGTTTACTGTGTCTTCGTGACCAGTAAAATGTTGCAAAAGCTTTTTGGCCAGTCTTACATCCCACACTTTCACTGTCTTATCAACGCTACAAGATACCAAACAATTTCCGTCGGGAGAAAAGTGTACGTCATTTACATTGTCAGCATGCTCAACCAATGTCATTATACATTTGTTAGATTTAATATCCCATAGTCGAACAGTTTTGTCGTCACTGCCACTCACGATTAAACGTTCGTCAGGCGAGAAATCTGTGGCCCTTACCCAGTTGGAGTGTCCAGAAAATACTTGAATGAATTGTTGGTTTGCAATAGACCATAACTACACAACAATGTATCATACCAATTAATGTTACAACACCTACCTTGATAGTTTTATCATCGGAAGATGACAAGAGTCGTTTTCCATCCATTGAAAAGTGAACACTCCGAACAGTGTTTGTGTGGCCCCTAATTACAGTTGATTTTCCTTCAATTGTTGGCTGCCAAAGTCTAATAGTTTTATCTCTTCCTCCTGTAGCCACTAACTTTCCAGTCAAAGGGGAAAATTCAACGCACATGACTCCACCCTTTTCATGTTGTTGATATTTGTATGATCTCAGATTTGGTTTAAAGTTCCAGATATATAGGGTTGAATCCATAGCAACCGATGCCATTCTCTTCATACTTGGACAGAAGCTAAGTCCCGTGATCGTTCCATGGTGACCTCTGTATGTCCTTTCCAATGTTGGGTCATCTGACGAAAGGTTGTTTGCAAGCATTTTTTTATAATGAAACATTGTACCAGTGAATGGCGGGAAAAACTCGCGGGCAGAAAATCGAAACTTGCATGTTGCCACGTGCAAATACATTCTGGTGTTGTTCAACACGGAGTGCCATGAATGCCATTTCATGCAGACTGTTTGCACAACTGACTGGAAATTCATCATAGACACAAAATACCTTAACAATCCTTTGAAAAAAAGAGAGGTCAAGAGAAACTAAAAAAACCATATAACACCTGTGCGAAGTTTAGAATGCAAGTTCCATTGGAGAGAACATTCTGATCATAGCTTCCTCTTCTTTTTCTCTTAAAGGTAGATGATCTGAATTTATACTCGGACATATTTGTGTATTGACCCAAACTTAACAAAAGCTTGGTGAGTTCTTCCTCTATTTTTGTGGTCTGAAACTTTCCTATTAAACCCTTACGTTGGCATCCATTAGAAGAATTCCATCATCAAAAAAACAAATCACCTACAAGAATGAAGTTTATAGTACTCGCGTTGTTGCTTGCGTTGTCTTTGGCTGTCCTCATGATTTGCTCTGCCGAATCAACTCTTGCAGAAAGCAATACTCTTTCCACATACATTGCAAGAAGAAAGGGGAGAAAGCAAAGACGTTCTCGTAAATTTAGAAAGTTAGATACCTATGGACGTCGTAAAAACAGAGGAAAGAAATTCAAGGGCAGAAAGTTCTGGAAGAAGTATGGTCGAAAGAGATTTAGAAAGTTTAATAAGAAGGGTAAAGCTCAAAAGAAGAGAAGATTCCACAAGAGAAAGGGATGGAATAAGAAGAGAGGAAAGAAGTATTATCACCGTTATCATAAACACTCGACAAAGAGATATGGTCGTGGTAAGAGAAGAAGCCTTCACAAGAAACGAAGAAATTACTTGAAGAAGAGAAGGCACCACAAGAGCAAGAATAACAAGAGAAAGAGATGGTACAAGAGAAGAAACAATTTGAAGAAGAGAAGACATAACAAGAGAAAAGGATGGAACAAGAGAAAGAAGTATGGTCGTCACAAGAAGAGAAGATATTTTGATATTTACGGATAGAGAGTTTAAATCTATTCAAGTTTTGCAATTTTGCAGTAACCAATCAGTTCGTGAGTTGATTAGCCAATAAATTCAAACCGTTTGTTGGTTACCGTCAAATGTTTTTCTATTATCGATAATGACCAACCTAATCACTAATTTCGCTACTGCTTGGCTTAACCTCGTCCTCTTCACCCGTGTACATGTCGTACAGTTGTGCAATCTCCTCAACATAATTTCCATCCGGAGTTTCCAATATCAATGGGATGTTTCTAAAATTTGGATTATTGACAATGTATTTAAAAACCTCTAAACCCAGATGTCCTTTTCCAATATTTTCATGCCTATCCTTTTTGGAACCGAGTTTTTCCTTGCTGTCATTAAGATGCATTCCCTTCAAATACTTAAAGCCAACAATCTGATCAAATTCATCAAATACTTTTTTACATCCTTCTTGCGTTCGTAGATCATAGCCAGCAGCAAACATGTGACAAGTGTCCAAACATATTCCAACTCTGTTCTTATCTTCTACATGATCAATAATCATTTTCAATTGTTCAAATTTATGTCCAATTGTGTTTCCACTTCCCGCAACGCATTCCAAACTGATATTACATTGTCTACTTGTGAATTTGCCCAATTAATGCATTCTGCAATTTGCTTGCAACCATTTTCCACGGTTGTTTCTCCTACAGTAGATCCAGGATGAAAGTTATACCGTTTGAGGCCTAATTGTTGACACTTTTTGTATTCTGTTAGAAATAGATTTTTCGATTTAGCCAACTTTTCCTTGTCAGGGTTTGCTAAATTGATCAAATAACTTGCATGTGGCAATAAATACTCTCTGTCAAAATTTAAATCTTTACAATTTTCAATAAATTTCGAAACTTGTTTGTCTGTGTACTCTTTTTGTGAATATGTCTTTTGATTTCCCAAAAACAGTGCAAATGCTCCACAACATCCATTCGCCACAGCTGCTAATGGAGCATGTTCAATTCCTTGCGAACCAAACGCTACATGACATCCAATTAATAATCGTGGTTTACCAGTAACAAATCTTTCCCAAAGCTTATTCATCTTTTCTTTGTCTTTTTCTGTGAGTTGTTTTTTCTTGATCGTCTTTTTTGATTTTTTCTTCTTCTTTTTATTATCTTCTTCGGAATCACTACTACTACTCGATTCTTCGTCTGAACTGTTCTTCTTTTTCTTTTTTCTGTTATTGCTTGTTTGCTTCTTGTTGTTCGATGAAGAAGCTGCAGCCGTTGATGAATTGGTATTTTTCTTTTGTTGGTTTGCTTCTTGGAAGAAGACAGCGGCAGAAATTCATCCTCGCTATCGGTATCATCCAAAATCAAATCAAAATCTTCATCCTCACTGCTTGATTCAGCTTTTTGTCTTTTCTTTAATGATGAAGATGTGTTGGATGAAGAGAAGAATCGACTGGTGCGTGCAGGCATTTTGAAATTTTTGTTGATTTATTAAAACAGAAAACTCGTACTTTCGTCTGACACTAAAAAAAATCTTTACAAAGGTCGTAGTACCTGTATTTGCTTTCAACTATAGGTTCTACTAATTTTATGGTACACGTAAATGATATACATCCTACAACGAGCGACTCTAAAGATCTTTCGATTTCCAATTTCGTCCTTTCGTTTGATTCATGGTGTGAATGTATTCAACGGTTGCAATTAAGGCCACTCATTATCAAAATTGTTAAACTCCACACTCTTTTGATCAAAATTCAATACAATTCATGAAACATGCACAGAATAGAAACATCAATGATTCGAGCCATGGAGTTGATGGGAGAACTCGTCTTGAATTTTCTTTTTCAATTTACATTTTAGAAATAGTGAAGGATTAGTCACTGCACATTTCTTTTCTTGATCCATATCCATGGAAAACACGTCGGAGAGTGGTAAGTGACAATCGAGTGACTAGAGCAATTGTGTTGATTCATTAAAGAATGAGCAGGCGACATGGATTGGTGATGAATGCAAGTGATGAGGTTTTTTTGCTTGTTGTGAAGTTGTTGGAATGAACTGGAGGTCATTCAAAAGGGATCCAATTGTTGCTAACGAATCAGTTATCAACAGACAAGTTGGTGAGTGATTTAACTTTTTTTGAAGTGTGAAATAATAATAGAATTGAAATTGAACGTTTTGATGACACGTTGCTGACAGGAGTTTTGTGTGACAGGAGCGAATAAACGGAATCGTGAAGTGAGAAGATACGTTGGCACCAAGAACGTTCTCTTATGAGGAGAATTTGAAGGGTGGTCCCAAAAGAGAACTGGAGATTTTTTGAGGTGAGACAAAACAAATAAAAATTAATGGGGAGCAGTGGGAATCGAACCCACGGCCTCCTGCACCCAAAGCAGGAATCATACCACTAGACCATGCTCCCTTTCGATTTGAAGTAACAACATTTTTATATCCACTGTGTTGCGATGAGAATTGGAAAACGAAGAACCTGTTGTAAATTTCACCTTACACCTTTTTATTACCTAGCCCTGAATGATGAAAGAACTTCCTAGTGCTGCGGTTTAAAAAGCTTTCTTGTGTTTGCTGGAAATAAATTTACCAATTTCCAAAAAAAATGCACAACAACGAACTTGATCATGATGGCTCCGACGTTCACAACACATCTGGACACAATCTCGGAGGCCAACAACAAGAAAAAGAGCCACTCACAGTAATACCCCTAAATATTCGTCAAGTAATCTGCAGCAAAGCCGTTTCACTCACAAAATTTTCGTTAAATATCTCGGACGCTCCAAAACAAAAGATTATTGACCAAATTACTGTTGTCGGACAGGTTATCAAATCCACCAAGAAAGCTCCAAATCGTCTTGATTTGTTTATTGATGATGGTACTGGCAGGATTTGTGTACGATTTTATTTTGATTTTAAAAAGTTTGAAGTTGAGCCAAACATGTTTGTTCGAGTTTTCGGAAGTATTGGATGTGATGATAAAACAACAGCTAGGTATATTTTGGGAGCTAACATGTCCTATATTAGTGATTTCAACGAATTTACTACACACATGCTAGATAGCATTGTAGCCCACCTCCATTATCAGTATGGGCCTTTACCAAAAGGAACCAGAGAAGTTCAAAATCAAATGCATGCCGCCCATCCATCAGAAGACATGATAAGCATTGTTTATGGATACATTGCCCAGAATGGAGAGGTATCTTTTGATGATCTGGTGCAAGCTTTTGGAGAGAGTAACGTAATTCCAGCCCTTGAAAAGTTATTCGAAGGTGTGCATGTGGAATATGTTCCTGGTGCAAATGATAGATATAGACCAGTTCAACAACCCTATGGGCAATAGTCGCTCACATGGATGCTCATTCTTGTAAATAAAGGAGCATAGCTGGTGTCAATACCTGTTCGAGTTCACAAGCAAACGATCGAGATGATGAACATTTGAAAAAATGTTTGGATTGCGAAGTCTATTTTCACCACTGAAAGGAGGATCCGATGAAAAAACCGACGAGCACGAACAACCCATTGTTGTTGATCAAAACGAGTCAGTGATGATCAAACATGATACATCCCATTCAACAATTCCGTCAGCACTACAAACGTCTACCATAACAACATCCGATGAAACATCTACCATCAGAAGGCATTCGAGAAGACGAAGCCTACTGGAATTTATTGGCGTCAAAACGTCTGACGATTCTCATGAACATGCTGAAGAAAAAAAACCATCCATCACAATACCAAACAATGCAATTGGAGTTGAATTCGAAATTGGAAAAGTATCTCTAAGAAGCGATTTGAGTTTTACTCAATATTTTAGTGCATCAATATTTGACACCATCTTGACTATTAGTGTCAAACCTAAAGAAGAGGATGAACTTTTAGAGGATGATCTTTCTAAATTACCTTCTGTTCAATCCTCGCGTATTCGAAAAACTCCCCTTTCTGATGGATTTATTTTCGACTGGAAAGGAGAGAAGGTATTATTAATTATTCCACTTTCACAGAATGAACTAAATCAAGTGCAAAATATTTGTAAATCAGGTTTAGGAAATAATTCTAATTTCAATTCGTTGGAACATGCTGCTATGGATTCAAAAAAGATACTTCCTCATGTTGTAATTCAATTAGATAATATTTCTAGAGCTTCTGAATTTGTTCACAACTATTTGGTTAAATGTAATCCACATGTATCGTTTTTAGGTGACTGTAAATATGATCTCAATAGACTATTAGATTTTCGCTCAAAATCAGTGAACGCCATAGAGCTCAATCTGAAGCGTGGAAAGGACAAAACTGGAGTTATTTCTCTTTCAATGAAATTAGTATTGCCCCCAGAAGGAAATGAAACTGGTTCATTGAGAAAGTCTAGTAGTGCTTCACTTTCTGATCATTCTTTTGAAACCATTTCCTTTGATGATTCATTTATCACGTCAGGAGCAGCCAAAGCACACCCTTCTGAACCTGTTAATATTTATGACAGCAATTTTGATTACAAGAAAACAGATACGGACAATTATTATGAGGATACACATTATGAGCTATTGGAGTGTGTAGGATCTGGAGCATTTGGAAGGGTCTATAGGTAGGTCAATCAACGTTATTCTGAGCAATAATGATGAAATTTCTAATCACTTAATGTTAACATACATTGAAACATTCTTGTTCGCCACTTCCTGCAGAGCACGAAGAAAATCAAATAATACCATTGTTGCAATTAAGAAAATTGCCTGTGGTAATATTAACAATGCAAACGATGCACTAGTTGAATTTTGGCCTGTTCGCAACATTCATCACCCCTATCTTGTTCGAATTGAGGATATTTATTTTTCAAAGCAAGCGGATGATTATACATCATTATTTGATTTGTGTCTCGTTATGGAATATCTAGATTGTGGAGATTTAGAACATTTCATATTGGAACATAAACAACAACATCAATCCATACAACAAGCTCATTTACTTTCGTTGTTTATTCAAATGGCAGCTGGATTGAATCATCTTCACAATAATGGGCTTTTGCATAGAGACATCAAGCCCAAGAACATACTTTTAGGTAAGGGCTAATTACACAGTTGCTTGATACACAGGATAACAATTCTTATCGCTTCCTCACACTATTAATATTTGCTTGAATATGACACAACACTTTTTCAAATGACTCGCCATGATTAGAGAATAAGGGTAAGAAGTGTAAAATTGGAGACTATGGACTCGTGTATAATTTAAGATCTTTTTCTAATTTAAACGAAACACTCTCCTCTGCTGGCACCAAGAAATTCCAAGCTCCGGAATGTCACATTGGAGCTAAAGACATTTGCGAGTCTCCTCAAAGCGCCAAAAGCCTCCCACAATCTAACCAACAACCCTCATCCCCTCAAACCTGTAACTCACTCTTTATGAATTATATTTATGCATCAGATATATGGTCACTTGGTATTGTCTTTCTTGAAACCATGTCATGTGATACGTTAGACGTTTCTCCTTTCATTTCTGTGATGAAAAACTCAAGCAAGTTCTATGAGGATATTCGAACGAAATGTCAGAACTATCACAGTGGTTTTGCAGAGCTCATCATTTCCATGTTGAGTCAAAATCCAAGAGATCGGCCAGATTCAGAAAAAGTTCTGAATCAGCTTATTTCAATCAAGAAGGAGCTCTATGGGCAAGAAAAGACAGTGAAGATACATCCTGTCATTGAAATTCATAGACAATTACTCTCTGTTGGTAAATCATTTAAGGGTCTTCTAGAACCTATTCTCCCCATTCATGATGAAGAACTCGAATCTACAAGTTCAACCAAGGAGACGACACAAGGAGCTCCAGAACAAAAAGGTCATCAAAAATCCTTTTCATTGCTCTCTTCGAATGGAGGAAGTGTCAGTTTTAGAGGCTTATTTTCCGGTCTTCACAATAAGAACGACGACATTGATGATGACATCTCTGAAGAGAAATTACCACAAGATCAATCTTCATCCTCAACACGTCTTCAACACTCTCATCAATCAAGCAAAATCAAACATGATCCCAAAATTACAGAAAGTGTCTTCAATTTTGGTCTTTGGTGAAGAAAACAAGGAACACACCAACACCTTATAGCTTCGGCATTGAATCAAATAACTCAGTCGATCTGTAGTGACACTCTTGTTGCTTCAACCTTTTTGATCGAGTCAAGTTTTAGTTTCTTGAGGGACTCATTGGATCGACGAGAGATAGCCATCAAAAAAAAGTACCGCTCTTCTATGATAAATTCTCTACAATTTCTGTTGAGCGGCCGAAATTGGTTATAACTGTCCTAGGATTTATATTGCATAACTTTGATGATCATGGAGGGATCTGCTTCTTCAGTTTTGATGGACTGTCTGAATCATTCAATAAGTACAACACCCGGCCTGAGGGAAGAACAGTTGTCTCTCAATGAAGCGGAGGTAATTTCTCTAGGAAGTAACTCCTCTCCTAGAAGCACCATGAGCAGCTCCTCCTTAATAGAATTAGATGATATTCAATTACTTCAAAATACAGAAAAATCTAATAACAATGTTTTGGAAAATTCATGGGACCATAGCCAGCTGATTCTGCTGGAACACTCTTATCAAAATGAATATACATCGGACGAAAAAGATTGCTCTTTCAACGATCACTCTACGGTCGAACAACAAACGGAAATTTCATACAACGTCTCTGCCCAATCGGAAATAGACAAAACTAAGAAATCAACTCGCTCATCAAATCTTGTCAAAGGAACAACCACAACAACTCGTTCCAGAATAACAACCCCACAAACAACCTCTCACACTTCCAGAGATGAAGAGCTTGAATTTGAGCTGTTAGGAAGAAGTCAAAAATCAAGGCCACCTCTCCATCACCTTTTGCTAAACCCACTCCAACGAGGATTCATAACAGCTCTGAAGCTGAAAATGAACTACTTTATAAGCCACCAGATCAATCACACATTACACTCAAAGACAAGAATGAAATTTTGAAATCTGTAGAACGTCTGAAAGTAAGACAACGATATTTAGAAGACAAGGTTAAAAAAGAAAACAAGGCTCCTGTCAAGCCCAGAATTACCTTTCAAACCAAGAAAGATGAACCAAAACCCATCAACTCAAGAGTTTTTTTCGACATCATCCAACCGCTCAATTATAAACAAGTTCAGCATTCCATAGAGGAAGAAAAGAGAAGAAGAAGAATTGAGGAAAAAAGAAAAGAGCTGGCAGAACAAAAGATACAGAACGCCAGTAAGATTAGAGAGGAACAAAAGGCACGAGAATCTGCAGTAAAAGCAAGATTTTCTTATGAAATGACCAAGCGACCGTCTACTCCCTCAACGACCAAACGTCCCTCCACACCTTCCACAAACAAAAGGCCCTCGTCGAGTCAACATGAACGTCCCAAGAGCTCTCAGGGCCTAACAGGACTTTTTCATTCTTTTGTTAGCGATAGTAGCTACAACTCCGAAAAGGATTCCAAAGAGTTCAGTTTGCTTGTGAAAGAACAAGAAAAACTACTGAGCTCCATTCAAGAATTGAAAGCCAAGTTACAAGCAACAACTACTAAGACAAAGAAGCTTGTAAATTAATTAAAGTTTCTTGCAAAATGCCCTGTCAAAATATGGACCCAATGGCTACATTAAAAACATGTTTTATTATTCACAAATAAATTAAATCAGGATTTACTCAGTCCAATCCTTCTTAATTACCAAGTTATAATTCATTTCCTAATCATTGAATTGAATGAACCATTAATATGAATTCTTCAAGCCAGAGAAAAGTCAATTACGTACCAAATGGGTGTTTCCATCATCATCAACGAATTTGGTGTTGGCCTTGAATGATCCACGAGCCAACATTCCGCTTGGAGCATATTGAGGTTGTGACTTGTAGGTATATGGCTCAACACGTGGAGCATAGCTTCCCATCATTGTGTTCTGCAGTACAGAGTTAAGTATAGGAATCATGATTCAAAATAGGTAAATCAACCAATTAAGATAACAACAAGTTGGCATCGGTTTCGTAATGAGCATTCACAACATACCTGTTGATCAACAGTCACCATAGTCTTCTTGATAGTGTTAACAAAGTGCAAGGCAGGAACAATATCATGTTGTACTCTATATGTAACCACAAATTGATATTTCACTCCTTCTTTGATATTAATTGGTTCGTGTTCTAATTTGGCAACCTTTTCTGGAGTTTCAACTTCTCTGATGATATCTGGATGATCTCCGTCAGGGAATTTCAATCCAAATGTCTCTACAACAACACGACGAGGGTCATCAGTCTTTGGAACTCCCTTGACTGCAGCACCTAAAAGTTGTTCCTTGTATTTTCTGAGTGATTCATCCTCAGTGTCTTTCTGAAGAATTTCGTTAATGGATTCGTGATGGCCTTTGGGGATAAAATTGAATGATCATCAACGATGGACATTATGATTGTAATATTAATTAATATATGAAACGAAGGAATGTATAAAAAATTGATGTTGTTGTTCATAAGGAGAATCAAGATCATCACGTTGAGATGATGAAAATTCAAAAATAAATTTTTAAGAAATCATTTTCAATATGATTTTGGGTGGAAGCAAGTGATCAATCATTCAAACAGTTTAATATAGGGTTATTATTAATCGTTCATAAGAATTGGAGATGAGTTAATACACCAAGACTGAGTACGATCAGTTTCACTTACCTCCGCTCATTTTTTGTTTTATGTTGATGAGTTTGCAGTGTCACTTTTCAACGCTGTGGTTACGTATGACAGATCATGCCTTGAAATTGTAACAAGTGAAAAGGGAACTCGTTCGAAGGTACTTATCTCTAAGGGAACTTGATTTAATAACCTTTTACTGTTTGATGGAGCATAATATTCAATAGTAATGTCAGAATAACGACAATAAGTTCCTTCATGCAAACAGCCAACTCAAACGTTCAATAAATAAGAGGCTTCATAGGCATCTTCTAATTTTCTAAATATCAGTCTAGTTCTATTTCTTAATCTTGATGTAAAAAGACTCGTCATCTTCTTCTACAGTTGGGTTTGTTTTATTTTTCCTTTCTGTGGTATCTTCTGGTGACATTTGTTTCAAGCTTTCAGATTCTTCTGTTGAATTTGACTGAGAAGATGACGAAAAAGAGTTCACAAATTCTTGCTTCAATTTTTCATAACTATCAATTTGATAAAGTTTTGCAAGTGTCTTTCTTCCCTCTTCTTTTGTTTCAAATCCTTCAATTCCTATTGTAAATATTCAAACAAATCGGAAAATGATAATCGTATTCCACAAATTGAATCAAACCTACGGATTGGGTTTCCTGAGATGGCTCTTCCCATCACGTACATGTTTGCCGCAAACATAGTTGAAAACACGGCCAGAAGAGTGAAGCGAGAGGCTTTTTCGCCCATTCGCAGGCGCACCATTTTTATTTAAAATTGTTGAACACAATGTATTGGCAACTAACATTAAATCAAGAACATTTTCTAATGTTTACTCTCAGGAGTAACTCTTTCACTCTTTCTTTACTCGTTAGACCACCCTACAATTCTTTATTGTAAAAGTCCAAAAAAATTCATCATCAAGGTGGGTGTTATTGTTGGTTTCATTTATTGCAACGGATTGTGCTTTGGCGTTTTTGTTGCTACAACAATTTGTGGAATTGATGACGATTGTTTGATACACTTTGGAATTGGTTTTTGTTTGTTACGTATGACGATGCGAAATTGTTGCCGATGACTTTTCAATCATTTTAAATAACGAATAATGAATTTTTCGGTGTGGATGATAATGAATTACTTTCTCCGAACATATTCAAATTTAATCAATCAGATGTTGAAGGGAAGAGTTCATAGACACGTTTCACCAAATCATCAGCATGTTTTCAAACATTTCTTTGATGGATTACCAAAAAGATTGTGGGTGAGAACTAGAAGATTGCTTGTCGATGCTGGTCCAGCTTTGTTAGTTTACTCAACTCTCTACGTGTGGGCAAAAGCTACCAAGCATCACAACGAAGTTATGGAAAGACCATAAATTTGTCATTAGTGTTGTTGGAGAACATTATCAAATTAAAATGCACTAATTTTGCTTTGAGGTTTTTTAATTAGAGCCCTTTCGCTCTCAGAAGTTCGAAATCATTCAATAAATTGGGAAGAAAACACAAATTCGCCTTATTTCAGCCTGTTTATTCTGATGACGATGACCTATTGTGTTGACGTTGGTCGTGAAGTGATTTCAGTACAGGATTTAGTTTAAAGTTTGTTTCTCCTTTTTGAAGAGCAGCCAAAAGTTCTCTTTCTTGACGTTCTCCTTCTTGAGCTTTCCTGAGCTTGTGGTTGTACATTTGTCTTCGTTTGTATTCGAACTGTTGCACAGCATAAGGATTTGAGAAGTCAACAGGTTCGCATGAAAGAGAAGGCTTTCTGGAAGGAGCTCTTCGTGATTGGCGGTTGCAAATTCATCGTCACCCATTTCATCATCGATATTCATGGCATTAAATCGAGAAAGAGCTGCGCTCTCGTTTGGCGAGGCTTGGTTGCAAAAGAGTGTTCGGGGAGGTGGTGAAGAGAAATATGTTTGGCTGTTGTGATGATGGGTAGGAAATGAAATTTGATTGTCAAAGCCTTTCACTCGTTTCCGATCTGGATGTTCTAATTTAGTGTCTGATAGTGATGATGCAATCGTCTTTGGATTTGTTGCGGATGATGATATTTCTTCATCGTCGTAATCGCTATCCGAGTTTGAAAAAGCATCATAGTCCTCATTAGTATTGTATGAGTAGTGGGGAAGAGAAGATGTTTCATAATCGTCACGTTTCCTTTTGCAATTTTGTTGTTGATCTAAAAGAGAAGGAGGAGAGGGTTGAAAGAAAGAAGGTGAGTAGAAGTAGCCATGGTGATCGGAAGAAGGAATGGTACCGGGAAAAGGAGTAGTGTTGTTGTTGTTGAAAAGGTTGGAAGGAGTCATGGATAGAAGGGATACAAAGTGGTACGGTTCTAAACCAACTGAAAAGGACCGTACGGAAATGAAAGAGGTAGTTTTTGTTGTGGACAAGAAAAGACGTTCCTAATAATTTGTTTTCTTGAGCATGGAGGAATTTTTTTTGTATCAAATGTTTGAACTGAAACTTAAAAATAACCGGGTTTCTACGAGTTGTTTTCTTCCTAAACACATGTGAAAATAACGAATTGTCTGCCCGTCTAGCTCAGTCGGTAGAGCGCAAGACTCTTAATCTTGTGGTCGTGGGTTCGAGCCCCACGGTGGGCGATTGAATTTTGTTTAATTTTTAAAGGAGCTTTGAACGGGAATCCAATTAAATCTGATGAGTTTTCATCGATTCGATTTTTAACCTTTGACTTTCTCTTATCGTTTGACCTTTTTTGTTGTGTTCCAACAATTTCTGTTTTTAGAGGTAATCCAAACTCAAAAAAATGCACGATTTTGTTCACCAACCAGGAGATAGCACTGCCAACGCCCCAGCCCAGTCCATCATGAAAATGCATTCAACTGAACACAAAGTATTCAACGACTCTTCGGATGGCTCTTACGAAGAGCAGTATGCATCATCTTATTCTTTTCAGCCGGAGGGTATAACAACGAACATTATCCAAGGCACTCTGTGGATGCTTCCTACTACTCTAATAACATCTCTCTCTCGAATGGAGAGAACGGTGCTGAACAGCCTGCAAGCAGTGAAGAATTCAAAAGCAGCTCGAGCAAATCTCCTTTCATTCTCTTCCCACTTATATCTAAGTTGTCCAAGTGTACTCTTGTTGATAAGGGATTATTTAATGTATTTAATCTTGGATTTTCATTCTTCTTATTATTCTGTTCATATGAAACAACTCAAAACTTCTTAACTACAATCAGGGAAGAAGAGGGATTTATTGCTTTATTTGTTTTATATACAGCATTTGCATTTGCAAGTTTTGTTTCTCCTTCATTTTGCACACTAGTTGGAGAAAAAATTACAGTCATTATTGGAAGCTCTGGATATATTTTGTTTGTGTTCTCGGCAGCAATTGAAAGCTCTGCTTTATTATATCTAACTGCCGCGTATAATGGTTTTTGTGCCGCTTTGCTTTGGACCAGTCAAGGAAGTTTACTGACATTGTCTGCCAATTACTCGCAAGTGATAAATCGCAAACAAGTTGAAACGACAACAACAACCACAGAGATTGGTTTAACATCAAAAGAGTTTGAACTTGAAACCATTGAAAAAGGAGATTCTAGTAATATTATTAATATTTCCCATTCTATTCCAGGAGATGCTGACATGGTGGAGATAAAAATCAATAACGACGAAATTGCGTCGCCCATTCAACCTAACAAAACAGATAATAATGCAAAAGAACAAAGCTCTCACAACGTTACTCGATCTGTTGAATTAATGGGGATTTATAGTGGAATTTTCTTTGGAATTTATCAATTGAACTTCATTGCTGGAAACCTATTGGCTGGCTCCTTAATTTCTGCAGGCTTTTCCAATTTTTCTATTTTCTTTATCCTTGGATGTTTGTGTGTAATTGGAATGCTGTCTTTGTTTACTCTTAGGTCCATGAAGCCATATTCTCTTGTTCCAAATATTAACCAAACTGACACATCATCAAGCACAGAAGAACGTACTTCAGAAGTTTCAAGTATTCAAAAGAGAATGGATTTTGTCAGGAAGCAAGGAGTTGAATTTTTAAAGCTTGTTAAGGGTAGCATTTTCGTTCTCCTTTCTAAAAAGATGCTCATATTCTCGCTCATTAGCATTTACTCTGGGTTTTCTGCATCATTCTTTTATGGATCTCTACCACCAATCATTGGTAAATCAAGAATAGGTTGGGTAATGATTGTATTTGGTGTCTCTCAGGTGTTGTGTGCGTTGATTTCTGGAAAGTTAAATGATTTTATCGGAAGAAGAGCAAGTATGGTAATGTCAATGGTCATCCACGCACTAGGAATTGCATTGTCGTTCCAAATGGTTTATTGGGGGCAATATGCCAAGCATAAGGAAATTTCAACCGAAATTTACCTATTATTTTTTGCCACAATGGGAGTTTTTGGAGGAGCTGATGCCTTTCTAATGAACTCAATATATTCAATATTGGGCAGTAGAAATTACTATAAGAAGGTAGGATCTTTTCGTTGAAATCACCGCATTTATTTTGCATTCCATAACAATTTATTCCATTCAGAAACATACAAGTGAAGCTTTTTCAGCTTTCAGATTTGTTCAGTCCATCTCCACAGCAGTTGGATTTGCCTTTGGAATTATTCTACAAATTGTAACCATTCAATTTTTATTAGTGGTTTCATTTGTCATGTGCATTATTGCGTTTTTAATTCTAGATGGATTCATTGCCAGTGTCGATAAGGAAAAACGTACAAGACAGAGACAAAAGTCTACTAAGGCTGCACCAACCACTGAACATGCTGTCCATCCTGCCCTTGAGATTTGAGAACTCTAACCTATTTATTAATAGTTGCTCTTCTTCTCAACCTTTTGCATGATTCGTTCGTTTCTTTGCAACAAACACATCAAAAAAATTGTGAAAGCAAGCTCTGGGTCATCACCTGCAATCATTAACCCTTCCGCCTATCGAAAAATAAAAATTGAAAAAGTTCCCCCAGTATTTCAATCATTTATTATCTGTATGTATACTGTGAAAGAAAGATGCGATATCTGGGGCGGTGCATGAACGAGAAGAATTCTGGGTAAAATATCGATTCTCCAAATTCAGCACAAGTTCTGACAAGAACAACAAGTGGAATCCAGGAATTCCATCTCCAACATGCAATAAAGGGCAGCATTCTCCAATGGTCGTTAGTGGTTGAAACCACCGCACAACACTATAATCACACTAAGGGAGCACATTTACAATTGATCAATATCGATCTCATGCACTCAATGAACTGTTTTCATCTCGTCACATATTGACTTGAATCAAGAGCAACTCGATGGAAACGGTTATGCTATTGCTCAAGGTTTAACGCTTTCACAATAACACCCTACTGATCCAGTAGGCAGGTGATTGGATTCAACTTTACTTTGTTGCATGTTGTTAATGGGCATCCTGGATAGGGAACGTAATTAAATTTTAGTAATAAATAAATTTGGGGTCATGATAGGCAGTAAAGCAATGTAAATGGAGATAGCATCCACATCCCATGCATTTGTATCCACATCTCGAAGAAGAGTCCTTGCAATGAGAGCATAATTGATACCGTTCCAACTTTTTGAGTTTCATGGGGAAGTGAGTTGTTCTGGTGAAATAAGGGTTACGAAAGGTCACAGTTTGAGCAAGGCTGTGCTTGAGGTAGTCGCAAAGAGTTAAACCTGGGTTGTTAATGTGATGCTTAAATATGATATACTGGTTGACAAACGAAGTCTTCATCATCTGCAATAAATGGACAGTTTTCCAGTTTTTGTTTCTAAAAGGAGGATGAGTGCAATGCAAGAAAATTCCAGATTTGTCAACACATCCCATTGATTTGTTATACATTTCTTGAACGTATGGTTTGTTTTTGATTAATTGACTGCTTCCTAAATTTGTCAAAAAATTAACTCGTTTGTTGTCATTAATTGACAATGCCACTAAAGTGTTCTCCTTATTTACAGCATGGATCCATTTTCTAGTTTTGCTTCCAGGGAGTTTTTTCTGCAATCCTTCTGAGAATAGATAAGAAGGACGATTGTTACGGACAGTCATAACAAATTTCCATCCATGATTCACCAATTCTCTCGCAAGATCCAATGATCCATAATAATTGTCGATTCCTAAAACATGATTTTCTGGTGAAACATGTTTAACTAAATCTAAAACAATAGATGTTGCATTATGAGAATACCTTGATTCTTTTCCTTGATATAACCAAAATGCATAAATATAACCTGTAGAGTCTGATAAAGCATAATATTTCAGGCCGTACTTGTGAGGTTTCAATGGGATATATTGTTTAAATCGTATTTTCCCTTTAAAAGCAGCAATTATTTCATCAACTGAAACTTCTTTAACACATAACCAATAATGTCTACTGTTCGAATTAACATTGTCCTCTAAAAAATTAGGTTCGCTACTGAGATGCATATGTATGTCAATAAATCGTTTCCGGCTCATTATTCGTTGAATGAGTTTGCAAGCATAGAATGCATGATTCTCTCCGTCTATTGACCAATAATCATAGTAATTTGGAATTGGAGATAATCCCATAATTTGGCAAATTTGTAAAAATCCCTTAATGTCGTCTTTGGAATAATGATTGGGAATAGTACAGCCTTTCTTTTTTTCTAAATATTTGGCAAAAGGTTCGACCTTGGGCTCCGATTCAAGTATATCATTGATCAATGGAGGGGGATTGGCATCATTGATTTCCTGAACCATGTTTTCGTTATCATGCTCATATTTTCGTTTGAAACGTTTTTGCTTCTTTTCGTGTTTTGATTTTGTGTTTGACCATTCTTTGTGATCATTCAATGCTTGTTCATACTCAATACAATATTCTTTTTTCCAGTTTGTTCTTTCGTAAATATGTTGCAATATTTTGTCATTCCAAATTATGGAGGTAGATTCTGGCAACGATAAATGTTTCGGAAGATTTCTAGGACCTGAATTGGTTGGAGGTTCCACATTCACATTCGGAAACACAGCATTGAGAGTCCATTCATGTTCAAAAGTTGGCTTTACCAAGTTACAACAGGTGTCAGCACATTTACATTTGTCTGTGCATGGTAGTCCATTCTTTCTACAAACACAGTTTTTGCATGTCGTGCATTTTGCTGTACAAAATATTGTTCGGTCTGCTGATGCTGTGTCCTTTCTTCGTTCTTGCTCCGTGGTATCATCAGTCAAACTCCATTCTTGACTAAAGCAAAAAGATGGATGAAACACATCATTACACTCTTCTATGTAATCCGCAAGATTATGGTTTATCGGAACGGGTTCATCAAAAATTTCGGAATAATATTTATCTGAATTAAGTTGTTGTGCCAACTCATAATACTCCGCGTCCAAAAGCATGAACGAATTATCTCCAATTAAATTAATTCCTTCGTTCAAGAGAGTGGTTTCGGAATTGTTTGAAGGGATCATGACTTTTTTTTCAACAATTCAATCAAGCACAATCAGGTCCATTTTTTATGTTGTTTTTATGTTCAACCTGGACATCAAGCCCCAAAGAAAATTATTACTTATTGTCGATATTTTCTGTATCACCCAAATCCTCAATACAGAAAATAGGTGATGGTAAATTTATTTGTGACAAACTTGAAGCGCCCCTCTTCAACCAAAGTTTGCCTGCGAAAAATTCATTCAAAAATTTTTCGTTAGGCGTAAAGGTTAACGATCGTCACTTGTGTCGGAAAACCGTTGCATGTTTTCAATTGAAATACAATTAGATTCGCAAGTCGAGAGTCGACTCTTGGAGAATATTAAACATTGTAAACCATACTTTAAACGAGTTTTAAAACACGTTGATTTACTTCGGAATCACAAGAAAACTATTTTAGACACACTCCATCATTACAACAACAACCACAGTGTGACATATCCGAATTCATTGATCGATCAAAGCAATACCATGTTGAGCCAGCATCAACAACATTCACTCTCGGACGGAAAGAAGAAAAAGAAGAAGAACAAAAAGAGTACGGCTACGATCACGAGTAATGGTTCCAGTGATCATCACCACTCTTGCATGGAAGATCATCACTCAAATATTGGATCACAACATCATCTTCTCTCAAAAGAGGAAGAACTCATTGAAGATTATTTCACTCCGAAACACGTCTTCTTTTCATCGGGAAATCCAAGTGTTGAAATTATCACTGGAATCATCAAATTGTACAAACATGGAACACCAAGAAGTTTTACAAATGCAGTGAATGATAATTTAATTTTGGATGATGAATTATATAGTAGTAATAATACAGAGAAGAAAACATCAGCTCTACTACAACCAACTTCAAATACAACCATTCATACTCCATTATTGAACGGCATGATGGATGCAACCCTTTCCGTACCTTCTACTTCTCTTCCCTCTTTGGGCCTTCATCTCAATCACTCGAATAACACTTCAACTATTTCATCTAATTTTTCATCCATTTCGGAAGAAGAAGGTCGAGGAGAGGATGAACTATTCTCAACTCGAGATGAGAGTCTACCAGAACAACGAAGTACTTTGGTTTGTGTGTTGGCAGTACCTTCCTTTATATCAACGACAGACTTTTTTGAATTTATTGATTGTTTTAAATCGAATATTCTGAAAACAAGAATACTCAGAGATGAGTCCCCAAATAAGTATATGGTTATACTGCAGTTTGATGATCAGAAAAATGCAGATTCTTTCTTTTTGCAATATAATGGAAGACCATTTAATTCATTAGATCCTGAAGATTGTAAAATAGTATTTGTAAAAAGTGTTGAATTTACCAATAGACCTTCAATGATTGGAAAACATTTAGAGAGTACTTCACAAAGTACAGTGACTGATATTTTCAACATTGGAAGCTGTAACGATCCTCAACTTGACACTCATGAATTTAGTAATAACACTACTCATGAAACTAGCATTAACACTACTCATGAATCGAGTAATAACACTACTCATGAATCTAGTAATGAAGATAAGAGATATGAATTACCAACATGCCCTGTTTGTCTGGATCGACTTGATTCAGGTGCTAGTGGTATTATTACCACTGTATGCAATCATCAATTTCACTGTGATTGTCTGACTAAATGGGGAGACGGAAATTGTCCAGTATGTCGATACACAGATCAAATGAAAACAGAATTACAATGTGCAGAGTGTGCATGTACATCCAATTTATGGGTATGCCTCACTTGTGGATTTGTTGGATGTGGTAGATATGAAAAAGGGCATGCTATGGAACATTATCTCCAAACGAATCATACGTATTCAATGGAAGCTGACTCTCAACGTGTTTGGGATTACACTGGAGATGGATATGTTCATCGGCTAGTTGCAGGAAATACAGAAGGAAAATTAATTGAAATTTCACATCCAAATCAGAAGGAAGCAATTAGAGAAGCTAGTGAAATGTTGGAGGCTCAATACAACTCCAAGTTGGATTCGTTCTTGATGGAATATAATCAATTACTGACGCAACAGTTAACGAGCCAGAGGGTGTATTTTGAGTCTAGGATCTCTGCAATTGCATGTGAAAAAGACAAGCAAATAGAAAGCCTACTGAATGAATTACAAATGTATCGCCAAAATACTCAAAAGATGAACAACAAAGTACAAAAAACACAGAAAAAGGTTGAGAAAGAAAAGGAAGAGACAGACTTTCTCAAAGAGTTGAACAAAACCCTCATTAACAATCAAAAGCAATATGAAATTAAGATTGAAAAACTTGAAGAGTTGCACAAAAAGATGATGGAAAAGAAAGATGCTCAGATAAAAGACCTCCAAGAACAGCTGCAAGATATGATGATGCATTTCCAAACCCAAGAGCAACTCGACAAGAATCCAGAAATGAAAAACGCAACCATTAGGGCCATTGGAGGAGAACCTTCAGCCACAAATTCTTCAAACAAAACCAAAAAGAAGAAGAAATAATAAATACACATGGCAGTCTCTACTTTAATTTTTGAATGATCGTGGCACCTTTCAAACCTGCTTCTTCGATTGTTGAATTTTCTTCTGTGAGGACCTTGTTTGGAAATTGTGTCATAATGTCAAACGCAGCAGAGGAGGGTTTTTGACTCTTGATATATTCCTTAATGTCTCTAACGGTATGTGTAAGATTAAACTTTCCAACTAAACGACCTCCATCTGCCAATCTAATCTGCAACGTGGTTGTTGGTTTGTTAGGATCTAATTCAAACTTGTAATTAGATGGTGTACTCACAACTGACGATGAACTACTGGATGACGAGCTGGCTGAAGATGAAGTGGTCGCCAAAGATCTTCCAGATCCAACAAACGCTTTGAATTGTTTTGGTTGCTCTGACCATTTTTCTGTCTTCTTGTTGAGCAAATTTACCACAATGTCTGCTCCACTGGTGTACAGCTCTCTTGGTGCAATTCCCTTATCTATGGATTGCAAAAATTCTCTGTTCTCAGGTGCATCATATGGTCTCAATTCACCATCGTCAACAGTAAATCCGTCACTCCAAAATACGATTGTTACAACTTTTTCTTCTGGTTTCTTTTCTCCTGGTATGACTGTAGATGCATTGTCAGTATTACCCAATCTTCTTCCGCTTCCTGCAAATTTTGGTTGGTTGCGTCTCACCTCATCCTCATATTCAGAAGCAGATTTAGCTCCTTGTTTTTGAGCAGATTTAAAAATCTTGTCCGCAAAGTGATTTTCTTCATCATCTTCGTCTTCGTCATCATCGTTAGCTCCAATGATTTGTTGACCAGAGTTTCGACTGCCTCCTGCATAGTATCTATTGTCCTTTGGATTGGATGGCTGTTCATCACTTTGCAAATCTCTAAGGCTTGCAAATTTCTTACCTCCGGAAGAAGTTGTGGTTGACTTTTTGCTACTACTGTAAACGGGTTGATCAGTTGATTTTGGTGGAGCTGATGACAATCCTCCTGAAGTGCTTCCAAGAGTTCTTCCTTGTGATGGGTTGCTTGTTGATGAAATGGGAGTAAAACTGGTGTGCATAGTTTGATCATCATCGTCGTGCATTAAATTAGAGGAAGATCCTCCGGATTGATAATAATTCGAAATAGCTGTTTCAAGGTTTCCATGAGCGCTTTCCAAATAAAATTTAGCTACATTATCATCATCAATGTTAGTGATGATCTTGAATTGTTCAATACTTTGATCCATTGGATGTTGTTTGACGATCAACCAAAATTTTTTTTGAAGGAACTCTGCTTAAAATAGCTTGCTGTTCTTGAAGCAAAACAAGAAGAACGCAAATTGCTTTCTTTACTTTGTGTCCCCTCGATCATGGTTTTTGAAAGAACGTGAGTGTCAGCTTGTATTCAGTGTCCCTGACAATGACTGACTCATGGCCCCATTTAAGTTCTTGCCAATCTAAATCAGAAATCTTGGGCTCTGATACTAAGGTTCCCTTATCTTCTGAGATGGTTGACCAAACATATTTCTTTGCTGTTTTATCATACTTGAGTTCATGTTTGGAATTTTCAGTTTCAAGTATCAAAACTTCACCATTCTTTAAACGAGCGCTAGTTAAATCTCCATTACTATATCCTCTATCGGAAACAGAGTTGATTGTGTATTTAACAGCAGGATCGCATGTCAAACCAAAAACAATTGTAACATTGGACAAAAATCTATGTTGTTCGATTCCATAACTAAAGTTAGATTTGTCCACTGGTGTTTGCTTAGTGAGAAAACTAGTTTCATCCGCTATTACTTTTACATCTTGAATTTTGAATGCATTGGAGTCTGTATCGGAGATATTTGTCCATGCTCTAGAACGAACATTGTTTCGGAAGGATGCTTCATATTTTCTTAAAAAGAGTTAATTCAAATGAATGATGCAAAATGACCTACCTTGGTGGCTTTTCAATCAGAACTGTAACAAGAATTCCTTTACAATTGCTTAACGGTAAATCTTGCAATAATCCTACATGTTGACAAGCAAGAATAATATCACTATTGTCGCTGTAAATGTCTGTACCAAATATCTTTCGGTCTCTCACGTTATTTTCTGATAATAAATATTTTGCAGGTATGAAAATACGCACAGATTTTCCAGGCTTATACAAGTCTAATTGATTTTGTCCTTTAGAAGATAAGTAATCATCAAAAAATTATCAAATAATAAATTTCAATGATAGCCAATTCATCACAATAGTTGATCATCACAAATTAAAACAAAAAAATAGCCATTTCCGTGGCCTACCTACCTGGTCGATACATAATAATTGGCTTCACACTTTTTGGTTTTTTACTAGCGCTTTCTTCTTCTAAATCAATTCCTTGTTTAAAGGCTTTCTGCTCCTGCTCGAATTGTTCTCGGAGTCGGACGTTTTTGGTGTTGGTGGCTGTGGTCAACATTTTTTGAAAATGATGATTAAAAAATTGTTGTATCACAACTGTTGTCGTGCTATCAACTTACAAACGATTCTTGAATGAAGCCCATACATACCTACGAAAATGGTTCCCGCTTTACACTCTACAACATTAAAATATGAAAAAAAACAGCTCATCCAATGGCAAAACAAGTACTCATCATCACAACAACAAAGCCCCTCTAATTTCTAAAGGATCGGGTCATAATTATTCATCACCGAATCCCAAAGCCATAGGTATTATGAAAGAACTGGATAAGCCGTACAAGCAGAATGAAAAGTTATGGACCGCTGTGGCTTTTCAACAAGAATTCTTAGACGTACTAAATAATAATGGCCTTTTATCGAACAAGAAAAAGTTTGAACAAGATCCTGTTAAACGCAAGCCAACCTTAGCTCAGAAGATGGGCCTTAGAGAGCCACCTCCAAAACCATTGAACGCCATGGAATGGAAATCAGTAGAAAGAATGATTATTACCAATAGGATTTCTCTCATCGAAGATGGTTGTCCTATATGCATGGAGCTGTTTGGTTTTCGTGATGTTGTGTGTGTCACAAATTGTGGTCATATATTTCATGAAAATTGCCTTAAAGGTTTTGAAAAATGCAATTGTTGGAGGAAGAGATGCTGTCCTATGTGTCGTTTAGAGGACTATCAGCGCAACAACACTACCATACATTTAAATTTGCTCAGAAATTGCAATGCTCAAACTATCCAAGCCTTATTTCGAGGAGTTATCATTCGGAAAAAGTATAGAAAATTCTTGTTTGAAAAATATCCTGAACGACACCAAAAATTTCTTTTGACAAAGTTGTCCTCAATCAACTCTAGGCTTGAAGAAACTATTCAACAGGATGAAAAGAACGTAGATGATTTTTTACGAAACATTGATGAGCAGGTCAAACAAAGTTTGATTTTAATGAATATGCATGACGATGAGTGGAAAAAAGTTGAAACAAAATTGGTAACTGACCAAAATGAGGAATGTCCTATCTGTCTTTGTTTTTTGCATGAACGACATTGTGTTGTCACAAGTTGTGGTCATGTTTTCCATGACAAGTGCTTGCAATCATTTGAGAATTTCCAAGACAACTCCCAACATAAATGCCCGCTTTGTAGACAGTTGTATGTGAAGAAGCCTTGCGAAACTAAGTTGGACGTTTTAATGTTGTGAAGATATCGAGAAGAATATATTATATTTACTGACTGTTCTAGCTTGGACCACTCTTTAATTTGTACAGATATTAAAGAGATGGAAACGAGCGGCCTTAAAGAATATTTAAATTTGTTCAAGTGTTGCCTCAACTTGTTACATGAATCGTTCAATTAGCTGCAGTCAATAAAAAACAATTGTGGACTGCCAAAATCCCACGGTAATATTTAACTTTCAATTATCACTAACCGGCAACATTAACAATACAGGAATGCATTAGTAGTGTAACGGTATCATACCAGCCTTCCAAGCTGGTGACCCGGGTTCGACTCCCGGCTAATGCAAGAAACTTTTTTACCTGTTGTGACAGTGTTTAATCAACAATTCACCTCTAAAGACAAACCTCAAAGACTTGTTTCGTTCTTGACAAAAACCACAAATAAAAGAAATTAAAAAACTTTTTAATGTAGTGCGAATTATTGTGAACACATTGCTTGCCGATTGCAGGACTTCTATGAAAGAGGTCACTTTTGAATGTGTCTTTTCTTGTGGACAGTGGTTGATATGCAAAATTCCAAAAGCTCGTTGACCTTCCAACTACAAGTGTAATTCTAGCACTTGTGAAAGACGAAGTGTACATTACTGGGCATTCATCTTTCTCTTTTTCTTGATACTATGAAAATCATGTTATGCCTTTACAAGAGTAATTCTCTGATAGAAATTGAAGTTCTAACCACTCGATTCTTTTCAATTCGAGGCACTCCATCTTCTTCGCATCCATGACCTACCACACCAGATAACGATAAAGAAGCTTTTTTGGTAGGATTCTTTCTATGAAATGGACAGGTGTGGTGATGATGGTAAGAGTGGAATCGATTGGTATCACAACACCATTCCGTTAAAGCACTAGAATTTGGTGATAACGATGATGATGATGATGATGATTCACTCGAGTCATTATTGGGAAGATTCAAAACCGATACAGCATGAATGTCTGCTGATTCAATTTGTCTCCAGAGAAAATCGACAAGTTTTGGGTCAGCCTTTTTCTTCTTTCTTAATCTCTTTTGTGGCTTATAGGAAAGAGATTTGAAATGAGCCATCACAGCACCTGATGCGGAACTATTGCTGTTCTTTCCATAACTCTTGACCACCACTTTGGAATGATCGGTTGACCTTCGTTGTCGCTTTGGAGCAAATAAACTCTGAGGAATGGTTACAGTAGAAGTGTTGGTGGTCAATCCGTGGTGATGATTGCCCATGCTGCTGCTGCAACTACTACTGCTACTACTACTCATACAGGTCGAATGATGAGAATTCATATTTGTAGCATGATGAAAATTGGTATTTGTATGGAAAGGATCATGAATCATTGAGAGGTTTGGTGAAGAGCATTGTGCACTAAAGTTGACCAATTCATTAATTTGTTTCATGATTCTTGATGATTGGTTTGTTTCTTCTTGATGATTCTTTTATTTGTCAATCAAAGGATTCTCACTAAAATCTCAGTATTATTGTATGTTGATATTCTCTCTTATGAACACAAAGTTCAACGGTCGGATTGGTTGTTGTTTTTCTTTTTAATTTGGCATTGAAAAAGTCAGAGCCTCTTCTCTCTTTTCAACTTACATCACTACTGCAGTAGAACCTTGTTCTTCAACGAATTTTTCAAGAATCCCGTTTGCATTAAGTATGCCTTTTTGAGATTTTTTAATGCATCGAGTTTACAAATTTATCAAGAGGATCACTGGCATGCGGATCACGGAAATGCGTAGTGTAACAAAAATCAAAGAGCAAGGCGTGCGTGTGCGTACGAGGATAATCAGGAAATGATATCACATTATCAAAAACGATTTCCAGAAGACAAGTCAGATGCATCACTGATGAATTAAAATCTATTCAAGGACAGAACACAAAAATGTTTTAGGTCGTTTTAATTGCGATGGGTTGTAGAAAAATGGTTTTTTGTATGAACAAGGAAATGACTACATGTATGTCTAAGGCGTTTTGGTCAATCGTGTTTACTGCTGTTTTTGGCCGTTGTCGTTGCATCTATGCACGTCTTGGATTAAGGTGATCCACTTGTCCCTTTAGTTCATGTTGATTTTTGAAATGATTATGCCATCTTTCCGCCCAATTTTGTGACAATTAAGACATCTTTCGAAATCTTAATCCTAAATGCATTAATGTAATTCTTCAAATTGCTCATTGACATTCTCACAGTGTCATACTTCATCAAAAACATGTCTGAATTGATAGAATCCATCTTTTGGATGATTTCTATGCCATTTCTTATGATTTTTGTTATTTCTATCATAATAAGCTTCTGCTTTGAGTTGTAATCTCTTGTTTTGGATATTTGTCCATTTGAATTCCAAACGACTCAATCCTTCCAAAGTATTAAATTTATGTAAACTATTTGACACATAATTGTATGGAGCTTGTGGTTCAGTTGTACAAGAGCTTGGATCTGTTGAGATCTGTTCCGATATCCATCGATTGGCTCCACTCTTGTATTTCTTGTTATTCTTTGAATGTTCTCTCAATTTCTTTTGTCCTCCATTGTACTTGTGATTGGTTTCATCATCTTTTGGAACACGAGGGGTTTGAAATTTGACCTTTCCTGCCCGTGCCAATGATCCGTAACGATATAAAACCATGGTTGGTGGGTGAGCGAATCACGTGTTTGATTGTTTTTATTTTTTTTATATTTAGATGTTCACCTTTGAAATGCGTGCCAGAAATTGGATTTGAAACAGAGTGTACCAGAGCTCAAGGTCGTTTGGGCGTTGAGATTTACATTCAAGCATCTGCATATAAAGTGATCGTCTTGTTCCATAGTATCCCTCTGTTAAATAATGATCTTCTCAATATTCCATCTTGGGTTCAATCCATCCTTTCCAATAAGAATGTCATTGAGGAGATCCAGTTTGATTCAAAGCCTTATTCATCTGTGATATATATATAAATTCCATGGCTCTTCATATTGTTTACCGAATTGCACTGCAACTTGCCAGCCAGCTCGTGGTCAAGAAATTGATGCGTGTTTTGAAAAAGGCTGGGCATGTAGGGTGTTTTATTTTTTGTTACCCATCGTCAGGAGATTCGAACAGAGTGGTTCGTTCACCAGAAAAAAAAGAAGCAATTTACAGCTTGCTGTAATCAAGTTGAGCTATCCATCAACCAAATGAATACAAAAACGATCATTCTTGTTCGACATGGACAAGCGACTCATAATTTAGAATCAATTCCTTGGGAAGAGAGAGAACAAATTCGAGACCCTCTTCTCACACCGTTGGGAATCGAACAAGCAAAACAAGCATTGATACATAGATATTCACCTTCTCTCATTGCAGTTTCTCCATTGCAAAGAACTGTTCAAACCTGTCTATATGCGTTGCACTCAAATGGTGAAATGGAGCAGAAGTGTTGTGCAACGAATTTACAAATGACTAAATGCATTGCCACACGATTCGGAAATACCAAGGTCGTGTTGCAACCCTTGCTTCAAGAAGAAAATGCAGGAACTCTACTCTGTGACACGGGAGTTGATGTTGCTGAGCTGTGTGAAATATATGGGAACGAGTTGTTTAATTTGGATTACATGTGTCAAGAATCGAATTGTTGGTATAATCCAAAGCATAATTTAGAAGAAAGGGTTAAGCTACTGATTCAATGGCTTCGTGACCGAGAGAGAAATGTATTGCTTTAATCACACATCATGTAAGTATAATTGACTTGTATTTCTTTAAGATCATGGTAGATGGAATGTAGGGAGTGCTTTTTCGGCTGACTCAAGAGAAATTTACGAATGGAGAAGTGAAAGTGTTTACTCTACGACAGGGAAGCGAAAAACTTGAGAAGATTGATCCATAGCTCAATAACCCTTACTACTACAATAAACTAACTTTATTGAGTGTTTAATGAAACAATCTTGTTTGGTTTGTTTTCAAATTGTTGATGTCGTTCTAAAGTTTTCTTTGGATCTCTTTCGAAAAAAAAAATGCTCTCCGGTTCAGGCATTTCATCCCCCTCTTTGAACGGGAAAGAACAACAAGGAGCAGTACAAGTGGTTCCTTCATCACTGGAAGAACTGCATAGAGAATTTTCAACACTCGTACAATGCTTGTTCAACCTGGGTGGAGGAGTCGGAAGCTCACCACAGCAAGTAAGAGAAGCAGAAAGCGAATTAATAGCATTTCCAGGCAGATGCCCATATTATGGAGTATTGTTGCTTCACGTTTCACTGTATGCTTATTTACCATTTCGGAATAACTTTTGCGTCAATCAAGGAGATAATTTCATCAATATTTCAATTCATTTCCCTCTCTATCAATTAATTGAACAAGAGCAACAATTGAAAAGTGTTATCATCAATCCTGCGATTAGACAATTAGCTGCTGTGCTATTGAAGGGATATATCAAAAGCCATTGGAATAATATCCAATCATCACAGTTGAAAAAGCAATTCAAAGATGCTTTACCGTTGGGACTCATGGCTAGCGATTTAGAAGTTGAAGTTCCACCATCATTTCTTTCAAAATTAACACTGCATTCGGAATGAGTGTTGCAGAGGTTGCAGAGCATGAATTTCCTGAAGAATGGGGAGATTTAATTCAAATATTAATTAATATTTATGAAAGTGGTCTAGTGAACCATCATCATCATTATGCACAATCCTTGGGTTCTCTAAAATGTTTGTCATTGGTGGCACAACATTTTTCTGACAAACATACAGTGTTTGTTTTCCCAGTACTTGTACCGTATATGCTTAACGTTGCTGGTAGCACACAACTTCCTGATATCATTCGAGCTAAGCATTGACTGTTTGTTCTGAAATGTTCTATTTAATTGCAATGGTTTCAGGCGATCCAAGTGATGAAGCAGATGATGAAGAGTTTGAGTATGTGAACGACGAAGACCAACAGGCGGGGATGGTAATGGAGACGATTTTACTCAAGATGACTCCAAAATAGATGAAAAACTCGTAGAAGAATCAAAAAAGATGTTATCATCAGTTATTGGACAAACTTTGAATTTAATTTTGGGAGAAATTTCTAAGCCGATTACCAACGTAAACTCAGACTGTTCCTTTAAGATGGAATGCGTAAAAACAATGAACATTTTAGTTAAAGAGTTTGGAAAGAGCTTGCAAGATGCCGTTATTCACGTACTACAATCAACTTGTTCTTCGCTGGGTAGTGAATATGAAATTTATTTTAAACATGCGATCCTTTCACCTAATGAAAGTGGAATTGCGACAAGCCAGATTGCAGAAAAGTTTGACACTGAGGGAGAAAGTATCAACTTTACAACAGTCATTTGTCAGCAAATAGAGTTGCTAGCTACTATTGTATGCAATCGTCAACTTTCCAAGATACTTTCAGCCAACAAAAATAATTTGGTCCAATTAACTTATTTACTTTTAGGATATTGTCAATTACCTCAGCATTTGATGGAATTGTGGGAAGAAAATCCCGAACAGTTTGTTTCAGAAGAAGACAATCAATTCTCGAGTTACAGTATTAGGACAGCATGTCTGAAATTACTTGAAGACTTTAACGAGACCTATGACACTATGGCTATTGAGAGCCTGTTAGATGCTTACAACAAGAGAATGCAAGAATCTCAATCGTTATATCTTCAAAATCCTAATGGAAGCACTTGGTGGAAGTTGAGAGAGGCTTCCCTAATGAGCATTTCTAGCTTTACTGAATTTAGAGATCACATTGAAGACAATCCAAAAACTTTTGACCTAGTATCTTTGATCGCTCAACTAGTCGGCAACGACTTAAAGGTTTCCTCAGACCATTTACCATTTTTGAAATCAAGAGCCATCCAATGCTCGAGCTACTTTTTGAATCAAATTTCAAATTCCAAATTGTTCACTGTCAATTTGGGTATGATCAAAGAATTATTTATAACTTATGTAAACCACATGACGGAGAATCAGCCAATACCAATTAGATTGTACTCATGTCAAGCTACAGCTAGAGTTTTTTGTTTAGAAAAGGAATTGTTGGGCACTTTGTTATCTTCATTTGGATTGAGCAGAGATGAGCTGTTACATGGTATTTTGGCAAGCATGTGCAAACTTGTGAATGACATTGGAGACGAACCCATGTACATTCCATTGGAAAGTATCGCTGTTTTTGTTAATGTAAGTTAAGGATTTGTTTATTGACATTTTTAACTTTGGTTGTAGTTCCTTCCTCAAGTTGTTATTCCTCATAGTGAAACCGTTATTTCAATAATGCTCACTCAGCTAAACAAATTTTCGAACGACAGAACTATTGCAAGTGATATTATCAATGTTTTTGATAAATTGGCAGAAATTCCAGAAACTGAAGCCCAACTTGTCAACAATGTCGTTCCCAAAATTTCTCAAATACTCACAAGCTCTGCAACTGCAACAACTCCAGATTTTATTGAGAATTTACTTGACCTTTCTCGCACAATCATTATACATGCTAAAAAAGAGGACATACTTACTGTTTTAAACATTTTGTATCCAAGTTTGATGAATTTGGGATTTTCTAATGACGAACCAGCATGGATACAAAAGATCACAGAGTGTCTTAGATCTATTATTCACGTTGGAGAGGAATTAATTGTGCCACATCGATTTGTAAGCCAACAACATCAGTATCTTCATTCCAGTTCTTATTAGAGTACATTGGTAGACTTCTTCAACCAAATTTCAATGATTCAGCCGCTTTTGGAGTAGGAGAACTTGTGACTGAAATATTTGCCAAACTAGGTCCAGCTCTTAACATGGATATTATTGGACAAATCATCAAAGCTTGTGTTCTTAAGCTTTCAATTTCCAATGATTTATTATTTATTCAATCAATAGTGTTTATTTTTGCAAAACTCTTCCACCACCAAGATATTGTACAAATGTTTTCTCTACTTGAATCTATTACGAATGTAAAGGACTATGAGAATGGATTGACCTGTGTGTTGAGCAAGTGGGCATATAATCAACAATTCTTTTTTGGCCTTTATAAATTAAAGGTCACATCCACTGCTCTTGCAAAGGTTTTACAAACAGGAGATGCTCGTTTAACAAGTGTCAATGTTGCTATGGAAGTGAAGGAATCAACGACTGGTTATCGAACAAGGTCCAAAAAGATTAAGGAAAGACAAGTTCCTTTCGTGTTGTATGCGTTCATGCTTCTCATTGATGCCTATATTCGAGCTTTAGAAGCCAAAGAAGAAGAAAAGAATGAAGCAACGTTTGAAGGAATGATGTATGGAGGTGGTTTTGATGATGAAGATCCATTTGTGCCACAAGACGAATATTTGAATCAATTGGCTCAAGGAGGAGGCGACTTTTCAGATGACGAAGGAGATGAAGATGATACTCTATCAAGCAAAGATCCAATCAATAATGTTGATCTCGAAACAACTTTGCCTGAGGTTATGAAAGAATTGTGTTCTGTGAATCAACAGGTACTGACTCACTTGGAAAAGATTTTGACAGACAAACAAAAGCAGGCCCTTCAGCAAATGCTCAATCCACAACAATAAACATTATTTACACTTAACTATTATACACTTGAAAAATATATACATTAGTTATTGGAAGGTGTCGTATTGGAAGAGGATGGGACAGTACTGCTTTTCTTGCTCATAAAAGGTGCCGTCACTTTAGAGTACACACCAGACAAAGAGTTTCCAATATCGGTAGCGAACTTGCCAATCAGACCTCCAGAGGTTGCCCCAACAATCAAGCCTCCCACTCCAGCAGAAGCTCCTAAAATAGCACCTGCCTTAATACCTACAACAGCACCAATGGGGCCACCCAACACCAATCCACCTACTGCTCCTCCTACCACAATTGCTGAGAATGCACCAATTTTCTTTGCTTCTTGTAAATATCTTGTACCTTGTTTGACAGCAAGCTCTGCCTGTTCAACATTATTTTGGACTTGCACAACCTTATCGCCTTGTACTTGAACTTCCTGATGAAAGTCTTGCGATATTTGGTATAACTCTCTTAAATCTTTGTGAAGATTTTGAAGATCTTGTAATTCCTCCTCATCTTCCTGTAAAATTGTTGATCATGAGCTCTTTTTGTTAAGATTGAGATACAAACCTTGTATGGTAAAAATATAAATTCATCCTGTAAAATAATTTTCTGTTGCTGATCTGAAACACTATTATCATACGAATGCTCTTGTGAAGAAGAATTTAAAAGTGAAAATAATTCTTCTCTGTCTGTTGAATTTTTCTGCTCTGCTTGCTCTTTAGATGCAATAAATTTCTTGACAGCATTTTCTGATTCCTGGCTTTCTGCAATTCCACTTAGCCAGGAGGCAAATATCTTGGGATCAATTCCGTACTTGTCACAAAAAGAACTTTGCGTTTCTTTCCAATGTTTTTTATATAAAGAAACAAGAGGATTGGTGATCGTACTTTTTGCTTTCAAATTAGTTTTCGGATATTTCAATTCTAACTGTTTTAGTTTCTTTTTAAAGTATTCGTCTCGAAGTTGTTTCAAACGGTTAAAATCAGCTTTGAATTTTAAAAATTGTTGATCCGTATTTTCTGCTTCCAAATTTATCAACCGGTGTTCAATATCTTGAATTGAGTTTTGTGTATATTTCTTTAATTGTTGAATTTCAGTTCGTATTTCTTTACTGTCTTCAGAAGTTCCTATCCGAGTCATCAACATGGTTGCAGTTTGAATGGCCTCACATAATTTCTCTAACTCCAAAGCAATTGAATCTATAGAATATTCCTCTTGTAGCTGTTCAACGTTTTGCGATGAAGTTGCTGATGAGGATGGAGGAGAAACCATCATGGAAGGCTTGATCACCAGTTGATGAGAGGATGAAGATCGTTTCGAATTGTTCATTTTTTTCGTAATACTATTTTTGCATCATGGGATCAAAGACAACCACTCTCTTAAAATAACTTTGGTCGACCTTATTATTTAATTTAATCAGTAATTAATTGTTGTTCGAACATCATCACGTTCCTCTTTTATTCATTGATGATAAATACGATCTGTGTCTACAGATAATTCTTGGAGAGCAGCTGAAATGTCCTTAACCATGCTAATTGGGCCACACACAAAAAATAATGCTTCCTTCCGTTGTTCTTCATTCAAATTAGCTTTAAGATAATTGACATCAATTTTTCTGTCACTTGTCAACAGTGGCTCTAATTCTTGTGGTATTGAGCTGCTGGGTGGTGTAGAGGCCAAAAGTTTACAATTAATATTTTGAAAATTTCTTATAATATTGGAAATGTCGTTCACAAAACAAAAATCGTCAACCGTACTTGCAGAATATATTAATGTGACATGATAGAAATAGAGCATGTTTCCAGAAATGTACTTGATAATAGATATTAAGGGAGTGACACCAAGTCCACCTGCAATGAGAACTAAATGTTTGGCATTTGCAAACCTAATCTCACTAACATTGAAATAAAAGCTTCCTAGTGGTCCAGAAATGGTAATCAAATCTCCAACTTTTGAATCATGCAGTAAACTGGCAAATTCAAAATTGCAATTAAAAAATAACAATAATTATTACATATTAATAAATAATACATCACATAAATATACCTACTGTGTGAGAGGGTGATTACTTCGTTGAACAGTGATTTCAATTTCATTGGAGAGCATCTTTGGAGCACTAGATATTGAAAACGATGCTGTCATGTCATTCATGTAAAGATTAATAAATTGTCCAGCATAGAACGTGAAAAAAGGTAATGTTTTGGTTTTCACTCGCAATGTAAAGCGTTTTGTTTTGGGAGATTCTTGATGAATATTTATAATTTCAGCAGGAATTTGTTCAGGATGTGAGCTATTTGTGTGTGATGATGACGAATTGTCGCTATGAAAATATTGTTGTTGGGAAGATTGATAATTGAAAAGAGAAGCATTTCCGAAATTTTGTTTCACCCTCTTGATGAAAATATTTTGTAAAATTGATGAAGATATCATCAGCTTGTTGAAGTTCCGTATATTATTAGAAGAGTTGATGGTGAGATGTGAATGACAAACATTCAATAAATTATTATTTAAAATGTGTTTGCTGCTTGAGGTAATTCGATGTTTGTAAAGCAATCCAACACCCCTCGTAGTGCAAGTGGAATAAATTCTTTTCATTAAATCTGTCAAAGTCAGAGAATGATGACACAAGTTGATGTTATCTCCGATAAGTGATTCTTATTTTTGTTTGAATATTTTCATCATTTATTCGAGCTCGAACCTAAATATTTACAGCTTTAACTCTCCTACCAATAAATCCTTCATTCTGGAGAAGGCATCCCTTCCGTGTCCAACCTTATTGAACTCTTCTGTGCCGTCTTTACCAGCAACCTGGAGAATTCAATGCACAATGTCAAGAAATTAAATCGCTGCACCAACCATAAATCATGACTTACCTCAAAGAGTACATCCTCCCCTCCTGGATGTTCGTGCCTGTAGTCCGCAATACTATAGATTTTACCATCAATACAAATCCATGGATCCTTATGCCCTTCTTTATGCTCTGCTAACTCTTCGAGGGTTATTATCCGTGTGGTAGTTGCCATGGCAGAGAGTGTTGTGTTGAACTGAGTCTTTAATTTGTTTTGTTTTGATTTTTGCGTTGCACTGAAGCTAGAGTACTTTTCAACGTTCCCTCACTTTATTGTACTTTGGAAAAATGACGAATATTGAGCAGTAATGGGATTACATTCTCCACGTTTTACCGCATTTGTGGAGGTCAAACATAAATGGAGAATTTTGGTGCCATTAGCGACCAATAAGGGAGAAATAATGTTGAAAGTCAAATTAAAGATTCAATAACTGGAATGGTGACGAGAAATGAAAGAGAAGTGAGGTTGTTTTTTATCGAAATCGTTTTGTCCAAATAAATATTCATTATTACTCTGTTATGATTTTCTTCAGAAAGACAGCTTTCCTTCATATACCTCTAAACTACCAGATTGCCCATTCTTGACAACACACAAAAAGTTACCATCTTTCGTTCGAGCGAGTGCTACCGGAGATCTGCATTCAGTTTCAGCACAGAGTGGAAGATGACCTTTCTGTTTCACCAGAGTCCATTCACCTCTCAAAATATCAAACAAGTAGCAATCGGAAAAGTATTTCAACGTTGGTGTGGTGGTTGAGGATGTACTGCTTTGCGAGTCTTCCATCATCATGCTTAATCCTTCATCATCAAGAACTTTTTCATTTGCAGAGTGTCCACCCATCATTAAGAAGCAATTGTTTTCAGGGATTTCAACCATGGCATGGAACATTCTTGGATGAGGCTTTTCTAAACTCTTAATTTTGAGTCGAGTGAATTGAGAGCTCTTGAAATTGTAGCTATACACTGATTCGTCTGAGTATGGATTCACTTGATCAGGATGTCCACTCAAATAGGGTTTCCTAAGTCTTCCACCGTACACATAAGCAATACCGTTCACGTTAATAACAGAGTGTCCAAATCGGTTTGGAGGTGCAATATCACGAATATCTGTGGAGAGTTGTCGATGATCGTGTATAGATCCCTTTCTCTCTCTTCCGAATAATTTAATCGAATCTAACAAATTACTTCTTCTTTCCTTTTGTTTGGTATCAACGTCTTCAATAGGAAGAGGAATATGGATAGGATGCATGGTACCATCTCCAAGACTGTCTGTACTGCTTGATGCTGAGTAGGAGGTACTCACTGAGGCTTGAGAAGAATCGTGTGAGGCTTGTTTTGGAATACTAAAACTTGGTAATTTAGGTTGATCAAATTTCTTCTTCTTCAAATCAAAGACATACACAAAGGACACCTTTTTTGTAGCATCTGAAACTGAGTTCGAAGAATCTTGTGTAAGATCATTCCATTTCAAATAATTTCCTCCGAATATGAATAAATCTTTAGAAATAGCCAATACTGTGTGATTGGCATGAACCGTTGGCCAAAAGTTTGCTGCCGAATTCAAGAATGATGGTTTCTTTGAAATGGTATTTCCATTATTATTGGAAGAGGATGTATTTTCTTCACCGGCCACAAATAACTTGAATTCATGGGTGTTAAATTTATATTGGAAGAACATGTTGGTAGGATGAGGACATGCTGCAACATCATTCTTTGAAGATTTGAATAATTTCTTCATTCTACTTGTTAAGGTTCTATTTTGATTCACTGTAAAAGACATTCGTAAGAATAATGTCCCAATATATATATATATTTGAGAAGAATTCAAACATGACACAATTTTTCAAAAATCAAAAGGAACCACATACCTGCTTCATTGGAATAACGCTGTTGTGATTGGAACAAGGAAGATTTATCGAGGTTTCTTGATTCTCATGAAAATAGCCTCCGAAAAAGATGAGTTTTTCCTTATTACTACTCTTTCTTAGCATTACAGCACTCGATCCAAATCCATTAGATTCTAATTTTGTGTGATATTTAATTGTCCATTGAGTACCTGTTCTATTATCTGTTCATTGCCAAATACAAAGAATTCATTTGTACATGAAGAAGATTCAGCTTACCTGTTGCTTGTGTGAATTCCTCGACAAGTTCTAACACTGAGACGCCTCTCTTTGAACCGTGTACGATTGCATAGCGAGATTTCTGTGTCACTGTATCAACAATTGTAAAGGGCAATAATTGAAGAGAGGTATGGTAAGACGACTCATCATCGAGTGCGCTGAATTGTGTGTTTGTTCATTACACACGCATTGCGCAGTGTGAGCATGATGCAAATTTAGTACGTTGAAGCATCCATGGATTCGATATCATGCGTTGTGTGTGTCATATTGAAAGCAAAGCACACAGTGTTGAGCAAAGAACATGTGCAGGAACAAGTAATATATTGAACCATTTTTCATATTTAAAATTATTTGAAATATATTAGAAAAGATGAGAATCATCACACCACCACAACAATTTGAAATATTTACCAAAGAACACCACGTGTTGATATCCAACAACACAACAATATAATAGTAGACACTTACTTCATTTCAAAATCAGGATGTTCCAATACGTGAACACAACGCCAATGAATACTCGCATTACTCTTCTTTGTGTGATTTAAAGGTTCCACAAATTGTGAGATCACACTATTACCACCACTCACACCCAACGTTCCTGTTGAATTAGCATTAGAAGAGCCATGAGGTGAAAGCATGCCCTCATCATGTGAAGAATTAGTATCCGATGAGCTCACACGAGAATGTCCCGAATTTTGGTTGTTGATTTGCTCAGAAGAATTGTTCTTTTTGAGAGAAAGATTGAGTTTGGGAATTTCAGTCATGATGATTGCAACGGAACAGATCTGATGGTAAAAAACGCAGTGTTGTTTCGTGTGGAAATCGATCGCAATCTGGTCTGATGATTCGGGGAACGTAACGGTTTTTTTTTCTTCGGTTGATGTTTGACATTCGTGAAGGGTGTCTTCCTTCTTGAGAGCAGTATCCCTTATTATTTCTCTTGTTTCAAAGCAAAGCACAGGATATGGATTACAAATTTGTCTTTGCTTGGCCAGCAACTTGCATTACCAAGATTCTTTCAAGACAGTATGTTTTCTTGAATTTGATGGTAATGGGAGAAAGCCTTCCTCTCTGATAAATTCCAATGCTTTGACAGTAAACGATGAAAGACGTACTTATAAAAACGTATACATTGGCAACGGCAGACACGTATTTTTGTATAGTAACTTTACAGCTTGTTTCTGTCTTAACGGCAAAAAGAAAAGGCTTTGCAGCAAATCAAAATCAATTAGAGTGTTGCTGACCTACAGGAGTTAATCAAAAAATGTCTCTAAAGGTTTTTCGCATCGGCTTTGCATTGGGCAAGGAAATGAGTTTATTCCGATCATTGATAACCACCAGAAACACATTGTCTTCGAGCCGTGTTATCAATCATCATTTGTTTAAACAACAGTATAGGTGCTTCTCTCAGCAAAATAAATCGCTGTTGAAAGCGTCATCCTCCAATAATAATGGAAAAAAAGGCTTTACGGCAAATGATTTCAGACTTGCATTGATTTGTATTGCTATGGTGAGCATTGCTATTGGAGCATATTATAGTAACAAAAGCACAGAACGAAAATTTGAATACAAAGAAAAGTGCGAGAAGAAAGAAAACAGTCAGTAGAGAACATGAAAGAGAATGCAAAAGAATTTTTCGGAAGACTGCGAAAAAAGAAAACATCAGAAAAAGAAGAAAACGTAGACAGTGAAGTTAAGAAAGACTAGAAGACAACTCTAGAGTTGTTGTTTCTCCAAATGCTAATATTAACGGATGATTTATTAATAGGTCAAGTAAGGATAGCGTCAATTGACACATGAGCTGCAATAAAAATGACATCAAACCAACAAGAAGAAGTTTTCGAGTAGTAAGTGGTAGTGATTGATCCTGTCATCACCATCATATGTAGCAATTGTTCAATAGGGTTCGGAACAGATGAAGAGTCTGCCAATATCGTGTATCAAACGATTATTGTGGACGAAGAATTATCAACAAAGGTCAAACGAAATGTGAATTTGCAATATGCATCGGAAGATAAAAGCCATAATTTAATCATGTATGTTTAAATGATGAATGAATCCCCAAATTGACAACAATACTTTTACTAGTAATTTCATTTCATCAGATGCCAGACAATTAAGATCATCAGTGAAGGGTATTCTCGATACCATCCATCTATCCATTGAAACTCTTGCTAAATTTGTTGAACAATAATATTCAACAAAATTATTATTTCCGAATATTTCACAATTCTATTGTTCTATTACTTTGCCTTTGATCACTGAATTAGGTTTGGATACCGAAGCAACATTTACATTTTCTCCAGTAAAATAGAACACTTTGGATCTAACCAAATTTTCAGCCTCAATTTCCTTTTTCAATGAATTGAATTTTCTTCTACATTCTAGATATGATTCCTTAAATTCTGCACACATAATATCACTTCTATTGTTTTTATATTCGTTCTCACATTTTGTAAATAGTTGTAATAAATCTTGACATGGTTTTTCTGGGATATATTCTCTATTAGAGACAACAATAGGAGGAGTGTTAAAATATATTTGTTGCATTATTACATTGTTTTGATATTGTTCCAGAGGAGACAATTGTTCGGAAGAATCTTGTTCGGGGGTGAATTGATTGTCTTCATCTTTGGTTTTGTTCATTTTTTTGTGGTGGCACCATCATCATTGACAAGAACGTCCTTGTCCAAAGCCTTATTAATGATTGATCATACTTGAATAATCATGCATTTTCGTTGAACAAGGTGAACCCTTTGCATGAGGTTCACAAGCCTGGCCATGGTTCATTTCGAAATTGAACAAAATTGAAGTGCAAACTCAAAAAAATGATTCCGTCCTCACAACGTCACACAACCTCTCATCACAAACAAAGCGACCATCATGTACAGTCCACTCAAGAATCACTCACCGATCTTTCATTAGATGACACAGGTGAGGACTATTTAGACTCACTTTCAGCAGTTTCGTCGGATTATGGAAGTCTTGCATCGCTGAGTCAATCATCAGCATCGGAACATCACGCCTTGCTGATGAGTAGCACTCGTAATGTTGTTGCACATAACTTCAATGAATTACCCAATGAAATTCTTGTACATATATTAATTTATTTAAACGGTGCACAAATTTTAAAGTTAGAAAGCTTATCCAAGAAATTCTATCAACTCATTCACCATGAAGACGAATCGGAACGTCAATATAATAAGAAAATTAGAAGAAAAAGAATTCCCATCAAGGAGAAGAGAAAGGAGCAGCGGAGATTGTCGATTAATTTAGCTACAATGATCGCATCATCAGGATTAGATTTACATTCCATTACCTCTGGCTATGAATTTTGGATCTTTTTAAATGAAGTGCACTTCAAAGATGAAACTCAAAGAAGAAGAAAAGAATATCCATCAGCTATTCAACCCAGAATATTTTACATGTACCATTTGAAAGTCACATGGCTTAATGAAAAATATAGTGTTGAAAAGGCATTGAGATCTCTTGAAGACGCATTGACTTCTCATCCTTACTTTAATGAAGTGTGTATATTCTCGCCTCACTTATTGAGATTATATTATTTGTTGTACTTGATGGATCGAGATTATGCAACCATGGATTTGAGGTAAGTGATATTTAATTGAATCATGAATTAGCGTTTATCACTATTTGGCTGTTCATAATACATGCATAAAAAAGATATCATCCTTTTGAAGAACTCAAGCTCGAAGTTGAAAAACATGTTACACCAATCGCTAAACATGTGATGGAAAAGGACATGCGAGCTGGTCAAGGGTCCATGAAAATGATTGCCATTGTCAAACTAGCACCCAAGGACGTGTTGAGAAGTGTACAACCAGGTCAACACGAATCACTCACACAAGAACAAATGGCCCAACAGATCTTACTTGAAGCATATTCTGATAAAGATTTCAGAGATGACAGAGATGTGAGCATGGTCAAGTTTATTCATGAAATGAATCCATCTTCACATGTAAATTATAAATATGAGTTAGATGAAGAAGATGTTGGAGATAAAGGTGGAAAGATTACTAATACTCTTAATGCCATCTACAAAAGTTGGTACTCCAAGTGGAGAGATGTGATTAATAAGAATCGTGACTATCAATCATTCAAGAGTTATGATTTTAGAGAATTAGAGACAATTAAGATTCGTTCTGGATTCAGCTGTGACAATGGGTTGAGATGTGCCAATAGTTGGATCAAACGCGACTATGTTTATACTAAATTATTGCAAAGACAGTTACACTAAAACTACAAATGGAAATAACAATAAATGGTTACCTTAACGTGTAGTTAACTGTTCCAAATCAGTAGTATTTCTGAAGGAATACGTTTTGCCTCCTACATCTTGTTTCACAATCTTGGAGACGTATTCTCCAATAACTTGATTGGAGAAGCTCGATTGAGTTACCTCAGAGGGCTTTTGAATATATGCTGCAATTCGAAGTTCATTCAATTTAACACTCAGTTTCTTTTCCTCAATTTCCTTATTGAGAGCTTTGATTAGACCAAACAATCCACTCACAGCTGAGGTTAGCAGTCCCATCTTGGAGAACATTACTCTTTCACCTGCAGCACCTGTTCGTTTTAACAATTAGTGTCCACAATGATGATCATATATATATACAATTATCCAATTCCACCTACCTGTAATGATGGTATAAGTTTTCAAGTTTGGTACTGTTAAAAACTGTTGTGCAATCACAAAATGGCTCAACAGTAAATTTCGTAACAACTCAAGATACTCAGATACAGAGGTCTCCGTCGGGTGACTGTTTTGCCACCAACTGCCAAGAGATGAAACAACATGATCCACATGTCCATACTTTTCAAGAATTTCATTTTTCAAATGAGCAGCCGCTTTCTCTGGATCCTCTTCAGTTTGGTGAATGGTGATCAAGTTGGAGGAAAATTCCTTGTCTACTTGTTTTTTCAATTCTTCTAATGCTTCCTTTCTTCGAGAGGGAACAACAACCAGTTTTCCTTCTTTAAGGAATTGCAAAGCAATACCGGATCCAACAGTTCCAGCACCACCTGCAACGAGTACAACTTCTTTGGAAGCCATGATCAATCTGATAATCAAGAATGTTTCGTTCTGGTGTGGGTGTTTATACAATTTTTTTGCTGTGATCATGCAAATCAAATGTTCACTTTTGAGCTTTTTCTTAATACGTGCGCAAAAAAAGCATGCGCACAGGGACGCTAGTTGTGAACAAAGCTGAAAGAGAAAAGCTTTCGGTCTGTGGCCACGTGTGGTTGTGCCCACTAGTAAAAAAAAATGTCCAAGAGAAAAACCAACCCAGTGACAGCCACCAATGATCACAACAAAATCATCAAGCATACCCATCACGAAGTTGCAAATACGGACATGCCATTCCAGCATGAGGTGCTTTTCGAAATTTTTAAGTTTATTCCTGTATCGGACCTGTTAACCGACTCGCTTGTTTGTAAGCAATGGAACACTGTTGCACACAACAATCAATTATGGAAATCTGTGTTTGAGAAGCAATATCAAGATCATCCATTCGCTCCAAAGGATCCCTTGTTTGGAGGCAATTTGATTGAAAAATTAGCTGAATCTACATTTTCAAATTGTCTTTACAAGGCCATGTATGCTCTCAAGAAGAGCTTTCACAAATTGCAGGTTATTTCAAAACAAAATATTCATGCAGACATGGCTGAATTATTTGAAGGCGATTATGATGAAGGGTTTACATTCAAGGATGGAGAGGAAAACTTTGAGCCAACACTTGAAATGAAACAAATGATTACCGGTTGGACACCCTATGAGGATGGAATCAAAGGAAACAAATATGGTCACTTTATATGTGACGAATGTGCAGAGAATGAAGATTTATGTAAAGTGATTTTCAAAAATCCACTCTCGGAACAAGGTAAGATTAGTTATTTATGTTGTGTCTTGGTTCAAACAATAGTTGTGTGATCATTTAAAATTTGACTCATGAATGATAGTATTCGTATTCTATGAAGTCTCTAATAGTAACCCTTATGGAAGTATTCATTTAGAAAATGAAGAAGCGTACTTTGCCCTTCACAGCGAAGGATGCTTGCAAACCAGAAACGACTCTCCAATGGAATTACCCAATTTCGATTTTATGATTGCCCTTCAGAGGTTTATTAATGATCTTCAAGAATGTCCAGAACATTTATTGTACTATGCAGAGAAAACATTTGAACCTAAAAACTATCTTGGACCAAAGAAAGGAAATATTTATTGAGGAACATCACCAAGAGCAGGAGATGAAACATTCCGCACATCTCTATAGGAATAGCTCTGTCTCTGTACACGAGCTCGAATATTAAAAAGACAATGATTCTCGCAATACATGAATGACAGGTTCACACACTTTGCATTTTCAGCGGGTATTTAAGGCCCCATATTAATCCATGAATTAGTAGACGAATAAGGAGAAGCGAATCAGCAAATCAATTCCGTTCTGCGTGTTCATGAAGAAGAATCCATCGGCTAATTGTTTTAGTTTTTTACTTTTGATTTGGAATTCATTTCACCAAATTGGTGTTGTAAAATGAGCACTGGATTCTCAAAGATCCTGTCAGCGACCCCTTTTTGAGGTTGGGTGATCAGTGGGATGACAATGGACTTGACATCGTTCTTATTTTCGAAAAACAAAATTCATTCTCTCAATCATCATGAAGGACCTGTATTCTTGTTGCAGAGGGAGGCTAATGATGACATCTCTCAACGATGCAAGGATCAATTCCGCACCCAATGACACAACCTGTTGGATGGTAGAAGACTTTGCAGATAACGACCGAGTACAGGAACACATCATTCTCACCAGCAGCGGAAAGATCCTGAACACACAATACCCAATGACGAGATCTTTGATACAATACGATCGTATCAAGATGCAGACCAACAACACAATCCATCATTGTTGACCTACAACACTTGTTCAGAGGCTGAGGCGTGCTACCATCAAGAATCACCACCATTGAATCTTAAACTTGTGTTTAACGAAAATGAAATGGAGATGCTTGATTTGTATTTCCATAACTTGTATGTGATGAGGACAACTCAACCACATGCTTTCCCCACATGTTTTCCCTTACTTGATCACTCCCAAGGTAAACTTACCTTGAGAAGGGACTCCATGTTATCCAGCTCTTCTTCATCCTCTAGCACCTCAACCCCCTCTCTTCAAACTTCACCCCTAAATCCTCTTACAGAGGCACCAACGTTGAAACAATCAAGTCCCAAAATTTCCAAAAAGAAGGTTCGTTCAAAAAGCACCTCCAACCACAAATCTAGGAAAACTGCAGAACTTAAAGGTTTCACCAAAGTGGACCGTGGTCTGTGGCAATTCCATTCCTACGAGAATGGAAGGATTGTGCCATCGAATGAACTGGTCTTTCTAACTTGGAACCAAAAAACTCCCCCAAAAACCACACTTTTCAAATAAACAAAAAATACAATCAAAAAATTAGCGCCAAAATGAGGAGCTCAGTTTCAATGCAGCACACCAGCGATGAGGAATTGCTTTGTGCATCGTTGATGAGGAATAGTAGAGAAATAAAAGCTTTTTTCAATAGTAAGTGGTATATTTGATCTGAATTTCTCAAGACGGCATTTGCAGCGTTTTCGGAGCGAAATTGGATGAAGCTTTTGCAATATCTTGCCCTGATCGGGATAAGAAGTGTACAACATAAACTTGGAGCCTATTCGTCGCTGGAAAGCATTAAAGAGCTTATGGGTATGTAGACTATTTAGTTCAATTTTGATACATTCTCATAACTTAGATAATCTCTCCACCAATCCACCAGCTCTGAATCATCAAAATGCCCAAAACAACCAACAAGACCTTATACCTTCTAGTCTTGTGCGTATCCTACTGCACAACCATCTACTCCTTCCAAAACCGCCCACCACGAAGACGTACCTTCTGTCTTCGACGATGAATCTAGATATAAACCTTCCTCAAGATGGAGAAAAGGTGAAAGGCAAGGTGTTCAATTTTCTTCAGTAAATGAAGACCACTTTGTCCCTCATTTCCCTGAAAAACCTAGCAACATACAGGCCTCTCCCATTAAGCCAACAAATCATTATAATATAACACCTCAAGCTACTTACCAACACCGTCGTCACCATTCTTTGACGACCATTCTCGAGCTGCAACAAATGTTCAACTAACGAGAGGAAATGTGTCAGCCACTCACCCTTATTTCAATTCACCTGTTCCCATGTTCACGATTACTTTAACCCTTACCAAAATTCAAACCCATATCACTCGTATCCGGTGATTCCTCCAACCACATACGTTCACTACCCTTCCTATCCCTCACATCCGCTAAACGCACCAACAATCGTTCATCATTTAGCTCCACAACAACCACAACTCGCAGAATTTCAAAATCTTAGAGAACAGCCATCAGACCAAAACACAAAGGAGCCAAAATCCTCGAAAAGAACGAACCAGAAATTACAAAACAACAGGAAGAAATCGCACAACCTGAGAACGAAGTTCAAGAGGAGCCTCCGAAAGCAGTAGCTTGGTCAACAAGTATGAGCGGAGGTACAAAAAAAAAGAAGGTGAAACTCCCAAAAAAGAGGCTAAAAAACCTGCTGTTAAAAAGCTCCAAAGACATGCATCTGTACCTCCGAATTTGGGTGAGTTTTTTTGCAAATTATTTACTTAATTTATGATTTTGAAGCGTACCTTACGACCTAAACAAAGTGGAATCAAAGATTAAAGGTCAAATAATGGTCGACAAAAAAACCAACTCACACACAATGCATGAACCAGTTCTTGTGACATCTAAAAAGGAAACCGCAGAAAAACATTTGCTTTCAGGTCAAACAGCAGATCCAGTAAGGCAGAAAGAGTCCCCAATCAAGAGGCGACATCTATTACCTCTACACCTTCTCAACCTCACAACAACCCCCAACAATTATACAGCCTTGCAAAACAAAGTGAACCAAGTAAACTACCCCCAAGAAACATGCCTTCAAAAAGACTGGAGGAAATCCTCTACCAGAAGAAAAAGGTGGATTCACCCAGAACAGAGAAACGTAAGTACTTCAGATTCGTATAATGTTATTGAAACTGTCACATCTTGAAATAGAATCTGTGTTATCGATAGTAGAAAAGTTCATGAACGATCCTTATTTGAAAGACTTTTATTGATTACTGTTTGAATGCACTTGTGGTCATCAAAATAAAGTCTCTTTCAATACCATCGTTTCCTTTCTTTGTGGTGGTGATATTTCTAGAAAACTCTGCATTTACAAAACCAGCTTCTTTTAACCATTCACTGATCTCATTTGCTGAAAAGCCACCCTTATATTGCACCTCATGTGTCATGTGCTTGCAATGAAATTTATCGCTATGATCTTGATCCTTGTCAATCTCTGTGAAAATTAACACTCCACCTGGAGCAAGATAGCTGGCTAAAAGCTTAATCTTCTCTGGAACGTTTTCCAAGTGATGGAACACCATTCCTGAAATAATTACATTGTACTTGCCCTTATTTTCAACAATTTGGTGATTCGAATGAGCTTCAGCCAAGTCAACGACGTGAGGAATGATTTTGTCAGCATCAGCGTCCAGCAAACCTTCCTGAACAAGTTTTGATTTCTTTTCCTTCAATTGCAAAATCATACCTTCACTCACATCCACAGCATCAATCCTGTTCACAAGTTCTTTGAATTCACTCAAAAACAAAAGAGAGAGTGTTCCAGTTCCACAACCAAAATCCATAATTAATAAGTCTTGTTGTTGATTCATCTTTTCCAAGACTCCCCTAAATACATCACGAATGCCATGTGCCACTCTTCTTGAAAATTCAGCTTTTGATGGATTATTATCCCAATTCAAAGCCATCTGATCGAATGTTTTTGAATTTAATTCAGCAACGGAAAGCTCATTCCCGTGATGATGATGCGGACACTGGGTATGACCTTCGGATGTGGTGTGGTTGTGGCTGTGTGGACAATGAGAGGACATTTTGTTTGTTGGAGGAATACATCACTGCGAGGAAGCAGTAAGTACTTGTAAATGAAATTAATAATGCGCAGGAGTCCGTGAAGGGTTGCATGGGTGCTTGTTAGTACTTCTAAACTAAACCACCGCCAGATCATTTGGAGTGAATCAATTCAACAATGCACACGTGTTTTCAATGTAAATTAAAAATGTCGGCAGTGATTGATTATCGAGGACAGGCTTTAGCTGAAAGTATCTACAGGTACACGCTCTTTACATCGGCTGTAATGTTTCTTTGTTGATACAGAAGGATTGTGATCTCCGATTACTTGTCCATATTATTAATATTGTTGAATGAATACATTTAAATTATTATTTTAATATCATTTGTTTGGAATGAATATTATTTGGTACATATTCCGATCAGATTGTTGGATTGTTAGTTGGATTTTACTTTCAGAAATTTTCATTTGGTTTTTATATCTTTGCGATTGGAACCTTATTAGTGTTGGTTCTGACTGTTCCTCCGTGGCCATTCTACCGAAGAAATCCAGTGGTTTGGCGAACAGACATACCCAACGATAGCTCGGAAGAAGAAGAGCAAAGCAAGAAAGTCAAATCATACTGAGAGTGCTAATTGTAAATCAAATATTTATTGATCAAATTTCAACATTCCACCTGAACACGATGGAAATGTCATTAAAATTATTGGAGTGATAAAAGAGGTTTTGTTGCATTTCGTGAGACCTCTTTTTCCAATTTTTGAATATCAAGATTCTAAAGTTTCCAAAATCAGAAACTATTAATTCTTGTAATTGATGACTTATACAAATTCCAATAGGCTTCATGTTAGAAGAGTCATCATCTCGACTCTTGAAACTCTTCAAACAATGACCAAAACGGTCAAAAATGCATATTCTATTATTTCCACTATCTGAGACTACGAATAGAGCTTGTTTCTTGTCATACACCACTCCCTTAGGAGAGGATAAACATCCTTTTGTATCCCCTAAACTTCCAAATTTAAACAACATGGATCCATTCAGGTTGGATATTATCTGTATTCTGTGATTCAAAGTGTCACATACGATCAAGTTATCCTTTTCATCGAGTGCCAAATCATGAGGAAGAGAGAATTCACTCTCTCCTTTTCCAAATTTGCCTAAATATCTTAGAATGGTACCATCTGAGCTCGATAGTACACAAATCCGATGTCGATCAGAAACATAAATTTCACCTTTTCCAATACATAATCCATTTGGTTTCGTTAATTCTGTGGACCATAATACAGTTCCTTGCTTATTGACTTTTTCTACACGTCCATTATCTCCACAATAAACAAATCATCACTGTCATCATAATCAAAAAAACTTGGCTTTCCTTGAGGTAAAATTCTTTGTTTTACCTTTCTGGTTATTAATTCCAATGTATAGATATAACCTTCGGAAACATCGAAAAATAAATTTCATTTGCACTTTCATTAATTCGCACTTGCCAAGGCTCAAATAACATCATAGATTTCTCTTCATCATCAGCAATAGAAATTTGATTCAACACTCTCCTAGTTGCCTGAACAAGATCATCCGAAGGAAATAACGCTTCAATCACTTGTGCCGTTGCAATGTGCTCATCAATTTGAGGAATGAACATTTTTTTTTCTTCAATAGATCTCATGTGACTTACCCAAGGAACTTCTAAGATCTCTAAAATGTTGCAGATTTGCGTCCTTACAGCTATGCACTGAACACGTGGTTGTCAAAAAAAATGTCTTCCAAACCTAAAGATATACTCACCTCTCTCTCACCAACGCTTCTCTCTCACAACAATGAACGAAAAAACTCCGAATACGGTTTAATAGGAGCATTTCGTTCGTGTAGTCATTTTCTCATTCATTCATTGTATTTATTGTTGTACTCTTGTTATTTGATATATCATCATGTGTGGAAGAGGATTTCCCAAATGATGATGATGATGATGGTCGGAACAAGTGATCATCCCTCTTCATTGACTCATCTATTCAACCAAGATACTACTATTAGTAAATTTCCGAATCATTTAGCAATAGCAATAGATACAGAAATGCTTTCTCCACACATTCTTCACACAAATTCACACATTGCAACAAGACTCGATAAGTTGAGCAGTTTGGATGGACTAGTCATGAAACAAATTCAAAACATTATATATTGGTCATTGACAACATTTTCAAATCTAAACAATCATTCCATTCAGAGTATTGCATTCTATGATAAACATGGAATATTAGAACAACATTCAAAACAAATTTTTGACTTTGTTGAAAGAGCACTGATACAGAGCAGTGATGAATTTACGATCAATCAAAATATTAAAATTGTAGAGGTCAGACAAGTTGAAAATGAAATTCCATACTTGAAAATTTCAACAACAAGGAATATTTCTCATATTCAAAGTTTAACCGTTCGATTACTAAGTTTTCAAAATTCTGGAAAACCAAGCATTACAAAATTAGCCAATTCCATTTATGAAGAGTTGAAACATCATGAACAAGATTTGGAACATTTCAATGAATTAGTAAGGCATAAGGTGAATGAGACCCTGCATCGTCACATCAAAGAAAATATTCCTGAACCAAATATTTTAATTTCATTCAGTAATCCTGTGTTAATTCTTCATGGCTTTTCTCCTCTGCATTTGAAGTATACTCAAATTGCGTAAGTTATTTGATTGAATATTATTATAAATTTATTTAATTTTTTCACAATTTCAACTGATACAGTCATGTTGAAAAGTGTTTTGTCAAACAATTCACAGAAACAGATTTTGTGAAATGTATTTTTGAATACATCTCGTGTAATCAAAGATTTGGCAAATGAGTCTCATGACTACTCTCTTTATTCCTCAATTTGAATATTTTTAACTTGATCAGAATGCACTGGTTGTGGTTCATAGTTTTCACTCTTTGGAATGATTAATTTCAATTGACCGTCCTTAATACTTGCTTTAATTTCATCAATTTTAACATTGTCAGGAATATCGAACTGTCTTGAAAAACCAACATTGAAACGTTCATGTAGAATATATTCTGAATCCTTGTCTTGCTTACTTTCTTCTTTCTCTCCTTTAAGAATTAGAGTTTTTGATTCTTCATCGATGGTGCAGTGAATATTTTCCTTCTTGAATCCAGGAACATCTTTTATAAATTATTAATGTACAGAATTATATATAATTCATGAATGACCATTGTCATCCATAATGAAATCCAAATTTGGTCATTACACATGAGTACTCATTTGAAATTCTTCTTACCTGCAATGAGTTCGAATTGTGTTGGACTTTCTTTAACATCCACGAGTGGAGAGTTGAATGTCGAGAATGGTGAATGTACTAATGGTTGAAGAATGTCATTGTCTGTGAATGAAGATAGAAAGTTGTAGAGTGGATTTCTGGAACGAATCGGTCTGAATGTGTGATGATGTTGTGGAGATCCAAACAAGCGTTTGATGAGAGACATTTTTCTGATTCATACTTCCAATATTATTATTATCTTTACCAAGTTGGAAATTCACTATAACCATCATCTTGAACAAATATGGTAAGGAAACATTCCAGGAGCGTTGTTCGATCAAAGAATGGAACATTGTTACCACAATCTTCTCCACATTCACACACATACTAAAACGACTCGAGTAGATGAATTATATTGATCTATATATCCTTACTAAAAAAATCCATACTCAATTGTATTATAAATGATGATGTTCATTGGTGCCATCAAAAGCAACTGCATGAATTCCAGTTCCCAAATGATGATGTTCCACAATCTGAACTGCAGCACGAATCAATTCAACAAATTCTGTTGGATCAATCCTTGTCCAATGTTTTTGTGAGTCTATGACATTTTCTGGACGATCGTTTTGCATGGCCAAATATTGAATTCCTCTCCATTTCGCTAAATTTCTAAAGAATGAGCTATGAAAACCTGATGGAAACAATTCAACAAGGACAGCCTCTTCTGGAAGCCATAAACTGTGAGTTAATCCTGCACCATGACCACCAATCAAAATATCTGTTTGTTGATGAATAATTCTAATTTGTTCTTCGATGGGACCTACTTGACCAAAATCAATGAATTTGATCTCTACATTGTGTTTCTTTTGTAATACAGGATCATTTTCAAGTGCTTGTTTCAATTCTTCTTCATTCATAATTCTTCTATAAATGGTAGAGGATGTTTCTTTCACTTTTCGAGTACTGAATACAATTTTAATGGGATCTGTATTGGGATGACCTCTACGACGAACCAAATGTTTGTCTTGTCCTAATACTTTTCTTGTCATGTAGTAAGAGAAGGCTTTGAGAATATCCGAGTCACGACATTGATTGGGTCTCCTATTATTGTTTGTTATTATTTTGTTGTTATTATTTTGTTATTATTATTTTGTTATTATTTTGTTATTATTATTTTGTTATTATTATTTTGTTATTATGGAAATTATAATACTACTTCTCCTACTAATGATTCACTTACCATGCATCTTTCATTAAAAAACATGATCCTCCTGGAGTAATCATTAATACTTCTTCAAAGCACACATGACTATCCATGTTCAAATGAGAGTATTCATCTTGTAAATACTTCTTGTATTCACTATGAGTAAATACTCGTTCACCCAATGCTTGTAAAAGACTATAATAATATCCTCTTTGATAATGATCCAAGAGAACAATATGACTATTCTTGACAAATTCATCAAAGAATTCAATACCAAGATTAGGTTGGAGGGTTCCAATCCCATTACTACTACTACTTGGACCCATACCATGACCCATACCACCAAGATTACCATTATTATTACTACTAGTACTACTACTACCAAGATTACCATTATTATTACTACCCATACCACTACTACAAGATTACCATCACCACCACCACCACCACCACTCCATTGACCTTTCCATCCAAGTCGTCCTTCTTCAACACTTCTTCCCATGATCATTAAATAATTCATAAAAATATTCACAAAATCAGTCATGGAATGAAATAAATTATATTCACCATCACGTTGAACAAGAACAAGTCTTTTTTGAATGACTTGATCACACGTTTTAGAATCAGGTAATGCTCCACGAAATGATCTCATCCAAGGATCTAAATGTAATTGAAATAATCTTCGATCATGATCGACCCAACGTGAATGATCCTTTTCACAATTCGCATACCATCCATTCGAAAATCCATTTCCAGAGAATGAATTTAATGGTACAATCATATTCAATACTCGAATAAAGTTATCTTCAGCAACATGTCTTGTTTGTTGAATTCGATACATCAAGACTTGACTTGGAAGAGGAGTTGTAGTTCTCAAAGTAGTTGTAGTTTTTGGACTCGAAGTCGTACTCAAAGTCGTAGTTTTCAAAGGTTTACAAATTATTTGTTCTGCATTTCTCCATCGCTCCACAAGTCCAAATCCAATATCATTGGAACAAGCATTTCGATGAGGATCTGATCGAATGTAATAATTTCGATTCCAATATTCAAATTCATTGTATGTGATTGATGGATGATGATGAGGTGTTGTTAAAGTATTTTCATCATTCTTACTTGTACGGTGGTCATTGTTTTGATGAATGGTAGAATGATCATCATCCATGACTTTTCTATCTCCTCGTCGTCGAGCTTTTAATTCTTCTTGTAAAGTGAGTACTTGTTGTCGTAATTGATTATTTTGTGATTTGAGTTGAGAGACGACATGTTCAAGTAAATCTCTTGATTGTTGATGTGATATCCTATCGCCACCACCACTACTAGGAACACTGTTCGAAGAAGGTTTGTTTGTTTCTTGTTGTTGTTGTTGTGGTTGAGAATCATTATAAATTCGATGTCGAATGGCATTGAACATGATGACATAAATGACCATAATGGACACAAGTATTACGACAAGAATTTTGTTTCGGTGCAGTGAAAACCATGGTTGATTTCGTACGAGGATTGACTGCATCCGTATGATGAGAACGTGTTATTGAATTGATGAGAAGGGATAATTTTTTGAAAAACCGAGTGGATGATGATGACTGACGTTTGTTCTGTTTCTCGTCCAATTCGGTGGTACATAAAAATAATAAAAATAATAAAAATTAAAAAAAAATGAACTCAGCAGACCCCTTCGATATCGTCAAAGACAAGGTCACTGAAAAGCTTCGTGCCGTTAAAGTGCTTCAAGAGATGTATATGGAGCAGATCAACGGATCGGGTACTATGGATGAGGTCTCTATTTCTGGTATTGAAAAAGAACTCCGAAATAATATTCAATCCATTGATTTGTTTTTAAATGATTTGCAAGGCACTGTCAATATTGTAGAAAAGAATCCTCAACGTTTTTCAAATATATCTCGAGAAGAGATTGGAAAACGTAAATTGTTTATTTCCTCAACATCACAACAAATGAGACAAATAGAACAACAAATGAAGAATAGAAAACAAAAACAAACTCAACTTCAAAAGGAAAGCCTGTTTTCTGATCCGAAACAAAAAGGATCATCATCAGCACAATTAAATGATGATGAAGATGATGGAAATTATCCTGACTCTTTTAAGAACACTTCCAGTAGTAGCAAAGGGAGATACTCAAGGCTTGAAGAGTCCTATATCAAGGACAATCAAAGATTTATTGATGAACAATTACAAATTCAAGACACTGTGAAAAGAAATCAAGATGAACAGATGGACAAAATGACAACAACCGTTCAACGAGTTGGTCAAATTGCTGTTGATATTGGAAATGAATTGGATGAACACAAGAGAGAGTTGGAAGAAATGGAAAATCATGTAGAAAAGACCAAAGGTTTATTGGAAAGAACGAATAAGAGGTTACAGACATTGTTGAATAATACTTCTGACAAGTGGAAGATTATAATTATTGTTGTTTTATTATTGATAGTCCTTGGGTTGATTGCTGTTGTGATATTTGTTCCATTTAGATAAATCTATTTTGTACAGTTATAAAAGGCGAGAGATTGAAATTTATTGAAATTAATTGAAATTAATTGCAATTTATTGAAACAACAACGATAAAGTTTTTAAACTTCTTCGTTTTCACCATAGGGATGAGATTTGTGAGAGGTGGTGTGGAGACTTCCTTGTTGTTGTGAAGGCAATTGATGGTCCGTAGAGGTTGCTGAGCTTGTAAATGACACCACACCGGAGTGTTGTTGTTGTTGAGGCGTGGATCGACCACTGCTACTCTTCTTGTTCATTCTCGAAACGATACATCTTTGTAAAATCAAACCACAACAACAAATGAAACAAATGGCTGTCACAATCACACCATCGTAGGCATACTTGGAATATCTTTGCATGTCATGATATTGTTGTAATTGATCAATATAAAGGAATGGATTCTCTTCTCCTTCCGGTAATTCAAATTGAGAGGGTTTTGGGAAGTACCATCGATAAAAGTTATGAAGTAATTCTACAACTTGGATGTTTGGTGTTGTTTGATTCATATCATCATTGAGACAAATAAATTTAGGTCTCTTTCTAGTTAATTCATCCAATTGTTCTCCAACCTTATCATAATCATCTCTAATCATATGAAATCCAACTTCAGATAAATCTTCAAGAGTGTATGAGAAACGTTGTTCACTTTTGTGAACTTTAGTTTTCACAACATCACTCAAACCACTATTTACAAAATCTTCAAACGTTGGTCTTGTTCTTGCCTTATAATTTGGATCATATTGAGACATTACTAAATTGGTATAGTTTAAATGTCCAAATAATACAGATCGAACAGCTTTCAAATAATCCTTAAATGAACTATACGTGTCATAGGATCCCCATGATCCATAAGAAGAGCTACGAGGTCTCCAGGAAGAAAAATAGGAAGATCCAAATGGTGAAGTTGAATTTGATAAAGTATGGTTCAGTTTTGAAGAAGTAGTAGTAGTGCTGGTTGGATTACTTGTTGATTCAACCTTTGAATCTTTCATTTCTGTTCTGGTCGTTTCATCATTTGTCTTTTTCAAATCATTTATCGTTTCACTCTTTTTCAAATCATTCATCGTTTCACTCTTTTTCAAATCATTCATCTTTTTTGTAACATTTCTTGACAATTCATTGACCTTCTCTTGTGATATTTTATACTTGTTCAACATGACATTTGCTAAATTTCTAATTTCATAATCATCCATCGTATCATCTTGATTAGTATCTACATGTTCTTTAAAGAATTCTGTTGCATTGTATGGAATTCCTTCATGCATTAAATAATAAAAATATGTAAATGTATATTGCATGTCATTTGAGGAACGAAATCGATTAGAGGATGTCACATTAAATTCATATTCCCATTTCTTTTGTAATTCATTCATAATATCCTTATCAATCATGTGTGGCATGTGAGCTGGTACTTTCTTGAAGCTCTACCATATTCCTTATTTAGTAACTTGTTCACATGAATTAAGGAATCACCAAATTTGTCAAGTAATTTTCTTGAAGTGGGCGAAGAAAGATCTTTCTTTTCATCCAGTATAGTATTGTATTGAATCTTATCTTGAGAGATTTCTCTTTCAATTCTCTTTTTTACATTTTGATATTCTTGTTGAGAAAATTCTTTTTCTAATAATTCATGACGAAGTGAATTCACAATTTCTTCTGGATGGATTGAACAATTGGAATTCTAATCGATGCTCTGGGTTGAATCATCATGATGACAGATTCTTCATGAGATGAAGGAGGAGTTGTAGTAGAATCTATCATCTTCCTAGATGATTCTTGAGAATTTGGAAGAGAGTTTGGTGTAGGATGGAAAATGCTCAATAATTTTCTTCGTCTTTGATTCTTCTTTAAAGTATTTCTTAGAGTCTTTAATTCTTCAATCATTTTCTTTTGAGATGGTTGTTGATTTCTTTTCATTGGTTTTTTCTGTTGTTTCAATGAATTCTTTTTTAACGAATGATTCTTGTTGGAAGTGTTTTGAAGAAATGATTCATTTCTTGTTGTTCTCTTCTTCTTCTTACCAATGATCGAATTCTTTGAATGGATGGATGAAGAATGAGAATCACTGGATGGCTTTTCAAGAATCTTATTCACTACTCCTCGTTGTTGATCTACAACTACGGCATCAGACAAATCATCAATTTCAGTATGTTTGGGTGTAGATTTCTGTTCGACTTGTTGTTGTTGTTGTTGTGAAGGATTTAATTTCTCTATAGTACTGATAGTAGTGGTAGTACTAGGACTAGTAGTGGTTGGAGTACCAATAGTATCATTATCATCATGTTGTTGTTGTGTTGTAACACGACTACTACTACTACTAGTAGAATCATCACTCATCGTAGAAGAAGACTTTGTGCCCTTCTTTTGGCTGACCTTCAGTCCTTCTTCTTCTCCACGACTGAGCATTGTATTCATCTTCTTAGTACCAGCAGTAGTAGTAGTTGGAGTAGTAGTAGCGTATACCAGCACTAGTTGTTGAAGTTGTTGGAGTAGTAGTAGTATCATCATGTTGAACTCTAGTAGTATCCATTCTTGTCTTGTCAGTATTCTTGAGTTCTGTATGGAGGACAGTGTTGGCAGGAGAGCTGCTGGTAGTAGTATCACGTTGAGTCGTCGTTGTTGATTGAGTATTTGAAATGGTTGTTGTTCCACTCGGTGTTGTTGTTGTAGTACCATCACTCATAGTACCACCACTACCACTCATTGAACGAGTATTTGAACGAGTAGTAGTAGTACCACCACTCATTGGCTGAGTATTTGGATGATTGAGTGTTGAAAGATCACTTTTAGGACTTGTTGAACGAGGAGGAAGAGTTGTAGTTGTAGAAATGCTACTACTACTACTACTACTACTACTACCACTACCACTACTACTACTACTTTTCAATGCTAGCATCGACTGAATACTCATCGTTGTTGGAATGATGACTTTAGAATTGTAATGAATATCATTTTGTATTTGAGAATATTCACTTTCAGTTAATCCAATTAAATCATTACTAGTTTTTTTGTTAAATTTGTTTTGAATATATTCAAAGGTTTCGTTATTAACCAATTTCACTATAAAGGATTTGGAAATGGTTAATTTATCATTTTCAATCGTGTAATGAGTAGTAGTAGTGGATGGAGTACTAGTTTCAGTAGTAGAATTGAGAGTTCTTTCAGCTTCTAAGGTGACTTGAATAATTTCTTCATAATACAAAGTTCCAGTATTGGAAGTGCTAGTAGTAGTGGTAGTACGTGAAGATGATTGATGACGAGTACTTGAAGAAATGGAACTCGTTGTATGTGGAGTACTTGAAGAAATGGAACTCGTTGGAGTGTTTGGACTACTAGCTAACTCTGATACATTCTCTGAAGTATATTTTGTAATATTAGCTTTCAATAATTGATAATTAAATGTAAATATTAATAATTTTTCTTTTTGTGAAATGGTTGAACTTCTCACTAATTTCTCGTTATCATGATTTCCATTTGTAATTTGCGCATTCATGAAAATTGGATTTAAATTCAAATAAATAGATGATACATTATATCTCACATAAATAGCATTCAAATTCTCATTCACATGTTCATGCAATAAAACTCGTTTCAAATCTTTAAAATCACAATCTCCTGCATCAAAACCACATTCTCGTACATTACATGGTCGATCACAGAATCGATCACCAATCCATGTATCAGGACATGAAGCAGCACAATAATTGTGGTAATTTGATTTTGAGGAGGACATCCAATTTGGTAACTGTCCAGTAGATCCAGTATTCCAATTATTCCAAGAATTACCAAAAGAGGAAGATCCATACGACATTCGAACATTATTTCCAATACAATCTCCTCCATCAAAATCACATTGAGTGACATTACATGATAAATCACAGTATCCATCTCCTAGCCATGATTCTTGACAACCACTTGCACATGGTGGAACTTCCCAACTTAGGAATACTCGTTGTCCAGTAGAATGACTATAAAAATCTTCTGGATAAACATTATTTCCAAACATGACATCATCATTTAAATAAATAAATTTCTTTGATAGTCCAGGTATTCTATGAATATGAGATTCAATCGATGGAGAACTAAATACAGGTAAATGTGAAGCATCTCTATATATATCTGAGTGTTTCACAATTTTGATTTTAGGATTCTTTACGTTTAACCAATTAGGAACTTGACCATTGGTTACAATATAAATATTTCGAACCCATGGAGCAAATCTTTCTAAACTTCTTAAACTAAATTTCAATTCATCATTATCACGGAAACGATTGGATCCACTCACTGTATTGTCTTGAGTGTTGTTGTTTTGAGAGGCGGAGAGACTGGTGGTACTTGAAGGGGTTGTAGGATGAGGATGAGTGCTTGAAGAAGGGATTGCGCTTGGTGGACGAGTCGTTGATGCAGTAGTGGCAGAATTCAACGTATTTTCGAGACTGGTCGTAGTTTTTAAGCTAGATTTGGAAGTGGTCGTAGTTTTTAAAGTATTTTTGGGAGTGGTCGTAGTGTTTAGGTCGTTCTTCTTCTTCCTCTTGGTCGTTGAGTCTGTGGTGGTTGACTTTGCATTTGTTCTTGTAGTAGATTTGGAATTTGTTCTTGTAGTAGTAGTAGTAGTATTAGAATTCTTCTTCTTCTTCTTTTGGTCATTCATTGTAGTCTTGTCAATGACATGATCTATGGATGAATCATCCTCTTCGTCATCATTGAATTGATTTAATTTTCTTCTTCTTCTTCCTTTCATTAATGGCATTTCTTCATGATTGGTCTGTGGTGTAGTTCCAACATTTTTGTCTTTTTGATTATTTCCTTTGAGACGATAATTTTTCGTCCGCCCTCTGATAGAATTGGCATTTTCATGATTGCTTTTACGATGATTGGAACCAGTATTTCTTGAATGGGTTGTCATCTCTGATGGATTCTTTCCTGTCGTCGTTGTCGTCGTAGAAGTACCACCAGTTCCAGTTGTACTTTTCGTAGTCTTTGTTGTCTTCTTTGTTTCTGTTGCACTCGAATCAAAAGATTCCACATCTTCTTGTTTCACACTCTCTTCTTTTAATTTATCAGTAAATTCTTTCAATAATGCTTTATGAATCGGATCAGAACCATTCACCCATGTATAAACAATATCCATTGGTTCGTAACATAATTTAGGAATTGCGTTCACTTTCATAATGTTATCTTTATACATTCGATGACAATAACTTCCCATTTGTGAAACATCATCTTCAACCAATGTAGTTTTATCCATAATAGAAACATCTAATAAAGATTGTAATAAATGAAGAATGGAATTGAGAGTAATAAAGGTCACAATAATTAATAGAATAACTCCCCATTTCGATGTTGCAAAGGAATAAAAAGATTTTTGAATTGGTTTGGTGAGTCGATTCGGAATGCAACCACATGTGTACTTTTTTGAAGAGGTGGCAGAAATGTTGGCCGAGTTGGCAGTGGTGGTTGGCAACATGTTGGTACGGACAATACTTGTATGTCGGTATCGGATCTATCGGGATGAATGGAAATTAATAGGTGGTGTGTGAGTGGTGGTATGATGATGAAGTGCAGAGTATTCTCTCACAAAAAAATCGAAGATCCGGATGTTAAAAAAGATGATGCAACAAGTCCAAACAACAACCACTCGCAAAATTTTGTTGTGAAGATTTTTTTTTTCAACAATCGTCTTCTCCGATTTCTTTCACAGGGATCGAGATGTGATTGTGATTTTCCAAAAAGTGCGAAAAAAAATCGAGTAAAATCGAAAACGATTTGCTCAAATTCGGTCAACCCTCATTTTTTGGACGTTTCTTCCCGAAAACGATTTTGCTTGATGTTGACGAGATACGATGTTGATGCTATTCGTGCAAAGTCGAAAAAATCGATTATGATCGACCTGAATCGATTACCTCAACACGATTCATTTCTCAAAGTCGATGTTTTTCGTCCAAAATCGAAAAAATCAATTATGATCGACATGAATCGATTTTCTTGATCGTCAGAGTTGAAAAAATCGATCATGAAGAACCTTTAATCAAATAAACTCTGATAATTTGCTTCTATTTGATTTTTCTCCTCTTCCTCTTTTTGTCTAATCTTCTCTTTCTTTACCTCAATCAATTTTGCAACTTCATTCACCAATTTGGTCAAAGGTTTTACATACTGTTCCTCTTGTTTTGCAATATCTTCTTCTTGTTTTTTAAATCTCTCAAGTAACTCCTCCTTTTCTTTCTGAACTTTCAATAATTGATCTGCAATAACTTTTGAATTATTTTCTTCCATGTCTTTCATAGTTTTTAAAAACTTTGTCGAATTTTGCATATCCTTATCATTAGTATCACAGTCTTGTTTAGCGTTAATAAAAATTTGCTTCTTTAACTGATCCAATTTGAAAATCTGGAATTCTAAAACAGGTGATTTGAACGTAGTAACTTGTGGTGTTGACTCAGGTTTTGGATCAAGATCAAACATATCATGCAAATCCATGCCACATATATCAAGCTCAGGAGCCATTGAAGGTGTTTCCTTGGTCTTTGACTCGTCCAATTCTTTCTTAATGACCAATGATTTTTTTTGAATAGAAGCAAGAGCTTTTTTGAATACAGGAGAGACGCTTTTGTCTGTATCACCTTTTCTTGTACGCTTTTTCGCATTGTCTCTCAATTTATCTTGCGCTTCTTTATACATAACTTCCTGCAAATCGTTGCCATTATCATCAATCCAATCCAAATCATCTTTCTCATCATCCTGATCTGAATGTTCTGATTCGCTGTCACTACTGTCACCTTGAATTTGTGAAGCCAATGATTGTTTTTTGTTGGAGTGAGCAGAAATCTCTTTTTCAATCTCGTTAACAATCCATTTCTTGTTTTCTTGAATGAAAGTATCAAAAAAATCTTTCACACGTTTGTCATCTTTTGGGGCGTTGCATGTTGCTGGTAAACCATCTTTGTATTTTCTTGAACCTTTAGCAGTAGGAAATGTGAAATTTGTATTTTTTTTTGTTTCTAATTGGAGCTTCTTGAAAACTTTGCTTGCTGCTTTTGAATTTGTCATTCCATGAGAATAGAGCTCATTTGAACAAATAGGTAATGTGGTTGCGAGTATTTCGCAAAAACGATCAAACGTGTTCCACTTTGTTTTGTCTTTGCCCATTTTTTTTCAGTGAGAAAACCGTTGTTATTGTTTTTTGACGTTGACACAATCGCACAAAAAACAAGACGACTTAAAAAACAAGAGGCCGTTGAGTTTTTTTTATTCCGAAACAAATCAATGTCGTTCAATTCAACATTTTCGATATGAGAACATTAAACAATTCAACATAATCGAGCAGAATTGATTTTCTCAACAATTTCTTATCAATTTTGCTCGAAAAAATCGATTTCCACATGGTAAAAGCAACGCAACATCGATTCACAAACGATGAAAGACGAGTTTTCAAACAAAAAACAGGTGTCCAAATATCTCAAAAACTAAGACCATATATCCAAGGTCAAAAATTAGCCCCAGAACAAATTGAGTTCATTAAATTGGTGTGTGGAAAGTATGGAGATAAACCAAAGGTCTTGCAACAAATTTTACCTTTCGCACCTTCAACGATTTACAAATATTGCAATGAAATACAAAAAGAAAAAGCTCTCGGAAGGCCTCCACATTCAGGTAAATCAACCCACCTCTCTGTGTTAAGATTTATTGATATCATATTCAGTGAATATAATACTGTTAATTATGCAGAAGTACGTCAAATAGTTAAAGATTATCTTGATGTTTCAATTTCCGTATCTCAGCTCTCCAAAATAACGACAAAATATTTGTTCAGGACATATAAGAAATGTGAAAAAGTATCAGTATATCGAAAAAGCCCAAGAGTACAATCTCAAAGAACTGTGTACAGGCGAACTATTCGAACCTACAAAACAAGAATCATGTTTTTTATTGACGAATCGCATTTCTGTTATGACCATTTGATTAGAACAAGGGCTCACATCAAAATTGGCAACACTTGTCAAAACAGTGCGCACAGAGTGAGTGGAAAACGTTTTTCATTATTGGCATGCATTAACGAGAGAGGAGGTTTGGTTTACTGGGAACTTGTCGATACAACTAACAAAGCAATTGATGCTGATCGATTTAATATATTTCTGACAACATTGAGCAAATTGATCCCAAAAGATTGTATTTTAGTTCTTGACAACGCATCCATTCATAAGGAAAAAGAAGTTCATAGTATAATGAATGGCCAAGGTATTAGTGTGTTTTGGCAAAGCCCATACTCTCCTGACTTCAATCCCATTGAATTGCTTTTCGGATGGATGAAAACACAGTTGAAAAACTATGAACATTCGGTTGACTCTCTCGAAGAGATAATGGAGCAGGTGTTTGATCAAGTTACACCCAAGTTAATCAAATCGTTTGTTCATCATTGCAAGGAAATCTGGCATGATGAGACAAAAACTTAATAAATTTCGAGTTTGATCGAAATCGATTTTGAAGGATTTCGATGTTAATCAACATCAAGTCAAAACGACAACGCATCAATGTCGCTCATTTCGATCTCGAAAAAAATCGCGAAAAAATCGTCGATTTTTTATTCGCACTTTTTCGAAAATCACAAGATCACAGTGGGGATTTTTAATCTCACACCCACACAGGTTGGGTGAGTTGAGATTAAACGCCGTACCTCACACCCACCCGCTCATTTCACACCCAAAAAATTTTTGAATTAATGAATATCAATAAATTTATTATTCATCATCATACATTCTGCCTTTGAAAATCAGAGAGTTCAATGGCTTCCGATTGAGAAAGGTCTTTTAATGGACACTAATCAATTGATTGAATGACAATTAACCTTTCAGAGGTCATAAATCAGCAAGAGTACAACCATCAAATTATATTATTATTGATTATCAGCAACATCAACAAGATGGACAAAGAAAATTTTTGTTTCCTTTTACTGCTATCTGTATTAGTTAAAAACAGTGATAAACTCTTTGTTTAAATTTGAATTAAACAAAGATGATCACATCGTGATATTTTTTATGAAAGGTTGACGAACAGGTTTTGGACCTGTGTTGTGTTTGAGATTAAACGCCGTCCTCACGCCCAACTCACCCAATCCCAGGTTCATTTTTGCTGGGTGTGTGGGTCTGAGATTAAAAATCCTCAGTGTGTATATTTATTTAAAGAATGTGAACATTTATCGAATGTCTGCCCGTCTAGCTCAGTCGGTAGAGCGCAAGACTCTTAATCTTGTGGTCGTGGGTTCGAGCCCCACGGTGGGCGAAATAATTTTTCTCTATCAGCTTGTGACATCGTGTGTTTTTGATTGCTAAAGTACAATACAAAGCCCTTGACTAATGTTTTTTTGTCCACTTAGTGACACGTGGTAAATCGACAAAATGAAAAGAAATCCTTCTAACAATATGAACTTTGCGTGCTACAGGATGCTACAGCAGTAACAGATAGAAGAGTGTACTTTCCAAATGGCATGAGCTTTATAGATACCAGATCGCATTACTGTCCATTACTGAGAGGTGCAAAGTTAGTGATGCTACAGTCAGTTCTGGCTTGCTGATATATTTTTTCATTTTTCGCTTGTCCGCAATACTTTTCCCTCCTCCAAAAGACATGCGGTACACGAGAACGCTTTTCATACATGCATAATTTTTGAAATCATCATTGTATTAATTCAAATACTAAAATTGTGACATCACTAAATTGTTCTTGTTTAGGACTTGTCATCAGCTCCTTAAATCTCTTTTCATTTTTGTACCATCTTGCATTGTATTTGAAAATCTGCATTTTGAAATTATTTTCGTAAGTTTGTTCATTTGTTGCTCTTGTTACTCACCTGTATTTTGTAATTATAACAATCTTTTAAAAGTTTGATGTGTTGTGGTGGTGGTGTTGATCGTTAATTAATGTTATTTCTACTTGATTACTCACCTGCTACATATAACAACCCTGAATGATAATCCAAAGACACACCAAAAGGAGTGTTCAATAAATTAGAATGAGAACCAGGTGCTTGTTGAAATTCTTCAAGCATTTCTCCAGTCCAATTAAAAATCTTGAGTTTGTGATGGTCACTATCAATGTAAAATGAAATTATAAATAATCATAAAAACACTACCGCCACAAGGATATTAAAATCTTACCTATCAATGTAAAATGAAATTATAAATAATAATTCAACCATCACAAGAAGAATATTAAAATCTTACCTATCACTCACAATGATGTGTCTAGTGTTTGGATCGACAATAACACCTCTAGGATAACTAAAACTACCATTTGCAATACTTCTCACTATAGTTCCATCTATGGGTGAAACAACATGCACACTATGGGTCGATTTTTCACACACTAACAAATTTCCTTCATAAAACGTAATGTCTGTAGGAGAGTTGAATTGAAATGAATTCAATAATTGCCCATCCCTACTGGATAACACTCTAATTCTATTTGCATCTCGATCACTCACATAAACCTTTCTCGATGCATGATCAATACACAAACCTCTCAAAGCATGAAACTCGGATGCGGAACTTTTCCATAGCCTTGACTTGTCAATATAATTGGATCGGTGGGTTTTACTGTGGGGCTCATACAATGTAGGGCACATGATATATTTTTCAACCGTATAGAAGGAATACATGTCGGTAGTGACAATGACACTTGGATAGGTACAAGCCATTTGAATAGTTTCTTGATTCAATGTCAAATTGCATGGAATGACTTGTCCATTCAATGATCGTTGTTCAACAGATCCATTGTTATTTGTATTATTTTGAGATGATTGATGATGACCCATGAGATCATTTTCATTTTCAAAAGGCTCTTCAATATTCAAATAGTAACAACAACCACTGCTATCACCACCCACTTTAATCGAATATAAAAGCTTTTTACTCTCCAAATCGTGAACATTGATCCTTCCCGATGAATAAGTACTTGCAAGTAATAACTTTCTTTTCGGATCAACTTTTACATCTGTAATAAAGTAAGTATATGTTTCCTCTTGAGGTGTAAAAGAACAAGAATATGAGAGAATTTGATCTTGTTGTTGTTGTTGGATATTCAATGTTGTACTTGATTCATTGCCCTGATCGATCATCCTGGTGTTTTGATTCGTGGTGGATGAAGCCTTTTTATTGCGTTTTTGAAAAACCATTTTTTTAAAGGCGAGTTCTGTAAGTGACCCAATGAACTGTATGTGACCCAATAGGAACCCTTGTTGCATCTCTCTCAAGTTCTCTCATTCGTTATCATCATCATCTGAAGAAATGACCACAACCTCACCCTCATTTCTGAATGTATTGTTGGTAGCATTGCTGTCAACAGGTTCATCACCCTTCTGATTCATGAAACATCTTCTTGTTGTTGGTATGAAAAGATAACTACAATTAATATCCTGTTGGTGATCTTCGTCGGTGGCAATAATTTTAACTCCACTCACAAAAGAACAATTCTTACAAAACAAGACACTGTAAACCACTCCTTCACTTTCAGAAAAAGGTGTAATGATTTTGTTTTGAGACTTGTCCTTCATGGACAGTTGGATTGAAAAGTCTTGTTGTTGATTTGTAAATTTGAGAACATGCTTCATTTGTGATGAATCCAGTGTTGCAACATGGTGTCCAAATGAATCATCGAGGGGTGATGTTGATTCATGATGATAAAATGTCCAATGATTCTGATTGGAAGAATATTCTTGACGACAAGGAATCATACTTGTCAACTTGGAATCAACTCTCAATACTTGATCTTGGGCATATACATTCTCAAAGGATGAGAGAATACTTCTCAACATGGAATGATGTGGTGGTGGTTGCAACAATGAAATCACTTGACAGGATGAATTCATGGAAACAAGAGTCTTTTGACAAGAACTGCAATAAATGGTTGCAGTAGAATCCATTCTATGACGACGAGTATCAGTAGTACTACTACTACTATTACTTTGAGTAGTCGTAACCATTGGATTTGGCATTCGATTTTTAGAGAGGCCATGATGAGTAGCATGTGATGATTGAGGAAGAGTTCTATGAGGAGAAATTAAGGTAGTAGGTGTGCTATTTTGTTCCATGAATGGAATTTGTAACTTGGTTTCGTCATCATCGTTCGTCATCTCGTCGTCGTCACTGAGCATTTCTAATGATTCATTGGAAGAATCATCATTCAAAATGACATCACTACGTACAATTGATCTTCTCCTATGAGTGTTGATTTGTTCTTTCAAAGTTGATCGAAGAATATGTTGTTCAGCACGGAATGTATTGGTAGTAGTAGGAGTGGTTGTAGTAGTAGTAGTATTGGTAGTATTGGTAGTAGTAGTAGTTGTAGTAGTTGTAGTATTCTCTGAGAAATGTTCATGATTCCATTCAAAAAATTCAGAGAGTGATTTCAATGAACTTTCCAATGAAGGATAATTCACAATTCTTGTTCGAATCCATTTTGAGAATGCATTCACAGTCTTGGCACTGTTCTTGTTTTGAAATCTTTCATCAATTAATAAGATTGCTCCGTAATCATTCTTGTGTCGTATGCATCGACCAACCGCTTGATTTAAGGCTCTAAAGGCTTGACTTGTATACCAATGTTCACCATCCATACTATTATTATTACTATTATTATTACTATTATTACTATAACTATTACTATGGCCAGTATTACCATTATTATTACTTGCATTGTTCACACTATCATTGTACTCTCTTTTGAGAGATACTTTTAAATCCTTAATATTTGGATAGGGTATTCCAATACATATCACCATTCGACACTTGTCATTAGAAAAATCAATACCTTCAGATACCTTTCCTCTACAAACAGCTATAAAGAGAGCACCATTTTTGGAAGTAGCCGTTGTTGTAGTTCTAGCAGCACTAGTAGTAGCAGTACTGGCAGTAGTCCTAGTTCTAGCAGCACTAGTAGTAGTAGTAGTAGTCGTGTTGTTTCTATTCTTGTGCTCTTCAATACTTGCATAATATTTAGAAATGGTTTCTTCAATACTCGTTCCCTTCTCTTCAAAAAATACATCCTTGACTTGTTCAATTTGTTTCAATAGTGAAGAACAGTTCGATGAAGGGATGGAATGATTGTATGATTTCCATCGTTTTAAAATCTTGTTCATGAATGAATAGGAAGGAAAAAAGACAAGTATACCTCCATTCCTTGTACAATCTTGTTGACAAATAGATAGAATAATTCTACCCAATTCATCTTGATACTGAGTAGTATTACTATTGGTATAGTTTGCATTTAAACTCACTCCATGAGATTGACCCAATGTTCCAACCCATACTTGATCTTGTTCAATGACATGTTCTGCTTCAAATGTGGTTGTAAATTGAGTTTTCAATTCATTGGAAAATGTATCAAGAGGACTAAGAGTACCTGATGCCAATAGAGTGCATTTAGAATTTAACTGTAATTCTTCAAATGCAACAGCAGGAGAAAGACACCAAAAGTTAATTTGATATTCAATGGTTAAGGATGATGATGTTGTTGTTGGAACATTGGTGAGGGATGGAATGCCACTACTTGAGGAATTGATACCGTCGGTTCGAACCATACGTTGATGATGTATATTATTATAACTACTACTATGACTACTGGTACTACTACTGGTGGTGCTACTACTACTACTAGCAGTGGTGGTATTAGCATTGGTATTGGTATTAGCATTGGTAGTGATAGTATTTAAATGATGAGGGACAGCCTTTTTGATTAAAACAATTGCATAATCTTTCATGAATTTAAAATCATCTCTTAACATTAAATCAAAAATGGTACAAAGTTCTTGTAACATATTCAAAGATCTTTGAGAGAGTCTCAAGTCTTGTTTCTTATTACTTGGAGTAAATGATTTTACATGAAAAAGTGCATCTTTGATTTGTTTCAATTCCTGATGCATCATGTTTCTGGGATCAAAAATGTGTTTCATAAATTCATTCATAATACCATCTTGTTCCTTAATAATTTTACCTTCAATAGAAGAATCATCATTGGACAAGGGTGTTAATACTTGCATGTTCATCCATTGTAAAATTTTTAAAATAAAATCAACAAGTATTTTGTAATACTTGTATTGAATCTTTGTAGAATTCCATTCATCATGATGAGTAGTGGGATTAGAATGTATAGTAGAATTTGTAGTGAAATTTGTTACAGTAGAATCAGTACTGGAATTCAACGTTGAATTTCTATTAGAAACAATGGTAGAATTCATCATTTTTGAAAGAATAAAATTCAATTCAAAAGCACACACATGTTCAAGTTCATATTCACTCAAAGTCAATGAAGTAGATTCTCGACATGCATCTTCTAAATTGTGCGCTTCATCAAAAATACAAACACTATTATGAACATCGAGAGACATCATTTCTCTAGTGATGGGTGATAGAATATAATTATATGGACATAATATTAATTCTATTTCTGGATCGAGTAGAAATTCTTTAGATGCAAAATACGGACAACTCTTCAATCGTTTTCCTTCCTTAATTAAATCTTCAATATCATAAATTAAATGTTTAGAATGTGGAGAATAATTTGAACTCTTAACAAGTGCATACATATTCTTATAATAATAACAATTAGAAGCATCGATTAATTTTTGACATTCCGTATTGACATCACATGTGCTCGTCGTACCATGGTGAAAATGATTCTTGGATGAACCATGATTCATCATGGGATGGATACAATATTGTTGCTTACTTCCTAATATAGTCATTTTAGGTGCGTAACATGTCTTGCGAAGTTCTTTGACTACTTGTTTGATTTGTGAATGAGTTCGACATGAATAAATAATTTTTGGTAATTTTGTGGATTTTAAAATTTCACGTTCAGCCTTATTGGTAAATCCTTTTTGTAAATAAAGTAAAATTTTAGAAATTTGTTGCATATTACATTCTGAAGAAGTATTATTCATATCTAATTTTTGTTTCTTTGTGGATGGTGGAGGAATTGTGGTTGATTCATCATGATGACTTGATCTGCTACTCGTATTACTGGTACCAGTACTCCAAGGATGATTAGAATCTAAAGATAGAATTTTGGAATCATGTAATCTCTTGAGAGGTGAGGAGGAAGAAGAGACCTCTGCTGGAACGGTTGTAAATTCATTCATTCTTGTATCATGAGTACTACCACTATTAGCAGTACTAGTCCATGATGAAGATGATGATGTCGATGACGACGATGAATGGACATGCTCCTTGTTATGTGTTTCATGTTTTTCTTTCCATTGTTGAATGATTTTCGCTTTAAAATGTTGTTGCCAACATAATGTGGCACATAACAAGCTTAGAGTTTTACCTGTACCCTACCACATAAAAGTAATTTGGAGAAGAAATTCATCATATTTACCTACTGTTGGACTTTCGAGTATGGCATGATGACCCTTTTCAGTGTGATCCAATGTGAATATCACTCGATTCATCAATTCAATTTGTGACGGATATGGATGGTAAGGAAATGAACAAGTATATCCATTTGAGAGGGGTACAGTAATAGGATGGATCATTGGTTTGATTATATCATCATCGTGATGTAATGATGATGAATTAATAGTATGTTCAGAGTGATGATGATGATGATGAGGATCCAATAAATGTTCTTCATCGATCGGATCCAACTCTGTTGTTGTTGTTGGATCATTCAATGATACTAGTTGTTTCTTATCAGCATGCTGGATCTCACAACAAGGCTTTGGGGATTGCTAGTCGACCGATGCATAGTGTCCTTCATACTTGCTGAGCTCGAAATTGATGATACTGTTTGGTTATAAAATTCGTCATCTTCATCATCTGAAGATAATTGAATGGCAGGTGTGTACATGAATGTTTTCTTTGGTTTGTTTCGAATGGATGCACTGAATTCAGCGCCAAAAGGATGATTCATTTTTTTATTGGAATTTGCAGATTCCAGTCCTCCTTATCCACTAAAAGCCTTTTTCACATTTTGGAAATATGACTGTCAGCACACAGAACCATCCATGCAAATATCATTCCACACAATTATTCATCCAATGTGCGGTACCGAACCATCCAGTTCCTCATTACTTTTCATCCGAAAGCATCTCTTTCTTCTCTGCCAATCTCTTCAAATAACGCTCTCGTGCGCTCAACACAGCTTCTCCCTTATCAATTTTTACAATTTTTGGTTGTGGTTGTTCTTTTGTTCAACGGAGAGATCATTCATTTCCAAGTTTGTTACTACAGTGGTAGTAGTAGCAGTACTTTTAGGGATTTCATCATTCGAGGTAGCTTGTTGTTTTCTTTTCATTCCTCTCTTCAGTTCGGTGTGCTGTCTGTTAGCAATTTCATCATTACTTGTTGAAGCACTACTAATAGAGATTTCTTCATACTCTTTTCTTTCAGTAGAAGGACTAGTACTACTGTCCTTGATATTTACATTGTCATTCCTTGTTAATAAACTCTTATAAAAATTACCCATTCCAATTTTTGTGACATCTTTTTTAGATTCTTCTTCTTTTTGTCTTGACTGTTCCTCAACCCATCGTTCTTGCTCTTTGAGTTTTTGTTTATATTCCTCTGTTACAAACACTGCGTTACTTGTGTGATTCGTGGAGGATGCCTCTTTTTGCATTCTTCGTATTTGTGCTAGTTCTTTTTCCTTCTTTCTTTCCTCAGCTAATTTCACTAAATTTGCAATATATTTAGACTCTTGTGGTTTTGAGTCATTCTCAGATAATTTTTGTGTAAATGTTTTTGAAATGACATTTTTCATATTTTCAAATGCATTTTCAATGAGTAATTCATTCGACTTTTGATCCTCTTCCAACTGATGCATCTGTTCATGATCTAATTCCCACTGATCAATATCTTGAAGGGAAGTGAATTGTGAAGTCTCTACTGTGGATTTTAATTTCTTTTCATGTTGTATTTTTTGATAGAGCAATGATTGAGTCATTGCAGAGGATGATTTACTTTTTGATTGATGTTGTTTTAAAGAAGATTTGGACGATGGAGTTATTTCCTCTTCTTCATCTTGCTCCGAAAAGAGTGATTCAATTTTTTGATCCTTGTTAGTGTCCGAAGCCTTTTTTTCATTAAAATTGGATGCTTGTTGTTTTTTAGATCCGAGCTGAATGGAAATGGAGGTTGTTGAAGAAGGCTTGTTCTTGGTGGACGGGAGCGAGAAATTCATCTTCTCGTGTTATTGTTATTATTTTTATGTAAAAAAATTCTCCACCATCATCAAACTCAAATTTTGACTGCTGCTATTGTGATTCTAAAAATTTCTGTGCACAGGTTCTCTCTTTTTGACAACGTTTGACTCCATAAATTATAATAACAACGGTACTACTTTACTTTCATAACACAACCAATGGCTGCCAATACCACTGATGATGATCCTACAAGTGCTTTCCTCTCCGGAGATTTGAATGAATTATCCCTCGAACAACTTCAACAACAATTTGAAACCATCCAACAAGAATCTCTCTCTTCATCTTCATCTTACAAACTCAATGATCATAATATTATTGAATTAATTCAATATATTAAAAAAAATGATCAAGCCTTTGCAGATCAATTATGTTTCACTACTGATGGCAAAGAATATATTACCAAAGATCAAATTGAATATGAATTACAAATACTATTAGAAAAGTATGGAGGTAGAATCAACAAGAATGAATTACCTAAACTATTGAGAGTTGATTTTACTTACTTGGAATCACCCATTCTAAATTTAATTAACAAACAATTGATATTACCTGATTTGATCAATGGATGCGAAATTCTAACTTCGTCCTATCTCGAATCCGTTGTCATGGAAATCAATGAATTACTCGTCTTGTATGGATACATTTACATTGGAACATTGACGAAACAATTGTTTTTACCTTCTGATTTTATTAAGGAACATATTATCACCAAATACAAACATTTATTGTTAAATGGTACTATATTTAGTAATAACTCACTGTACACTGAAAAGTATATCAATAATCTTAAATCTATTACCATTGGTATATGTAATGGTATTATTAGTAGATCGATTGACTGTAATGAATTACTCAAAATTACAAAACAATTCTATATCATGATGAATGATTCTTCCATGATCATGACCAATGAATCTTCAAACGATACTCAATTCAATGTTGAAATTGAATTAGAATTATTTCAAACAATCATCAAAGATTTAATTAAGAACAAACAATTGAATGGCACTCTTCAAGTCAATTCCACTTTGTACGTTCCAAATGTTTATGAAAAGAATGCAACAGATCAAATTTGTCAATTCATTGACAATAATGGATATATTTCTATTGAAAGAGTTGAACAATTGATTGGTTATAAGGCTTTTAAGAGTACTCAACAAATGATCAATTATTTAAATGCCTATAGAGATTCTCTTACAACGCCATTGACTACTACTACTACTGGTACGGGTAGTACTGGTACGAATAGTATTGCTAGTACCACTACTACTGCTAGTACCTTACTACTACTACTAGTACCCTTACTACTACTGCTAGTACCACTACTGCTAGTACCACTACTACTACTACTACAATCAATTCAAATAATCTCATCAACATTCAAGATGAAATGATCATTCATATGAAATTAATTGAATCTCTTCGTTCTATTTTTGATTCAACTCTCAATGGTAACAATGACAAACATAAATCCATTCCTCTGCACATTGAAAACAATGGTGGTGATCATTGTGTGTTGATGGATACTAGTTGTGATATGAAACAACTCATTGACAAGTACATTGTATTGAATAAGAATATTAAGAGTATTATTGTATTTGATAATAGATATGTCATGAGTTTGGATATGATTGATCAACTATTGAATGATCAATTCAAACCACTTGCACTCGAACAAGTATCTATTTATTTAAAGACAATGAGTTCCGAGACAACATCATCTCCTAATAGTTCTTCTACTAGTTCTTCTACACAACCACAGCCATCATCCAAAAAGTCAAAGCAAAAGAAATCAAACAAGACTTCATCGAGCTCTACTGAACAGAATGGAATCAAAAAGATTCTTCCTAAAAAGGATGAAATGTTCAATTTAATTGAAAAACAATTATTAATTTATTTAGACAATGATAAGGACAATGAGAACATGTTAAACAAATTTGGTGGTCAAGACGACTCTATTATTGATGAATTGATTCAATACTTGGCTCCTAAAATTGAAAAGATATATTTAGAAACTAGAGATTATCTCATTAATCAACAAACTATTCAATTAGAACAAAAACTGAGTAGTGAATTGAACGTTGAAGACAAATTGAATGATCTATATACTCAAGTGGTCATTCATAACAAATCTATGGATATTCTACATCGATTGCGTAAAGAACATTTAGAGAAGGAATTGATTACGCCTATTGAGAAGCATATCATCAAAACCAAATGCACCATTATGGTATATTTAATATTATACGACACTTGTAAAAATTTATTGAAATCGGTACACCATGTTTCTTCTTCATCATTGCCACAAAAAGGATCATCCAAAAAGACGTCGAGTAGTAGTAGTGGCAGTAGTAGTGGCAGTAGTAGTGGCAATAGTAGTACAACTCTCTCGACCCATCCTCTTACACTCTCAACATTAATGAAAAGAATTTACAATTCATTAAGGAATATAACACCTTGTTGTGTATGGCAAGCGAAGAACAACAAGCTCAATTTGTTGAATTGAATAGAGAAATTAAGTTATTAATGAAACAATTGAATCAAAAGGTTGAACTTGATAAGACTAGAGAGGAAGAGGTAAAAGAGATGAATACTTTGGTTGAAAGTCTAAATTCAAACTCGACAACACTTCAATCGTTTATTACACAATTTGAAACCACTGCTAAACAATTTAGTATTTTCATCAAGATCTTGGACAAGAAACGAGAAAAAACCTATCTTAAGGAAAAGAGACAAGAACTAAAGCTCAACCACACAGAGCATTTGGCCAAGTTGACCGATGATACCTTACAGAGTGGTGCTGTGATTTTTGGTACTCGCTTAATTTCCATTTGCCAATATTTGTTAATGTTGAATGACAAGGCCATTTACTTGTTTGTACCGGGCAAGTTGGTGAACCCACTCTTGAAATACTATCTCGAGGATGTTCAAGTCGTTGACGAATATTGCAAGGGCCAAATTGGTGAGGCCTTTAAAACTACTATTATTCCTACCCTTAATAAGTGTCAGCAAATGGTAGTCGAGTATTTGGTTCAAAATAAGAAGAAGAAACAAACAACAGAAAGCGAACAACAGGACGAAGAAAACCATAGCCCATCCTCCTCGAGCATTTCCAAGGAGAAAGAGCTTGTAGAGTTGTTTACAAGCATCGAAAAGATTATCTTTTCTTCTGTGTCATCTTCTGAGTAAATACTTAATTTATTTCAGAATCTGCAGTCTCATTGTTTTTAGGATTGTCTCCATGATTTTCTATAACCTCGGGCTCACAACACTTTCAACCTGCTTATCTTCAAAAACAATGTTTTCAACTGGTCTGGGAGGTGCTTCTTCATCGTTCTTCTGTTCAACATGAACTTCGTTCTTCTCCTCTACCACAACTGTCTCTTGCAGCACGTGTTCTTTAGCTACTCTTGCTTCATCATTTGTACTGTGTGATTCCTGACTTGACATGGTTTCAGAATGCATGATTGGAGCATTTTCCTTTGTGGTGCTTTCACTCTCATGAGATTCGGATGCTTTTTCTGCTGGTTCAACCTTGTTTTCTGAGGTGGATGAATTTACATGCTGCTCTTGTTGTGGTATGTTGTGCTGTACTGGTCCTCTCCTTGCATCAACATTTCATTCTTGTGCTGATCCTCGTTAGTTTCCATTTTAATCGATTCTTGTTGTTGCTCTTGTTGTGGTGTCTCGTAGGAATTTCCTCTGCTTGTCTCTTCTCTTGCGAAGGAGTTTCAAGTTTCACTTCTGTCTTAGTTTCCTCAGTTGGTTCAAGTGGTTGTTCTTGTTGCAAAGATTCATTCTTTGACGTTTCTTGAGGAACGGCCTCAATTGACTTACGGTCTGATGATAGGTCATTCATTGAAGTCTCTTGAGTATTTACATCCATTTGCTGTCGCTCTTCATGAGCATTTAAAGTTACTTCAGAAGTAGTCTCCGTTGGTTTAGAATCGACCTCTACATTTGTCTCAGCTGTCTGTGAATCTTGAGGTTTTTCGTCCTGTGAGAGTTTCATCGACTCGTCCTCAGAAGGATGTGCTTCTTTGCTCGATTCTTGCTTTTGCTCTTCGGTGGTATCGTTTTTGCTCGATTCAGAAGGTTTCTCTTTTGGAGCAGATTCTGAAGTCTCTGTAGAATTTACCTCTGTGGGTTTCGTCTCTTCTTGTTTCACTTCAATGACAACTTCTTGCTTTGGCTCCTCAATTTGAATGGTTTTAATTTCTGAAACGTTTTCATGTTGCTCTTCCTTTTTTTCTGTTCCTTCATTGGTTAATAGTTGAATAATAAATCGTTGAAGCGATGGTGTATTGACACCTCTCACTTTTCTCATGAGCTCTCCTTCCTTGAAAATAAGAAAATGAGGCTCAGATAGACCAACACACGATTCCAACGTTGCCTTGTAATTTTTTCTTTTGACATCTTCCTTGTACAATTTCTTTTTCTTCAACTCATCTGAGAGAACTTCATGATCTCCTAAAACTAAAAGGTTCTTGGAAGATCCACGTAACTGCATTGAGGGTACTCCCAGTTGTCTTGGAACTGGTTTCATCAAATCATGCAATTCCGATAAGATCTTTTCCGAGTCCAAAACCCCAAAAGCAAGGGGATGCTCATCAGCATACTCCAAATTAATCTTTTCAAATACAGGTAATATGGATTGACATTTTCCGCACCATGATGCATGCACATCAACTACAAGAACATGGTTGGGTGTATTCTGATTATGAAGGAGTGCCTTTTCCCATTCTTGTACGTTTTCATAAGTGGTTTGAAAGGATTTTTCTTGCGGTTTCTTTCTCATTGAGTATACTCAAACGTTTAAAAGGATCGGATCTGATTTAGAATCACACAATTCGGTGGTGGAAAAATCTACAATTTTTTTTGTTGTAGTTGGCAGCAGTTGGCGGTTCTTTTTACTTTTTCTTTTTTGAGGGTGTTGGTGGTGGTTTGACAAAGTATTTCGACTTGTTACAGTGCAATTCTACCAACCAATTCAGCATGACATTCTTTTCTTTGAGTACTTGAAGAATATTTGGAACAATGACTTGATTCTTAAATTGCTCAGCCTGATCATTCAATTCACCATGCCATGCAATTGGTAAAAATGGTTTCTTTACAATATTCGTATTGTAATTTGGAAAGTCTAATAAATCTAAAAACAATCCTTCACTGGGTGCCATGGGAACAAGTATTTGCGAATCTTTGGAGAATAACTTGTCTTCAAAGAAAGTTGCAATAATGGATGAGTGTGGACATGATGATGATGTCATCCTTTCAGTACAACTTGCATTTGTTGTTGGAGTCTTATGAGTCGTAGAAGAAGTGTTTGTCAAGTCCTCCTCTCCCTTAGTAGTAGGAGTAGTAGGTGTAGTAGTTGCAGTGGTAGTAGCAGAAGTAGGAGTAGTAGAACTAGTAGCAGAAGTAGGAGTAGTATCAGTAGTTGCAGTACTAGTAGCAGTACTAGTAGCAGTACTAGTTGCATTCAATAAATGTTGATTAAAGGATGGACATAATCCTCTCATCAATGCAATCACTGTTCCAATCATCATTCTAATTTGATGCAACATGAAACTTCTACCACTAATTTCAATCATGAGATGAGGGAGTACATGACTTGTTGATTCTTTCAAATTCTTCTCATGTTTCTCTAAATTCTTCTCATTCTCTTTCAAATTATTCTCATTCTCTAAATTCTTCTCTTTCAAATGATTCTCTTTCAAATCCTTTTCATTATCTTTCAAATTCTTCTCTTTCAATACATACTGCTGATTCTCTAAATTCTTCTCATTCTCTAAATTCTTCTCATGTTTCTCTAAATCCTTCTCTTCGACAACTTGAATGATCTTCATGGACTTGACATGTCTCACACTTGTATCACTTCCAGGAGTCACATCGACTGTAAAATTATGAAAAAAATGTCTTCCTTCAAAATATGAAAATAATTCATTCATCTTTTCAATCTTTTGTTCCATACTTTGTAAATTAAATACATTGGTGCATGTCATGAGAATATTTCTATGACTCAAATCTAATGCATTGAGAGGTAATAGATATAAATATCTTCTAAATTGACACCAATGATGTACTATAAATCGAGCAGGTACTCTTTGTACATTTACAATTCTTACTTGATCTTGTAAATTTAATTGTTGAATTCTATGATGATTATTAATTCTTGTATTTAATTCTTTCAATAAATCATTTAAATTAAATGTAAAGGTATCCTTGTTGTTATGAATATTTGGTAATGTCATGACACATGCAAGTACATTTCTTACTGCACTGACTCCTCGATCGGTTCGACATGCACGTTGTAATTTGACATGTTTTAAATTTTTAGATTTGATGAATTTAAATGGAGAGGAGTTATTCACTACATTGGATGGAATGGTGGTATTCATGGATGAGGATGGAATGGTGGTATTCATAGAACCACGAATGGCAATCATTGTATTATTAGTAGTAGTAGTAGTAGTAGTAGTAGTAGTAGTTTCACTTGTAGTCAAGTCACTTGTAGTCGAGTCACTTGTAATCAAGTCACTTGTAGTCGAGTCACTTGACATCGAGGTCGTACGAGTGGTGGTTGTAGTTTGTTCACTTGTTGTTTCACTTGTACTCGAATTACCATCATCTCCAAATAATACATCCAATAACACTGCTTCAATCGTCAAGACATGAGGATGTTTTTTCAAATTATCACCACATTGAATTTGTAATCCATTGAATGGTATTCCATTGTAAGAAAGAGAAATTGCAAAAGGGAAAAATGTTTTTTTTGTGGATGGTGTTGCAGTAGTAGGAGTGCTGGTTGTAGAAGAAGAAGTAGTGTTGATGTTGGTCGATAATTCTTCATCATCCATATGGTCATCATCATCATTCATGTTCAACAAATTAGAATCCATGGTATCATCATAGTCATTTTCAAAGAGATCATCTTGGTGTTCTTCTCTTTTGCTCTTACTCTTCTTGTTGTTGTTGTTTGAAGAAGAGGGCTGGGGTTTTCTCTTCTTTGAATTCTCTCGTGGTGTGGTTGTTGTTGTTGTTGTTGATTCACCATCAATCACGGACGCTGAAGTTTGTGAGTGCATTTTATTGTTGAATAAAAATTATTAATTAACAAAAACATCTAAAGATCTGAAAATATGAATTGAAATTTTATTGCGGAATCCATACGTCAACTTTTGATCCCATTAGCTTGAATACTACGAGTAATAAGACATTGTCGAAGAACACGCGATGTGATCCAAAAAGATTAAATAACAAAAAAAATGTCCAAACGAAATCGCCAGCAAAAACGCAACATCAGTGATGAAGAAAGCGATGAAGATTACTCCCCTCAAGAGTCTTCCGAAGGCGAAGACAACAACAACAAAAAGCAAAAATCATCAACACATGCAATAGATCCATCATCTTATTACGTACGGGAAGAAGACTTGGATGATGAATATGATTCAGATTACTACAAAGATGAAGAAGATAGAGCCTATCTTGACTCACTCTCTGAATTACAACGTGAAAAGATCCTATCCGAACGTTACGAAGAGCGTAACGAGAAGAGAAAACGAAAAGAGATTTTGAGAAAACAAGGTCGATTGATAGAACGCGGAAAGAAGATGCCAACAACAGTCCCAACATCTGCGAGTGGTAGTGTTACATCATCAACAACAACAACAACAACAACCAACAAGTCATCGTCTGTGAGCAATAGTAGTAACTCCTCCTCACGTAAAAAGTCCTATCATGATCCTGAATTAGATTTAGAATTAGACGAAGAAGAAGATGAGCCTAATAAGAGTACCAAATCCAAACGTTCCACTTCTACAGCAAAACGGGTGCGAAAGAGATCATCGAAACAAGCCTCTACATCCGATGATGATAATTATTCGGACAATGAAATGTCAAGACAATCATCACGAAAACAACGAGATGAAGCAGATCGTTCTGATGATGATGAAGGTGATACTCGTATGAGAGAATCCTATGATGAAGAAGAAAATGAAGAAGAAGAAGAGGAAGATATTTATGAATCCACTCTTTGTAAAATCACCAAAGAAGACTTGGAAAAGATTCTCATCCGAAGATCTGCTCTTGAAAAAGAATTTAAAGAGCCTTACTTTGCAGAAAGTGTTGAAAAGGCATTCGTTAGGGTTCTTGTTGGATTTAATGAACGTGCAAAGAAAAAGACTTATCGTCTCTGTCAAATTGTTCAAGTACAAGACATGAGCAAAGATTATCCATTTGGAGTGAATAATGCAGACAAGACCAAAAAAGGGTTGTTATTACAATTCGGTGTACAAAAAAGAACATGGCAAATGAGCGCAATTAGTGATAGTAAGGAAATTGAAGAAAATGAATATCGAGCATGGAAGAGTGAAATGGAAAAGGTTGGAGAGAAATTCCCAACTCTAAAATTTATTGAACACAAAATTCAACAATGGAAGAATTTGAAAGAATACAAATACACGGATAAGGAAATTGAAACCATGTTGAAAGAAAAGAAAATATTGAAAGGAGGATTAATTGTAAAGAACAAACAATCGATTACTAGAGAAATTAGTCATGTAAAAACTAAGATTAAGGAAATTATGGATGAATTGTATTTGAGAAGTTTAGGAAAATCAAAGCAACATTCATCCATGACGAGTGATGAAGAGAATGAAGAAAATGAAGAGGATGGTCGTTCAGAGAGACAATCCGATGAATCTCTTATCAATGAAAAGGCTAAATATGAAGAAGAGTTGAAAAAGTTAGAGGCTGAATATTCGAAAATTGATTTTCTTTCTCCAACTGCTCAGAAATTGGGTAAAATTAATGTCAAGAATCGAGCAATGGATCAAGCAGCACATGAACACCGAAAAAAGAATCAAACATTGGGTTCGAATGCTGCATCGAGTAATCAGGGAGCAGGTCAATTAGATCCCTTCTCTCGTAGAAAAACAAATTCATCCTTCTTTGTGTTGGCTAGTGAAAGTCCAAAAGAAGAGCAACAGAAAAAGGAACACAAACAGCAAAGAAAGAAAATGAATCCACAAAGAGCTCGAATGTGACCTCTCAAAGTGGTGCCCCAAGTCGATTTGTGCATGATTTTGATTTGGATTTATCAGCACCCTTGGAGTCAAGTACTGCTATTACTACTGGCACCATTCTTGCTCAACCATCATTATTGAAAACCATCACCAATACCACCAACAATGCTCCAGTCAAAAAGATGTCGCTCGCCGAGTATAGAAAACAAAAATTGAACCAATAAATTTATTGGGACTTGTTGCGAGAATATATTTTTACTTTTACTGTAGTTGGACTTAAATTCTGGAGAATGAGCAATCAAAATTAAAAAATTGGAGTCACAGGGAATCGAACCCTGGACCTTGTGCATGCAAAGCACACGCTCTACCAACTGAGCTATAACCCCACTAACAATAAAAATAACTACTTTAATTTATGATCAATAGCATCCATTCAGTCAAAGGAACAATCAACAAAGAAGACAACGCAAACGACGTTTAAAAAAAAAATATTCTCACCTCAACCTCGCATCACACTGCACATCATCACGCAATGACTTTGGCGAACCAGAACACTGCGACAACATCCAATGTGTCTCTTGTCGACTCGTATAAAATCTACACCTACATTCCAAACCTGATCGGATATCTTCGTGTTTTTCTCTCTCTTCTTTCCTTCTTTATTTATGAATCCTATCCCTTGACTGTGATTTTCATCTATTCCACAAGTTTTGTATTGGATGGATTGGATGGCATTGCTGCTCGTCGTTACAATCAATGTTCTAGATTCGGAGCAGTTCTTGATATGGTTACAGATCGATTTAGTACTGCTGCTTTAATTACTATTCTTGTAAAATTCTATCCATCCTATACCTCCTATTTCATCTTGTTGAATATTCTAGATTTTGTGTCACATTGGTTTAGAATGTATGTGAGTCTTGTCGTTGGAACCAAGAGTCACAAAGATGTCGATTGGAATAGAAGTTATTTATTAGCCTTGTATTACACAAATAGAACATTTATGGCAATTTTATGTGTTGGTAATGAAATGTTCTATGTCATGTTGTATGCTTGTATTTCTATAATGAAGCATTGAGTGCTACCATTTGGAAGAATGTTTTATTGGCTATTTTAGTTCCAACTGGGCTGGAAAACAATTAATGAACTTTATTCAAATGTACACAAGCGCTAATGAATTGGTAGAATATGAATATGTGGTCGATGGTCATTCTCAAAGAAAGCACAATTAGAATAATAAATTATTTGTCGCATATTTTAACTCACCAACGCCAAGACTTCTATATCATCCATCCACGGAGATTGCCGGCCACAACTGATGTGAAACAGAAACCTCTTTCATTTAAACAAAATCATTCGTTTTCAAACGGATTAAACGTTTGAATCAACTTGTTTCAGCGATTCATCCACGAAAGCAAATGAGTTTCGGCATGGGCTGGAGAAATGTCTTTGTAACATAATGGTAAAGCCCATAGCACAACAGAATTTTCTGTTACGTTCCTCATTATAATAATTATAAACTCTTTGTGTTGTAAATGACCATGACACAAAGCAATCACAGTAAATCAATAACAGAATAACATATTCAACTTATAATAAATGAAAGTCTGTCAGAAACTGCTAACTTCAAGCGGGATTAACATGTTCGTTTTATATCATATTTCCGCCTTTTCTGTAACTTCACACAATTATTGATTAATAGCAATGGGTTAGTGGCTGTCTCCTCTTCAGGAAGTGCCTCCTCTTTGGAGATGGAGTGTCAGTCAATTACATTTGTTGTTGTATAGTTGTCCCTAGAATGGATACTAGAATGATGAAAAACTAAAATTGCTTTGAGAAACCACATTTACTGGATAATAGCTCTGGGACGAATATAGATCATATAATACATTTGTTAGTAATCATTCAATCAAATTATCAATAATTTGTTAATTTGGAAACAACTTAAGAATCTTCATGTCTACTTCACCACAAGTGATCATATAATGTTAGCTCAATAAAATTTTAAATACGAGTTTGATGTAAACCATGTTCCTTGAAAAACATCGTTAAGCGAATCAACGAAGGATAAAATTTAAAATCGTGGGGAAAACCCCATCAATGATAAGGCTAAAGCCAATCGCAGACTCAAAAGTGTCAAAGGAAATCGATGAGCAAATCAATGTTGTAAGAAGGCAAAGTTATAGTTCTCAGAAGTGTTGTGAGAATTTTTAACATAATTTAGTCAACTTATGTTTGTTACAACTTCCGTTTTGGTTATGCATATGTTGACATTTCAGCCTTTCTTTCGGACAACCTTATTGTTGTAGTTACAAAACACTTCCGTTCTTTTCCCAGAACTTTTTAAATAACATTCGTTTCCATCGAACCGTTACAAGTGAATTGGTACAAATAAGGTGAGCCAAACATTAATAAGGATTCGAATAATAATATACAATCACACTGATATTTTACTTTTTCTTTTTATCCATATTGGAACTATGAACACTATTCGTTGTGTTGATATGGTGTGATGATGATTTGTGATGATGATGACTCCAAGTATTATTACTCTTTCTAAAGAAATACAATTCGAGAGCCTTATCAAATACTTCCTTGACACCCACTCCTTGATCATATACTGAACATTCCATATACGCTGCTGGATCTAATTGAGAATCAATTAATAATTTTCGAACTTCTTGTCTTGAAACAATATGTGAAGTATTGGAAATGTATCGATGATCATCTCTCAAATCACTCTTGTTGCACACAATACAATCAATGCATTGGGACATAACATTTTCACTTCAGGTATCCATTTCAATTTAACATTTTCATATTGTTGTTTTGAAACTATGGAATAACAAATTATAAATACATCAGAATGAGGATACATGACACGAGTTCTATATCGATCATAATCATCAGAACCATTAGTATCTGAAATGGTGAGAGAAATTTCATGTCCTTGATAAATGACTGTGATATATTCAATCATTGTGTATTCATCGAAATTGTTATCGTGTATGTACATATGCACACACACGTACATATGCACACACACACATATGCACACGCACACTCGTACACTCGCACACTCACACACTCACATTTCTTTACAATAAAACAACATACTCTTTGATGTAATTTCATCCAATGTGGTATGAGGTAATTCTCGATCACTCTCCAAATACGATAATATGAGAGAAGTTTTACCACATTTTGAATTTCCAATCACACAAATTTTTAATTTTTCATGTTGCATCATGTTTTTAGAATTTAATTTTGAAGAGGTGGTGAGTGTTGATTTGGAGAAGTGTGTTTTGTTGAGTGGAATTGTTGGCTTCTTCCGTTCTTTTTTCCCAAACTGATAAGAGACCACCCACTCGACCACTGGTGTTGTGAGGATGGTTTGCTTGAAGTGATGGCATCGATTCCGAAAGGATTGATGATGGATTTGATATTTTTTAAAACAAGTGATGAGAGGACAAGTGACACTTGTGATCCCGCCAAATTGTGGGCCTCTCTGTGTGAAGTTGGGTATTGAAAAAGTTCTGTTGATGATAAATATGTAGTTCATGATATCAGAGTATGACAGTCTTGAGTAACATGCCTACATAGGACTGTTGAGAAATTCGATGAGTAGCTCACTCTCAAGAAAGGCTCGTTCTTAAACGACAATCGATGCTTCTTCATTTCCAGAATCGAACCAGTCAGCTCAAAAAAATGACTCCACCTCCACTCGCGCCCTCTTTCCCTCTTCCCAAACATGCCTTTGATAAAGTGAGAGCCCTTACATGCATCTCAACAACAAGTCATCTTTTGAAAACTACATCAACCATCACTCAACAACAATCACTACCAACCTCACCAGTTTCTCAACCACCATCAATACTATTTATTGGAGGAAAAGAATTGTGTTCATTACGTGTTTCATTACCATGGTCGTTAAATCATCCCTCTGAAGATTTCAAATCGGTAAAAATGTCAACAACTACCAATGAAACCAACAACATGTTAGGGTCCATCTATGCATTGCATTACAATTCCAATAATAATATTATTAATATTGGTAGACATGATGGATCGATTCAACAATTGGATATTAGAAGTCATTCCATCATACATACTGTTAAAGCACATGACTCGACAGTGAAATGTTTTAGTGATCGTACTTGCGATGATGACAATTATACATTATTGAGTGGAGCATATGATGGTTATGTGAAAATGTGGGATTGTAGAAAATTTACACAACCAATTTCAACATCTTCTAAACATTCTGGATATGTAAATGCAATTCATTGTTATGAAAATGACAAGATCATAACAAGCTCTATTGATGGAATTTGCATATTTGAAATGAAACATTCAAAATTAGCCATTCTCAACAAATTCAAACAGAAATCTGAAGTCTTGACCTCATACATGTCCAATACCTCAAGTGTGTATCCTAATTATTTGTACTTTGCATGTAAGGATGGATCTGTTCGTGTTTTTGACATGAATTGCTTTCAGGTTGTTTATACCATGAGTGAGAGTAATAACATTTCAGTGAATTGTATGGATTGTAATGGAGTTTCATTATTTGCTTGCAATAATCAAGGGCTTGTGTATGAATATAGTGTGGAAGGAATGTATGAAATTGCAAAACATGGAACCTCAACGAACACGACCAAAACATCGAGTATGGACTCGTCCATTCGTTCCGTGTGTTGCTTTCAAAAGTCTCACTTGTTTGTTGGAACGCAAGGTGGTCAAGTCAAGTGCATTCAAGTCGCATCGTTCTAGTGTGTTGTAGTTGTTTATTATAAATTAAGCTTAATTAAAAGCGCAATTTTGAAAAAGAGAATTCAGTTGGAAAACTTTACAAAACGACAGTATCAGCCATCTTGGCACAAACTCGAGAGGCAGATAATCGATCTTCCTTCTTGTACTTGTTCACGGCAGCAACAAGAGGCTTGTTGTTTGCATCTCTTCGTTGAGAAGATATCTTTTTCAGATATCGAAGCATGGCCTTTGCACAAGGCAAAATGTCTTCTTCCGTCTTGTCCGTGTAGTGTCCATCGTTGCATCCCATTTATCTAAATCTTGAGTTAAATGTTTGGATAAAAACACTGCTGCACAAGCAACGATGGAAGGAGAAAATTCAAGTTGAGCATAGTCCATCAGTGATAGTTCACTCAAATAAACGGCAATGAATGTTTGTAATTCGGTACAACGACCACATTTCAAATACCGTTTGAGAAAGACATTTGGTGATGCAATGGTCAGGTTAAAGTCCAGAACTTGCAACATAATTCTTTCCATTCTCAAGACTTCTTCTCTGGTATAGGCGTCTTTGGTAATCTTGACAAAATCAGCCACAACAGGACTAAGGATTTCCTCATATTTGGAAGCAACGAACATGGCAGTAATACCCACTAATTGAAGTCGCTGTCGAGAAATTGTTTTTTCACTCAAGAAACGATCAATCAAATTCACTGTCAAGTAAAGAGTTTCAGGCACCAACTTGAATTTGTAATGAACATCAATCAACCAATCCACAAGAATTGCTCTCATATTTGGATGCAAATCGTTTTGTCTTGCCATATAATTACAATCTGGAAGATATTTTCGTTCGATTGATTTGTAATGGCTCATTATTTCTTTAATGTATTCCGTACAGGATTGAGGATCTGATGAATCCTTGTCATCAATTTTGGGAGAATTCAGTAATGGTTGAACTTGTTTCTTGGAGGAGGGGAAGACAGAGTGGAAGGTTCTTGAAGAGTCAATACAGAGGGAATGAGGGATGTATGGTCTTTGTGTTCATTGAGAGCGCAAGTAAGAATGCTAGTTGTGGAAGTGGTGGATATGTTGTTGCTATTCGAGGGTAGGATGGAGGTTGTATCAGTCGTCATGGTCGTTGTGGTGGTAGAGGTGGTGGTGGTGGTTCCGAGTCGATGCGGTGGTTTCGACATGAGCCTCGTTGTGGTGGAGCTCAACGTAGTAATAATAGGTACATTGCTCATCGATGTGGTCGATGCAGTATTCGGTAAATTTGGTTTGATCACTTGAGGTTTTGCAGGTACTACAGACTTTTGCAAGAGGTGTACCTGATTGGAGATATCACCTAAACATGTTCTTTGTGTGCCTTGTTGTTGAGTATTGGAAGAAACGCTCGAGATATATGGTTTGGAGAGTTTGATTGGGTGTATATTCGTCGTGTGGATAGGCTTGTTCACGGTTGGAGCAATACCAGCGTTCTCATCAGCAGCTATATTCCTTTGAGATGAAGGAACAATACTGGGATGTTGATAGTTGAACATTGATATTCTTTTTAAATGTTGGAACAAGAATGATGTGTTTAATACGGAATTATGATGGTTAAGACTAAAGATGATAGAGATATTCGTAAAATGTTGGGACCAGTAACCGATGTCAGGTACTAGCCTTTGGAGAGGAAAGGAGCTTCAACGATGGTAATCAATGAAAAAATAGGCAAGGGTTTGTTTCAGCCAATTTTTTTCGATAGTATTTTTTAAATTTTAATTGTGAAACGGCTAGAAATTTAAAAATTTGAAAAACGTCCATTGTAAAAACCGTTAGCGTTATTGTAACGCCTGTCAACACATTCCGCCCTGACGGCCTCGTCATTTTACGGACACAGAGATCTCAAGTCGATCAGTGGACATCAGAGTTTTACTGCGGTTGGAAGTCAGTCAATTGACATCAAGACACACATAATTTCGATCATATGGTGTCTTCTTCTTGAAATGGATTGGACCTGTATTGTTCCCAAAGATCCAATTTGAATTCTACCCATGACCCAAAGCAAACATGATCATCCAAGACATTGTACGACAGTGTGATTTCTTGTATTCTGATGATCATCATGCATGACTCTATTTAACTTTAATCGCAGATAAAGGCTTGTATGTACGATTGGAAGAGGATGAAGGTATCATTGATGCCAATAATGGATCATTTGGAAATTGTTTTTGTCTCTCCTTAATCATCATTGCCAAATTCTTTTTAAAGGCTTGTCTTCTTCCAACAACATAAAACCCTAAAAATAAAGTCAATCCAGAGAACATGGGTATCAGTAGAGGTTGTAATTTATCTTTCATCCAATCAGTCTCATTATTCACTGTATTTACGATATCATGTAAATTTTCATTCAATTTCGCTTCATTTCTTTGTTGTATTAATGCATTTCGTTTCATTTTAATTTCAGCTATTCGATGTTCAATATCTGAATAATGATAGGCCATGGATCCAAATGCAATCCATGTTCCAATAGATGATAGAATCGTACCAATAGTTGACCATTTCTGAGAAGATGCTTCGGTTTTGGTGAGGGATTGATGTTTCGTTAAATTAACCTTAATCAACAAATGCACACGAGTAGAAATTTGAAAAGATTTTGAGTGTGAATATCGAAATCCATCACAATCCACACATTATAAAATAAATACATGTTGAGAGGAAATAGTATGCCATAAAAGAACAAGCGTTCATTTCGAAACAATCATCATCAAACCAATGAAAATAAATATTAAACCAAATTAGCGTCATTGTCAATTCCGATGCATTCCTATTGTTGATGCAACACGTACGAATATTTGAAAGATTTCTGTGAGGGGATATCTTGCTGGATTCATGTGATTTGAAAAGATATGGCCAAGACCTGATTTGTGGAGGAAGAAGAATATTTTTTAACACGCACGTTCATTTCGACAACGACGAAATTGTATGTCGAAGGGATCGTTTTGTTGTTTGAATGGAGCTGCTGTTCCTCGTTGAAGATAATTATCAATAAAACCAGAAAGAAATACATCTTTTGATGCTTTCATGCACGCATTAGACATCTCCCCACATTTCACCAACTACCTCTCTCTCTTTATTCACTTCATCATCAACAAAAATAAAAAATGTCCACTGCTGCAAAAGCAAAGTAAGTATTCTAATTACACGAGGCCGGTCATGGTTCCAACTCATTCCGCAACCATATATTTAGAAAGCCTTTCAAATCAAAAACTTCCTCCTCGTCTTCTCTTTCTTTCTTGACTGCACCATCATCAGTGATGATTGCGAGTGGCAATACGCCCACAACTGCGCCTTCAAACAATATTATTACGACACCAACAAGTAATATAAGTGGTGCAAAATCTACCAATCAAACATCAACTCTTCTTGCACAACGATTTATTCAATCTCTAGGTATTGAGGAGCTTTCCAATAACACTCTTATCCCAAAAGATCTTTTTAATTTCTGTGAGCAGTTATTTATGAAATGTTTGCATGATAGGGACAAGAAATTTGTCGAACAATATTTATCGTCATTGATAAAAAAACATGTGGGAAACGATACTCTTTTGAGCACTGATTGGGAGAGCATTCCACTGCCAGAGTAAGTGTTTTTGTAATTTTAAAATTGTCATTGACCGTATAAATATACATGAACACCATACATCTCGAACAGTCTTCCATCTAGTTGGAATACAACCTCAAATGCTCTTAAAGAATCTTCTTCCACAGCCTCAACCACAGCAGTAGATACATTACCTAAAATTCCGAAAATTACAAAGAAACGAACACTAGAAGAAATTGTTGCTCCGAATGGTGATCCTAGTAAAAACTCAGCAACAGTTAGTAGTAGCAACAGCGGTGGTACTACCATGTTTTTACAAGCGACCAAGCCTTCATCATTTGTAAAAAATCCAAACGCCTTATCAAAGCCTGTTTCATTTTTGCTTCAAAAGAATACTCAATCATCCTATATTAACCCTTCTTCTTCAATCAATGCTGCAAACAATTTGAATCGAGAGAGTCTTGAAGCTCTTTTTAGAAAATTGGATAAAATTAAAAAGAAGAAAGCTACCATGAATAAGCAAGCAACACCTCCACCTCATAAAAAGATGAAGGTAGCATCTTCTTTTGCAAAATCAGGTTTTGTAGGAACCATGGAGGCATTGGAAAAGCAATACTTGAGGACATCATCCGAACTTAAACCAGAAGACTTTAGACCATTTCATATTTTACAAAAATCTTTACCTTTTGTTGTTTCAAAATATGAAAGAGGGGAAGTTACATATGATGATTATTTGTGTGAGCAAATGAAAGCAATTAGACAAGATTTGACTGTACAAGGCATTGAGAATGAATTTACAGTGCTTGTTTATGAAACTCATGCAAGAATTGCAATCAAGAATAAGGATATTAGTGAATTCAATCAATGTCAAACGAGACTAAAGGATTTATATAGTAAGGGTTTAAAAGGAAACAGAGAAGAATTTCTCATGTACAACATTATGTATTTAACTCTTAATGATTCAACTTCTGAGCTTACCAAGGTATTGAGAATTGTTTTATCTGACACCAAATCAAATTTCAAGACTCATGAATATGTGAAATTCGGATTGGATGTTCATTCATCATATTCTGTTTTTAACTTTTTTAAATTATTTAACGTTCTTTATAACAAAGCTCCTAAGAGTGGTAAGTCCATGATAGACATGTTTGCAGACGCAATTAGAAGAAGAGCATTGTTAGCGTTGTGTAAGGCTCATTCACCTGTCACATTGAATAGAGATTTTGTTGAGCACTCTCTTGGTCTTTCCATCAATCACAAAAGGAACGAGTCGAATTTTTCAAAAAACTGGGTGTTATTTTCACTTCTCCCGACAAGGATGAAATTGATTGCAAAAAGACTTTGGAATACTTTCTAAGTCAATCCCAGTGAGGTCAATCTGATTCCATCCATCATCATAGGGTAATAATTGTTAGACTTTCCAAAGCCCACCCACTCCTTTGTCCACAGACTCGGTGAGCATAAACAGCACTCACTGATGGCATGCATTATTTCAAAGCTTGGAACACTAAGTCACCAATAACGATTGAGAGAAATTCATCTCCCTTAATTACAATTTCGATCCGAGTGCTGCTACAAGTTCACTAGAGAGCTTCAAGTACTAATAAAATGAATTGAGCTCTTTTGAATAATTTAATGAACAAAACTAGAATCGAGTTTACGAAGCTCTTGACTTACTTTGGCCAATTTAGACACCAAAGTATCAAATCCCATCATTACAATTTGCTCTGGTGGAAGAGATCCAGTAGACTCCACAGTGAAAATAAATTCTCGTTTTCCCCTCCCATTTCCTTTTCCTTGATTGTGACAAAATCACGTCCTAGTGCTTGTTCTTCGTTAGCAAATTCCTTACATTCCATACAATAAGTACACTTATCAAGATCAATAACAATTCTATCATCGGGCGTCATGGAATAAACCTTAGTTGGACATGATTCTGTAAATCTCTTAACGATTTCCCTCATTTGTTTTCTATCTTCTTCTGTAATACAATTTTCTGTGAAACAATAAGAAGAAATAGCTTGTCCAGCAGCAGCCACTTCATAGTGAGGACGTTGATAATCATTACCAGTCGGTCCCAATGGAGTGTTCATATGTCCTTTAATCTTGATATCAGGAACGATATAATAGGTTGCAACAGCCACAGGCGACCACTTGGCATGAGCCTTTCCTACACCTTTCTTAGCAATAGCCTTCAACTTGATTTCTTGTCCTCTCTTTAATTTCACGATTGTAATTCCATTTTGTTCTTCAGAGTGTTGATCACCTGATAGAGTGGTGCTTGGAGCACCATCATATCTGTCTTTATCTTTCAACTTTAAATCATTACTTGTAACTTCACGATGAGCCTCTGTACAGGTTACATCCAACACTAACTCGACGGTACACTTTTCGCAATGTCCATTACATGTACAATCACTTGTAAAGGCAAAACCATTAACATTCTTGCTGTTGAGAGGAATTAATCCGAGACGATGAGCAATAAATTCATCATGAAGAACACTTGTATTATTTTCAAATTCTACAAGATCGATAGCTAGAGTAGGAACTTCGGCGATCATTACACGACGGAGAGCATTGGCTATACTTGTATCAACATTGGAGAGTTTAAATTTGCAATATTCATTGGTAAGAGCAAGGATGGTGATATGAGCCTTGTTATCCATCATGCCACCATAATGATGATGATGGTAATCTTGATTCATCATTTTTTTTTCATAAATTTCACTCATCGTGGGTGAGTCTGACCACATGCCATGTGTTTATATGAACTCACTCGTATACCTTTGTAAAAGGTCAGACTTTTGGCATGTTCTCAGAGAAGTTGGCACGTGTATCATCATGATTCATTTTTGAGTGTATCAAAGACTATTTCCAATCATCATCATCATGGGCACCCTTCAAAAAATAATGTCCAAACAAGGGTGCCATTTTCCTTCTCGATGAGGAGAGTAATGACCGTCAACGTTTTGCTAGTAGCGGTCCTACCTTGTTGTTAACATCATCAGATACGACAAGAAACTTGTCAAGTATTACTCCTTTCAATGATTCCATTCCCAACAACAACAACAACAACAACAACACGACATATCCGAAACCAACCAATTTGAATATTCAAATTTCAAACGATGGTATTCAATCATCATTACAAACGAACCATAACCACCACCATAACCACTCAAATTCGAGTAATATAAATCTCTCATTTTGGAATTCCATTCTTTCTCCCAAATCATTCATTCCAGAAGAACATTTAAAAGATATTTATTTAAATAATAACAACTTGTATTCAAAAAGTAACAACAATGACTCTTTCAATGATTCTGATAACGAACAAGACTATGATGAAATGGAAGACATGAACACCATTCTCTCTCATAGAAATGATCATTCCTCATTATTCATTTCAAGTTATCATGACATTGATCAATATAATATTAAACAAATTAATTTCTGGTGGATGAAATATATGGATTCAATATCACGAGATGAAAAAGAGAGATCACTCATTCGACTTGTTACACTCATTTCAGATTCATTTGATAGTAATTCAGATATTCACTATGTGTTACCATTTTGGTATGTTATGATGTGTATTATGTATTGATGATCTATTGTTGAACATATTTTGGTATATATTTTTGGAAATGTATGATTAACAATACATTGATTATATTTCTATGATGAACGACTTATTGGTTATATTTCTATGTGGTTATATTTCTATGTGGTTATATATCTATGTGGTTATATTTCTATGTGGTTATATTTCTATGTGGTTATATATCTATGATTATATCCATTGCATTGATGATACTATATGATACATCTCACAGTCAATTGAACATTTCACAACTTGTTACTCATTTATCATTGGAATTTATAAGACATTTTTGCAATTTATTTAAATCTGAATTCAATGTTACTCCTTCTAATTTTATTCATTTCATGAATCGATTGAATAGAGAAGAGTACACTGAACAACAATTTATTAGAAATTTATTGTCAGTGTTGGAATTTGAAAAGGTGAAGAAATTCTTTTTTACAGAAACCATGAATCATCATGATACGAATGGAAAATCATCATTGGAATATCATAATAGTTTGTGTTGTTTACTTGCCAAGTCTTTATCATTACTTTTTGAAAGTGTAAGTAGTAGTAATAGCAGTACTAATGGTATTCATTGAACTCATGTTATTGAAATGTATTTCACTCACAACTACTATTCATCATCAACATGATATTGAAATGTATTTCAAATTTTCACTCACAACTCTCATTAGTGTAATACCATCTCTGTCATGAATGGTCTCTCAACTGCAGTAATTACATGTATGAGATTGACATGTCTATGGTTTGGTCTTTCTGGTCAAAAACAAGATTCATTTCAGAAAGATTCACATTCTCGAACGAATCCTTTGTTGAACTTCATGATTCATTCCATTCACAACAACCACCAGAACCACAACACACAACCACCAGAACCACAACAACCACAACAATCACAACAACAACAACCAATTTTCTGTGGACGTAAAAACAACAACACGTCCTACACCCAACAACACATTGAAAATACAAATTATACCATTCTTAGTTCTATTGAAGACGTTTAGCAGAATATATTCAAGTCTATTATACCTATTCTACTTCAAGTGAAAAGTATAAAATTAGAGAAACACTCACTACTGAAGATACTAGCCCAAGTATTATTTTATCTAATTTATTATTACAAATATCTAAAAAGAGTGTTCATGTATATACAGAAGTATTTATTCAAACCAAAGTATGGAGAATATTATTTAATACTATGAAAAGTATGACACGATTATTTCAATGTCATGATCATGTGAATGATATGACTCAAGTGGGTGGTAGTGGTAGTAGTAGTGGTAGTAGTAGTGGTAGTAGTAGTGGTAGTATGAATATGAATGATATGACTCAAGTGGGTAGTAGTATGAATGATCATACGAATGATTCCAGAGATTATACGAATGATCATACGAATGATTCCAGAGGTCATACAAACAACCATTCTGAACCATTTGAGAATATCATTCACTTGTTCATTCAATTCTCTAATTTTGTTTCTCTCTCTGTTGGACACATGTTTCTTTTAGCATCCAAAGATATTCGAAATTTAATTGAATTGAGTTCATCCAAAGTATTTATTCAAGTCATGTCCTTTCTCAATGATATGGAAAAAGAAATTCAATTATTTAAGAATAATTCATTTTTAAAGATGACCATACTTTACATGTTTGAAATGTGTGTATGGGCACTTTTTACATCTTTACATTTAGTACCAAATTTATTGATGGAATTTGAACATTGCGATGGTTATGAATTGATGAAGAGAGTATTTTATAATATTAATTCTCAGCAAGGGGGTGAAGGGAATGTAACTTGTCAAAGAAATGAAGAGAATGTAACTTGTCAAAGAAATGAAGAGCATTCCAAAGAGTATTCAAATGACATGCCCCATGAAGAACATCATGAGAATCGAATTCAAGATTTTTTATTACAATTTCAACAACAAAAACTATTAACCATTCTTCATGTCATGATTACTCTTGTTTTGGATTTAACTCTTCATATTCAACTTGTGAATCAACAAGATGCTATTCAAGAAGATTTGGGAGATTGTAAAAGAAATCAACATATTTTTGATTTACTTGTTTATTTATATGATACGACAGATATGTCTAAAATTGTAAAGAAGAAGAATGAAACCATTTGCAGCAATGATACATCAACAAGTAGTGATATTATTACTACAACTAGTAGTAGTAGTGGTAGTAGTAGTAGTAGTACTACTCTAACTCAAATTCATGACACTCTAAACTCTACTCAAATTCTAAACTCTACACTTGAAAATGATGAAATTCATTCCTTTATTTGTAAAAGAGAATTACTCGATCATATTCTATCTAATTTAACACTATTTCATGAAGAATATTTCAAAACTCTGTATTTGAGTGAACCATTTAAATACATGTGTAAGAATTTCACATCTACGAGTAAGGAAATGCAAATTCAACTTCTCAAAACATTTGATCACTATATTCATATATTCTGTGAATGTCAAAATGATAAAATCAAAACAGATTTGATATGTAGAGATTTCAATGAATATCTTGGAATGTTAAAAACCAATCATTTGAAATTCTTTGATTCTATTATGAGAGTTTGTGATCATTTATTAGACAAAATGGAAGATTTAAATAGAATTTCACTGATACAAGTTCTATTAAGAAATTCTAATTTTACTACAATTATTTTACAAGCCATTCATTTGAGTGTTGAGAATAGAAATACTCAAGTCATGCTCAAATTAGTGAAAATGATTTATTTATTTTTACAAAATAATTTAGAGAATCATAAAGATTTTATGAATGCAATGACTCCAAAAGATAATGCTCTCTACCAATTACTCTATGATGAAGAATTGATATTGAATACATTGGATGTCATTTCAATGATTGTCATTCATGATCGATCTCAGACTTGGGATTTTATTATTTGTGATTTATTAGAAATTATGAAAGGAAGTGGACAGGGTAGTCATAATAATAATAATAATAATAATAATAATTTCACTTCTCTACAACATAGTAGTAATCTTTGTGGTAATAATAATAACACTTCTCTACAACATAGTGGTAGTGGTAATAATAATACTTCTCTACAACATATTGGCAATGATAACAATAATAATAACAATAATAATAGTACCAATAATAGTAATAACAATAACAACATTGGTAATAACACTACCTCTAAAAAACATTTGAAAATGTGTGAACGAATTCTCGTATGCATTCGTAAAATATTCATTGAAAATGAAAATGTTAAAAATTCATTTCGAAAATGTAAAGGCTATGAAAGAGTCATTCATTTACTGAATCTATTTAGTAATAATTTAGAATGCTATGATTTAGTATTTAGTATCGTTCAATCTAGTATTAATTTACTAACTCTCTCCATGTATGAGAATTTAGATAATGAAACCTATTTCAAGAAATTCATTACCTTCTCTTCCATGTTTCAACCACTTCACAAGTGTGGTTTTGTTAAGAGTTATGAACATGGAACTCATCTTACTATGAATTTACTTCAATTCTCAGTAATGAGTCGTGATCACTCGTTGTATTGCTATGATGATCCTACAAGAAATAATTTGGAGAGATTTAAAAAGTGTATTGAAGAAAAAGTTTTACTTTTTGAGAATCCTGAAATATTTCCAGAAATATTACTCAAATTGTATGGAAGAAATTTACAGGAAACTGATCCTAAATTAGCCAATTTCTTGATTGATATGTTATTTCGGTTAGTTCGTTATTCCACCAATAGACATCGATTATCAAAGGCTAAATCACTACTCATTTTAATGAAAGAGTTTAGTAGTGTCTTGTTGGATCCCACTCATTATCTCTCATCAAGAATTACCAAATTGCTCATGTTGTTAGCCTCTCATAATTTCTCAACACGTGAAATGCAATATTATTTTACATTGTTTACACCAGATCGATTATGGAGTGTTCAAGGTGCTCTACAGCATGGTTTAACAAGTAGTAATAATAGTAGTAATAATAGTAATAATAGTAATAATAGCGGTAACAATAGCAGTGGTACTACTACTACTAGTAGTTCTAGTTTTGGAATTTCTCAAACCATGAATCTTTTCGATGGTGTACACCAACAAGGTGGTAGTAGTAGTAGTGGTATGAATATGACAAGTAATAGTACTACTATTACTACTATTACTACTAACAACAACAACACCACCACCAATAGTCATTCATTACACCATCTCTCTTCATCATGTTCCACACGAACCATTAACAATCTTCTCAAAACTCTCCTCGAACTCTCTGATCATTCATTCATTCCAAATTATTATATTGATTTTTCACCTCTCAATAAGGATAAGATATTTAAAATTGATGATTTAAAACAACTTAAAAGTAAGAAGAGATTATTTTCAAGTTCATCAAGTAAGGCTGCACATGATAAGGAAGAACGAATTCTCATGAAGAGAGCTCTCAACACATTTTCTGCCATTTTATTTCCAAAATTCAATTATTCTTCATGGCCAAGTGAAAAAGGTCATACGACCACTCTATGGTTTAGAATTGAAAGTACTTTGAATGAAAGTATGAAAGGACAATCCATTTCATTCACACCTCCGAGCGTATCTGCCATGTCATATTCTCCAACCAACTCGGCATCTCCAATTTATCTCTATAGTTATTCTTCTCATGTCAATTCTACTGCCATGCATTTATGTATGTTACCTCAAATGAAATTGAGTGTGCAAGTAGAGAGAACGAATGACAAGTCATGTTTCAATGAAATATTCACACACTATGATTTTAAATTATATCAATGGTATTTTATTGGATTGAATTATCAATTGATTCAATTACAAGATAAGATTGAACATGTATTTAATTTGTATGTGAATGGATTTCATGTTCAAAAAGTTGTACATGAAGAATCTATGGACAAGTCATTGGTGGATCGATTTAAATCATTTTTAAATTTCTCAAATACGAGTTTAGAATTTGTTGCAATGGGAGCCAAAGTCACTGAAGTGAGTTCCATGCTCAATCGAACCATGAAGAGTGTCATGAATAAGAGATCAAGTAATAGTGGTAGTTTGAATAATAGTGGTGGTGTGAATAGTACTATCAATAATTTGAACAGTACGAATAATGGTGAAGATCATCACTTTACTGTAATGACAACCAATGACACTCTACAACCACCACCACCACTACTACCATCACCACTTCATTCTCATACTGGTGTGAGTACGACGAGTAGTAGCACAAGTAATAGTAGTACAAGTAGCCATAACAGTGGTGATAGCCCTATCAATACAAATCATCATCAACAAGAACAACAACAACAACAAGAACAACAACGACAACAACAAGAACAACAACTCACAATGGCAACCAGTAATGTTTCAAGAGATGATGATCATACATCGAGTCAGACTACAAGATGTTCCATTCCTTCCCATTTGCAAGAAACTCAAAAAACTACTACTCTTGGTAACCATTCGAGTGGATCCTCACAAATTCCATCATCCACCACCACCATCGTTGGTACACCACCTCCTTCTACAAATCCTCAATACGACTCGCCACATCATCTCAAAGAATCTATTTTTGTATGTCCTGCTTTTCAATTAGGTAACATGTTCTTTATTGAAGAATGTCTCAATGATGAAGAAATGTACATGATGTATCATTTAGGACCAAATTATATGGGAAGTTTTGATGAAGATCTCAGTCAATACTTTTGTAATGAAATGATTAATGAGGAAAGTGTTGTGAAATTTAAGAACAAAATTTATTACATGAAAGATTGTTCTAATAATGTAGGATTGAGTCAATTATCGAATCGATTTGTATTTGCATTTTCAAGTGTCGATGCAAGTGTTATTACAAGATTGGCAACATCATCCTCTCAATCCAATACTTTGGATACTGTCGATGTTGTATTTAGTAATAATAAGAACAAGACGATGGGAAAGAGTAGGACAAGTCATACCAGCACCAACACCAGCAATGGCTCAACCACTGGCACGACTACGACCTCTTCTCAACAACAGTCTTTGGTTGGTCATACTGCGACGACGACTACGACTACTACGACGACGACTACTCCGACCACTACAATGAATATCACAACCGCAAACACTAACACTCCCGCCACACCAACGACTACGACCTCTTCTTCTTCCAACACCTCCATGATGGATAATACTACGAATAGCAGCTCTTCTTTGAGTGGTTCCAATAACAATAACACAACCGCTAACAGTAACAACACCTCTTCGAATCACTTTTACAACACTTCTGATATTCGAGCATACATTCCAAATAGAAATTATAACAATGCCAATGCTCTCTCATTCCAACGAACTTCAAACTTTATTCCTATCAAGTGTTATCTCTCTGGTAAGACTACACTCGTCTCAAAATGTACATTTAAGGCAAATTTATATGTCATTGGAGGAATGAAATCTATTTTAGGTCTCTATGCTAAAATGAGAGATCCATCGAGTAAGATTTATGTCTTGTTACTATTAGCCTATTTGATGAAGTACAATACATTGAATACATTGGAAATGAATCGATTAGGAGGTTACGATATGATTAATTATCATTTATTGGTTCAAGGAAATTCATCAAATCCATTTATCATTACCAATGCTGTTTTATTATGCATGTTAGTCATGTGTGGATTGAATATTCCTATTGAAACTATTTATGAACATGTTAGTATTACTCATGGTAGTAGTAGTAGTCATAGCATTAATAGTCATAGCAGTAATAGTAGTAATCGTGGTGGTGATCATGGTACTGTCATTGGCAATACACCCAACTTGAAAGTTCGAGATATTTGTAAGAGTGGAGTCATTAATAATTTTATGGCATTTGAAAAGTTATTATTAGATTATCGAATTTGGCATTCAAATGCTCATGTGAATACTCTCAAGAAAATGTTAAAATGTTTAGCAGAATTAGTTTCATCTTCCTATCGAAGCAAAGTGAATGAACATCATCGAGTCATTATGCTCACCACTGTGAATGGTGTGAAAAGATTATTATTTGCCATGTCTCAAGGATATGTCTTTTCAGAAAAGATTGAATGGCCAATCAAAATTATTACACCCACAATCAAGATTTTGAAATGTATCATTCCATCTCCCATCTCAATGACTTATTTATATCCAATTGTTCAGTATATTATTTTAACACATCAATATTCTTCTGATCCACGTCATCGTCAAGTAAAATAATAGTGGTAGTAATAGTGGTAGTAGTAATAATAACAATAGTAGTAGTGGATATAATCCTAATAATAATAATACCAGTGGATATAATCCCAATAATAATAATGGACATAATGACCATAATAGTGAACCTATTGAACCTAGAAAATCAGTTCTCAACATGTTCTATAATTTAATGGAAGAGGCTCCAGATGATGTTTTGGAAGATTTCCATTCAGTTCTTCCTACTTCACAAATTATTGCACTTTTATATACAAAATCTAATCTCATTCGATGTATCTTGTTGAAAATGCTAGGAGTTTATTTATCAAGAAAGGAATCATTGAAAGAAAATTTTGTCAAAACAAATTCAGCACATTTATTAGCTCAACAATTATTAGAAGTTGGAAATCCATCACTTTTAGAATTTCAAGTCATGTTTGATTTAATGTTAGGATTATTTTCATCATCGACAACACCACCCTCTGCACGTCAAGAGAAGAATACATTTATTGCAAATAATAGTACTGATACTCATACTACTCATACTACTGATACTACTACTCAACAAACTACTACTACACAAACCACTACTGCACATACATCGAACACTCTTCTTCGTAGTGTGGATAGTAGTCATTCGATCATTTCCACAGCTTTGCATACTGTGGGTGCTACGAATAGTTTTAGTGGAATTTCTCAGAGTAGCACCAACAATGATCGTTTGTCAAGTACCATGAATCATTCAACCAACACCACATATAATCATGAACAAGTCAAACATGATAGAACTCTCAATGACGATAACGATCAGAAAAGTGAAATGAATCAAGACGATGATGATCGTATGATGACATTGAACACACATCGACCCAATCTCTCTCAACTCATAGAATTAGGATCACCCGAAGATCATGATGATACAAAATCCAATTTTTTTGCAACTTCCATTTCCAATACTAGCGTTCAACATGTTGTGAATGATGGTAATATTCATAATAGAGGAATACCAGAGTCATCTCTTTTAGCTTCACCTGGAAAGAACAAGCGATCAAAATCAGTGTATTTCAATTCTCTATTACCACCATCGAGCACAACAACAGCACATCATCCACCTTCATCAGCTTTACATTCATTGAATAGACTTAAAAATTCAATCAATCTCATTGAATATGAATTTGCACAATTAGAGTTTAAAGAATTCTTAATTCCAATTCTCAAATTAATTCCACACATTAGAAATATTGATGAGAAAATTAATGTCTTTGAAACTATTTTTAAACTTTTCAAAAATGGTGGAGAGAAACTTCGATTATATTTTTATGAAATCAAAGCACATTGGTATATTCAAACCTATTTATCAAATTTAGATTTAAAAATTGAATCTACATTTAAATTTATTCAACTCACTCTAGATTTCATTATTGAATATGTGAATTATAGTATTTTAAATATTCCAAAAGCATATTTAAATCAATATGGATTGAAAGGAAGTGTTGAAATATTAACAAGTATTTTACAATATTTACTAGTCATGGAGAAGTCATGTTATGATATTATATTCATTCAAAATATGCAAAGATATATATTACAAGGTATTCTCTTCTTTTTCCAAAAGAATTATCTCTATGTGGATCAACAAAAGAGTTCAACCAATCGAAGTAAACAAATTGAAAAGAAGGAAAAGAAGATTAAGGGACATTTGAATGCTGTATTTTTATCCTTTTGTACTTGTGCAAGTGATTATATTATTCAATGGTTTGATTTACCAGAATATCCTCCAACAACGAGTTATGGTGATAGAGGTAGTGGTGGTTCTCATGGTGATCGAGGTAGTGGTGGTGGTGGCTCTGATCATGTTGTTCGAGGTGGTGGTCATAAAAGTGATTCTACAAGTGATAACGGTCGAGCAGGTCATGGAAGTAGTCGTAGTCATGGAAATGGTCATTCATTCAATCATCATCATCAAGATTCAAAGAGAATCGATCCTACGACGTTACCATCCATCAAGAGCCTCACCAAACAACTCTCACAACTGGTCTCTCATAACAATCATCATGAAGAAGATCATTCACGTCGTACCATGATCACCACATCATCATCATCCACTCCTTTGAAACAATCCACAAGTATGATATTTTCAGATTATAATAGTGTTGATTGGATGCATCCACCTTTGAATCATACTTCAACTACTACTACTGCTGCTACAACAACAGCAACAACAACCAATACGACTGATGCCATTTCAAGCAGTGCTATTCATACGGATGACATGGATGTCAATCAAAAGATCATGGTGGAACATCAAGAACAGCCTCAGTACTCTTCTCAACGTAATACTACAACACAACATTATCCATCTGCTTCCATGAACAACACTGCACCCATTGTTGAGGTCATTATTGACAATTATTTGAGTATGAATGAATCTCATTCAACAACATTGAAGAAGGTGAATACTCGAAAGATGATACCTTCATGGGAACAATCCAATCTCTCTGCAAAATGTTTTTATGAATATGAATGTATTTTAATGAAACATCAGCAACAACTTCATGTCGAACACACAAAGAGCCATGATACGATGAATTTTAATGAAGGACAACCATCAGAGACAAGTCAAGGAACTATGAACTTGATCAGAACGAATGAAGAGGCTAGTAGTAGTAGTAGCAGTACTACAAACAATGAAGAGGCTAGCACAACTACTAGTACCACAACTACTACTACAACTGGTGGTACTGCTACCACTGGAACAACAACTACTAGTACTACTACTACGAAAACTGAAGAATATCATACTACCACCACTCGACATGGCCAGACATGGAATATACAACGGATGATTTGAATTCTCAAACCCATATACCACCATCCACTCCCACTCTTCAACAACCACCACTCTTTAATCATTCCATTCATCAAATTTCAGGATTTATCTATTGGTTTGTTGAATCTATTCGGCGGTGTCTCATCATACAAAAGAAAGGAAAGAAGGGAGGAGCCTATGCTAGTAGTGATAATGATAATCAAGATTTTAATCCAATCTCAACTTGTGAAATTGTACTTGTTGAACAATTGAAGAGAATATTCATGTTTTTATTGGATTCTAAACGATCCAAATCAGATCATATATTCACACTATTACAATTATTATACTTTTTCCCATTCCATTCTGAATTGATTATTCATGATGTACTTCAAGAACCAAGTGGACATCAAGAAATGACCAATTGTGGTAAATTATTGAAATGTTTCTATTCAGATACCAAGTATATTACTCGACTCGTCTATCGAACAGCACATTTATTTGAAAAGACAGATACCATTTTACCACAATTGAATCGAAAAGTTTGGAAAGCCATCATGAACTCAACGACTCATAAAGATTTTCTCAAGAAGAATGTCTTTTTCAAGAATTTTGATCCGAACGATCCAATTGAATTTATTAGTATGGTCGAAGAAGCCTCCACCGTCTCGGAAAATATCACGACATTAATATTTGAACCCAATGTTATTGATCAAGTGCGAGAATGGGAGAATACAGAATTCTCTGTTTTCAATTCTAAACTTACCTCTGTGACTGAGACAATACTAAAATCCGAAGAGACTGAAAAGAAGAGAGATTTTAATTTCAAGAAACAACTCCGAAATGAACATGCACAATTAGAATTGAATAAGGTCAAGTTTTTAAAGCCTCATATATTGAAATTGAAAAGTATTATGGACACAGATTTACAAGCTAGAAAGCAATGGAAAATGTTGATCAAGTGTATCTATGAAGATGTGAGTGCATTCAATGTCTATATTCATACCATGAATGCATACTGTGATCGAACCATCAAGACTCGTTCTACGATAACAACCACTCGTTCTCATGTCACGAAAGAGAATGATTATCATCGACTTGCATTTATACCCTATGATGCAGAAACGTATGAAAATGTGGATTATAAATTAGATTCCATTTCTGGACCCAATAGAGTCAAGATGAGAATGAAAAGACAATTGAAAAAGAGACCATTCCATATGGATGATGGTGTTACTGTATTAGAGGGTATGAGTATGAGTGGTAGTGGTGGTAGTGGTGGTGGTGGTGGTAGTGGTGATGGCAGTACAAGTATTAGTAGTGGTAATGCTGTTGGTGGTACAAGTATTAGTGGTGCTAGTAGTGGTACCACCACTCATCATGTATCAGTAGTAGTAGGAAATATCTCAACGAATCGTCTCTCACATCGATCCAACACCAACAACCATGATGTAGATGACCATCCTCATGTGCCAAGAGAACGAAGATCTGTAACATTTGAAATGACTCTCCACAAGACTCAAATTCTTTCTGAATCACAATCGGATGATGGTTTGTCTCTGCTTGTGGTTGCGGAAGAAAGTCTTGGAGAAAGTCTTGGACTCCACAACAACACAGAGACTGTTGTGGACCATAACTTGTCATCCAATAACAACAACAACACGACCAGTAACAACAATATTATCAACAACAACACACATACTCTCACAATGGCCAATTTGTCTACTCTTAACTCTACTTCAACTCATAACCCTATGATGGCCAATCATAACAACAACAATCATAACAACAACAATCATAACAATAACAATCATAAAACAATCATAATAACAATCATAATAACAATACTACTACTACTCTCAATACTTCTTCCATACTGGCCAGTAATACAAGTGCAGAGGATAACAATGATGATGAAATGACATGTTCTAGTGAAGTGAATAGTACCACAACGACCAGTAACAACAATAATTACTCCTATCTCACCATTTCGAATATCATTTCTGAACCAAAGAAATGTAAACGTATTACTCCTCTCCGTATTACAGAAGGTGAATTAGTGTTGGGTGAAGATGGAGTCTATTTCATTGCAACATGTTCCTATCCACTCACCATTAGAACCAATTCTACAACAACAACAAGCACAGGTGTTTCTTCTTCTCATATCAAGTCTCATCATGAAATGAAAAAGACATACAATTTTTCCTATGAAATTATTCGAGAAATTCACAATCGAAGATACTTGTTGAAAAACAACGCTGTGGAATTCTTTTTAGTGAATGGTAAATCATTCTTCTTTGCATTTGAAGATGGAGAATCACGTGATAAGATACTCTCATTACTCACATCACCATCCTCTCGATTCAGTTATATTAATTTAACACCTAATTTGAATTTACCAAATTTAGTCAATTATGAAGAAGAAGTGAATGGTAAATTAATATTCAAAAAATCCATTACACAAAAATGGGTGGAAGGTACTATAAGCAATTTTGAATATTTAATGCATTTGAACATCTTGGCAGGAAGATCATTCAATGATCTCACTCAATATCCTGTATTTCCATTTATATTAAGAGATTATGACAGTGAGGAATTAGATTTATCAGATCCAAATACGTTCCGTGATTTACGTAAACCTATGGGTGCTCTCAATGACAAACGTCTTGAAAAAATTATTGAACAATATGAAGCTACAAAAGAAATTGAAGATCAACCCTATCATTATGGTTCACATTATTCCACACCGATTGCAGTTTCATATTATTTAGTGAGAATGGAACCATTTACAAGAGTATTCTTTGAATTCAATGATGGTAAATTAGATTTGGCAGATCGTACCTTCCATTCCATTAAAAAGTCATGGGAATTGTCGAGCGGTGAAACACAATCCAAATCTGACTTTAAAGAACTCATTCCAGAATTCTTTTATTTACCTGAATTTTTACAAAATAGAAATCGAATTGATTTTGGAGTGTTACAAAATGATATGAGATTTGATGATGTTGAATTACCAAAATGGGCAAAAGGAGATCCAGTACTATTTATTAGAAAACATAGACAAGCTCTTGAATCTGATTATGTCTCTCGTAATTTACATCATTGGATTGATTTAATCTTTGGATACAAACAACGTGGTGAAGCAGCGATCAATGCTACAATGTCTTTCACTACATGACCTATGAAGGATCATTGGCAGATGAAGTCGATTTGATTGATGATCCCATTACACGTGAAGCGAGATGGACACAAATATGTACCTATGGACAAACACCAAAACAATTATTTAAAAAACCTCATCCTGAAAGATATGCTACAACGAATTTGATGGGTGGTGAACAAGATACTATTAATGTCATTCCAATCACGAATTATATCTTTAAAGTAGCCAATGAACTATGTCCTGGAAATATTAGAATATTCAAAGAAGCTGTTCAAGATTTGTACATTCGAAATGATCAAACCACGTATAGTGGAAGTGTGATTGCGGTTGGAAAACATCAAATTTTCATTCCACCTTCAGGACAAGTCAATATGCAACGAAGTAAGAACTCTCCAGTCTATCTCTCATTTAGACATTGGGATAAGACTCTTAGAATTTGTAAATGGGATACTGGAAAGCCACTTCATGTCTATCATTTTATGAATCAACCTGAAATTTACAAATGTGCTCGTTTCTCAAACAGTGGTGATGTATTAGTGGTTGGAACTAGTATTGGAGCATTACATGTCTTTCGTGTCAATACTCGTGTCAAGATTCATAACAATAAGAACACACCAGATACCACCAATGTGAATACAGATAAGGATAACAAGTTTTTAGATCATGCTGCAACATTGAGTGGACACTCGGATTCCGTTCTGTGTGTTTGCATTTCTACAGAATTTTCAATGATTGTGAGTGGATCGAGAGATTGTTGTCTAATGATTTGGGATTTGAATCGTTTTAGATTTGTCAAAGCGATCAAACATGATGGTAAAGTGAGTGTGATTGCAGTTTCACCCACCACTGGAGATATTGCTAGTTTTTGTCAGAATTCTGTGAATGGCCAAAATCACTTGTATTTGTGGACTGTGAATGGAGATTTAATTTCCTATTCAAACATTAGAGCTAAAATTACATGCATGAAATTCACATGGATGGATGAAGGAATTAATCAAAATGTGTTAGTGTGTGGATTGGCCAATGGAACCATTGCCATTTTAGATGCTCTCTCATTGCGTGTGATTTCAAAATTGAAGATTACAGATTATACAGCACCTATTCGATGTATTGACATTAATCCTGCCATGACTGAAATTGTAGCTGGAGATGATCGAGGATTTGTGGTGAGTTGGCACAAGAAGCATTAATTCCACGTGTCTGTAAAAGTACTATGATCATAATAATTTAATTCATTGACAAAGTTCTAACGGTGCTTTAATTCATAAATGATTGTTTTAATTCTGTGCTTGACCAATTAACAATTGTAAGGTCAATGAATCACTTCTTCCTTATCTCCTAAACAATGCAAATACAAATAACAATCTGTTCCAAAGCCTTGCATGGACATGACATTCAAATCTCCACCCCAATACTTGGCATACAATCGACTCAATGGCAACCCGTATCCGAATCCAGCTAAAGGAGCGTGACTATCTGTGAATTCTTCAATTTTAGTCATGTCCTGATTCACCTCTGTAATATTATTTGCACCACGTTAGCTTTCAAGAATGTTAGGAGGTATGACTACTTACTTGCAGTAGTGTAAAGATACGACCAAATCTTGTGCATGTCCTTTCTTGGAATACCTTTTCCCTCGTCACTAATCTTAATTGAAATATTCTCTTTATCACTTCCTCCATCAGCAATAATAATATTGACCTTTGGCAGTGATTTACCTTGATGGTTCTCAACAACAGCTCTCATTGAATTTTTCAGTAATTCAAAGAAAATATAATACAAATGACTTGGAACGTATGGAAATTCTAAATCAGTTCGTCCAATAATCACTACTTCTGGAGCGTCTCCATACGACATTCGACATAAATCTGCAGCATCCTCAATAGCATCCTTAGCAACATGCAATGGATTCGTATTCATACAAATTAATCCAGCATAACCATTCATTGGTTTAGTGAGCTATTAAGATTTGCATGAAAATATTATTTTGCATCATACAAGGTTCAATACATGGACTGGTAATAATGAGATATCCTTACCTGTTCATGTAATGCTAAATGTTGTCCAATTAACATTCTCATTCCAATTCTGTTAATATAGAATGAATCCAATGCCGTATGCAGCTCTGAAAATTCTGCCAAATCAAAATTAGCATCATTTTGATAAATGGATTCTCGTAATTTCATTTTCAACTCATTCACTCCTTTAGCAACACTAATCATGGTTGGATGATGTCTTGTGAAAATTCCTTGAAGAATTTTTGTAAAGTGCAATTCTTCTTCCATTGTTTTTGGTTTTTTTGCATAATAAATATCATTAAAGCTTGCCATATACCAATCTCGAACTAATCGTACAGATGGCATTAAATTTAATCCATTTGGTAAATTGTCTAATTGTCGGACTTGTCTTCCTAGACGTTTTGGTAATTCTTCTTTTAACCAATGAGAGCTATTTAAAAGAGTTTGTTTGTTAAGTTTTAAACCAAAGTTCATAACCATCTAATGAGTGTGAAATAAATGTATATATTGTATGAATAAATTGTTGCCGAGTATGGTATGCATATCATCGTGACAATGTTATTGTTTAGATTTCAAACAGAATCATACGTTGTTGTTCATGATGGATTGATCGTGTTATATATATTTGGAATGCTCATTTACTTACATTTAAGGTGATCGGAGCAGAAGGTTGACGTGCAAAATCATACACTGTTGATAAATCTACAGGAGATCCAGTTGCATTGGTGTGTTCTTGATGGGTAGTATGCAATGAAGAAGGGTTGGAATCATGATGAGAATGATGTCCTGTTCCAGTGGTGGTCATGTTGTATTTGACATAATTGGTACATATTCCTCTGTCCATCACGGATGAATGAACAACATGATGATTTATAGAGTGATGAGAGGAAAGGCATTGTAAAAGACGTTTCGTAGTGGTGGTGGTAAGACTGTTCATGATGAATGATCAATACAATCAAGTTGCGTCTCAAATATGAAAAATAAGTAGTGGTTAGGGATTTTCGCTTTTTTTTTTTAATTGGGATTTTTAAAATACGAAATTACCCGAATCATCACTTTGCAAGCAACTTTTATGAGCCGATAAATGCCTGTGAGTGATTCGGGCATACTCAATCTTGTAATAACAATACTGTGATGCTCGCAAACTCGAAACCTGCTCCCTCTCGAGGATTTCTCTGATTAGCCTCATCATGAAAATCACTTGATGAAAATGTCATTTATTGAGCTTGTTGATCTTTTCCAATTGTTGTTTGTTCTTTTCAAAACAATCCATCCAACTATTGAATGTATCACTTAAGAAATCTTCAGAATAGTGTTGAGATGCATGATGGTGTGATGAATAACAAGTGGATTCAGGTGAAGAATGGATATCATTAGGAGTCGTGGTGGTGGTAGTGGTGGTGTTGAGGGAGTAATTAGAGTTCATGCTACTTGCAGAAGTTGAAGAAGGGTAGTAATCATTGGATGATGATGATGGTGAATAACATGGTGTTAAATCAATGATGTGGTGATGTTGTTGTTGTTGTTCATTATTGACATCATTACGAGTCCTATCATTCAAAGAGGTTGAAGTGCTGGGAGGAGGAGGTGATGGCAATACCGGAGAATAAATATCATCATCGATGAGAGTCAAGGAAGTGATAATTTCGAACAAGAGGAGCCTGTAGACACAACATTGTTAGTCATGACGGTATTTAGATGGTTATTATTATGGTCTTCATCTTTGGAAGATCTTCTCATGACATTCTTGTGAAATAATTTCTGACAAGATCCCACAATGGTTGAATCGAGAGTTCTCTTTTTGGCCTTGTTGCGAGTAGTTGTTGTTGTAGTTGTGGAGTGTGTGGATGGTTGTTTCATTTCAATGTTAGGATGAGTCAATGAATATTCATCCTTTTTGGATGGGTTTAAAGTAAATTTCAAAAGTAAACAAGTAGAAGAGGATGATTCTACATTGGAATGATGAAGTGCCATGATCATTGGATTCAAGAAGGACTGCGAGTCAACAAAATTATCACGTTTAGTGATGGTAGTGTAATAGTAATTAACGAATTGTTGTTGTTGTTGTTGTGGTTGCAACAAAGAGAGTGTCAAGTTGAATTAATTTGTCAATGGATAAATGTGGTCAATGTAATGTATATGGCCAAGTGACAAAGAAAGTAGAGATGATGAGGAATAGAATGTGTGTGATTTGATGAATGAATAATAGGAGAGAGTACAAGTAGTTGTAGCAGAGTGAGTGAATCTTGATTAAATAGGACCAAAAACACCTCCTGAGGAGTAGTAGTGTCTTGCTGATGATGAAGATGATAATATTGGAGAGAGAGGAATGAAGAAGATGGCTGGGGAGCAACAAAATCCAAACAATACGGAGCGAAACAGAATCTAATGAGTTGTTGTTGGGATTATTGAGGAGGAGTTGTTTGAGTGCCACAATCTCACCACTGCCTTTCAGCCAATTCCGGTGTGTTGATGTTTTTTGTTGTCTTCAAATTTGTTGTGGTGTGCTCGCATAAACAAGGCAATAATTTTTAGCGAGAATCAAATTCAGACATAAAAATAGATTCCGAAATTCACTTCACAGGTGCAACGTGAATACCACATCCTTCAACACTCAATTTGATCCATCGAAGCGAACCATGTAACACTAGGCTTGTCCTGTAAACGTTCAAACTTGGTTAAACTGTGAACAATAAACATGTTTAAACAAAAATAAACAACATAAACATGTTCAAACTAGTTCAAACGTTTAAACGTTCAAACGAAAAGAGGGCCCTTTCAAACCTGCAGCCGCAGCAAACAGCCATTCAGCCAGGATAGTCCTCGCTGCCGAAATTATTTTCAGATGCAATCAACAGAATCCTTTGGCATCCGGTTGAAACAGGATTTTTGCGGCTGAGGTAGGATTTTGATTAGGTGATCAGTTTATTTTGCTTACTAAAAAACCGTTCTCCACAATGACGGTTCTTGGAAACGAAGTAAATTCCTCATAATATTGTGTAAAATCTTTAAAAACGTCCATCAATCTGCAATCTGATTCATTCACAACAAAAGTTTTCATGAAAAATCTAAAAGTATTGAGCTCTCCCATTTTAGTATCTCTTCAGTATTCCCATTTGATAGAATATAAATAATCTTCTTCTTCCCATCCAGACAACCTAACACTATCTCACAACAATCAAACTCCCTCTCATGGCAACTCTATTCTCAACTGACTTCTCAAGAACAAATTGAAAAACCAGAAGCAAATCAGACTTCTCTTATCGAACCTTCTATATCTCGAAACATCACAAGAAGTTTTGTGACTAAATGTTACTTGACGTATCAATTGTTGTTTTTGATAGGTAATTCCTCCAATGGTGATATGTGTATTGGATTGTTTGTTTTTGAAATTTTGCAGCATGTTGTGTGGTTGATGTGTTCTGTTCCATTGCTGCTCCAATTTATCGAATTCCACAATGTCATTATTCGAATATTGTTTCAATTTGAATTCTTTTGTAAGTAAAACTTCAATACCAGGTATATTCAAATTAAACAATATAGTATGAATGGTTGGATTCATATTCAGTATCTGAAAGCATGGCAAAAGTGCGACATGCTCTTTTTCTTTGAGGAAGATGCGAGCGATTCCACAAAGCTCTTTGTTATGAACATTTGTTTGACATCATCTTCAGTCATAATCTTGTTTTTACGTGAAATCTTTGGTTTGGATTATCATTTTCGGGTTGCATTCGGAAAGAAATCACTGCTTTGATGATGGATTTTGGAAGTGCAAATGACATGATCTCTTCATCATCAAATAAAAGTTAGAACAAGCAATGCTTCTGATAGCATTTTCTTCAAAAATACGAATTACTGAATTGATGTCTGATGGTGTGAATTTTATATCGGTAAGATAGTCATAGAGAAGATGAAGATCAGAATTCGTTTCGTGGGTGTAAGTTGATGTGGATTGGTTGTCTAGCTCCACATTTGAATTCATTTCGTTCAAGGATAACATGCCAAGGCTTGTCCGGAATTGTTGTTGTTTTGCATTTTTATTTTTAACAATTTTTCTCGTTTTCAAGCCAAAAACAACCACCAAAATCCACAAACATCCGGATTCTGGAGGATTCTGGATTTCCACAAAGTTTGGGAAGTCAGCAGGAGCTGGCAGCCGTCCTTTTCGGCTGTTTGCTGCGGCTGCAGGTTTGAAAGGGCCCTCAACGAAAATTAATTTCTAAAGAATTGAAATTTCTTCCTATTTGTCACCTTTTTCATTTTGCATCGAAATTATAAACCATCCTGTTTGGTATCTATTTCATAATCGTGTAACAAGGTCTCTGGTATAATGAGGGGCAGAAGAAACTTCCTATCCAAACACACAACTAATTTCTCGGACCAAGGTAAATAGTACCCAAATTCGTATTTCAATATTCCTAACAGCAGTCAAATAATCTTTGACATCACTGACCTGAGTTTCAATGTCAACAATTAATCGCATTCTTGAAAATTATTGATATGAATAGTTTTTAGACTTTAGGGTTTAGTGAGGTAATGAAAGGCTGTGAATGAAACAATTGAGAGTGGTATTGATGAACACAAAAACTCAGAGCAAAATGACGTGTCATCATTACTACGCCACCAGAAGTGTTAGTGGCAAACTTTATAAACAAGTTCAAACAATTTAAAACTTGTTCAAACTTGTTTAAACATGAACAAAATAAACAATGCAAGTTTAAACGTTCACAGGACAAGCCTACTGTACCTGGGTTGTGTGTGTGAGTGTTAAGGCTTGTCTACAGTAAACATAAACATGTTGATTCTGACTGCTCATCTAGCTTCAAGTTTCGTGTTCAAAAAAAATGACAAGCGTACTGGGAAACAAACTTCGAATTGGGCTATGCCAGCTTTTTGTTACCTCGGATAAGACGAGAAATATTAAAAATGCAATTGAAAAGATCAGACAAGCAAAAGATATGGGTGCTGAATTAGTAGTGTTACCAGAATGTTTTAATAGGTAATTATTACAAAATAATATGTTGATCGGATTGCCAATGATTCGGATTGAACATTGAAAACAGTCCTTATGGCACCCAATACTTTAAACAATATGCAGAGGATCCAAATCGTTCTGACACACTAAATCAAATGGCACAAGCAGCCAAAGATCATGGAGTGTATCTTGTCTCAGGCTCCATTCCTACCATCGGAAAGAATGACAAATACTTTAATTCATGTTTCGTATTTAACAAGGAAGGAGAGAGAATTGGACGATATGATAAAATTCACTTATTTGAGATTGACACTCCCACCATAAAGTTCAAGGAATCCGAGATATTGTCACCTGGCTCAGAACTGTTTTCATTTCAAATACCAGAAAAGAGTGCAACGATTGGAATTGGAATATGTTTTGATATCAGATTTCCTGAGTTGGCATCAATTTATCAAAGTCAACATCAATGCAATGTATTGATATACCCAGGTAGGTCTATTGTCTTTCTCACATGATCATATGGTCTATTGTCTTTCTCTACGTTAATTCCAATGACACTTACATGATGTCATGCATAACATATTCATTTTGAACGATAATAGGTGCTTTCAATATGACTACCGGCCCTTTACATTGGCAACTGCTAGCAAGAGGAAGAGCCGTAGATAATCAACTCTTCACAGTGTTGGTAAGTGATAATAATGAAAGAAGAACAATCACATTTTCTCACAAATCGACAACAGTGCTCACCTGCGAGAGATGAAACAGCGAGTTATGTTGCATATGGAAATTCATTAATTGTTGACCCATTAGGAGAGGTGATTCAACAACATGACGAAAAAGAAAGTGTGAGCGTGACAGAAATTGATCTGTCCAAAGTTCACACAGTACGAAATCAAATACCATCATTGCACAACAAGAGACATGATTTGTATGAGATACATTTGAAAAAATAAATTTGTTCATGAACAAAGCTAAAATAATTGTACACACGGTCAGCTCAATATTATTCCTCATCTTCCGCAATAAGCTCGTCATCTAAATCTCCAACATCCTCATCCAAATCAATATCGTCGTCCTCATCAATCTCAAATTCAAAATCTTCATCATCTACATGCAAAGGAGTAGATGGCTCTGGCTTGTATTTAAATGGTTCTGGCATTGTAAATCCAGGAGGAAGATCTTGATTTGCTTTTTCGGCTAATGTTTTACACCTTGATAAAAACTTTTTCTTATCCTTTCTCCATTCGACAGAGGCATCAACGTTAGCAGGTGATGAAAAATTTGGATCAGACAGCATAGAAATGACACTGAGTAAAATCGTTTCTGGAGTTTGTGTTGGATTCCAACGTTCTTAATAAAACAAAAACAATATAAGTTTAAAAAAACAATTCCACAAATACATACCCTCAGGACGTTCTCCACTCATCTCATCTTCTCCAGGAGGGTGCAAAATACTGATTGCGTGTTTGTAATTTATAAAACAAATGGTTGAATTTCATAGATTTTGTCAAAATTATTAGTAAATAATTCAATGATTCGGAATTTTAGATATCTATTCATCATAATTTCTATTATACAAACCTGATGCAAACTTTTCCGTCTACAGTATATGATCGTACAAAATGTTCGTAAACATCAAGTATTATTAATGACAATGGCACATCAATGATCAAATTATAAAACTAGTAGTTGTAAACACGTACCTGTATAGACATTAGGATGCCAGAATTCGCTTGTAAACATTAATGTTGGTGGGGAAAATGGATAATCTTCTGGGAAGTCAATTGTTCCTTGATAAATTCCGTTTTCATAGGGAGTATCGCTAGGGCCTTTGATATAATATCTCCATTTATAAACATCGCTTTCGTCTATCAATTCTACAGTAAAACCTTCAACAGGCTCTTTCTGCATTTTCTTCAGCTGATTGATCAAAATTCGTGCCGATGATGATGCTGCACTCATTCTTATGCTACAAGTAATGTATTTTTATTTTTAAAAATTACCAATCATTACAAAAAATGCAAGCACCAGTCGTCCCATCTGCCCAAAGTTTTAGCGATGATGATCAAAGTTCAACCTCACTGATGACTAATGATACTGTTATCAACAAAAACCTCACCAACGGATTGAGTTCATCAAGTCCGAATATTACATCCGAAGTTCTTGTCAATATTACAAATCAAGTAATTCGAGAAATAATACAAACGAATTTATCAGGCCACCACATCCCGTCCTCCGTTGCTGTAAATAATGCTAGTTATTTGTACATGATTTTATCCTTTTTTGCAAGAATTATTTCCGATATCATTATATTACTGTTAATGATGACAATATTACTGATATTGTTTCCTTCTCTGTTGAAGCCATTACAATATGCATTTCAATCTATTTTGATCACATTCAGGACAAGTGTTGATGCATTGCTCAATTTAAAAGACACATTAGAAAAGGCATATCAACAAGAATGTGAAGAAAAGGCCTTTAAACAAGTATCCTCTCATGCCTCTCAATTATTCAACCAAATGGAATCCAAACACACCACGACTCAGGAATTACAACCTTCAGAAGAAAAGCCAAACCGATTACACCAACCAAAAGTATCACCTGAGGAAAAATGGTACGAATTGACATTTCCACTCAGATAGATGAAAGAGATTTCGAGACGTTAGAAATGAGAGGTGGACCTTTTGGACGAACCTATCGTTCAATACGAAAAGATTTTGACACCACCGATTCAACGAACCAGACCGATGACGATCATTATCGAGTACCCAATGCGTATGAATTTGTTAATACTCTTCATACTTCTACCGTTCCTAGAGCCCTTGAAAAAGCCAAATCAAAAGAAAAATCCAAAAAGGAATTGAGAAGACAACGGAAGTATGCAGACAAATCAAAATATGAAATGGCTGATAGTAAGGAACTACGAAAATTATACAATGAAAAGATGCAGGACAAAGTAGAGCCTACTGCTACTATTGAAAAGACTCCGCAAGAGCCTCAAACTATCATCAACCTTGATAAAAAGGATCATGAACAAGAAGATGAAAAGCTTTTGAAGAATAATTGGAAACGAATTTCAATAAGTTATGGAAATTTGAAAACAACAGACGCAGAAGACTTTGATAATACAACAACCACGGACAGCATTAATTATTCCTCCGACGAGGACAAGACAGAATATGATGTAATGACCAGGAAAGATGAAACGCTCACTGAACCAGTTGAGGACGAATCTTTACGCAAACAAGAAAAAAAGCGAGAGACTTCAGGAGAATATGATTTTAGACAACTCACTTTTGAATCTCAATCACTGGATCAACCCATTGCTGTACACAAAAATTTGAAGCAGATCTTTGATAGCATCATTGATAAGGATGACTTGTTTCGACAAAGTTATAATCCTGCTCAAATTAGTGCGAAAACTCAAGCTGTTTACTTTAGATATTCCATACTATCTCAAGTTCCAATTCAATCATTGGTGGATGGAGGAAATATCACATTGTTGGATCTTTCTAATAATTATATTTCATCAATACCAACGTGGTTTGCAACTACTTTAAAGTCCCTTACCTATCTATTCCTTCCTAACAACTATTTATACGAATTACCAGAGAACTTTTGTGAAATGAAAAAACTCAGAGAATTAGATTTAAGTTACAATGCGTTCGAGTATATACCAAGTGCTATTTTAAAACTTCCAAATATTATAACCTTAGATTTCAGTAATAACTCGCTATTATTATTGCCAAACGATGTTTCATTATTGAAGAATACTCTAACTGATCTCAATATTTCATACAATGAGCTTAGAGAAATTCCAGATGATATTCGACAATTGAAAAAGTTAAAATATTTCAAGTATAACGAAAATGATTTATTCTATTATACCACATCTCTCATCCTCTCAAAACTTAATATTGAAGAAGATCTTAGAATCAAGCCTAGAAATAGAAGAAGATCTGTGAAAGTATCAAGCTACCTCTTTGGAGGAGGTATTACAGAATCATTTGGAGAGGAAGATAGTCCAGAGAGTAAGAAAATCAATGAACAGTATCAATTATACATCCCTAAACGTCAGGTGTTGCTGTTGCAGTTCTTAAACTCTGAAAGCGAATACATTACACACTTGAATGTGTTAAACGATATTCTCTATACTCCATTACTGGAAAAGTGGTCCGAGTTCAATATTGGTCAGAATGAGAAGGAATATATTTTACATCCAATAGTCCTTAGAATCATTCGACATGCGAGAGAACTTTTTGTAGATTTAAAGAGCAAAATGCTTCCACTTACTCAATCTAGGACCATCAAAACTGAGGACACTATTGAAATTTCAAAAGTATTTTCATCACGCTTAGATGAATTTAGAGAATTATATATCAAATATCCTACATTATATGAAAATGCAGCAGCGGTACTGAACAAGATCAGGAAAAATAATGATGATTTTGATAAGTATCTCAAAGCAAGAAAAAGACTTCCCATATGTGGAGGTCATCTTTATGACTCGTTTTTGTTGCTTCCCGTGACTAGACTTTACAGCTATGTGAAATATTTACAAAAGATACTAAGATATACTCCTGAATCACATTCTGACTTTAAGAATTTGCGATTACTGGTGCGAGAAATGAGACACATTCTTCAAGAACAAGACGAATATTTCTATAGAATTAATAACAAGTACAAACTGTTGGAGATTGAAAAAAAGTTGAAGATGCACGAATCTCTTCTAAAACCAGGAAGATTTTTCTTAAAAGAAGGAAGACTTATTTTAGGTCAAAATAAGGGAATCAACAACTTTAAGAAAGATGTAATGAATAGACTATATAATAAGGGAACTATTTCAGAAATTAGAGGTCAGGTTTTACAGAATTGGGATGCTGTGAAAAGCAAATCCTTTGAAGAATTATTAGAGCTAAGATTCACCGAATTATATGTACAGGTTTATTTGATGAGTGACATTATAATCATCAAGGAGACAAACTTTGTTCAAAAACTAGTCTCACGCTTCAACATCTACCCCTTAAAAGGAGCCTCTGTAGTGTTGGGAGAAGAACCATTGCCACAAGAAACTGATTCTCTCACTTCTCCTGGTAGAGATTCAAGCCCCATCATTGACTCAAGTCATTCGAACTTTAATGAAATTAACACAGAAACTAGCAAGGACGATGAAAAAGAAGAGAGAGAATTTACATTGGTCATTAATACGCTTTCAAAACGAATTCCACTTAGTTTCATATGCGAGAGTAAGGAAGAGTGTATGGAATGGTTTAAGGAAATTGAAAAGGCAATTCAAACACTCGAAAGCAAACATGATGAATCTGAATCTGACGAGAAACTGCTGCAATCTTATGAGTTTGTGGAGTCTGGTGAACGAGATGCTACCTCCGACATTTCTAACAAATCATTTCATTGAACTAGAGACATGGAGTAAACATCATCGTCTTAGTCAGAATAATATCCTTCCTCAAATCTGTCCATCAAAGATAATGCCTCTGTCACCTCATGCTGAGGCGCAATGAGCCCAAGTTTTTGTTTGTCTTTCATTTCTTGCATCTTTTGTCTTGTTTTCTCTTTCTGTTTCTTGCTCTTGATGAAAGGAGTTCCAACATCTTCTTCCAGTGTCATTCTTATTGATTTCTGCAAAGAATGAAATTGCCTATCTCTATCACGGTGAAGATGTTGGGCAAGTAATTGCTCCTTGTTGTTTGTAATGTATGTTAAATATGTCTCATCGTATGTAGGATTCAAAGTACTTCGTTTAGAGGCTCCAGGACTGAATTCCTTGCTGTCAATATTTGAAAATACGTTTAAAGAATTAGTTAAATGTTCTCGATCTTTTAGCTTGTTCAGCCTCTCTCTTTGAGCATGATTAGGGATGTCGATCATCAATGATCGCTCCAGGCGCTCTCTTTTATCTTGTCGCTCTTTCAGTTTTGCCCTAATTTCTTCTCTTCGGGATTGAATATAATTCATCCTCATGTCTTCCTCATAGAACTGAAAAAGCAAATCTTCTTGAAGTTGTAGAGCCACTTCTGCATCTGCTTTCAAAATTTCGTATTTTCCCTTGGTGTACCTCCTTCTTCGTTCCTCTTTCTCCAGGAGTTCTTTATCGGATATGAAGGGCAATTGGTCTTGATGCCCTTTCTCGTCCGATTTAGTTTGTTTAAATGTCGAGTCCTTCTTCTCAAAGTAGTGATCGTAAAACCATCCAGCTTCCAAAGGCATTGTGTGAGGTCAATAAATAACACGATCGAATTTTTTTTAATAAGTTAAACTGTAACGTTTACGATTTTTGGAGGGAACTGTCAAAGAACAGCAAAAAATCACGAAATTACAGGATATTCCATCAAAGATGCATATTGTTGATGAAGAGATTAAGAAGAACAAAAAATGAATTTCTATAACGCTCGGAATGGTCACTTCCGAAGCTTTAGGTGCATTTTTAAAGTTGCCATGTTACATCATCCGTACTACACGTGTTCATCAATTTTACTCAACTGGAATCTTGATCAGAAAATACTACTAAAATGTTCAACATTGAAACACACTCCACGCTAACTCGAGTTCACAACAAAAAAATCTCTTCCAAATCATGCCTCGTCTTCTTTACTTTGGTCAAAAGAATCATTTTCACAATCTTTGCAAATTGTACAAGGATCAATCACCACCAAAATTTAAATCCACAAGAATCCAATGTGATTTACTTCCTCTATTAGAGAATGAATTTATTAAACTTGGAACGAAACAAATTTCAAAGAATAACATTCTACAGAAATATCAAGTATTTAAAGATACTATTGTGATGTTGGCTACAGATGGAGATGAATATTTTCCAAGTCAAACATTGATCATGATCAAATTGTTAGAAAACAAGTCAGTTCATTATATTGTGGAATTGAGTGAAGATGGTTATATTGAAGAACCTGTGGATGATATTCAGGTTGGAGATGATTTTGTGGTTTTGAAAGGTCAATCTCATAATCTTTATATTTGTTATCAAAATACCACTTCACAGCGCTATGACGTAAGACCTCTTTCATTCGAACATGGTCAAATTGATTATTATTCATGTGCCATTCATTCCTTGGTCATTAAAACAAAGGCACAACAGTTTTATGTGGCCACGATTGATTCATTAAGTGGGAAAATCAAAAACTTGGACACTCTTATTGAGATGAGCAAATTGACTTCAAGTCCTACTGAGAAATTAGAACAAGTTGAGACCTTGTTTTACGTTGAGAGTGGAATGTATCCTCTCGCTAGAACCTCAAATAATGATAAACTGATCTACAAGGGGCCATACGGCATTCCTCATAGGCGATATGGAGGTGGTTATATCGATGGAATATTGTTGGAGGCTAAACATTATGGTGTAGGAGTCACAATAGAAAAACTCTATTGCGATTCCATTTCTGCTGTGGTCATGCTTAGTAACGGTCGACATCTTTGGGTGAACCATGTGGACTGCTATTTCAGAGTTGAGGATTTAACTTCAGTTGTTCAACAATGTGTTGGAAATGAATGGGAAATTGAGAGAGTAATTCCCAATAGAGGCGGAAATGGTTATGCTCTCATGTTGAAAAACACCAAGACTGACTCTTCTCAAATCATGGTCGTCACCAATCCAAGAGCAGTAGGTTGTGATCCATTGTTTCTCGAGAACTCTAAAGATTTGAAGGTAAAAGAAGAAGAATATATTTGGGCGTTTTTGTTACCAACCTATGTGCTCAGACAATATTCACTTTCTGAATCAAACAACAACATTGAGAATGTTTATCTCACCAATAGTTTCATGTTGTTTGAGGTTGAGGATCAGGAAAAGGTTTATTTAAAAAGATTAGCAGCCTGTGTTGGATTCCGTGATATTGAGGTTGTTTCTTTTGACAGGTTAAATTAGGATCTAGCAAATACATCTGGGATAACCCTAAAGATTTCGTTCAACTCACACACAATGCGCTCAGGACCAATTATTAAATTTACAAATAGTATGGAGCACATTTCTTTGTGTGTTACTTTTTAGGAGTAGTTGGTAATGGTGCGTTGTATAATTCTGAAAAGTCTTGATCTTTTTCTAGAAAAAGTTGAATTTGTTGCACCACTTCGTATTTTACATTTTCAGGTATTTTAGACCGAGCAATAGGAAGTAAATCATGGACAATGCTTGGTACTGATAATTCTGCCAGCTCTCGATCCTCCATACTTTCTCGGAAAGCCAAAGAAACAATATCATTCCATCCATTTTGGATTAATCTGGTCTTCAATAATTCCTTTAATCGATCCAATTCTCCACTATTTTTTAGTTTTTCGTAAATTAAATTCTCTTCGTTGGAAACTGAATTCTCTGATGATCCCGAAGCAACATGATCTGTTTGATGTGAGCCCGAAGGAGGTCTTTGCATTTTTTTTGGCGCTTATTTTGGATTTGGGACGGTGGTTTAGTTTTAAACAATAATAAGATAATTAATCAACTCGAATCAATCGAACATGGTCGTCATATTACAATTCTTTAATAATGTACGGAACTTTTGTGATCTACAATCTTTTGAACAATTTCTTTCATGGCTTGTGAAGCAGGAGACTCAGGATGATCTCGAACGATACTTTTTCCTGTTTCACATGCCTGCATTACTACAGGATCCAAAGGAATGCTTCCTAAAAAAGGAATGTTGTAATCTTTTGCCAATTGCTCTCCTCCTCCACTTGTAGGTTTAAAGATCATGGTCTTGTTTGAACAATGAGGACAGACAAATCCGCTCATGTTTTCAATAATACCAATAATCGGAATATTAACCTTTTTACAAAAGTTAATTTCTCTTCTAACATCGTTGCAGCTCACGTCTTGCGGTGTGGTGACAACAATTGCTCCATCTATATCAACATTCTTCAAATATTGAACAATTGTAATGTGTTCATCACTTGTTCCAGGAGGTGTATCAATGATCAAATAATCCAAATAATCACCCCAATAAACATCTCTCAAAAATTGTTTAATCAAGCCATTCTTCTTTGGCCCTCTCCAAATAACTGCGTCATCTTTTTTCGGTAACATGAATCCAATGCTCACAACTGCTAAGTTATCTTCGTAATATGCTGGAATCCAACCAAGGTTACTTTGGTGTAATTGATATCCTTCTAATCCGAACATGGTCGGAATGGAAGGACCACACAAGTCAACATCAAGAACACCAACTTGAGGAATTGATTCTTGATCATTTTGAAATGTAAGAGCAAGCGTGAGCGCTAATTGACTCGATATTGTACTTTTTCCAACTCCTCCTTTTCCTGATAACACTAAAAACTTTCTCTTGATCGATTTCATAGCCTCTTTAATCTGCTCCGTTTCAATTGCTGTTTGATTAACATTGTTTTTCATAGCTCCGCTTGAACATAAGGATTGATTCGGACATCCAGCACAAGCCGATGTTTTCCCTGCTGTCGTGCTCTGAACACCTGGGCAGTGTTCGTTGGCGTTTTCGGGAACGGATGATGATTCTGTTGGTGCTTGTTGCTGCATTTTTTTTGATCTCACTTTTGTTCGCTCTGGACTCCGTTTTTTGAAGAATGATTCTTATCCAACCAGCACATTTCTATTGTTGTTGCGTACGCATTCGTTATACTCATTCTTTTATAATTCATTATTATTTAATTCATTTAATGTTATTTACAGTTTAAGGGAAGATTTTGTCTTTGATGGAGTTGGAGAGAGAAGTGATTCAATAGTAAATACTTCAACCCTATAAATTTCAAAATCAGTGTGGCTCGTCAGTATATCATTTCCAAAGGTTTCACTGGAATAGCTCGATCCATATTTCAGGTCAGGATCAAAGGTAAGGGCAAACCCTTGACCTCCACCACCGACTGAAAATTGTCTTGCACTTGTCAGTTGAAAATAATCATTCTTTCTTGTCCAATTATATACACGTATGGTTTGTTTTTCTTTGTGTTTGGGATGTGAGTTATGAACGAGAACATATTCATCGTCTTCAGGATGAGGAGACTGTAGCTCTGAACTCTCATTCGAACCATGATGCTGTTCAAATTTAAAAACAAATGATTGCCCATCTCCATAATATCGTTCCCTCTTGGTCATTTCAACTTGTTCTGTTAAAAAGGCTCCAAAAATCTCTGCTTTCGTAGTTTCAACAACTAAAATAATTGGTTCTTGTTGTTCAATTTTTCTATACAATGTTTGTAAACTAATTCCATGTTCTTGTGTGGAGTAAAGCAACACGAAATTTTTGTTTCTAAATCGGACTGGTAAAGAAAGAGAAAGTTCTCTTATTTGTGATTCTTTCAAAATTACTGGTTGTGTAGCTCCAATAATTTCAGGAGTTCTATATTGAATTTTCAAGTCAATGTTGGAAACATGATGATGCAATGATGGTGGAACAAATTCTTCTGATGGAGTTGGAATATGATGAGCGACTTTTGGAGAAGTGCTTGGAGATGTTGTTGGAGTGGGAACTCGTCCTTGAAAAATAAAATCACCCGTAAAGGGAATCATGGAAATGTAATCTCCAACCTCGGAATTGGCTCTTCTTCGTGTGGTACCCGTTGATAGCTCTGGTGATGTTATTTCTCCACCAACTGGAGGAGTATCACCATCAAGATGAGATTTGCAGATGAACCGGATCGTGATCGCGATGTAAATCCCATCATGGAAGATCCCCATCCCCAAACTCCACCTGCAAACTCATTGCTGTACTTCCCACTGATTTACCTACAGAAGTAGCTACACTTCCAACACCACCTGCAATATTTAAAGCTGTATTTCCAACACTTGAAGCCACTGATCCAACCATGCTCGTGGAGGTCTTTGTAACTGTTCCGACGCCACTTGCTACCGATCCAACAGTATGCCCAACAGAGTCAACCACATCTCCAGCAATATGAATTGCCGATTGTGACAACCGTTTTGGATTTAAATGATGATGTTTGTGGACTGTTTCAGAATTATGTTGACTTGATGTTGCTTCGGGAGAGTTTTTTTCAGCAGCTGCTTTCAATTCCTTTAATCGCTCTTCCTCCTCTTGCTTTCTCCAAATTTCTCTCATTCTTGCATCTCTTCTTTGTTTTTGTTCGAAATGTTTTGGATTTTTAATCTTAACCCTTGTTCCCTTGTCAATAATATCTAAAAGTGAGTAATGAGGATTTGCATAAAGGAATTCATCAATATCCATATTATTTCGCAATGCAACAGCTGCAACAGTGACATTATCTCGGTCTATGATCGTGTCAATAAAGGGTGGCTCTGTGGGTGAAGGAGGTTCCTCTTTGGATGATGATGGTTGCTGTTTTGAATCATTGGAACCAATAATATTCATTTCTTTATCCATAATTACATTATTATCATTGATGACTTGTGTTGTAGTACTTGTTGGATCATCATCATGTTGTTTCATTTCGTGCATTATTTCTTGTCCAATCACAACAAATCCATCATGCTCCCGTGTGTTTGGTGGCGTGCTCATTTTTATTAATCAGTTGAATTTTATTATTAATAAATTTGGTCGTGTGCGAAGCTAGAAACTCATATTGGAAGCTGAAAAATCTATCACAGATTTGTAATAGCCTTGCTATGCATGGCTAATTCCATTTCTAAATATCGTAGTTTTTTTTCATCAATGAAGGATTGTTTTTTCCAAGCAATGAGATAGGTATTGAGGACATATTGCGATTCCATCTCATGCATGCTTTGAAATGTTATACTTTTAAAATCCAATTCATTTTCAAACATGGAAATGTAATCTTCCGCGTATCTAATGTAATCGATTGCATTATTCAACATGTGATAAGGTCCTTTCATTAGAAGTGCTCCTCTGTCATGTTCTTTAGAGTGGATCATTGTCAGTTTCATTCTCGAAACAATTTCTTTTAAATTTGTAACTACACTAAAAACTGAATAAAAATCATGAGGGAAGTTGATAACATGCAATTTCATAACGTACAATCTTGAATAGAGTTCAGTAGATTTTCATGGGTTTGTTTCACTATAAAAGTTTTAAATTCATTTAGAGTAATAGTTTTTAAATTGCATCAACTTACATTTCCGTGTCAATGACAGGTCCATCAAGGTGCTGTTACTAGAGAATGCTTGTTCAAATTCAATGATTGCGCTCGGAGTTTGTTGATTTAACAATTGAACAAGTTGTATGTATTCCGAGAAATGCTCACATGATTTATCATGAATGTTGTTCCAATCCTTTACTTTTTCCATAAACTCTTTATGAAATATCTCTTTTAATTGAATTAGGGTGCTGTTTTTGTTAGTGTTTTGTTTTCGGAAGGAGTGGAGTTTGAAAGTTGTGTTCGGAAAGAGAATGGTTTCGAAGTCATTTTTTGAATTGGAATCGAGGAGCAAGTGACATCATCAGCATTCGAAAAAAAATATTCAAAGGAAAAAGCAACATCAAACAAAATGGGCTCTTCTGATTCTAAACTTCAATTCAAGACCATGTTTTCCAAGCTGGGAGAAAATTATATAAAACATAATGACCACAATTTTTGGAAGATGTTGTTCATTCAGCCTCTTTCCATTGATGATATTTTCACAGTGATTTCTCCGGACGATATTCGCTCGTTAAGAAAGGTACAGCCAGCAAATCTTGGAACGATCATTTATAAGGTAAGCTTTGGAAATCAATTTAAAATTCACTTAATGATTTACATTTCGGGCCTTCATTTATTCAATGATATAATTTGATGATTTAATATCGTGATTAGTGTATTGAACAACTCTTCCTCTTTTCTCAACCCAAAAACTTCTTCTCTGAAAGCACTAGTGCCAAAAACTCGCTTCATCTCCTCACCAGAATTTTACCTTTTGTTTTTGAGCATGATGATGATGGTTTTGTGAGTGATCTATTCTTCAATAATGTGTTACCAGGTTCAGCCAATTTGTTATCTGTTGTTGGTGGAGCAACAAGCAGCAACCAACAAGTGATTGAACAAGAAGAAACATCCACCAATAACACTGAACAAGCTTCATCCACCGAAGAGCCTGCAACAACAACAACAGCATCGGATCAAAAAACTGAAACACAAACGCAACAATCAACATCTGTTTCTTCCGAACAAATTGAACAAGTCAAACAAGAAATTGATCAACTAAAACAAAAGGTGGAAGAAAAATTAGAAAATAATAATTCAAATACTCCCTCTGAACCTGCCAAAAAGGATGAACCTCCAGTGGAGCCAGTAAAGGAAGCTCCCAAAGTTGAGGAACCTAAAGAAACTCCAAAGCCTGTTGCTGAATCAAGCTCAGGTAAAAAGAAGAAGAAAAAGAATAAGAAAAAGAAAGGAGTCAAAGAAGAAGAAAAGACTGTAGAAACCTCTGTATCCTCAACAGTTGCTGAATCGAATGCTGAAGAACAATCAGAGACTAATGAGGATGCTTCTACTGAAGTAACATTGTCAGAATCTCCTGCAACTGTTGGTGATGAGCAATCAACAATTTCTCAACAAGAACCTCAACAAATAGTAGAGCAAGAGGAGAAGATAGAAGAACAGCCAGTTGAACAGACTCAAGCTGTCTCTGCAGAGACAACAAACAATGAAGCTTCTGTATCCGATGAGAAAAAACCTTTACCAATTTTGAAAATTGCTGACATGAATTTGACTTCTTCTCTTGCTGAAGTAATGTTGCAAACGTTAATGAGATGCTTATTCCTTCCTGATTTCACAGTTCCTTTAGGTCAATTCAATGAAGATAATTATATTTCATTGAAATCAGATTCCTTGGATGAAAACGTTTTATGGCAAGTTGGTATGGGTGTTCCCCTTACTAAAGGCCTTCGTTCAGCATCTTGGGAGCAAATGGAAAACAGAAACGATATTTTGAGATGCCTATTGACATGCTTCTCAAGCGTTCTATATCGTGATGCCGAGACATGTAGCGAATATGACAACAAGTTCCTATCATTAGCTGTCTCTGATAGAATGCCACATGTTCATAACTTGGTGTACTCTCTGTTGAACTTTGTTACTGCATATGATCCAAGAGGATCACTTCCATATTCTTCTCAACTTTTCACTGACCACTATACTCAGTATATTGAAACATCATTGCATGTCTTGTCTGTGTTGTTACAACACAAACCAAAGGGATATGCTAACGTTTATCACACATTTTTCCAGCAATTTAGACACACATTGGACATGACTCACCTATACAGTAAGATGACATTACTTCTTAGAAACGTTGTTGACTCACATAACACCTATCTACCTAGCTCACAAAAACTGATCGAGTTCTATGAGGAAGTCTTACTTCTTTTGTGGCTTATCCTTGGAGAAGCTCCAATTTTCAGAACATTTGTATGCAAGGAATTGAACATCACTGAGCTACTCATTCCACTTCTTTTCATTATTCAACTTCACTGCAAACAAGTCACAAAGTTTCCAATTGTACAATTGGCTGCTTTCACAATTTTGCTATTGAGTGGAAACAGAGAATTCGGAGTTGCTCTCAATCATCCATACAAAATTTCAACTCCTTTGGATGTACCTGTTTTTGAAGGCAATTTTGCTGATTTACTGATTTTGTTCTTCAACAAGATTATGGTCAGTGATAAGGGAATTATTCGTGGATTGTATGATTGCATGCTAACAATCATTGCAAATATTTCTCCGTACACAAAGTCACTAAGCATGCTCTCAAGCGTAAAGTTGCTAAACTTATTTGAGGCATTTGCATCACCAAGATTCCTTTACTCGAGTGAAAAGAACCACCAATTTGTCGCTCTGTTACTTGAAGTTTTTAATAACATTATTCAATATCAATATGAAGGAAATGTCCATGTCATTTACTCAATTTTGAGAAGAGGAAAATTATTCAAGGATCTCACTCAAGATCCCGATTTAGAACCAATCAAAGCAGCAATTATGAAGAAACATGAAGGCAAACAAGGAGCCGAACAACCATTCATACCAACTCACGAATGGGTACAATCATGGAGACCAAAACTACCACTTTACACAATCACAACTCTTATTGATACACTTACTCCTGACGTTGAAAAGATCTGCTCACAGGAATATGCACTGAAGAGGATGTTATTGTGTATCTCAAAAACACAACTCTTGTTGGTTTATTGCCAGTGCCTCATACCATCATAATCAGAACATTCCAAGGAAACTCGAAAATAGATACATTCATAATCACTTTTATTTGGGGATGTATTTATGTGAAAATGAGTACACGTGTTCCTTGGGTGGACGCAAAAGCCATTAAGCTATTCAGAATTAATACTGTTCCAGTTCAATAAAGTTTCATCACCTCGATTGTTTAACAATTTTCTTAAAAATGTAACCAAAATCATTTGAGTTTAATGTAAATAACTGCCAGAATCAGCACAACAAGAGCCAAAATGTAGAGAAGGTACGTCAAAATGGAGGTTGAAATCTTTTTGTTGGCATTCAGATGTTGCACAGAAATTGAGCGGTCAATGGATCCACTACACACGTGAACATGTTGTTTTTTCTTTTTGAGGCTTGTGTCCTTTTGTTTTTGATAAGGATCTTTGCAAATGTCAATGCAAGTAATGGCTTCACTGTGAATATTCAGCTTTTTTCCAATATGCTTTCCTTCCTTGTACAATTGAATTCCTCCATCCACTCCAAATGAAATGTATTCCTTGCCATCATCTCCAATCAGTACAGAAAAAGCAGTTGCAGGTCTTTTCATGAACTCTCTTGTTGATTTTAGTGTGACAATTCCATTCTCAATTTTAAAATTCGACACAAAGGTTGGACTTGATCTAGAGGTATGCAATGTGTAGAAAAGTAGCTCATTTGGGTTATTATTCTTTGGAAACAAGCAATGTTTCACGTCCTGCTTGGGATATTGTGTAATATTGGGAATGTTACTTGAGAAAACCTCTTCATAATGCCTGTCCTTGTTCATTCTTAGAATTCTTATAGCTTTATCCTCTGAAACAATTCCAAGAGTGTTGTTTTCATCGTTGGCTAATGTTAAATCACTCATATTCTTTTTAGTCACATTTTTCATTTCAAAGATACATTCTAACTGATCGTTCTCGATGTGAAATACATGTAGAGTATTGTTGTCATCATTAGCTACAACAAAACCATTAGAGTTAATATCACAAATTTTCTTTCCTAACTCCTCACTGCTGCTAAATAATGGTTTCGAGTCCAATGCTGTGAAATTCTTTTCTTTAAAATCGTATTTCAGTAAATGTAATTTATCTAGAGAGGTAAACACAACGAATGGAGTATTGTTCACCATCTCAAATTTTAAATTCCACACAACTTCACCTTCAGTGCAATGGTCACACTCTACTGTTAATGCCTTATCACTATTCTCTTCGTAGTTGAATTTCATTACCATAATTTTGTTTGGAATTCCATGTCCTCCTCCACCACCAACAATGACTCGACTGAAATCCAATCCAAAAAACAGTGTGGCATATACTACAAATTCACAAGGTACAATCATTCCTTGATTTTTTGCTTCGGAAGCCCTTTCGTTTTTGTTGACCCGATCGCTTGTTGATGAAGAAGGACTAGATATTTCACTCTTTGCTTGTTGAGTGTTTGAGTTGGAATTTGTGATTATTTGATCGTCCGAATTGGTCTGCTCGTTGAGATGATCATCATGAGCAAGAGAACTCTCGGAGGTTGTGCTCATTTTTTTTCAAGCTGAATTTCGGAAGCTTCAGCACTGACGTCATTGCTGTAATGTCACTAGAATTGAGAGTTACAATACAGTGGTGATGGTTTGAAAACCCAAGTGTTTTGAAACAGCAAGCCTTTCGATGAGAAATTCCATCCCGTTGTAGCGGTTTCATGGTTGTTGGAGAGCAATGAAAAAAATATTTTCAGATGAATCCAAAGCATTCTCCTCGATCCACAATTTCAACCCCGTCATCGACTAAGGGATCACAGCTCTACAAAACATCACGATCTGGATACGAGAGAAAGGGGACTAAGATAGTATCCAGCGTTACGGGAGTGAGCTATACATCCCCAGCCTCGTTATTGATGAGGGAGGTTAAAACTGCAAAAATAGCGGAAGGCGTTTCCAAGCGTATGAGCTCTCACAAGCCTATTAATTCCTCGCAAGTAGTTCATCAAATTATACAAAACTCCAAGGTGGGAGATGCTGTTTCTGCAAAGGAGGAATCGCCATTTCCTTCTTATGATGTACATATTCGACCAACAACAAGTAAGGTTCCTCATCCATTCTCTTCAACAAGCAATGAATTTTTCGTACACAACAAACAAATCATTGAGAATGCTTCTCCGATATATAATAGGAACCTGATCAAAGAATATAGCGTGCCTCAAATATCCTTAAAAATGAAAGAGATTTTAGTACCAGTGTCAGGACATGTTTCTTCGTCTGAGTCCGTTTCCGAATCATTGCAACATCTTCAGATCAAACCATCCTATAACGGGGCAAAGAGTGAACAGGTTCTTGATGTTGGTTTCAACAGCCAACAAATTGATGAGCAGAAAGATGGTAAAGAAGATAACATAATATTTTTTGAAGAATGTTGTGAAAGCAAGGCTGTGATAAATTCACAAATTGGGGATAACATTGTTGACAGGACTCCACCAAAGAATGAATCAAAAACCAAAGCACCACAGACTGCATCTCCTTGCTGTAAGTTAAACGCCTCGTTCAGGTCTAGAGTTGTTGATGAATGGCAGACTTTAATTGTAAGTGTTAATCCCCTTTTTAAATTTTCTCTAACAGTATTTCAAAGAACATGCCTGAAGCAAATTTGGACAATTTTGAAAAAGTGGAGGACGAAATTTCAGAAGAAACCTACGATGAACAAACAAGAAGAAGCAGCAATCACGTGAAACAAATGCTGTCTCAACACCGACGTTCTCTCTCACAAAGAGAAGCAAACAGCAGAGAAAGAAAGAAGCTTCTGCATGGATTTACATTAGAAGAAATTCAGCGAGTCACAAACGAAATTTGCAAACCACTGGTAGAAACTGAGTAACGAGTCATCTTTCGCTGGCAAATAAAAAAATGTCATTCATACGCAAACTGTTCAGCAGCGTAAGCGATCAATGTATGTATTCTTGGTTTGGTGGACAACAACGATCATCATTTGATTCCGAATTTTCTTTTGCCAGCTCACAATTTGGGAGATGACCAAGATGATGATGCCGCAGCACAAAATAACAATACAACTCAGAACAATAGTAATAACGGCAAATCTGTCTTCTCTAGTCATAACACTGAAACATTTAAATCAACGGCATCCAATGAACATTCTGGAGCGCGATCCAACAATGGTGAAGCAACTACATCTGGTGATGATTCATACGATAATACATCACGAAATTACGACACTCTCACCTTTGCTGACGATCAATTAAACCGAGATTTAACAGAAAACGTATCTGAAGATGTTGCTTCGTACCATCGATCAACTATCTCTCATAGAAGCGCTATTCCAAAATTTCCCGATAACAAACTCACTGATGAAGAGAAGAAATACGTTGCGTTTTGTGTTGAGAAGTTGAAAAAAGTAGAAGGTGTTGACTCGAAGAAAATTCAAACAATTGCTCAAAATTGTGTTCTTCATGATCGATTTAAGTACAAATTCTTCAATCCGGCAACTGAAATGGATCAAGATATTGGCTTTGGTGGAATGGGAGCAACAAACAAACGTACCAAAACTGGACTCCGAATCAAGTTTGTTCTCACTGAGTTGGATCAATCGACTCATATGAGAGCGTTAAGACGTATTGGACATACTTTCAACTTCACTGGAGATTCACAATTTGGAATGTTTCACACTGCCCTTATTGTAGGAAATTGGTATGTCGAATGGAACGACAATTCTCTGGCTATTGTCAGAAAGAACTCTTCATCAAAGGCTGTTTTTGCTTTTGATCTTGTTATTATTACTAAGGAATCTGATATTCATCGTTGCTTGGATGTTATTGCAAAAGAATGTTGTAGATGGAATGGATCAGTGATGTATGAAAATCGAAAGGCAAATTGTCAACACTGTATGTATCTCAAATGTTGTCTATTTGATGACAATTTACTCTATGATTTTAACTCATAACAGTTACTCAGGCTGTTTTGGAGAAAATTGGTATTGATTTTGAAAGCAAACTAAAAGGAGCAGCTAAGAACTACATTGAAAGACTCAAAAAATATGGCGTTTGTGACATGACCATTGACTTGACTGACAAGCTAAAACCGCTATTTAAAAATGTACAATCTGTAACGTTCAAGACACATGCCGAGTTAGACACGTTTTATAATACTATCAAAGATGCTCTACCTAGCTATTTTGACGTGGACGAGGGAAAGAGTGACGAAATTTTATTGAAATCATTTGATAGAGCTTTTTGGCTGAGAAAAGAATCGTCAAAAGCTTCTGCTGACGACGAACCATTAAGAGGAAGTGATAATTGCTGCCTGTGTCCCTTCAACCAATACGAAGACGTATTTAAGGTTTATCTCGAAAAGAATTCTGTCAACAGCAAGTACAGCCTTGGAAATTATCTTCCTGAAATTCCAAACAGATAAACGTGAAACTGACAAGCACACTTTGTTCAACTCTGAATTTCGTATGTAGCTCTTTCTGTGCTTCATTGTAAACTCTCGAATTGAGTTGACCATTTTTTGAAAAAATTTGTTGAAAAAAATACACTAATTGTAAGTAGCCTACTTCGCCTCTTGCTTCATTTTTACTTCAACAAAATCGTGTTACCCATACAGAACATTCACCATGAGTAAGCTTTCAAGTGACGAGCTTAGGGAATCCGTTGTCAAGGTATTGAGTGAGAAGGACAAAAGAAAGTTCACCCAAACCGTTGATCTCCAAATCAAATTGAAGAACTATGATCCATCCAAGGATAAGCGTTTCAACGGTTCTTTGAAGTTGCCAAACTATGTCAAGGAAAATTTGAAGGTCTGCATCTTGGGAGACCACAATCACTGTGAAAAGGCAAAGGAACTCGGAATCCCATTCAGAACAGTCGATGATTTGAAGAACACCAACAAGAACAAGAAGATTGTCAAGAAGTTGGCTGACTCTTATGATGCTTTCTTGGCTTCTGACTCATTGATTAAGAGAATTCCAAGATTGTTGGGTCCTGGTTTGTCCAAGGCCGGTAAGTTCCCTCTCGTCTTGGCTCAAAACGATGATATCCCATCCAAGATTGAGGAATTGAAGAAGACTGTCAAGTTCCAATTGAAGAAGGAAATTAACTTGGCATCTGCTATTGGTAACGTCAAGATGAGCGAAGATGAAATTCAACAAAACGTTACAATTGCAATGAACTTCTTCGTTTCATTGTTGAAGAAGAACTGGCAAAACGTTGGTTCAGTAACTATTAAGCCAACTATGGGTAAGCCACAAAAGATTTATCCATAAACTTGATATCTTGACCCTCCCACCACCAATGCTCCATGTTTCAAGACTGAAAGGTCTACGTGGATGACGTTGGAAGTCACTGCCTCAATAAATATAAACTTCAACAAGATCGGTTCCTTCTTGTACCTCTCTGAGTTAAGTGGGATGTCGTCAAGGGCAGCCCAAAGTCTGAGTGAACATGTGCCATCTAAAAATAACGTCATTTCTCAGAGAAATTCCAGAAATTAAAAAATGTCTCAATCACTTTCCGATAAAAGAAGAGCCCTCATCATTGTCGATGTGCAGAACGATTTTTGCGAAGGAGGCAGTCTATCAGTAAAACATGCTGATGAAGTGGTACCGGTTTTTAACAGGTTGAGAGATCAAGTACACTGGGATTTGATTGTGTTGACACAAGATTTTCATCCCCAAAAACATATCAGCTTTGCATCGACTCATAACATGGAGGCGTTTTCTTCGAAAATATTGGATGATGGAATAACACAAACTATGTGGCCAGATCACTGTGTTCAGGGAACCAATGGGGCTCAATTTCATCCTGATTTGATTGTGTCAAACAGTGACGAAATTGTGCAAAAAGGTTGTAATTCTTTAATAGACTCCTACAGCGGATTTTTTGATAATGCCAAAAAGAACAAAACATCTCTCGATGACATTTTGAAGAAAAATAATATTACTCAAACTTACATTGGAGGAATTGCTTTAGACGTTTGTGTGAAATTTACTGCATTGGATTCGATTCAGTTGGGCTATGAGACATTCCTCATTCAAGATGCCAGCCGAGGATTGTCTTCAGAGTCTGTAGAAAAAGCTCTGGATGAACTTCGTAACAATCATGTTAAAATTGTGAACAGCCAAGACATTTTGTAACTTAAATTATTTTAGTAATATTTCAATATCTTCAAGCTCTGTTGGTTTCCTTCTTGACCTTGAAAATTCTAACGATGAAATGTTCAGAAGAGAATGCTTCCTCCAAGTGTTCTAATTCAAAGTTTTTGTTACCAATTTCTACACCACGTACTCTGTCATATCCAGTTGGTCTTTGATATTCAGTCATCATTTCTCCAAACTTGTAGTAACTCAATTTATACATTAATGAATTGAGCATTGTTTGACTTCCTCCTGCATCAATTCTGTATTCTCCTCGTGGCGACAAATAATCTGGTTCCTTAATTTCAGGATAAACACTTCCACCAATACGGACCATCCACAAGAATTTGTTAATATCGTCTGATGCATAACCTGTCACTCCTCCGAAAATAACCAACACATAGTCAACATCCAAAGCTCTCATAATCTTGTAGGCTTTTGCTTCATTAGAGGCCATTGCTCTGCCAACTGTTGCAATGTGTGTATTATTCCAGGTATTATTGTCTACTAATACAGTTCTATTTGCCATTGCAGTTAATTGATAACCATAGTCCCACCATGACATCACCTTGGCATCAGGTTTAGTGTTTTCACTCAACCAGTAATAAGCTTCTCTAAAATCATCGAAGATGATTCTTCTTCCTCCAGCACCACGAGCAGCTAACACAATAGAGGGAGATGAGTAAGCTTCAGAAGTTACCCAAACACAGTGAACGACATAGAATACCAAAAGGAATAACATGGAAATAAGCATAACAAGGCAATCTCTCGTGGAAGTTGACTCTGAGTCTTTTCAGTGGAACTTGAAGCTTGTGGTTTCTTCTTTTGTTCGCTAGGTGAACTTGTTGATTCTGTTTTTGAAGGTTTAGCTTTAAGAGCACGGATATAAGTTTTGAGAGTTTTAGAAATACCAATTCCAGATAAAACACAGGCAGCAGGAGCAAGAACAAGAATCAAACGAACCATGACACCAGCAAAGTATACACTAAACATGCCATATAAAATAATAAAGATTGAGGCATCTGTCAAGTCACGGAAACAAAAGTATAATCCAACAGGGAATAGAAGTGCCAAAATGTGCAAGTCAAAGAAGAAGCTTGCCCAAGTGGTAGGTTGATGTTCTGATACAGAGGCAATAATTGGAATGTGCTTCTTAGCATAGGTTGGATCTAACATGGCATAAAATCTACCAGTCCATGGAGCAATATATCCTGTGGCGCTTCCAATCAGAATGGCAACAACAGCAGTTAATGTAAATGTTGAGACAACAAATCTAAACAATCTTTGGAACATTTTTGCATCAAGTAAAGATCTAATCCAATTCACAAAGTTCACAAGTTGAAGTAAAGCAAACACACCCATTGCACCTAAATGTTCGCTTGTTTGAACAGCTTGGAAATTGACAAATCTCACTTGCATAGACAAGAGTGTACCTAAAATATAGAACGAGCTGTAAGCCACATACAATCGATGAGAGAATCTACCAGTGACAAGCAATACCAAAACGTAGACTGGAATCAAGTTAATGATGAAAACGTAACCTCCCCAAGCGTTGACCATGTAGAAATAGGACAAGCAAGCAATTGCACTCCAGAATAGAGATCCAGTTCTTACACTCTTAACAAACAAATAAAAAGTGCAAATCAATGCGAAAATAGCTACACCTTCGTTATCAAATGATCCAGCAACGGAACGAGAAATGTATCCGGGAACGATGGCAATCAAAATCGAAGAGGTCAAGGCTGCGCTCGGACCAGCAATTTCATTTGTAAAGGCATATGTAATCATGGCCGTGTTGGAAGCAAAGAAAGGAGAGGTGAGAACACAAACGTTTCTCAAATCCACGGTAAAGTTGATGGCTCTCAAAATCCAATACATGAAAGCTGCTGTAATTTGGATTCCTGGATACACTGTACCTCCTACAACACGTCCAATAGGATACCAAGAAAAATCATCAAACCAATTGTAGAAATCATACCATCCGTAATCTACCAAGTATTTAGCGGAACGGAAATTGAAATATGGATCAAATTCGTGAATGACACTCTCATATCTGAAGACTGAAAAAAGCCTAACACAGAAAGCCAACACGTAGATGGCTGCGAGGATTGTAATACGCAGCAAGACTTCCTTCTTACGTGTTGGAATGAAAAAGAGTTGAGAGAGCATTTTTTTGTTGGCTTGTGGTGTGTTGAATTGAACAAGAGTCGATTGGGTTTGGTCAACTCTTTTTCATTCGCCAACACGGCTATTGTTTGCACATGTGGCTTTGACTTGTATTAAATGAAATCTAGTAAAGAACGAAAATGGTGAAGAATATAAATGTTTGCAACAACATTACGACAGTATATTCTTCTGTTGAATGTCATAGGATTTGTCTTTCCAGAAAGGTGATATTGTTAAGAGAAATGAAACACACGATCACGATGTTTCTATTCAACTCTAATAATAGAGAAAACGTGTTTCACACTCGAGATCATTTACTTGGTCTCTAATTGATCTTTGAAATATTTAAGGATAGCTCCAAAATCTTTTTGTCCTAACCCATTGGTGGAAGCTTGCTTGTACAATTGCTCAACCATTTGTCCCATGGCCAAATCATATCCAATATTCTTTGCAGCTCCATTCACTAATCCAAGATCTTTCAACATTAAATTGACAGCAAATCCGCCTTCATAATTTCTACTGCTTGGAACATTCTCCATTACACCAGGATAAGGATTATAGGAAGTGACTGACCAACATTGAGCAGTAGAAGTTCCAAAGATTTGACTCAAAACTTTTGGATCCATTCCCAATTGTGTTCCTAATACTAAAGCTTCACTCACTCCAGCCATGGAAATAGCCAAAACCAAGTTGTTACATAATTTGGCAACTTGTCCCATTCCAACTTTGTCACCACACAAAACAATGGATTTACCCATCTTGGAAAGTAAAGTCTTTGCAAATTCAAAATCAGTCTTATTATCAGTTCCTACCATGAAAGTAAGAGTAGCATTCTCAGCACCATTGACACCGCCACTCACAGGTGCATCCATAATACTAATGTTTAATTTCTGTTGTTCCATCAAATGTTGAATATCTTGGACTGTCTTTGGATCTACAGTGCTGCTGTCAATGCAAACAGTTCGGATGTTGGAATGGTCGGCCTTGGTAACACCATACTTTTCTTTGAGTGAAATCACTTCATTGTACACTTCAGTAACAATTTTTGGTGTTGGAAGCATGGTGATCACACAATCAGGGTTTTGTTGCATGATTTGGTCAATAGATTTGCAGGCTTTGATATTTGGTTGTTTTTTCAATGTCAAGTCAACATTGGAATCCATAACATCATAGGCATAGACATCAAATGCATTTACATCTGGTTTGAGAAGGTTTGGAGCCATTCTGTTGTTGTTGTTCGTGAAATTTAGAAATTCAATCATTTTCAAAGAGTTTTAAACCATGATGATGATGATCATCATGGCAATAATACATCAGAATGAAAATTTAGAAATTCATTTTCAATTGTATCATGAGATCAACAAGAAATCATTCAAGCCGATAAATAAATGATGATTTTGATGATTCATATTGCACCTTGGAATAGGGACATACCTTGCACCCATTTGTCCTAATCCAATAAAACCAACTTTCAACTTTTCTCTATGTTGATTCAATGAATAGGATTGATGGAATGATCTCATTGTTGATGATGATGATGAAACCAATCGATTGCTCTTCAAAGAAGCAACACCCGACACACAAGTCTTCTTGAACATTTTTTAAACAAATTGTGAGAAATTTAAATTGAATTTAAAAGTTTGGACAGTGAGTCAAACCTCCCGCTCGTTTAACGACTTGTTTAAAAAAATCAAAAAAAACTCAACATGACATCGTTAGATTTTGCTGCGAGCAATCATAATTTAGGTTCGAATGGGTTATCATCTTTCGATTTCGATGCAACACCAACAAATTCCGTCTCGAATCATGTTTTCGGAAACTCTACATCGACTTCGACCGCAGCTCCATCCTCGACGATATCGTCTTTGGCAGATACTACCACCTTCGAAGACACTCTCTATTCACTCATTTCTGAAAAAGAGGGTAACAAGTACTATAAAGGATTCAGACGAACTCATAAATCACAAAATGGCCAAATATTGAGAGAACAAATGTTTTGGGTTGGAGATTTTATTCAATTTTCCATTGTTGGCAATCCAAATGAGCCAGCAAGCATTCACGAAGGTCGAATTTCAAGTATTTATACATGTACTTTATTCCCAAATATCAAAAAGTGTAAAGTACAAATGCTCCATACTCAACCACAAGTCAAGTCAGAAATGGGTGTGATTGGAAGTGATTCTTTATCCATTAAGGAAAACTCAGCAAGACGATTTATGACTAATTTAGAAGGTGAAATATTTCTTCATACCATTACTGGAAGAGTATTCGTTGTAAGAGATGCTAAAGAATTGAAAGAACGATGTGGTTTTTATGTGAAAGATGATCCTCATGTGAATACGATTGATCAAGATTGTTACACAAGTCAATTATTCAGCAACAGCAATAATAACAACAACTCTGTAAAGAATGATCATCCAATGTCATCATCATTGACGTCTCATTCCAATACGAATGGTACAACTCTCCTTCGACCACAAGTATCCATTCCAGATTCTACTCATTTGACCTTTTCATGGACCATGAAAGATTTCAAAACACCTTCAACCTCACTCTACAATTATTACACGTCATGTGTGATTGGAGAGAATTATAATCATGGAGTGGTCATGCTCTCAGTTGGAAATGTTTGTACTTTGGAATTAAGATCAAATTCTCAACAAGGGACATCTTGCATCATTGCTCCTTCATCATTACAAACCAATCAAACAGTTCATATGACGAATGGTTCCAAAATGATCTTGATGGGACGTATTTCGAAAATGTTTGAAGAGAAATCTTCATTACAACACAAGTATTTTGCAATTGAGGAAATTCAAGTGAATACTTCCAATCGAAAAACATCAATCATGAGTTATACGGGTTGTGTCAAGACAGTTTCCATTCATGATATCATCTCTGTCAAGAAACAATTATAATACAAGGCTTGAATCATTGTGTAATAATTATTGTACTGTGAACATGTTTTTTTCAAGAATTTAATATTGAACAATTGTCTCTTATCAATAATAACAAAAAATAATGTTGAACAAAGGCTCGTCGATCGCAGGTCTTTCTCGCCTTCTCCTGAATTCTCATGTTGGGAAAGGTGCTACGACTACTGCTGCCTTTATCCACTATGAATCTGTTGTAGCATTTGGAAGTAACTATTGGAGTCATCGGATGATGAATGGAATATTTAGCGTCCGAGAAGAGAAATTCCAACAATTGCACCCGTTTTCAATGAACATCAAGCATTGCAATATTCCGAAATCAACGTTGCCTCCTCCTCCTGCTAGCAATATTGTGGACATATCCTCTTTGGACGTCCATACATTATTTGAATATATTCATCATCAAAATTATTCAAATCTTTTGGCTGAACACTCTGGTGCTGTAATGAATGTTTTTGCAAATACACTAACAGAAGCAGAAAAGAACCAACAAATAGTCACTTCGGATTTAATGAGTAAATCATTTCATGTCAGCAAGGAGATTTTGAATCGATTGAAAAACATGAATGACGAACATTCGAAATCAATTGTTTCTCAAACTCATATATTCCTATTTAAATTATCAATTTTAGGAAAAGCAGTATCAATAATTGAAAAACAATACAAACACATCAAGCAAATCAAAGGTGCTCTTCAAACAGCTTTAAAGGGACTAGAAAATGAAATTTATGTTCGGCAATTATACGACATTTGCTCAGAAAATAGAACTCAATTGTATAATTTGGGAGTATCTATATACAGAGACGTGTTAGCTCAAAGACCAACTAGTTTGTTTACTAAAAGTCTATTCGAAGCAATATTTCAATTTATGGAAAAAGAAACCATGTACGAGGATATCAAGCCGGTACTAGAACGACTTTATCACAGCGACGTTACTCCTACTCTGAAAATGTATAGCAGTATTTGCTCTAATCTCTATTATAACAGGACTTCTAAACTAATCTATCCATTTCTAACTCTTGTCAAGGACACTTTTGGTGAAGGATTGTTTACACCTGACGTTTGGAATAAGTATTCCAGAAATATGTATGCATATGCCTTTTCTCTTGATGTAGACACACTACCAACCAATTTAGTGAAAAATCTTTCCACACTTTTAGAAGACACTAAAAACGTTGACACACTATTCTTCTATGAGCATCCAATGGTTTTCAAAAGCATTGTGAACGCTATGAAGATATTGAACTATGATGATTTGTTGCCATTTCTTTTTTGTAAGATTTTACAATCTGGAAATTTAAATCAAACGTTTATTAGATTGCTCTTGGAATATTTAGATCAAGATTTACACATTTTCTCTAACAAGATCAAATTTGGCATTCCAGAGCTTGATGCAAAATATTTTGACATTTTTGAAATGGCTACCAATCTTGTTCACATGAGCAATTTAACAGAAGTTGTTGAAATTCAAAATTACTTGTTGAAATATTGCCTGAGGGAAGGACGGTTAGACAAGGTAGACGCGATTTATCATCACATTGAGAGGCTCAACGCTGAAACTTTAGTTCTCATGTTTAACATTTATGAAAAGACTGGAAACTTTGTCGATGCAAATCTGTTAATGAGAAGAGCCAGAACCGAAGAGTTCACCTTTACAAAGGAAGTTGTTGCAGCATATTTTAAATCGATGATAGCAGCAAAAAGAGATTGTCTAGATGAATTTATTTCATTTACTCATCTCTATACCTTTGTGAGATTAGGTGATCCTGTTTTTCAATTTATTTTCAACGAACTCAATAATATTAAGAAAGGACTAGTGAAAGAAACAGATAATAAGGTTAAATCTGTGTTGGAAGATTAACTTTACTTTCTCGTTTTGTTGACATGAAATATGCTAAATCTATGCAAATTCTCTTTCCCAAATAAATTATAATGTTGAACTCTCAATAAGAGCAATTTCACAATGATTTCAACAATATCAACCAAATCTTGTTCAATTTGAGGTTTAAAGTCTACAAATGTTGAAATGTCATGTTCCGAACAATATGCTTCAATTTCAGAGTGAGGAATGTAATCAGTGCAACATTCATTGACTTTTTCTTTCAAACTATTCATTCCTGGTACATGGGCCAATATGGTCCAGTTTACTGCCATGAGAAGAATGTGTTGTTGTGAATTTCCAAAGTTTGAAATTAGCACAGATTTCATCATTTCCCAAGATTTTCTAGAGAGTTTGTTAAAGAGTCCAACATGACAATCAGTGACATTAATGAAGCAATTTCTAATTAATGTTTCGTACTCAAAACTCTGGCTGTACAATACAGATAGAGTGAGATGTTTCACTAACGCAATACTCTTTGTACCTTCATGAAGAGGATCTTCGTATTCGAATGGAACATTGCCTTGATCATAGTTATAAAATACAGATGGAATATACTCATAGGGAAATGACTTGTCCTGATAAGTACATAGAATGGCATTGGCAATTGCTTTTTCTGACTCCATAAAAAGAATAAATAATCTGGGAGAGACCACTTCTCCATTTTTGGGAATTTTCAATTTGTGAAATTCCTTTTCATTAATCATTGCAAGATAAATTCTTTTAAATCCATTTCTCATTTCTGCTAAATAATTCTTGTAAATATTAATCACAAAATGTTTAAAGGTTGTCTCTATTTTCTTGTGACCTTTAATACCTTGTCAATTTCATTTTCATAATACAGTTTCATTACATTCTTATCGTGCTGATTTTTGCAACATTTCACAATATACTTTTTACAATAGGTCAATTGAATTCTCTTCCAAAATTGAATATCATCTAAATTAGAGACACAATTTTGAAACTTTTTGCTCACTCTTGACATTTTGATTATCGACATGGGTTCCAAGAATTGGAAAATGCCATATTGCCACACTTCATCAGGAATAATTTTCAAAAATTTCGGAATGAGAATTTGCAATGATCAAAGGATGATGAATATTGCCTTCGGATTGCAAAGATTGAAGAAAAAACGGAACATGCATGTGAATGGATGAGACAGCAACATCATTTTCCGCTGTAGTAGAGTTGATATTAGAGAAATTGCAGAGCACTGTTTCTGATTCGTGATGTTGTTGCCGAGAGGAAAACAGGGTATCGATCAAGGACCGAGATTTCTTTTTGCGTGTTGAGATCTCTTGTTTCATTTTTCTTGTGAGAATTGGCACGAGGCAGTTTGAGTTGTTATGACATGAATCTAGAACTACAAGACAATATGATCCATTTGAAACAACAAAACAGGTCTGTTTTTCTAAAAGTCGTGAAAAAAAGTTTATAGCAAAGCTAGGTTTCGATCCTAGGACCTGTGGGTTATGAGCCCACCGCGCTCCCCCTGCGCCACTTTGCTTTACATAAGACAAAGATAAACAAATTATAAAATTTTTTCATTCGATGGTTTTCGTCACAAACTTAACAAGTTGTTATGTTACAGTCACTCGCTCTGCTTTCCAACCAATATCCCAGTTGATCTCCTGCGTTCACAGGAAAAAATGGCTGAAGATGACTCTCCAGTTGTGATGGTTCTTGATTCTGTTCAATCGGCTCAAAACACGAGTTCTTACAAAAAGAGAAAAATAGAGGAAAAATCACTTCATGATGATGCTATTTTGACTTCGGGCGTTAACGATGAACAATTTGCATTCTGTACATCCATGCTCAAAGACAAGCTTCAAAAATTGATTGCACCAAAGCCTTTCTCTTTGGACTTTGCTTACGTAGCGACTTTAGGAACGTCTGGAGTGGAAGGCTCGTCCAATTCCAAACTCTCAAGTCCAATAGATGCCAAGATATCATACTTGCATAATGTGTTGCTCGTTACGGATCCCAATAATCTTCGAATTCAAGCCTTTGATTTGAGAACAAAATTGTACAAGCAAACCATCCGAACACACTCACCACCATGGTATATAGACATCGAAGTGGAATACGACGAGGATGGCTCCGAAGCAATCATCATGACCTGTGGTGACTATTGTGTATACAAGTATGATTTAGCAATGCTATTACAAACATCCCTGACTAGTAAGGAAAAAAAGGGAGCAACAGGCAAGTTTTTGTGGAAGACTGGAACAGTAAAACAGGAAAAAAATAATAGAGCTCAGGCTCTAGTCATCAAGTATGATTCAAATAGTGATGATGGAAATTTAGTTTATTTCTGCGATTCTGGGCATGGGAAAATTAAAGTATTGAGAGCTTGGGATGGCGTGGGTTTGAGAGAAATTTCACAAATTCCGTGTATTAGAAATTCCTTAGATTCTTCAACACAACAATTGGTCAAATTTCTTGCTCCATGTGGCATTGACATGCGACACGATGGCCAAAATAACGAGTTTATAGTGAGCGATATGGAAGCTAACATGATTTATTTCATACGTGAGATTGGTGAAGAATGGATTGTTACAAAAAGTTTATCTAAAGGATTGGGAGATTCTGCGATATTGAAAAATTTAGCTATCCAACAGGTCTATGGATTGATAAGAAGAATGGCAATATAATTATTTGTGATTATTTGAATGGTATGATGCAAGTATGTGATAAGGATGGCAATTTTATCAAGGCATTTGGTTCTCTTCGAAAATCATTTACAGTTTTTAACATTAATGAATTCTATTATCACACAGGAGTGTGTATCAACGAAATGTCAGGAGAGTTGATTATTGTAGACAGTTACAATCAGAGAGTCTTAATATTTCAGTAATACACCACTTCAGCGTTCTTATTTACCTTCAATTTGAAGATTTACAAAAAAAAAGGTAACCATTTCAAAAAAAATGAATCACAATATTCATCCCTCGCCAACAATTCAACAAGTGACCAATAGTATTTTTATGGCTTTACCGTCAACAAGCCAAAAGCCACAAGATGATAATATCAAAGAGGACCAACAATCTTCCAATTTTGAGGAGAGCATTGAAAGCTATCGGGAATTAATTAAAAAGCATGCATCACTCATGTCTTGAGTTTGGTGTTGCACAAGAATACTTCATTACTACCAACAACAACAACAGCAAGCAGTGATGATATTGTAAAACATACCATTCTTTCCTATGAATGTCTAGTAGCGCACACCAGCCAAGACACCATTGATGAATTCTTTGGTGGATGTAAGAAATTCTTTGTGGAAGCCTTTAAATATAAGAAAGAAGGACAACCATTCGGAATATTACTACGCTCGGATTATGATTTGAACATGAGTCCGAGTGTAGTTGCATTGGCTGTTTATTTGATTGAAGAAAAACGACTCACCGTGGATCAAAGTATTGAATTTATTCATTCACGATTGAGACCTGAACATTTGGAAGAGAGTACTCATGATTGGTTGTCTCCAATTTTTGTAGAACAATTAAGATTCTATGTCATGGAAAAGAAGGCTGATATTAATTATCAATATTTGTGTCAAATTTGTAGACATGTGCTATTTAAACAAGAAGATTTAATTGAACACGAGCCAACTGAAAAGAGAGGAAATAAGGATTTTGAATACAAAAAACTGAGAAAAGACTTAAAAAAAGGAATTTCCAAATCATCTAAATCTTGTACGTCTTTGTACGCACGAGATAAGATGGAATGGATGGGTACCATGGTTGGAGATGAAGGAAGATTGGATTGCCCTCAATGCGGCCACAGAGTTGGAGCGTACAAATGGAGTGGCAGTCAATGCTCGTGTGGAATTTGGGTCTGTCCTTCAATTCAAATTCAAATATCACGAGTAGACAAGAGATAATGCTTCACTCATGTGGTCATGCTTTATTGTACAAGGCATTCCGTAAGGGTGAATTTTTTGTTGTTGGAAAAATTGCTTCTTCGGCTAAAAGGAACGTGAGTTTGAGGACAGTGACCAATCCATACATCTCCATTGGAAGAAACTCCAGCTAGAATTTCATCATCCATCTCTAAACTCATGATACCACTGTACGGCATAAAATTGACTACCCTCCATGGGCAAGGAGTGCTATTATTTCCAGTCATAACCTCTGGCTTAATAAAGTCGTCAATGTTAGGAGCTTGTGACAAAGCATCACTAGTCATTGCCTGTGCCTTACTGTCAGTAGTCATGACTACAATACCCAACTTGGAACCACATACAATCTTTTGGCCATCCCACAACAATCCTCGAATGGCACCCAATCGGAAAAGATCCATGTCATAAATAACAGAAGGATCTGCTTTGCCTTCATTCGCAGGGGATGACAATGAAACCTTTCTGAAATCGATCAGCTGCACAAAACTGAAGTTTTTCAAGAGAGTAAACAATTCTTTGAAACAATGTAAACTAAAACCTACCCTCGATCTGTTCCTGTTAAAATAGTGTACTGTCCTGAAGAAGGATCGAAACATTGAGCATTAATCTCGTATAGATAAGAATCTGTATAAACAGATCCAATGAGAGATGACGATCTGGTGTCAAATATTTTCACGTATTTGTCTGCAGACGCAGTCATGAAAATGTCCACAACTTTTGCAATTGGATTGCAGTCAATGTCATAAATGGCGCTTCTATGTGTTGAGGTTCCATTCTTGTCGCATAAAATGGTTTGAACTTCTGATTGAGTATTGATATCAAATACTTTTGCAATTCCATCTGCACCTGCTGTCACAAAGTGTTTGTCATTGATGATTTTCACATTCCATATTCCATTTCTATGCTTGTGAGGAATACATCCTGAATTTTTAATAGCCTCTTCTGCACTATTTTCAGGATAATAATTAGTATAAAAAATATTTTCAGATGTTCCTCCAGTGAGTGCAAGATGTGGAATTCGATGATGTTGTGTTTCAATAAACCAAAGAAGACCTCTCTGTTCGTAAGTTTCTTTCCATTCATGTACATATTCAATGTTCGAAACTATATCAGCATTGTCTCCGAATATTGCATCGCTATTCAAGTGGATATTATAAAACTTTACAACATGAGAGCAAGTAGCCATGTGTAAAATGTTAGGATTCACCGTGGATCTCTGGAATGTGAAATTATTGTAACCAAAATTGGGGTTCGTAATTTCAGAGTCTTCGTCAAGCAGCTTAATTGTGTCCATATAATTGGTCATAAAATCACAGTCAAATGATTTTGATCGAATACTAAGGTCTTCTCTAGAATCAATACTCCTGTATCCTCTAAAATTATACCACCCCTTGTAAAGAACCAAATATTCATATTTAAATATTTCCAATAAACTTGTAGAACCAGTGCGTTCTTTTACTCTTCGTCGGATGATACTCTTTGCAATGGATGGGATTTCTAAATAAGACTTGTCATCATTTTCTTCCAGCATATGATGTGGATATTTAATAAATTTCTTCCAAATTATATCATTTCTATGACAATTATAAAAAGTAGTATTCACCAATGCAATATTCAAAATAATATCCTTCCAATCAAGATAGGAAAATATGAGAATTAAAACATCTTCGGGAACATCGCTCACTCGATCCATTGAAACATTTCCGAGAATAAATGGCGTAGGAACATTAGTTTCTTGATCAGTTGAATTTTGTTGGGGATGAGATTGATGGATTGGGTTAGTATTGAGCATTTTTTTTCACGTCAATGCCGTTGTAACAGTGTAATTTATGACCTAACGCCAAGTCATGAGATTTTTACAATCGTGTATTCACGGGAGATGCAAAAAAATTCGCTCGTGCTTGATTCAGTTGCTGTGGGACAGATGACAAAATGGCATACCATAAAAAATTTGGATACAAAAACATCTCTCATCAAAGGCTGTTGAAATTGCCATTGAGCTAGGCAACCAACAACAAACTCTAATAATCTGATATTGGATTTATTATGTGGTTGATGGAATAACAACAACATCGTTGAATTCTTTTGAATATTAATGAATTTTTGTTCCTTTCCCGAGACCACTTTTTATATCGTTGAATTATTATTGCGTCAGTCCGAACATTTGTTAACAAGAAATAATCTCTCTTGGTATACCAATTTATCTTGGAAATAATTTAAATTATCTGATAGAACCTCATCATCATGTTCAGAAAGCATTCACAAGAAGCCAAATCACAAGAAGCAAAATTTCAGGAAGCCAGACTTTTGCAACAAGCTCGTGATGGCTTCAAACTGCCGTTAGAATCATCTCAGGCTTCTCTTCAAGGAATAACCTGTGTGATGGAGACATCTGTAAGTACTAATTATTGATCAAAACAAAACCTGAATCTAAATATCGTTGATATGATCAGACACCAACACTAGTTAATGCTTCCGCCTACTTCCAAGCAGAAAATTCCTTGTGTGGTTCAGCTCCCCAAATTACCTTTGGTGGCACGTTTAGAAATTATATTGACGAAGTTATTAATACCATAGATTCGTTGTCATCAGACCCACACCAGAAGGACCATTCACTCCAATTACTTTTCCAAACAGACTTTGCAAACTTTATCACAGACGATGAAAATCCACAACTTGATCCACCATCCAATAAGAGCCTTAAAAAACTGAGATCGATAATAAGTACATGGACGTTACGATCTTTGAGAGCCCCTGTAATTAATGAAACAAGTGAACCTTGTATTTGTCTTTGCAAAAAGCTTGGTCAAAACTTTTACCAACCTAAACGTGGACCATTCTCTGTTCTTCAAAGAAGCTTGATTTTGATCTGTGTTGGTTACAATTTTGCTCTAGCTACCTGCCTTCCACACTACCTTGTTCTTGTACTCAGGTTTTGTTGTGAGGTATTGGCTCTAACAAAGGATTACAGTAATTTATTGCGTCTAACACTTCCAAGTAGTATACTTAAGTTTGTTGCATCTACTTCAGTTTCTCTTCCTACTAAAAAAAAGGAGAGAACTGTAGAAGAAATAACAATCAAGATATTGGAATCGTTGTGTGAAAAAGTTGCAAGTTATGGAGCCAACATCAACAAAGTAATGGAAACCTTTCCTGCACAGACACTATTCGAAGAAGTTCCATTCGTGATTACCAAAGATATTTCATACTTGTTGGACTCCATCGCAGCTTGCAGGCCGATTCTCCAATCTTTATCTTCAAAACACTTTACCATATGTGAAAACATCTTGGCTATGATGATTGAGAAGAATCTTATCAATATTACTGTCGACAAACTAGTGCAATGTAACGATAGCATTCTCCATTTAACTTCTTATTTTGACGAAAGTATGAACAAATATTTCAGTTATAGTCTCTTGCTTGACTCAACTGCATTCAAAGCTGCTACTAAATTACAAGATGCGTATCAAAGCTTAAAGGGATGTAAACTCGACGCTAAGATAACCTTTTATACAAATTTACAGGCTATGTGGTCTCTATTTTATCGAGTACTGTATTATTCTCAAGCACTCTACGTAACTCCAAGTAGCAAGCGTACTGAATATTTGAAAGGTCACTTGAATCTGACCAAAGACTTCTTCCAAATCTCTACAGGTCTATTAACAGAATTCTCAAAGTACTGTTATGACACAATGATTTCTGATCAATCATACATTTTTTGCCTTAGCAATATATCTCAAGCCCTAAAGTATTGTTCTACATATAGTCTAACTTTTGAGGAATGGACAGATCTAGAACACAACTTTAAACAGTACTGGTTGAAATGGTTAAACATTCGTAGCGATCCAAAAATTGTGCTGGAGAACCAAGTTAACAGTCATGTAACGGAGATTTACCAAGATCTTGCCATTGGCATCCTTACTACACATTTAGTTGTACCATGTAACTGGGCTACAAGACGCCCCCCAATCATTTTAGGAGGAACAAGATTTATCAGAATCTCTGATGCTTGCTCTTATAGCATCGAGACAGCTGATACCATTTCTATTGATGCCATGACAGATGACTCTGATGCTTCTACCTATTCATCACGAACGTATAATGATGATGCTGACATTGAAAAATTGTTTTTCCAATTTGTACCAGATGTGAATGACGCAGATCACAAATATGATATGTGTTTTGGAACAAAAATTTATTTGGACGAAAAGTACTCAGCATTGCAAGTTCTTAGCAACGTTCCCTCAAAAAGATTACCAATATTGAGCGCCATACGTGTTCTATATGAAGTAGCTCAAAAACACTGTGCAAATGTTAATCCAAATACGATACACAGTTTTGTGCAAGCAATGATTGCTCAGGATACAGAGGATTTATACGCTCTTTCACTTAGCGAATTGAAGCAAAAATTACTTTGGGATATCATAGTTCCTTGTCAACAACTCCAATATGTAAACACACTCAACGACTATTACAACTATGTTGAAGAGATCGAGACTGATTGTAGTTTGACAGAAAATGACATACTTGAAGCCATTTTAGAAAAAGATCAATTGCGGTTGGTCTCTAAACTTAACTCAGTATCCGATACCGTCCAATATTTGCTGGATTTGTTTAATCAAGATGCATACTGGCTTAAAAAATTTTGCTACTTTCTAAACCATCCTCAACACACTAATAGTATTTTATATCAGCTAGAGTCATGTGGTTTTGAAAAGTTTAGAATCGTTGTTTACCGTATGCTTGATATTTACATCAATATTTTGAATATCAATGACCTCAGAGCAGCTGCTCCTATATTCAAAGATCGATTTATCCAATTTTTAAATTCCATTACTAGCAGCTATTATCAGGCAACTGCACTGAAAGCTATATTCATGAAGATGACAGAACTCAACTTTGCCCAAACAATGCCCACTGTCACAACGATAGAGGCATTCAATTTTTGTACAGACCTTGCCATGATTCTTAGAGACAAATCATCATTGGAGCACTCCATTTTAAAAAACTCTTTAAACGAATTTGGAGAATATCTCAAAGATGGAAATTCGTGGACAGGTCTTTCTTTCAGCGGCTCTTTTTTCCTTACATGCCCTCTTTGGTTTGCATGCCCTCGTTTTACAACTACACTTTCTCACAAACTAGATCTCATTAGAGACTATTTATATGTTTCAATTGAACATTTTAATGATTCGTTTGTACCAACTCTCATAAGAGCCAAGATTTTGAGACTTGTTTATGAGCATGTAGTTTCTAATGCAAACGGAATATCATCTCCATTGACTTCTCATCTTCCTCATTTTGTAAACATCTTGACCTTACCTCAAAATATTAACATGAAACAATATTGGGAAACTAGAATGGCGTCCATTGACGACCGTTTAACAGAAACAGCTTTTAGATATTTCAGAACAAAAGCCATTGGCAATTTACTTGAGCTATCAGATGCCATGAACTTTATATTTGTTCGTGAAATGTTTTACAGACTTTATCACTCAGTAGAAATGGTCTCATGTTCGCATCTGCGTAAATCGATATTCACTCTCAATTATCCTGACATTGATGAAATAATGAACACTCAATGTGTGACATTCAATAACAAACAAAATTTAGAAAATTTACTGGTAGACGACCTTAGTGCCGAATTTGTTACGACTCTCTCCAACGGTGAGAGCCAATTTTTCTGCATGTCAGAATGCTTGTGGAAAATCAATGCAATAGGAGAAATGATTAGAAACAATCATGCTACCATAGATGATACTCGCTATGAGACGCTCTTTTCAATGACTCTGAAAGCACTAGCTAATAACATGACATTGCCTCCTGAGTTTCTTGTCATGATGTGCAAGTTCCTAATTTGTTATCATCCTGATAAGAATACATTCACACGAATAATTTTCACAGGATGGCCAGATTTGCAGAGGATTGAACAGCAATTGAAAACCTACAAGGACATGAGCTCTTCCCTATATCGCTTCTGTGTGGACTTGTTACATTCAATGTATTTATATTCCAATCTTAACGACAATCAAATCGTGAATAACTTTGACATCAACAATTACAATATCGAATCTGCATTTATTCCTCGATACATGACTTTAGCTTCCAAAACTCTTCGCAAGTTCCTCGAATCGACCCAAATTAAATTTGGACAGCCCAAAGACGTTGACATTGGATTAATAATCAATTCCAAGCTAATGTTGACACTTTTGAGAAATGCTAACTTCTCTCTTTGCCATTTTAGCGAATCAAATTCCAACATTTTGGTAATTCCTGCTATTAAGCGATGTATGAAGATAGAAACAAAACTTGAACTGCTTCAAAAAGAAATTAACAATTTACAACTCAGAGATCAAGAATGTATTCCAATCGTAAATAGGTCAATGGTTATTATGAAACCATTAAACGCTTCTGCAAAAGATAGACCTCGATTTGAGTACTTGGCCAATGAATCAATTTTAACGAGCGTGCTGAATTATATGAATCGTCAACACTCGTCATTGCTTAGCTTGTCATTATCAAAGAGCTATCGTTACTTCTTCCCCATACTTGATGAACAATTAAGCGAAGGTAGAAACATTCATGGAAATTTGTTAATTCTCCAAGATTCTTGTAGAGAAATTAATCGAGCCTTGTCGACATGCATGGATGAACATTCACGGCAGAATATTTATTTTGTTGCTGGCTATTTAATTGGAGTTTGTATATTAAGCAAGTACATTCTTGGTCCTGTCAATCTGGACAAGCGTGTTTTACAACTCTTTCTGAATGAAACTTCTCTAACTGGATACAGCGTACATGTCGAAGAGAGCACAAGCAAACAGTTACAAGTACTTTATGAGTGCTTTAATTCTGGTATTAGAATGGTACTTCATGATGAAATTGTGAACACCTTAAAGATTCTCACCTCTGAAGAATTCTTAGCTCTTCTTGGAGATGAAGCAACGATTGAACGACATATCTCCTTAATTATTGGAAACATTGAACGTGATACGACAGTTTCGTTAATAGATAGCTCAAATTTCGTCTTTAAATTGGTGAAGCCAACACTGAACGAAGATAAGTGTTTGAGTGCCACGCTTGTAAATTATTTTAATGGCATGTTCATGCACGATACAACTCATGCTGTCGTCACTGTGACTGTTATTCCAGCTGAGTACACACATATACAAATCAAGCCTCACAAAAGAATTATCGAAATTCCACTTCGTTCTACTAAGGATGAATTGATTTTGCTATTAAGACAACAACCGCATATTTCTTTTGAGTAATAAATAATATATCATTGATTTTATACAATTTACATGAGACCATCATCCAAAAACTTCACAAATCGAGCTGCATAATGCTTGGGTGAAACAGCCGAAATTTGATTTCTATCGCTTACAAAGCCTTTGAAAATATGTTCAATTTGTTTCTTGTTGTTCCATTTCTGAAGCAGATCAATGATTCCAAAATAATAAATCTCTCTAGTTCCGTCTTCGAGAGGGAGAGAAAGAGTTCCACCATGAAATTGTTGGAATAATGATGCACGAGGTCCTCGATAGAGCTTTTTTAGAGACACGCTAGCTCTGTTGTTGTTCGGCATAAATCTTCCAAAGAATGAAGCCGTACTATCTCCGCTCTTTCTTCCTTGACTTGAAGTGTTATCAAATGGAAACTTTTTCTGAGAGCTTGGTGTTGAATTGCCTTGAGTCTGTGGTTGTTGAATAACAGGTTGGGAATGATTCGCAATTTCCTCTCCTGGCGTTATTTCAATAGTAATTTCTGAACTATTTACAACAGGTGTTTCATGATGATGAACAATATCTGCAATTGGATGAGAAGTGTTCAGTGAGGAGGATGCAGTTCCAGCATCTCCTCCTAAATATGAGGATGAAGAAACAGCACTAGAGCTTGCAACAGAGCTCTGTCCATGAATTGCTGTAAATCCATTCATATCCGAAGGAATATCTGAATCTGAAAGTTTGATCGTACAATTTTGTGCTTCTTTGAGAATGTCTGCCTCAGTTTCTGGATCTATTTTGTGAACTCCTACCAGCAAACTATAGTCCATAATTTTCATTTTCTCTAACCATTCAGCATCAAGTTGTAGTTGATGGAGAAAAACGTTTTTCATTTGAGGTCCAATGGCAAGCTTTTTTTCTCGTTTCAAAAAATCTAAATCCTTTAAAACAGGTGTTTCTCTTTTTCTTTCTTTTTCAGATGCCTCTCTTCCTATTGTTGATCCTTTCAGATCATATCTTTCGGCAACATATGTTGTTGTGTCAAATACATTATTCATAATGACAAATCTTACGTTTTTTCCTCCTTTTGGTTTTATACTGTACATTCCATAGAAACGTGTAATCAAAGTGTTAGGATTAGCCATTACATGGTTATAATAATCAGGTAATATTTTTCTCAAGAACTTGGACTCTTTCTTTGTGACAGTCTTGAGCATGTATTGCATGTCAGCAGAGAAGAAGAACAAAGCACCACTTTTTCCAGGAGTACCAAGAATTGAAAGTGATTGTTCGTGACATAAACAAACTAAAAAGTCGGACGCGTCGATACCAAATCTTTCTCTCAAATGTCTAAAAGGGAATGGTGCATAGTCATAAAAATCAAAGTATGGAAACTCGTGTGGTGGGGTTCTAGTTGTTCCTTTTTCTGGGAAAGGCATTTTGTTTGTGTTTGTAAAATCTTTGTAGGTCAACACATCTTTTTGCTTTTTAGGAGTGATTTCACTAATTGCAGATCTTATACCCATCTGAATTTGTCTCATCAAGTTATACGAGTTGTGTTCCTTATAAATGATCTCTCCCATAGCATTGACATGCCATTTCTTTTTCTTTGCATTTTTAATAATTTTCTTTGGTTCATCACTATCCTCCTCAGGCTTTAGGGCAAATTGAGTATGAACGGGAGTAGCTGGGGTGTTACCAACATTGTTGTTTGAAGAAAAAGAGTTTGCTCGTTTGTTGAGTGATGATTCAGACGCTCGAGGTGAGAGCGAATCACCGTGATGTACATTAGGCGATGACAAATTGTTTGGTGTACCATTCGATACCGTTCCTGTGTTAGCCGTAGGTGTGATACTGATTGAAATGCTTCCTTCCCGACTCAGGTTGGTTCCATTTACTTCCGCACTCGAAGTAGATTGTGTACTCACTCCATTGACACTGTTGTTATTGACCTGCTGGGAACCTTTATATGGAGCGCTCCCGTTTGTGCTGGAGCTCGCACTGTTTATGATTACCATTGGTTATTGTACTTGCCGATGATGATGAAATTGATGATGAAAGGGCAGTACCATTCTCGGCGGTGTGGTTGGGCATTTTTTTTAAATTTAAAAAAAAAGAAACGTTGGCTACACCGCAAAATACGCCATTTGATCGTCCGCAGCAACAACAACACACAAAACATGATGATGGATCCAATTTTGAATCAGCAACCACAAACAATGGTTGAATTATTTATTTCTTGTAGTAATTTGAAAAACAAAGATCTAGTTTCAAAATCTGATCCGATTGTCTCTGCTAAAATTGGAGAACGCCAAAAAACAGGAGAGGTATTTTGGAGCGATATTGGGAGAACTGAAGTTCAAAAGAATAATCTCAATCCCAAGTTTATCAAGACGTTCATGGTAGCATACAAATTTGAAGAAATTCAACATTTGCAATTTTTGGTCTATGATGTCGACAATGAAAGTTCCACTCTCGCTGATGATGATTTTCTAGGCAAGTGTGAAGTCAAAATGTCAGAGATTGTTTGTAGACCTGAAGGCCTTACAGTATCACTCAAAGATAAGCATGGACAGCAAATGGGAAACGGTATCATCACCATCAGAAGTGAAGAGAAAAGAAAGGCAAGAGATTACGTTGTCAACATTGGTCTTGCTGGAAGAGATCTTGCAAAGTAAGTGCGATATCCATCTATATTTCAATATGGAACATTGTTGGATCCCAATTTTTCATCTTTGCAAATCTGTAGGATGGATCTTTTCTCAAAGAGTGATCCTTTTTTCATCATCTCCAAATCTGTAGGAAATCAATTTGTAGATGTTTACAAGTCCGAAATTATTATGAACAATTTGAATCCAAATTGGAAGAATTTCGAAATGACCATGCAAAAGCTGTGCAACGGAGATGAGAATACTTCCATCAAAATTTCTGTGTATGACTGGGACAGAAACAGCGATCCTGACTTGGTAGGTTGATTACTGGTCATAATTTCTTTACGCTGACTTAATATTGAAATCCTCAATAGATTGGCCATGTGACTACAAGCTTGTCACAATTAAAACAAATGAGCCAAAACGGATCTAGTTTAACCATTGTGGACGATCAAAATAAGAAAAAGATCAAAAATAATGGAAAGATTGTTGTAAGCATGTTAACAATGGCTTTACAAGAGGAAGAATATTCATTTTTGGACTATTTATATGGAGGTTTGGAAGTATCTCTTCTTGTAAGCATTGATTTTACAGGTAGCAATGGTAATCCCTCTGATCCATCAGTAAGTTTTCAAGATTTGTAACAATTTCATTCATTTTCAAAATATCAACAGTCTTTGCATCACATTGGTAAAACGAATGAATATGAAATGGCCATTCGATCGGTAGGCGACGTGTTGAGCAATTATGATTCAGACAAACTCTTCCCAGGTAAGTCATTCATTGATTCATTGCAATATGCAAAACTTATGTCGTAGCATATGGATTTGGTGCAAAGCTACCAAGTGGACAAGTTAGCCATTGCTTTGCATTGAATGGTAATCCAGCAAATCCATTCTCGCAAGGTATTGATGGTATTTTACGTGATTACAGACTTGCCTTGAACACAGTTCGTAAGTACATTCTGTTTTTTGAACACTTTTTTAATGATTCATAACTATAATAAGAATTGTATGGTCCCACTAATTTTGCTCCAACTATTCAAACAGCAGTTGCGTATGCTGCTCAAGGAGCCATGGAACAAAGTCAACAAAATCAAAAATACTTTATTTTATTGATTATTACTGATGGTGAAATTACTGGTAAGTAGAATTATCCTCAATACATCTTATTATTGACAATAAAAGATATGCCTGAGACCATTAAGGAAATTGTGAATGCATCTCATTATCCTCTTTCCATCATTATTGTTGGAGTTGGATCAGCTGATTTTTCATCCATGGAAGCTCTAGATAGCGACAATCGAAGATTGCAAAGTGGTAGTAATGTGGCAGTCAGAGATATTGGTAAGTTTCATTGTAGCATATGTAGTTGTTACTGATATGGATCTGCAGTTCAATTTGTTCCATTCAGACAATTTGGACCTCAAAACTACACCTTGCTTGCCAAAGAAACACTCAAAGAGGTTCCACAACAAGTTTGTGAATATTTCAAATCGAAGAAAATCAAACCAAAGAACAAGGTGTAAGGTGGAAGATTTAACAAAATCGAACATAATAAAAAATTGAATTTGCCGCCATTCAAATCGATTAGTTTTTAAAAAAATGGAAAAGTCATTGCAACTGTTACATGAATTGAACCAAACAAGAGACAATGTGTTGCCTGCATTCAATGTAAGTGTCCATCCCATGATGTATATAACTTTCGATTACAACGATTTTGTGCGTCATTTACCACCACAGACAGAACTCGTGTCATCCGTTATCAGAGAAATTAATTCACTCTCGGAACAAATTTTCGAAAATTTAGTGACACAAAACACACAAAGTGATCAAGTCAGTGAAGAGGATTTGGAAAAGCTCCGAATGTCTTCGGCTGTTACGTTCACAATTTATGAAAGATATAAACGAATTTTATTGGCCTATTTACACACAAGATTGGAAAGAGTCAAAACGATTAGTACACTCCACACACATGAATCCATAAATATTGAAAACACAAAACAATGGAAAGATTTTAGTGACAATGAGCAACGATTTGCTACGGAATATAGAAAGCTCGTTGAAAGTTATGGCGAGGACATTGGCTTTGACATGTTCAAATTTATTCAGCCACCAAAAGGTGATTGTGTGGAAGTAGAGGTGTTGCAAACCAGTGGAAGTCGTTTGTTAGAGAGTGGTAAAACTTATCATTTGGTTCAGGGCTCTCACTTGTTTATTCAACTCAGTGATGCAGAATATCTTATTCAACAAGGTCTTGTGAAACTAGTGTCGTAAGGAATGTGAAATTAAATGTATTGAGATTTTTGTTGTTCATTCAATAAATTAAATAATAACTGTTGTAATTTAATGATTTTGACAAGTTGAAACACAGCGCTGTATGGCTTGAGCAGTTCATGAATGGGTGCTCAACATTCACTAAAATTGAAACTTTTTAAGGTCGTACCCGTGTTGGTCATTGACACTTAACAATAACAGAGTAATTCCTTTGAAATCTTCAGAGAGAAGATATATGCAAAGTAGAGTGTGCTGTCGTCGGTGACTTGCTGTTTGATGCTTTGCTTCCATGCTTTGACTTTGTTGAGTTGGTGTTTTTCCAATCGCTTTTCTGCATGAGCCGGAGTTTGAAATTGCAGACAAGCAACTTGTGTCATCTTACCTTCTACATGTCCTGAATGTAAAAAGTATAAAATTCGCATGGCATGATGAAGGATAAAGTCAACTTTCAAAAGATGTAACTTCTCTAATTGAACAATCCAATCCACCATTATAGCATTAATTTCTTTGTTAGTTTCTTTGGTGCTTCTTCTAGCGAGTGTTGATCGAATTCCATGTTAAAACGTTCCGATCGAAAGCTTTTGGCTGGTATCCACAATAGCTTTACTTTTCCTTCATAGGTTGTAACGTATTGCTTTCTCTTATTTAACGCTTTCTTTTTCTTAATATTTGACCATACATCTGTACAAATGTATTCTTCGTCCTCATCTTCGTCCTCTTCATCTTGTTTCAATATGTTATGAGAATATTCTGTTGTTTTTGTACGTGAGCTAACAAAGCTCCATTCCGTACGAATGTCAACACTCTGTTTTGTTAATACTTGTTTTTTGTGTTGATGCTTGATGGCTTTTTCTGCACTTCTTCCTCGAGTATGGATTAAAGTCCATATTTTGTTTTTTCTTTTTGTCAACAGTACAGAATCGATGATTGTATCAGAAATGGAGTTCAAAAACCAAGACATGCAGGAAATATCACACCACATAAAGGCGCTACGTTTGGACGTGGTATTTTCACTTTTTTGAGATAAAAAGTGAGGAATTGCGACATGAATGTTTGTCATGTTATGCGTCCATATGGGTTCAGAATAATAATTATCATCGCCTTCTCGTACAATATTACAATATCTTAGTGAAAAAATAAAATTTGACGCCAATATCATTGCTTGTTGTTTGGATCTCAAATCAAAAGGAGCGGCCACAGCATTCTTAATTTGTGACAATAATTGTATTCGCATTTTGTTTCTGCATTCAAAATCTTGTACTGTAAAAATATGTTCTTCATCTAATTCTAAATTTATATCTTGATGATCATTAAGAATTCGGAATAACTCTTCCCTTTGAAAAACTTTACAAGTGGGTGTAATACTCGTCAGATAACCAAAGAAAGATTTGTAAAAGGATGGCCATGATGATATTTGGTTATCATCGAAGGAAATTCGTTGGTGCCATCCTCTGCACACCAAATCACAACAATGAACAATATTTTCTAGTGGCAAGTAGCTTAAAATACTATTGAATAAATCAAGCACTTGAAATAGGTAATTCCAATCCATGATGATGATGATTCGTACTTTTCATGTTGGACGAAATTTTCATAGAATGTGAGCAGAAAATTTTTTTTGATTTGTTTTTAAAAATTAGAAAAAAAATGATTGGTTCCAGCCAACGCTCATTCTTGCTCTGCAGAGGAAAAAACACACCTCTCAAACACGGGTTGTTGGAGCAATTCAAGACTCATCATCTTCAACCTCATTTATGTTGAATCATCATCAACATCTCAATGCTCGATTGTTTAGCTCAACCCGAGGTGTATTGGAATCATCATCCCGAGTGGAAAGTATTCCTACAAAGAAACCAGTGAATAGGCTCTCCACCAAGTTTACTCCTTTCGTTAGAAAATCTGCACAAGAATACCAAAAAGATGTTTCAGATAGTATTGAAAGTCATAAAGCACTAGTGGAAGGCGGATATATTAAACAAATTTCATCAGGAGTTTATACTTTTTTGCCATTGGGAACCAAAGTTTTAGAGAGACTCATTGCTGTAATTGACAAGTCATTGCAAAAGGTTGGCTGTGAAAAGATCATTATGCCTTCATTACTTCAACAAGAATTATGGGAAGAAACAGGAAGATGGCAAAGTGCTGGAAAAGAGTTATTCAGACTCACAGATAGAAAGGATCACAAGTATTGTTTAGCTCCAACTCATGAAGAATGTGTTACTGATGTGGTCAGATCTCTTGTTAATTCTTACAAACAGGTGCCTTTAAGACTTTATCAAATCGGAGTGAAATTTAGAGATGAGTTGAGACCAAGATATGGCTTAATGAGAGCTAAAGAATTTTTGATGAAGGACTTATATTCTTTTGACCTCGATAGAGAGGGTGCCTACAAGGCCTATGACGAAGTGGTAGGAGCATATAAGGAAATATTTGACTTGTTGGGATTGGATTATGCTATGGTAGAAGCTGACACAGGAAATATTGGTGGTGATAAATCACATGAGTTTCAAGTTCTATCAGAAGTTGGAGAGGATTTTATTTGCAAATGTAATTGTGAGCACAGATACTCTGCAAATATTGAAAAAGGCGTTGGAGCTCCATCAGACGCATTCTCAACAATTGATATTAATTATGCAACAGAAGTTATGAATTTTTCTACCAACTTTGACACACTCATGCGAGTATTGGATGAGTTATCTCCAGAGTTAGATGCTTTTTATACGTGCACCGAACCAGTGAAACATGTACACGGATCAAAAGAGGGATACACAAGAACAGTTATTGTTACTCGTAAGGGAGACGAGCCCAATGATATCAAGGTTAAAGATATGATCAAGTCTGTTGAAAATGTAGAAATTAATCTTGCTGACATTGTACCAATGAACACTGTCAAAGACTCTATCAAACAAAAGTCTAGCTCTAGATTGATTCTCATGATAGATTCATACGTCGATCCAAATATATTAGCAAAATTCAACGTAGAAGGTGGAGGGGTTGTTGGTGTTAAAGCTGTTTTAAGAAAAGTTAAGCCCAATGACATTTGTATTAGCAATAATCCAGGATGCAAAAATACCAACATGACTATCAAGAAGGGAATTGAAATAGGTCATGTTTTTTATTTGGGAAAAAAGTATAGCGAACCCATGAAAGTATATATCGCAAACGACAAAGGAAAAAGAGATTTTGCAGAAATGGGATGTTATGGAATTGGTGTTTCTAGATTGTTCCAAGCAATAGCAGAAACCCATCGAACAGAGGCAGGTATTTGCTGGCCAATGATTATTGCTCCATTTAGGGCTTCGGTCATTCCTATTGTCCCAACTGCAAACATGCTTAATAATTGCTCACCCGAAGAGGTTGAATCAAAACGACAACAGGTTATTGATGCGTCTGAAGATATTTATCATCAATTGAATTCTCTGAGCGCATTTAAGGGAGAAATATTATTTGACGATCGTTTAAAGGAAAGACCGCCTGTGAAAATGTTTGATATGGCTAGATTTGGTGTACCCTATGTAGTTGTGATTGGAAAGGAATTGTTAGAATCAAATGTTGTGGAGGTACAGGATAGAGCTAAAAATCTAAGCACAAAGATGACTGTACCTGAGGCAGTCAAATTCTTTGAACAAGTATCTGCAAAATTCGAAGAACAAATGAGCAAATTCTAATTGTTGTCATAACCCATGTCAAACATGAAGCGATCGTACAAACTTGCCAAAAGACACTGCATTCCTAAAAAATGTCTACAGATCCAACTCGACAATTATCTGGGACCAACAAGACTGCTGATAATGACGATGATATTAGAGAACCATTCTACATTTATCTTCAAAATAGTGAATTAAACACAAATCTTCAGAAATATATTTCTGCCTTTGTGCAACACATTGCAAGCATTTTAGAACAAGATGCTCCGAATGTTAGACGGATCGTTTCTTTTCTTCCCGAACGCAATGGCATTCTACTCTTTGGCTTTCGGAGATCTACCATCAAAGTATTATACTCGTTTTTGAAAAGTTTGGATCAGAAAAAGCATAATATTAATTTTGAAATTAATCTCGTGTTAGTCGAGTCTCACAAAATGACTCATGATTTTAATTTCTAACAAAAACTCGTGAAGATAATCCTCCTAGATTTTATGTTACATTCAATCAGAGATTCGGAATGTTTCTCAGTGCTCGCCTCCCCTATTACAATAACCGGTCGTACGAAAAATCTTTGCGATGACATCAACATCAAAAACAAATGCACAACAGCGCTTGGGAGGCTATCATTCATTTCTTCACCGCCGCTACAGACAATAACCATCATTCAACAAGTCGAGTCTTACGGCCATTTCTATGTGTTTTCTTCATTCTATTATGTGTACTTTGTTTTAATATTACACAAGTTTGGAATAAGAGAAAAGATGACATGTCTTCAACAACTTCCGAAGGTTTGCTTCCGAGCATTCATTCACAACACGTAACAGTCGAATATTTACAAAAGGAAATTGAAAGACTGAAAGAATCGTTGGGTAGTAGTGTTGTGCTGAATCATTATCAGCCGCCAAAGGTTCCTCTAATTTTTAACAAGTTTGTCATGTGGAAAAAACAGTCCGAGATGCCACATGTCAGCGAAGAAGGACCAACGATTCTGGAAAGCGATTATCAATGCACGAAATATAGAATTGACTTGTCTAGAAAAATAACAGAGTTTACCTCTTGCCGTTTAGAAAATATTTGCATCAATCGAAAGGGAGAATGGCTGATATTCACACATTCCAAAAAAGCACAAGAATTATCTGGAAAAGCATGGGTCTATACCAATAGTTATTATTTTGGAAGCGAAAATCAAATGATACGTGTTCATGTATTACCACCACCTGCTGAGGTGATTATCAAGAATTCTACCACAATATTGTTTGAAACAAGTCGGCATGAAAAAATTTCACACAAATTAGAAGGAAATATTACTTTATCCAGTTCATTTAAATGGATTTCAAAACCTACCTTCGCAACCTCAAGACATGAATCAGGAAATATTGGTCATGCACTTTTAGATAATTTTATTTTACTATTTAACTTGATGCTCAACTTTGGTTATATGAATTCAGATAGCCATGTCTTATTTATGGACAATTTATTTGAACGTTTGGTTCAAAATGATCCTGTCATTCTGGCACAACAGTTACAGAAAGGGGAACGTGCAACAAACATGTCACTGGCATGGGCTGGACTGCTTTCATCCAATCCTCCTCTTCAAAAGTGTGCTAATCCACAAATTGGAAATACATTGGACTAGCCCCTTGTTTAATCAACAAGGAAATCGATCCTGACGTAATTCAGAGACATGGTCACGAAATAGATACTTGTTTCTCATCGTTAATGGCAGGCTCAACAGGCTCACTGTATTCCTTTGTTGAAGGAAGAGAAACGCTCATTACCTTATTCAAGAAATATTTATTTGGTCAGCTTGGAATTAAGAATCCTCACTCTCACAAAACTCTCATCATTGCAATTCAAAACAAACCTACCAACACCGAACATCGAGATTCCATAATTAATGTTGACAAAATCGTGGCCTATTTGAAAAGTAGACAACAAGAGTTATTGGAGTTTGCAAACTCACAACGATCTCTCAAGTATGAATCTGTTGAAATTATCAATTTGAGATTAGAAAGAATGTCATTCATTGAACAATTGAATTTATTCAACGTAATGGATGTTTACATCACTTCACAAGGTGCTGCTTCTTACATGTCCATGTTTCTTTCAAAACCAAATGCCATTATGGTGTACGTGCCAATGTGTTTTGCTTCAACAAAAACATGTTCTGATTCCAATTTGAGAGTTCATGAAACATTTTCTAATGTACGAGTCATCTCATTGTTGCAATATACAGAATTATTGGAATGTGTGATTGGAAATTCAGATGAAGACGTTGGCTATCCAGTCCTTCCAGACTTTGCTTATTCAGAAGATTTTGGAGATTGTAATGAAAGAGTGAAACCAGAAGGATTGTTTAAGATTGTGAGTGACGCTCTATCCAAGACTCTTTAAGATTTTGGAAACTATTATGGAAAGTTTCAGAAGAACCTGATGCATGTTGATCAATTTTTACCATGTTCACCTTGATCTTTTGAGCACAACTATAATTGTCAACAACGAACCCAAGGATGATTTATTGAGAATTACTGCTCTATCATTTCAAGGAAAGCAGAAATGTCCTCTTCCCAGTAGGCATGTTGTTGTTGCTCATTCATTACATTCATGTTATTGGAGTGATCATTATTGTTGATGATCAATTTACATGAGTGATAATCCTTAAAGCACTCACTCTTTCTAATAATGGAAATAAAGGTTTGCATCAAATCAGGAAAAAGCACCAGTGCCTCTTCCAACTGTTGCTCCAACGTCCTTGTTGAAGCTTCTTTCATCGTTGATGACGACGAACTGGAGGATGCATCCAAAGTGGATCTGAATTGGAGTGCGTTTCAGCTTCACTACTACATGACGATGTTTTCACTTTCTTGCTCAACGTCGATTCATTCTCGTCTGTCTGATCTTTGGTTCGCTTATTCTTGTGGTTGTCATCCATTGTGTTGCTTGCAATATCCTTTGGTTCTCTTTGGCCTTCTTCAGTGGCTCTATTCTCCATATTTTCCTTTTTGATCTTCTTTCTGCGACCTGCTTTCAAGTGTTCTTCATGCATGGGTCGATCCTTCTGATAACGCAGCAAATAGAGTCCACACTTGTTACACAGTTTCTTTCCATGCTCTGGATGCTTTCTCCATAGTGGAGATTTCTCAGTGTTACAATTAAAACAGCGAGTTTTGTTTTTCTCAATGCGGTTCTTCATTTTGGAATTCCTTGTCGAGGTTGTTTCTTCGACTGGTACTGGAATACTATTTACATGACTATTGTTAGGAACAAATTCTGTAATGTACATCTTGTTATCTACTGAGGTGTTACTGGTCAGGGCATGTTGGGTGTTCACTTCTGTGGTTGGACATGTCAAAGAATCACAACGTACTCTTGAACTTGATTCATGTGTATATATCAATGGAAAAACAGAGTGCTCACCTGATGGAATGACATGTTGACATGGTACTGAAGATGAGACAAACATGGTTTCTTTGGATGGAGCATGCACTGGAGAAACGTCTTCAGGCATTCTATAATTACAATGAGTTCTACTGTTCAACGTGTGTGAGGACGAGCAGACGTTATTCATGGGCCAATATTGGCCATTTCTATCAACACCATTCGAAGTAAAATGACAATGATGATGATTCATGACCGTCATTGAGGGGTTAATCACTCGATGAAGAATGGTTGGACCATGTGACGCGTTCGAATAATGGGATGAACATGGAGAGGTGTTCATCATGTGAAAACCGAATGGATTTAAACATGACAGCAATGGGTTCAAAGAGTTTGGATCTCTGATATGTTTTGAGGACGTTTGTGAGCATGCAATAACATGTTATTGTTGTTGGTCGATAAACGAGTCGAGGCAAACGACATTTTTGATTTCGCGTATTGTTGAGAGTGTGTTTGAATGTTTTTTCGCGTTGTGTTTTTTGGACAGAGCTATTAACTGATTCGCTCTCTCTCGGTTTGTGGTTCTAGTCAGGGGATTTGAATGTTCTGACAAGAGACGGTGTTTTTGGACTTGTTTGCACTAATGACATGTGATAAAGAACCACTGTCCTCCTTGTGTATACCATGCGACGGAGATTATTAATAAAAAAGGCGATTTTCAATACTTCATTAATGAAACAGAACGAATTCCATCGGATGCATAATTGCTGTTGTGAATCTAAAGGTTTGGCAACCATGTATTAAATGGTCGACATTCCAATGAATCACAAATCTCAATCGAATCATTGACTTTCCTTTTGATATGTAATAATTCTGTCTCTCTCAATAAGAAACATTCCCATTGTGGCATGCACAGTATCAACAAATCTATTCTTTCTTAACAATTGAACTCTCTTGTGAAGTATTACGGAGTCATACTCTGAAAAAACTTTCCAAAGATCCAACCATCCTTTGAAGAATGGTCTCCACGTACCACTCGTCAACACCACCACCCTCACTCACAGTCATCATTGTTCCAGCTGGAAATAATGTTGCAATAAACTCATTGAACACACTTGGTTCTGTTCCAGAGGAATACATTCCTAATTGGTGTAGTAAAGGTAATTGTTGAGATTGTTCTTTTTGTTCTTGAAATTTCTTGTGTTTTTCGTGGAAAGTGATTTCATTCTCATCTGTGTGGTTGGTGTGTTTCACATGGAAAACAAACCATTCCATAAAGATGTCCAGTTCTCGACTTTGTAAGGTTTCCAATGTGGCCAGAGTCGTATTCTTGTTGGCCAATACATTTCCATCTTTTAAAGATATGTTTTCAAATGTACAAAAACGTCGTTCCATTGGTAACCAATACTTTTCATACATTTCAAATTGTTTCTCTTCTGTTTTGAACAGAGACAAGACATGGTTTTTGATTAAATCTGATTGTGCCAAATCAATTCCAGGTGTTTTGATGAAAAACAATATTTGATTTGCTTTTCCAGTGTGATAGAGATCCTTAAATCGTTCCTGTGCATTCATTTCATGTTGTTGATATTCAACTGTAACGAACCGTACATGTTGAAGTAAATGTTTCATGTGAAATGTTTGTAAACGCTCAATTTTCTTTAAGGGAAATCGTGGAGATCCTTTTTCATAGAATTGTAAAAGAGATGATATGCTGCTAGAATCCAAGGATTGAAAAATTCTGTTGAAAAGTCAACGGATGAGACTCTACAAAGCCCAATCAAGACTGCAAAATAAGTTTTTCTGTCATCTTGACTTGGGATTAATCGTGAATGTTGTTTCATGCGAAGAAGCCAAGAGTCGTGAGGTTGGCCCGAGTTCACTGACTGTGGATGATCATTAATGTATCAAGAAATTGATCCATTTTCATTGGTGTGCATTCGTCCATATTCACAAATAATATTCTGTGAAGTTTGTCAATCATTTCATTAAAAAGGTGTTGTCTAGATGGATCATTATTTCCTTCTTCGAGAATCACATCCCTCATGGCACATATGGCGGTCATGAGTGTGGTAAGTCTTTGTTGTCCATCAATACAGTAGAGGGAAGCAGACAATGCTGAGGACGATCCAACCGAACCAGTACTTTTGTGTTGTTGTTGCTGAAGAAAGATCTTTCCAATGTGATGACCATTCAAGGCGGTGCTTTCACAAATATTATTCCACAATGTTTTTACATATTTCGGAAGCCAACAGAATTTTCGTTGGAAAATGGGAATGTGAATTTGTGTGGAATGTAAAGAGTGGAAGAAACTGTCGAGATTGTGTGGTTCTATCTTGACCATGATTGTGTTGTTGATCTTTTTTTTGTTGTTACAGTTCTCTTCTCCCTTCTGCTTACTATTTATAGCTTCCACAATCATTCCAAGTCAGCCAGCCCAAATCTCCTAAAGAGCAAGTTGATATTCAAGCATTCACAAGCAGCAAAAACTTTGATCGATTTGGTGAGAGGCCGAGTGAAAATTTCAAATATTGGAAACCCCGAGTGAAAATTGGAATACGTTCAACTCCTTAATAACATTGAAATATTAAACTTGATTCATTGGTTTAGAAAGATCAAACTCTGATGATTGTGTTGGAATGGTTGAGGTCGACATGGGATTGCTTTGTGTTGTGAAAGTAGATGTGGGAGAGGAACGCTCTGCACATTCTGGATACCTGAGATCCGAGTCACTAGCAATAGGTCCTGGAGTTGACGGTGGTGAGAACATTGTTGCCGTATTGGGTATAATCTTTGGAGATGTTCCTTCGGAGACAGACGACATGCAAAGTACAAATTTTCCAAAGCCGTTGGGATAGTATTTGGTGATGTCTCCTTCGTTTGCAAGAATATATGTGAAAAATCCAGTAATAACGACACAGGCTAAATCAATCGCCAAATTCTTATGAATAGCAACATAAATACCATAAACATCCCAATATACAACAAATGTTGGCAAGAAGATAATTCCAAGAATGAATGCTGATATCAATGAGATGTTAAATAAGGTCATGGATTTGGTGAATCGCATTTCTCGAATATTTCTATGGGCGAGTTTAAGCCGCTTAAATATCAGAAAAGTATAAATTGTGAAACAGATGATTAAAATACTTGGTGCTACAATCATGGATATTGCTGCAACTGCAAAAAGTGGTGCGGTAGATTTTAAAACAATGCATACAATGACACCAATGATCATGATGCAACAATTAAATGTATAGATGCTCAAAATTAGAATAATGTTAAATCGAGAGAGGGACTTCTTAGTGGTGGATGTTTTCAGTAAATCTACAATATGTCCCCAATGAACAAGAAGAGCCATAAAGGAAAACGCATACAAGCACATTGCAAGGGCTCGGAAACATCCCCACAACAGGTCAGAGCTTTGAGAGTCATTAAAAAAGCTAAAATTCCAAAGGAAACAAATAATATTCTCAATCATTAAGCATACGGTGCCTAAAAACGTTTTTTGAGCGGATTTGTAGGTCATCATCGGTGTGTTTTCTTAAAACCTACCTAAAATCTCGAAGAGCAAGATCACTGATCTTAAATCAGTGAACACAAACTCTTCCAAAGCAATTCGTAAATAAACAAATGGAGCAAAACGAGCTTGCATTTGGTTTGCAATTTCACTTTTCGACCGGAATATCACTGCTCTTCTTTTGGTTAAATACAATGGAATGATGTTATAGATTGCTGCTAACAGAAGTGACATGGCAAGGAGAATAAGAACTAACAGAGGTGATCCGATATACTTGAATGGAATTAAAAAATTGTAGTAAGCGTCTCCACATTGAAAAGCAAAACGTTTTCCAAATTCGTTTCTGCACCAACACATGACAGGGTTCACAAATTCTTCTAAAAAGAGCGTATTGAACATGTGAAGAGTGTTGTCATTGTTATCCGAATGGTTTTTCAAATAAATGTTTGAATAATAATTATCAATCTGGAAAAACCTCCAATCAATAATTCCTACATTAAAATCCTCTTTTGTATCGTTGAATGAAAGAAGTGTGCTAATCCTTTGCTGAGAAATTCCAATGTTGCAATGTTTCAACAATGATCTCTGTAATAATTCATACGATGGAAATCGAGAAAGACATTTTGAGTTTTGGGATTTGAGTGGACTCTGCTCTGAAATGGAATTAATAAACAGTTGAGAATGATTACTATTACAATGAATACAATAATTAATCATTCGGAAATACTGTATTCGGAATCTTTCATTCTCGACAAGCGATTTAGTTAAATTGAAGCAGACATTGGTATCAATAGAACACTCACAAAAGTATTCTACACAAATTGAATTATTGCTCTTGTTGGGAGCTTGGGTTTTGATGTCTTCCAACAAATCAGTATCATCACATAAATCGGAAAATGTATTATCCAGCACAAAATTCGTTACCCAATAACTTTGAGTCAGTGGTTTGAAATATGAAAAATCTCTATCATCTGGATATGAAATATTGTTCAACAAGAGAGCAGCCATTCCATTGAGACGTTGAGAGGAGTCGTTCGGAAAAGTGATATCATCATTTTCTTTTGCGTGGTGCTGATTATTTAAAAGCGACGGAGGCTTTGCCAGTGTTGATGGAAGAAGGAAAACACACAGTAATACAAGAAGAAGTTGTTGTTGCGCATGAATGAAAAACATTCTTTGAGTTGATGATACAGATCGTTGAGAGGCAGAGTGAAACTTTTTGTTATTGGTGCTCATGAGAAACCGGTGCTATGTTCTTCTTTTGGGTTTGTGAGAGATGCAACGAAGGAGTCGATTGCCTTCAGATGCAAGAGATACAAAACGACAGAGAGGTATTCAACTTGTACAACTGGGACACTGAAAGTTCTTTACCTTTTGCAAGAATGAAGTCTTCGATATTGCATAAGCATCTTTCAATCCTTCGAAATGGTTAATGTTTGAAATGGTTTTGTAAATTGATAGTTGAAAAAGTCAACAGCTGCCTTTTTTATTTCGAAATTGAAAACCATTTCTAAAATGTGTCGTGGCTCGATTGAGGTAATTTAATTAACCAATTTCGAAGGATTGAAAGATCTATTTAAAGAACCTTATTCGAACCATAATTTACAATATCTGATATGGCAGAGTCGAACAATTGTTACTTCTTCTTAATAAGCTTTTATTGGGTTTTATGTACTGGTCTTTTATATTGTTGTGACAATTTCAACTTCCACCCATTTTTGTCACAACAATTCAACTAATTTCTTCCATATAACTGAATTACTCTCTCTAAAAAAAAACAATGTCAACCACAGAGTCCACTCAAGGTTCTTCCTCAAGAAGAGGTCAACAGCACAAAAGAAGTGCTCCAACCGGTACTGCACGAAGACATCACAATTGGTTTGATACCTTCTTTGACGATCCATTCATTAGTCGTTTCTTCCCAACTCGTTTTTCAAGAGGTTCTACGGGTAAAGAGATCACTGGTACCGATACAACCGCTCTTACTACACCTGACTTTATTCCTCTCACCGATGTAAGCGAAACCGATACTCTTATTAGAATTGTATGTGATTTACCTGGTCTCTCTAAACAAGACGTTAACATCGATCTCGACGAAGAGAATAGAATTTTGACGTTGAGTGGAGAAATTACACGTGATAAACAAGAGGAAAATGAAACTTTTCATTCTCTGAAAGGGTCTACGGCAACTTTAGAAGAAGTGTTTACTTACCTCAAGAAGCAGATTTGAGCGGTATTAAGGCAAGAGTGGAGAATGGAGTGTTGAGAGTGACTGTTCCGAAAATTGAACAGACATCCAAGAAGTGAAAACAATAGCTATTGAATAATATCTGACAAAAGCGTAATGAAGAAACCTTCACGTTGTAAATATTGATTTCATTAAAGAACGCTGTCCCTTACAAAAAGTTCAAGGGCAGTTCTCTCAAAGATGTAAGCCATATGCGATGAGTGTTCATTTTCAACCAAACATTTTAAAATATCAACATGCGATTAGTACGCGAAGTGTTAGAGGTTGTGTTCCTCAGTCAGAACAAGATGACGAAACTGTTGATGTCGTTAATAGGACAATTTTAAGAATTATTGTTTCAACATGTTCTGCATTGAAGAAGGAAATGTTATACCTCCATCCGGAGCCAAGTACTCGGAAGAAAAACTGAATATTCTCTCCAGCATTAAAGCCAATTTGATTAAGGCTTCTGAAGGAATGACTCGGATTGGTTATGAAAAAGGAACAGGTACAAGCTTTTATTTGCTTCCAAATGTTATTTGTACCAACTCACATGTGGTAAAGACTTCCCCTTTCATCTACCAGAACTCCTACTTGAAAGCCAAACAAGCATCATTCAAAAAACTTTTACCTGCAGAACAAAAGGTGCTCTTCTCAGGAACAGATATCCCTAACGCTGTCAAAAGAAAGGTAAGATCCTTCCTCCATATGTTGAGATCCATTATCATCCACTCCTTGAAAGGTTATATCAGTACTTGAACTTGTGATAGGCATTGTTCCTCCAAGTGGTCACCACTCTCTGCCGTTGTAGAATAACAAAGACTGTAATGATGAATGAAATGTTAGAATTGTAAATATTTTCATAGTAAATAATCAAAATCCTTTTTACTACTTTCACTTTTAGCTTTGGGAGAACCAAAATGCAAAAAGTCACCTATGGTGACTAGAAATATGCAAAGAAGAACGCAATGATAATTAGAATGTACACCACAGTAAGACTAAAGCCATGGAAATAATTGCTCTTTCCATCAATAGTCACATAGTTGAGAATGATCACTGCAAAGAAAATGGCAACCAAATCGAGTTGTGGGAATGTTAAACTGAACACTTTTGTGAAATCATCTTGGAAAATAATTACGCTGAATATAACAAGTGCAGGTACTTGAATTAAAGCAGTTTGAATACCTGCAACGTTGCCAATTTCCAAAGACAGCGTGACATTGTTTTGCAAAGCAAACTACAAGAAATAACGTTACAAAAAATTCATGAAACACTTTCACGCCTTACCTTAATGGCACTGACAATTTCAGAAATATTCGGAACGACAGCAAACACGGTGAGGCCGGCAAATTCTAAAGGAATTTTAAGCTCATGAAATGCTGGTTCCATAGATTTTGTCATACATTCTGCCACAAACGCGAACGCCACTGTAGCAACAAGTAAAATAATGACACACAACCATCTGGGCCATTCGGCTGCTCCATGTCCTCCATGGCCCTTGTTTTTTCCTTTCTCTGAATCTTCGTCATCCATTTTTGGAGGTCGTAGATAGTACTTGTTGTGTGTCTAGAATATTGTGTTAATGAAACATAATTGTCATAGTAATGGGACCCCTTACCTTCAACGCAAATATCAAACCAACCAAATAAGCAAGAGGTAGAATGGCTGCGGTTGTAAGCGCCAAAGGTTTTACTTTGTGGAGATATATTGGATCCTTAGTAAAATCTCTTTCCACATAAAAACAATTCTGGCATGCCAATGAATAGAGAGGGCTAGTACCATTGTTTGTTGAGTTGCGTCGAGCATCTACTCGTGGCCTTGGAAATCCAGTAAAGTGGCTGGTGGAGTTGTTTGTATTATTTTGGAATATTGCTGTGTCCATACACTGTACACAGCTTAATTCATAGTCTGAAAGCATAAATAACGTAGATATCATTTTAGCCATAATTAATGAATGCGAAAACTTACTTCCATAAATTGTGTAAAAAAGAGATGGAACAAAACATCCAACAACGGCAACCAGCAGCAATAAGGCAGAGGTTCCAGCAGCATGTCTGTTAAAGTATTGAACTTGATGTTTAAATCCACCAGCAATCATACTTAAACCAGGTATTAATAATGTATCTGCTAAAAAACTTCCAGTTACTGCTTGTACAATGACAGTAGATAATCCTTTCCACAAAGTTGCAAAATACAAGATAATCTCTACCACTGAACCAAAAGATGCATTCAGAAAAGCTCCAACAACATAATTACTCTGAGCAGATATTGAGCTCACAGCCTTGCTGATGTAGTAGCTAAGAGGAACAACAGCTAAAATACAAGAAATGAAGATACCAATACCATACTCTTCAACAAACTCATCTCCAAAAGCAAATCCTAGAATTATACTCAATGGTACAAAAGGTAGCATATTAATGAGTATAACGTTTGCACCAAATAAAGAGTATTTGTAGTAATAAAGGTTAAAAGCCTGATAGGTACAAACTATTATATCACTCTCGACATTGGGAGGAAATTGATGGCTAACATGAAGCTCCAAAAAACTCTTGAATAATAATTTGATTCCTTGATATTGAACTTTGGAAATTGGAATTCCAAATACTGTGAGCCAAGCAAGTAGACAGCACCAAGCATGAGCAATCACTAACATTGGTGCCAATATAACACACCAAATGATCATTGCAACAATCTTTACAAATCTGTTTTCCTTCTTTCGGAGGTTATAGTAATTAATATCTGTAGATTGTGAATTATCGTCTGCATTTCCAGCTAAAATAGAAGTGTTCTCGTTTGGGTTATTTGAGTTAATGACATGATCTTCAGCAATTATCCGTTCTACGTATTGTCCAAATGGATAAAAGAAATAAAAGGCAAATTCAAAACACTTTTTGCCATAACTAATACAAAATATGCTCAAAAAGCATAAAATTCCAACGAAAATATACACCAGAAACAGCCACCATCCAAAAAGAATTGAGTAGAGAATATTTCCAAAACCCAACATTCTATTTCTCTCAGGGTTTTTAACTTGCTCTGGTTTAAGGCCCGTTACTGGCTCATAAAGTGATTTTACCTTTTCACTTCTTTCTGCGATATCTCTTTTCGACACGTGACCTGTAAATAAAAAGTCATAACCAGAAAACGATCAATTTCACCAAAATTTGACACACAACTTCTAAATAACTGTTAAACCTACCAGCAAAAGGCATAATACCGAACATTGAATTCAATACAGCTTTTTTTGTTTCCAGTTCATTTTCCTCTTCTGGGATCATTATATCGGACATGGCATCCGCTTGTTCGTGTTCATCAATTCTCACGTGTTTTCTTCTTCTTATCCCACTTGAAGTGTTGCTGGTAAGAGCATGTTGTATCATATCCTCCGTCATTTCTTCACTGCCCCGACTGGCTCTATTTCTAGCATCTTGACCAAAGTCTTGAAAGGCTCCATGATGATCGGAAGAGGAAACAATTTGAGGCTCTTCTTGTTGGTACCCACTACTTTGATACGGGGAATAATGTTCCGACATGAAGTGTTGTAAGTGTTGTTGTTGTTGTCTGTGTGGATTGGTGTGAGAAGAGGAATTGTTGTTTTGGGACATTTTTTCTTCTCTTGAAAATCATCTAGATTTTTTGAAGATTCGAGTAACAACCTTTCTTCAATAGTAAAACCACTAATGAATCGTCCTTTATTGTAATGAGGCAATAGTAAGGCTGTTCTCTCATCATGATGTTTTACTTTTGTTGAAGGTGAAACAAAAAAATGAAACAAAGCTTGTTAGAAGGTTTGAATGCAGAAGGTAGCTTTCTTCAAACTGGTGATGATGTTCCAACAACGACTTCATCATCAGCACGGAAAAAACAAATCGGAGCATATAATCCTCAATTATTATCATCAAATCAAGACAGTACCACTGAACCCATCAATGATGAAGTGGTCGATCAAGAAATTGCAAGCATGAGCGAAGACCAAAGTAAAAGACAATTAGAGTGGATGTATGATAAAAATTTCGAAAATAATAATGAGGCCTCATTGGAGGAGTATCTAGTAGGAAACAAAACTTTGGATAAATTAGTGAAAGGAGGAGATTTTGTGGAAGAGGATTACCGAACAGTTCAAGAGCAGCACATGCCTGGTGCTCTCTTTGTTCATCATGAAGCAAAACATCATGGTGACGATACTATTGATGATCCTTTAGCGAGGATGAAACAGCAAAGTCTGGCTAGAATGAAAATGCTTTTGCAGAACCCTGAGTTGTTGCAAAAAGAATTGGACAAACGAAAGAAAGAAAAGAAAAAACAAGAAAAGAAGGAGAGAAAAGAGAAAAGGAAGGAAAAAAAGAAGGAAAAGAAAGAAAAATCAAAACAAGAAAAGAAAAAAGAAAAGAAAAAGAGAAAAGATGATAGTGACAGCAGTTACACCAGTTATTCAAGTGAGGAAGAGGTTAAACCCAAAGAAAAAAAGAAAAAGAAAGAAAATTCTGAGGAGCAAAAACCAAAATCCACGACACTGAGCACTCAAGCATCAAGCTCTATTGACACAACCTCTAAGGCAACAAACGACAGCAATGTCACACGTCAACAAAATCTAAACTATGAGAAACACCAGTACAAAGAACGTTATTACGGCAATAGAGAGTACAATAGAGACTATAGATATCAAAATAATCAATATAATAATGATCGAAGACTAGGACATGAACGAGGAATTTATCGAGATGAACCCATTTCAGAAGAAGAAACAAAGAAAAAACTTGAACAAATGATGAAAGATGGTCAACAAAGAGAACAGCAGAAAGAATTTAACAAAATTAAGAGCTTAAAAGAAAAAGAAGAGGCTTTAACCTCTATGCCTCAATCAAGTGCTCAATCGAATTTCTTACAAAAAACTCGAAGTGATGCTTATTTGAATTCCAACCTTAAGAAATCTAATAGATAGTGGAATATTCTCACCTTTCATTATCTGCAAGAATCAAATCTGATGCTATTTCAGCAATCATGACAACTGGTGCTTGAGTGTTTCCTCTCACAATTGATGGCATGACAGAAGCATCGACAATTCTCAGATTTTGCACACCAAACACTCGCAATCGTTCGTCAACCACTCCTTGCTCACTACTATTACTCATCCTACAAGTGCCTGTTGGATGATAAATTAGATCTACATTGTCCAGTGCATATCTAATTAAATGGTGTCTCTTCTCTTCTTCTGAATTGGAAGAGTTGAGGTTTTGAATGAGCTTCTTTACCTTAATAGTAGGTTCTAATATCACTTTTTCTCGCCTCAATTCTTCAGAAACTAATAAACAAAGCCTAACGGCCTCTGCAAGAGTGTTTTGATCATGCTCATGGCCCAGAAAGTTGCTATCAATGATTGGATAATCAAAAGGGTTGCTGCTCTTAAGGCTTACTGTACCTCTACTTTTTGGCTGTAGCAGTAAAGGAATAAATGTGTAACCATGCTGATGCAACGCAAAATTACCGCTTTCATATGCTACTGTTGGTGTACCATGAATTTGAATGTCATGCGAGTCACAATGATGATTGTCATAACATTTTTGATGCACCAAATCCCATTTGGAAGGACTATATCGTAACACTCGATCATGCTCACATTTCTTGGTTTTTAATAGAGTGTTTAGTTCTACTCCATTGGTTGTCAATTTTCCCTTCTTTTGAAACAGTAAATTAAAAATTTCAATGAATGGATTGGAAAGTATTGAGGAAATCAAGCTCTCAAAACTCGTTGTTAAATAGAATGGAATATAAGTAGCAACATGATCTTGTAAATGGCGACCAACATTAGGATTATTATAAATCACAGAAATGTTGTGCATTTTAAGCTGATTTTCATCACCAATACCTGAAAGCATTAACAATTGAGGAGTGTTAATAGATCCTCCGGATAGGATGACCTCCTTCCGTGCTTTCTTGACAATATACTTCTTCATTCGTTCATCAAAATATTCGACTCCAATAGCTCGAGTTCCATTAAATAAAATTCGAGTGACATGCGCTTGTGTCCTCACAAATAAATTTTCTCTCCTCAAAACTTGTTCAGTAAGGAAAGCATCTACTACACTGAAACGCTTTCCATTATAAATATTGACTTGAGTGTTTCCAACTGCTCCCAAATGCACCTCATTGTATGGTGCATCGGTTTCTTGATGGGTATGATGTGGGTTATTGAAATCGTCAATTATTGGAATCGAGAGAATTTTGCTGAAAGCTTTCACAATTGGCTTAATAACTGACACAATCTCATTTTCATTGTGGCTCTTAACAATCCATTCACCCTCCCTTCCGTGGTATTCATTAGAAAATTGTTGAGCATCTCCCATTTGACGCTGTGACTTTTTGAAATATTTCAACACATTTTCAAAGTTCCAAATTTTGCTTTTACCATCCCATTCACACTCATTCCACGAATCATAATCCTGAGGACTGCCTCTCATGTAAATCATTGCGTTTGTTGATGAGCAACCACCAAGTATTTTACCTCGTGGCCAATACATTTTCCGCAAGATATGCCCTTCATTAATTTTCGACTCGGAATCCAAAGTAAAATATTGCCAATCCAACGAACTCCAAAACGTAAAAGCATAGAGAAAGGAAAAATGTGCAAGTGGTGTATTATCTGATTTTCCTGCTTCCAATAATAGTACAGTAGAAGATGATTGGTTATTCAATAATAATTCTTCTCGGGAATATGAAAGACGATTAGCAAGTACCGAGCCAGCAGATCCACTCCCGACCACAATGTAATCAAATTCTTCAAAATCCAATCCTAATGAAAATCGTTGATGCTGTGCTTGCAGACGATCTTTGAAAAGATGTTCGGAATAGAGCCACGAAGCAATCAGCAGACACAAAATTGCCAACCAACACGAACATATTTTGAAAAAGCTGAACCCCATCCCAAGAAGCATTTTTTGAGCGAATACTGATCCTTCATCCATATTGTTTGGATTTCCAAATCTGGAAATCGAAAAGTTGGTTGTCAGAGTCCTCCCTCAACGACGTTTCAAAGACCCGAAATTTAACAAATTTCTAAATTGATTGTTTACAAAAAATGTCTCAACGCAACTCTTCTCGACAACCATCATCGGCCGAGAAGGAATGGCTTCTCGTAGGTCATCAATGGATATCACCCCTATGGTATGAAACCATTTGGTCCATCATTGAAGGAGTTCTCACCTTGATTCTCTATCCTTTGTGTTTGTTTGTTGGTTTGGCTAGTTTTGTGTTTTATCACTTGTTCAAGAAGAAAGGAAAAGAATTATTTAAATTTAATGCCAATCCCTACCATGGATATGACACTATTTTCTTGAATGGAGCTTCGAGTGGAATTGGAAAGAGCATAGCTTTGGAGTTGGCCAGAAATTTCGCAAAGAGAAAGAATCAAAAGAAATTTACATTGGTGATTTCTGGAAGAAAGCAACAAGCTCTCGAAGAAGTGAGACAACAATGTCTTGATATTATCAAGAAGGAATCAAATCATCCTGAAGAGGATTATGAAATTCTTATTCGATTATGCGACGTGACAGATGCCGAGAAAGTCAAAGAGTATCTTTCTGAATTTGACTTTGATTTGGTGATTGCTAATGCTGGAGTGACCATCTTTCAAATGTTGGATGAAAAAAGAAGTATACCTCGTTGGAAAAGCTTAAAGTCGATTTCAAGTGTTGGGACACAAACATGACAGGTTGTACAAATGTTGTTTTTCCAGCATTGGAAAAGATGATGGAACAAAACGAAAAAGGAAATAGCAAACGACGACACATTGTTTTAACAAGCTCAGGAACAGGCTATTTCCCCGAGTTGGGGTTGTATCCAATTGCAAAAGCAGCCTTGATCAATATGGGCCGATTCCTCCGAGCCAAGCTTGATAACAGTCATACTCATAACAATATTCGAGTTTCTGTTTTCGTTCCTGGTAAGTAATATTACACAAGAGGATCTGTTGTGCAGAGAGAGCGAATTGTTTTCTTGATATGTTTTAATATTAGGCTGGGTGTCTACCAATATGGCAGACAAATTCCCTCAAAAGGGTGCTCAAGTAGGTATGATTTCTTCTGAAGAAGCTGCACGATTGGCATGCTCTGGCATTGAACATGATTTGGAGATTATTGACATTTGTGGATTTTGGGGTGTCGTGCTAAGAGTATTGTTGAAATTCCCTTACACCTTGGGTTCACCATTGATTCGAATGATGGTTTAACAACTCACATCATTGAAGATAATTTTGATGAAACGAACTGTCATCATGATGTCACTCACTTATTAAAAACATGTTGACCCTAATATCCCCCGCCAGTCATAGGATTGTTTTTCTGTAAATGAATGCAGCAACGCCAAAAAAATCATCATGATGGAGCAACGACCTAGAATAATCCATAAGGGTAGCTCGAGAGAGGAGGTTCTTGAGGCTGTACAACAAGATGGTTTTTCACTTCGACAGGCCTCCAGTGATTATCAAAATGATTACGAGATTGTTTTTAAGGCAATTTCTCAACAACCACTGGCCCTGCAATACGCATCCGAGTTGATGAGAAACCACCGAACGATTGTAATGCTTGCAGTGAAGTGTAACAATGAAGCTTTTCAATTCGCTAGCCAGGACTTGAGAAACGATCCTGGAATTATTTTGAATGCAGTGAAAGGGTATTCATTAACGTTGAGCCATGTGTCCGACGAACAACTGTTACGAGATGAGGAATTCATGATGAGAGTTGTGAAGGAAAATCCTCTTGCTCTTGCTTGCGTTCCTGATGCATTAAGGGATAATCCAAAATTTATGCAACACGCAATTACTCGATATGATGCTAGCTTGTTATATGCCTCGGACCGATTGAAACACAACAAAGATGTTGTTTTACAGGCAGTAACACATAACCCTTGTAATCTACGATATGCAGCAGACAATCTGAGGCAAGATCACCAGGTTGTCCTTACCGCTTTGAAGCAATACGAAGGATCACTACTATATGCATCCGATTCGTTAAAGAAGGATCGACAATTTATGCGCCAAGCTGTTACGGTCAATGATTGCTCTCTAAAGTATGCTGACAATGAGCTCAAGAGCGATCCTAACTTTATTTTGGAAATGATCAAGATTAACTGCAATTCATTACAATTTGCGTGCAAAGATTTAATGACAAATAGAGAGTTTGCGTTGCTGGCAGTCAGAGAGAATGGGGCATGCCTTCAACATGTGGCAGATTTCCTGAAGAATGATAGAGAAGTTGTAGAAGCTGCAGTTCAACAAGACGGTTGTAGCTTGCAATATGCCTCCGAAGAAATGACTGCCAACTATGAAGTAGTTCTGAAAGCCATAGCAGAGGATCCTTGTGCAATGCAATTTGCTCACGAAGCCTTAAACAAGATCGCACTTTTATTAAGATGGCTGTAGAAGAGGATGGTCGTTGTCTTCAATTTGTTCCTGAGGAATTTAAGAATGACCTTAAAGTGGTGAAAAAGGCAGTACTCAACAATGGAATTGCTTTACAATATGCTTCATCAATATTGAGAAAAAATCCTGAAATTGTCAAGCTGGCAGTGAAGGAGGACCAGTTTGCATTAGAGTTTGCCGACGATGAACTCAGGCAAAATGAAGGCTTTACCAATGAAATCAAAGTAGAGAGTATTTATTGATGTCAAATACATATTTAGCCTGTACTTTGAATTGAGCAAGCACTGAACCTCGAATTGAGTGTCAATTTAATTCTATATATATTTGCATATAACAACAAGCACGAGCTGCAATGCAACAAAGAGAATCATTGACGATAATGAGCCTCTCATACATGAGCCAGAATCAATAATTTTGTTAGTGATGAAAGAACCAAAAGGTTGGGAGTCTCCAAAAACTATCACACTACAACCACTGCAATTATTCTTATTGCGAGAATACCACTGGTAAATATCGATAGCATCAGCTATAAAGGCGTGATATTTTCCGCTTTGTATCATTGGAAATATTTCATCATAACTCGCAGCCATTTTCACCAGTTGTGCTTGTTTAAGGTTTTCAGCAGCCCATTTGTCATGAATCGTTTCTGGAGATACGACAATGGTCATGCCAGGTTTGTTCAAGTCATCCACAGTTTTGAATGAGGTGGAATTGTCTCTTCCTGACCTTAACACACTTTGAAAACTCTTCCCGTAGGCGCAATTGAATTTCACTTGTGCTTTTCTTTCATCATTCCAACTAACACACGAAGTGACAATGTCACAAACCCCTGTGTCAACTTGCGTTTTCAAAGTGCTGAAAAAACCCTTAGCCATACTTGTAGGTTTGAAATTGGCTGTAAAATTCGAAAATTGATAGTGTTCTTTGATGGCTCGAGCGATCATCTCTCCACTTTTCATGTAAATCTCTTTCCATGGAGTGGAGGACTCCATGTCAAAGCAAATATTAATGTAATTTCTAGAAATGTTGATGAAGGGTGGATATTGAGGAGACCCGACACATTCAGGAACTGGGAATAGTATTCCTCTTTCTTCCAAGTAATTTGTCCATTCTTTCGTGACAACATATGAGGATGTGGCTGCATCTAAAGCATCTGCAAAGGATTTTGGAATACCAACAAAATTACTCTGGCAAGAAACTTGTAACATCAAGAACCAAATAATAGAACTGATAATGAGCAAGTGAACGAGAGGTTGTTGAGTTATCCTTGCTCTTACAAATTGTTGAAGCAATGATGATTCTGACATTACCAATGACAAGAGATTTTTTTTGAGTTTGTTGTTTTGTTTTTTTCCTTCTCGTACTCCAACTACAGAGATATCTTCTTTCATTGAGGGAAACTGATAGGTGGTGAAGTCGCTTCAAAGATAATGAGATACATCTCTACAAAAAAGTACGTAAAACTGAGAGTCACAGGACAAGAAGATGTTCAACGCTAATTCTCAAGGAGAGTTTGGAATAACTCCAACACTCCGGCTCGATCAAAAGGCCGCTTCAAGAAAACGCACAAAAATAATCCAAAAAAAATGGGAGCAAGCTCTTTCTCGCAAGGATCGACGGTCGTTCAAAAGAATATCGGAAATACTCGGGTAGCATTCTATGCATCAACGTGGCTTGTATTGGTGATAGGTCTTTCGTTTATCAATAAGGGAGTATTTAAATGGACGGGGTTCAAGTATCCAGTGTTGTTATCAACGGTTCATATGGTGGTGAATTGGATATTGTCCGTGCTGGTATGGAAGAGAATAGGAACGAGTAGTACTTCTGAAGAATCATCATCAACTGAAAAATCGAAAAACAGTGGACGATTGATCATGTATTTTTCATTGTTGTTTGTGTTGAATATTGCCTTCGGAAACATGAGTGTGAAAGTAAGTGTTTGGTATCGAGACTTGAAATTACTTAGCTGTCTTTCTCAAACTTTGATAATGTTCCAAATTTACATTCGAACAGGCAGTGAATTTATTATTGAGTCAGGTGTTTAGGTCCTCAATGCCAATATTTATCATGATTTCGTCTATTATTTTGAAAGTCGGAAATAGACCATCATTGAATGTCATTTTGACAGTTTTGCCAATAATTGTTGGAGTTTATTTAACATGTCAACAAGGTAATTCTGCACAAGCAGCAAAGAAGGCAGACCAAGAGGATGTAATTAATTGGAAATCACTCATCATTCTCCTCACAGGAAATATCATGTGTGCTCTCAAAACCACCCTTACCAACAAGTATTTGAATCAATATCAATTACATCCAATTTATTTATTGAGCCAATTATCTATGTGGAGTTCATTTGGAATGTTTGCATTGGCATGTATGCTTGGAGAAGTGAGTGATCTCTTTTACAACAATTGGAGCATTCTTTACAACGTGAACACCATCGCATTCGTGCTTACAAGCGCATTTGTTGCATTTTTATTGAATCTATTTAATTTCTTGGCTAACTCCTCGACTAGCCCTCTTACCATGGGAATTTTGGGTCTCGTCCATCAAATCATGACTGTTTATTTGAGCACAATTGTTTTTGATACTCCACTCACCTCAACAAACATTATTGGTATTTGTTTGGCAATGGTTGGAAGTGCTCTCTATACTTTTGTCAAGTATAAGGAACAATTTAAACCAAAGGCACCATAGTGGTGAGTTTATATTGTAGTCCATCTTTTTTGTAAATAGTATTTATTAACCATGGTGGCACTTTTGATTCCAATAAATTAATTTTAAAAAATGGCTTTCACTCTAAAAGTATGTTTTCTTCAGTGCTTCGGATCACAGCTGAAGATATGATTTCAATGAATTATTAAATAATTGGATAATGATATATCATCATTTCAATTTCAATGTTGGTTAATTTTCATCAATCTCCGATGTTCCAATAATTTCAAACAATTTCTTCTTTTCCAAATGATACCTTCCTATACATCCAGATTCGATATTTTCCACCAGCCATTGTAGTGATAACAGCAGTGTGTTTATTATTTTGTATAGTGTTGAGCTTGCTTACGGCATCAGAAGATGTTTCCAAACATTTACCTGCTCTTTCCGAAACTGGAATTTATCCTCCAACAAAATATATATTTACAGCATGTTTAGTTCTGCCATCATTGTGTTTATTGATTGCCTCTTTTTTACAATACTTTACGATGAAAGAAAAATTATTATCCATTGAACATCAACGTCACACTACTGTTTATTGTGGAGGATATTTCAGAATGAGTTGGTTGAGTGTGGCTTCATGCATATTTTCTCTAATTGCAGGTATTTGCTTACTTGGATTGGCAATTGTTCCAATTAAGAAGGGAGAAATTGTTAACATTCTTAAAAGCAACACGACATCGTTATCATTGGACTCGGATTTTCATGATCTATGGAGCTATGAAAATAGAGCAGCGGTTGCTATTCCAATTTTTACAAGATTACAAAACAGTCAGTTATCGATATCACTGCCTAATAGTATTTCTCAAAATGCTGATTCGTCAGCTGAAATGACAATTGATGCCATCACTGTTGTTCATTTGACGTTCACTTTTCTATTTATGACTACCACATTTATTCACATGATTTTATCAACGATTTTGCATGTGGTACGTTTCACCTTGGATCTTACGAAACAATAATTTACTGACACAATGACTTTAAATTTCACAAGATGTACGACAAGAAAATTTCTGCCAATAAGAGAAAACTCCATCCATGGATTATTGTCAAAATTTGTTGCATTGTTTCCTTCCTTTTAATGTGGCCGACAAGCTCCATCATTATAGGACTTTTTATTTCAATATTTTGTGACATGCCTCAAATTCTCGCAGGAAAATGTGGTCTCTATCACATTGTTGAACTGTTTTTAGGAGCATTGATTCAATATGGAATTGTCTCTTCCATTCTAGTGTTCATGCTCACCTACACACATGATCTCAAAGACACTACGTTATCCATTGGTGTAAATACTCCAAGCTCAGACATTAATGCTCGCCTCAATGGTCTATCTCTCGAAAGAGATTTTGAATTGGATGATGATGATTTAGAAGATGGTCATCATCATGATGGTGATGTTGAAGCAACGTTAAAGATGCAGGATGAGGACGAAGAGAAATAAACTAAATTTTCAATTCTAATTGTTCTGCATCGACCGTAATTTTGCGATACACAAGTTTTCGAACCTCGTCATTGGAAAAAAGCAATCGAAGTACGACGTCATACATGTTTTGAATACATTGCTCACAAAGCCGATCAATGAACAAGTCAATTTCTTGTGTGTTTTGTGACTTGATCAGTTCGTGCAATTCACTTGAAAGCTTGTCAATGTGTGGAGTGTTAATTTCAAGGGGAGATCCTCGTTCCAAGTAATGTTTCAAAATATGCATTAACATTCGTTCTTTGGTTTCCCTTTTTGTGGCTTTTCTAAAATTCTTAATGTCCACGTAGAGCATGACATTTTCTGAACAATAGCTTCGTCTACTAAAGTCGACTAAACTATCAAATGTTTTCTTATTCGAAAGTATTCTCTCCACTAAGTTTTTGTTATCGAGAGGAACATCCTCCTGATTCTGTCGTTGTTGGTAAAATTGATAAATGGACCAAACGACAGGAATGGTGACATAGACGATTAGTTGAAGGAAGGTGAAAATGACCATTAATTGGCCGTACGGAACAAAATAATCGACTAAATTTCGAATCACCTCAAATTGAGAAAGTATTAAATATCCACTAATGGAAAACAAGAAGAATAGAGTGACAATGGACGTTTCCAACTTGATACCATACGTGTCTCGATCTGAAAACCATGAAATGATCAAGACCAAAGCACTCAATGCCAAATAAAAGGAAAATTGAGTAGCGACCATGATTGCTGTGTTTTTGTGCACACCACAACCACTTGTGAAATTTGACAGTCCCATTTCATAATCGGTCAAATGAGGTGCCACATATTGAATGATTCCTAACAAGAGCCACAAGGAAGAATGAAAAGAAAATCCAGCAACTGCAGTCATGATTTGAAACGTAGAGCTACATATAAACCTTAATACTCGAAACTTCCATAAATCACTTGAAGAAAATGGTCGAGTGTGGAAGGAACTCATCATGGATCGACTTTCGGTCAATTCATTGAACGCTGTAGGATCTTTGGATTCCTTGTTGTCGAAGGAGATTGAAAAGTGACAGTTGGTGTGTGATCACATTGAGATTTTGGTGTTTGAACAATGTCCAGAGATTGAGCACGTGGAATCTTGTTGTTTTGTGTCACATCCACTTGGAAAGCTGCTGTGGTTGTGTTTGTTGAAACAGTGTCCACCACATCACTGCTTATTTCACAATTTGAAAGTTGTTTCTTTTCATCCAACAATCGATACAATTTAAATTTCGCATACAGAGCTAAACATTTACAAATACATGGCAATGAAATTACTTGTGGAATGTTAAATATAATGAGAATATACAAGCCGCAAGGGAAAATCTTTCTTCCGATGGCCCATCTCAATGTTGGAAAGACAATTCCAAACGCACATGAAAGGGTGGTCCAAATTAAGGTAAACAGTCCTCTTGCTTGTAAATGACGACTTTTTCTCATCCAAATTAAACCCAATACTGATAATGGAGCAAGTATGGTAAATATGAATAGTTCAAAGGATGAAAGGGAAACACTGAATACAGTTTCGGGACAGAGTCCATTCGAAATGGTTGCATTGAACGGTTCCATGCTGAGAGATCCCAAATTTAGTAATAGTGGATGACATGGACCACTCATGGACGTTGTTGTGTTATTGGTAATGAAAGTGTCATTCATAGATTCTATCATTTGTCCATATTCTAGGTTGTTATTCAAATTCTTGAGAAGGGACGTGGTTTGTTTGATTTTTTTTCACAGTTCGAGACAATCTCTCTTTCTAGATGAAGCTATGTGTGAATGGGAGAGATGAAAGAAAAAGATGCTGCAGAGAGATAAAGACCATATGGGAAGTATTTTGAACAAGCTCATAAATTCTGAATGTAACCATTAAGATAAATTCTCATATTCAAGTATCCGAATTCCAAATGATAGAAAAATGTTGACAGCCATTCAAAGTGTTCAAAGTTCCAAACCAAACCAAGCATATGAACGATCATTCTATGTTTTGTCATTCCAAACATGAAACAAGGCACTTCTATATATTATTCAATCAAAATGAACCTATTAATTTCAACGTTCATTATCTGTTTGCTTTTTTTCAATTTTTCGAAACAAATCAAAATTGGAAGAATGATTTCTTTGTAAAATTTCAACAACAACAAAAAGAACAACCATCCACTAACCCTCACCATGACTGATTCTTCTCATGTAACTCCTTCCTCAACTACTACAACAACAACAACTCTTCTCTCAGCTGCATCCTCAACGTCATCCACATTACACATGAAAGAATGGGTGGCAGGATGTTTCGGAGGACTTTCACAAATTCTGAGTGGTCATCCCTTGGATACGATCAAAGTGAAAATTCAAACAGCAACATGCAATTTACAAAGATCTTTGTCACCCATGAGTTTGTTGAAAGAGATTATTCAAACAAAAGGAATTCGAGGATTGTATCGAGGAGCTGTAAGTATTTCTATTCATCAAAGAGTTCAATCTTATCAAAATCTTCTTGATGGATATCGAAATGAATCATCTAGATGAGTCCACTTTTCGGAGCTTGTATTTTAAATAGTGTCGAATTTGGAGTCTATAATGAATGTAAGCAATGGTTCAATAAACGACATGACACCAATGAAGGACCACTTCCTCTTTACAAAATTGCAATTGCTGGAGCATTGGCAGGAGTTGCTGGTTCAGTGGTGACAACTCCCACTGAATATTTGAAATGTAATTTACAAGTAGAATCGAATATGAATCATGTGAAATTCAATGGACCATTTGATTTGATGAGACATCTTTACAAACATCAACTTGCCCATTCTTCAAATAATTCGAACAGTCATTCCTTCATTGTGAAATATTTGCATCAAATACGATCGTATTTACAATTTTACAAGAGTGTGAATAGAGGATTTGCAATTACTACTCTTCGAGAAAGTGGACTTGCCTTATATTTTGGATCATATGAAGCCACCATTCGATTGTTACAATCGATACACACGAGGAGAGACAACAACAACCACTCTCATCCTATTAAGCCACCCACATGGCATTCCTTAATCGGAGGAGGAATTGGAGGACTCGTTTTTTGGACCGTCATGTTTCCAATCGATTTGATTAAAACGAGAATTCAAATAGACTCTATTCAGAGTTTAAATACAACATCATCCACAAGGTCCTACGTCTCTTCATGGGAAATGATGAAACGAATCTATTTGGAAAATGGAGTATTCGGATTTTACAGTGGATACAAGTCTGCAATTTTGAGAGCTATTATTGTGAACGCAGCCGTGTTCGCAACCTACGAACAAGTCAAACATTTCATGGACAGAGGAGGACATTAATTTTGAGATCGTACACAATTAACATTTAATACAACAGTGGGAAGGCATCCGAATGTTCACATGAAATCATCCTTCGGAGCTCTGTGTGTGAAATTATTTTCCTTCATGAGAAATAAAGGGAGTTATCCTATATAATAAACTTGATGTGTAATATTAATTCAGAATGATCATCATTCATTGGTCACATCATCTTTGCTTGTAACGTGGCCAGACCAAAGTCTCATTACGGAGTTTTCACAATAGGAGTTGTTGAAAATGGTCGTTTTTTAAAAATTGTACCTTCAAAAAAAATGAAAGCCTTCCTTCTTGCCGTTATTTTGGTTCTTGGTAAGTGTTTGACGATTGAAAATTATCATCATTGATTCATACTGAAATTCAATAATAACATGCTCATTGGTGGATTAATGTTGTTGATCATGGTGCATTATGATGAAAATGTTTTGGCTGGTTCGTGATGAACTACATGTCTTTTCGGACGATTGTAATTTTTCATCGGTGATTTTTATAATGATGATGATAACGATATGCGATGATGATAGCCTCTCTTGCTGTTGTTTCTGCTGCTCCAAGCGAGTTCTGCGATGTCTGCAAGTATGCCGTTCAACAAGTGGATCAACTTGCTCTTCAAAACGAAGCTGGTATGTATGAATGAGAACAATATTATTTCTGAAATACTCACATGTCTCATTTCCATATTTACTCGATCCTATGATTCATTGAAAATTCATAGCTATTCAAAACGCCCTTCTTGGTGCTTGTCAACAATTGGGAGACAATCAATTTGGAAAGATCTGTAACACTATTGTTCTCGTTTACGGAAACGAACTTATCAATGCTTTGGTGACCTATGAGAATCCAACTCGTGTCTGTACTGACCAATTGCCATTGTGCCCAAAGAATAACACTGTTGCTACTCCTGCTCCAGTCGTTGTTCCAAAGGAAGAAGTTAAGGCCACTGCTGGTGATGCTGAATGTGAAATTTGCAAGTTCTTGATCCAACAAGTCGAAGCATTCATCGCTTCTAACCACTCTCAAGCTGAGATCCAAAAGGAATTGAACAAGTTGTGTTCATCTGTTCCTTCCATCTTTACTCAAACATGTTTGAGCGTTGCTAGAATGGTTCCATACATTCTTAAAAAGCTTGAAGAACACAATTCACCAGGTCAAGTCTGTCAAGGCTTGCACTTGTGTACGTCAAGCGCTGTCAAGACCATGCCAACATTCCAAGTTGATGCTGAAGTCAAGGGACTTATTCCGTAAGTATTTATGTATCATTTTTAACCAAATAACTTGTCATTGGTTTTATCATGTGAAATTTTTTACACATATAGATGTCCTGCTTGTTTGATGGCTATGGAGTTGGTTGAACAAGAAATTTCTCAATCATCTGTTCAATCCTTCGTTGAGGACAAGTTGAAGAATGTCTGTGCCAAGTTGCCATCCACTTTCTCCGGATACTGTGCATCCTTGGTCAACCAATATTTCCCAGTTTTGGTTCAAAAATTGTTGTTGGCTGTCAGCCCAGAGAAGATTTGTAAGCTTGTTGATGCTTGTCCAGCATCATCCTCTAAGGCCGTCAAAGCTCTTAAGGCTACCATGGTCAAGTTGAACTAAATAAATTTTGCAGAGCCACGTTTATGTTTAGCGATCCGAAATCCCAAACTGTAAATAAGAGGCTCAGTTTAAGGAGTACACACGGACCAACTTTCATTTACTTGAACTAACTTTAAATGTCAAAGGCCATGCTTGTTGAATCGAGAAAATCAACAACGTTAAAAGCCTCAAGTTGTGGATCGCCAGTGATAAGTGTATACACTCCATGTTGCAATTTTTCTGCTGTTGCCATTATTACAAACAATTCTGATGTCAAATCGTGCATGTGATATTTCTGTACACTATTATTAATCATGACATGCTTCATGAGAATTCTCTGTATTTTGTCAGGGTTCAAAGTATCAATATTTCTCATCGAGTGTACATATCTTGCGAGGGCAATGGCCTTTCTGTTCAATAATCGTACAAACTCAGAAATTAGAGAGCATCTTATGGAAGGATAGATGGTTAGCGGAATTACTCGTAATAATACATAGAACAGTTCTTGTACGCTTGTACATATTCTTTTTGCTTCTTCATAGTGGTCTCTAAATTGTTTGTCTCCTCCTGTTGTCTGAACTCCAAAGTCATTCAAAATGTTCTTAGATTCAGACTCTTCGAAATATTCTCTTTTGAATGCTTGAAAGTAGTGATACTTTTTAAATGAAAACACTTTTCTCTCTTTTAAATCTACAACTGTTATTGGATATCTTCCAGAGAGTAGACATTTGGTAGGTATTAAATCTTTCCAGTGTGACAGATCTGGAGTGATAACAAGTCCTTGTACAAATACTTCTGGTTTAAAAACGTTACTGGGGTTCAATAATTTCACATTACCGCTTTGGGTAATTTTCTTGAAGAAAGATCGAGCTTGAGTTTGAGGTTGTGGTGTACTAATTTTGGTAGCATCAATTTTGTGGGCATGATTAATAAGTTGTTTTTCATGCTGAGAGAGAAACATGGCAAGAGTGTTGACCCAAATATTAATTTCTTTCACTTGATTGGGAGTTCCCACTACAACGCTGTATCCATGGGTTTCTAAATGTGATGTTACGGCTCTTTGCAAGAATAAATTATCTTCCTCATTTTCATATAATCTCTTCAAGGATGTTTCGTCATGAAAGAGTGTGTAAAATAAATTAAATTTAGGTGGTTCGAATGCAATCTTGCTTAATGTGTCAAACAACTGAATAAATTCGTTGAGATGTGGTGTAAAATTTGAAAGAACTTCTGCTTGATTTGAACTCATAAATGTATCAGCAAAATGCTGCAATATCTTTGCAAGAGTAATTAATTTTTCCTTGATAATAAAGTTAATCACCATATATCTGGAGAGGTTATCTCGATTCATGACCAAATTAATTGTGAATAATGTTGGTGGAGGATCTGCCTTTCTCCTGAAGAATGATCTCGAGCCTACCTTCTCCCAATTTTTACTGCAGAATACAGCAGTAAGAACCATGACATTTAAATCCGACATGATATTAAATTTGATTTCAATGTTGGATCCAACTTCTTCATATCTTGGCATATCATCCATGAGAGAAAATCTTGTAATAAACATGATATTATCATCACTCAGGTATTCTCTTCTGGAAATAGTTCCATTCCATACCTGCAGAGGGCGAGGTCCCATGCTGTTGTCCCAATATGAAACAATTAAATTATTTAAATAACAAGTTTTCAATAGGTTGTCCATATAACTATTAAAATTGGTTGCAACACCACTCAGATCTTCCTCCGACGTTGTTGTTAAAATATTTGAGAGATTATGAATTTCTGGTGATGATGCAACAGTATTATTTACAAGTGGTGGCTGATGAGTAGGCTCTTGCGAGGATGCTGTTGTTACTTCTCGCTCATGGTGGATGGATGTCATGGATTTATCCTCTTCTTCCTCGTCTTCATCATTCGTATTTACAACTTGAGAGACCTCGTTGTTCGGTCCGATCCAGTAAGCGTTCATGATTATTTTTTGTTTTGTCAAGATCAGTTCTCCAGATTTTTCGACTTTTTGCCTCAAGGGCTCATAAAAAAAACAACTCCCCCAAGTGGGCTCGAACCACTGACCTGCAGATTAACAGTCTGACGCTCTACCGACTGAGCTATGGGGGAATTCGATAAGTCTTTTTATTTTCTTCTAACACAATTAACAGTGCATACTTTGAAATGAAATGGCTGGAGTGTTATCTGGTTTCGTTTAAAAGAAAATGTGGCAGCTTCGTCAACACAAATTTTTCAAATCAGCCAAGAGAAACGCAATCCGAGTGGAGGACGATTTTGGGAGCGATGAAGAATCCTATTCCAATGATACTGACAGTGACGATGGTTATGAGGATGAAGAGAGTGGAAGGGGAAGTTTCATAACCTTGGACGGAGATGGTGATGAAGAAGAGGAATACAGTCATGATTCAGAAGATGAGCATCGGGATCATCAGTTTATCAACTCCCGTTTTAGAGGCTATTCACGAAACAGAAATTTATCACGTAAAAACAAATTGTCAAGAAGAGGTAATAGTGTTGATCAAACTCATCGTCTCAAAAAACAGAAACATGAAAAGTTAGAGTGTACATTAGTGATAGGAGTTGTTGTGTTTGGATTAGCATTATTATTAATTTTAGGATTTATTACCATTTATTCAAAATCAAACAATAATCATATTTTGCAAAAGGACAACGAAAAAGGTTTTATTGTTCATAATTCAAATGAAGATGAAACTAAAATTGATAATGATGGAGATGGACATCACTCACATTCTCATATTTTGCGAGGAGATGCAAAGCATGGGAAGAGAAAGGCTAGAACGAAAATTCCCAAAATTCGATCTCGTCTCCACCATCATGCAGCTAGCAATGCATCCTCGTACTTTGAATCGATCTTACCAGTTTTACCGTTTGACGAGTTCATATTTGAAAATAATCCAATCTCCAAATATCGATTTTACACAAAGCACAAAATGAGTATACAAAGATTTGACAATGTTCATCTTGGAAAACATACACCACTTGTGTCTGTCATAACCACGTGCAGGAATTTGGTAGATGCGTTTAAGCATACACGAGATTCAATTATTCATCAAACTTTGAAGTATTTTGAATGGGTGGTAATTAGCGACACAAACGATGCGAAAGGTAAACCAAAAGACTTTTTGTTAAAAGCTCTGAGGTTGAGTCCAATGTCAAATTTGATTTCACAAACAGATGCAGAGTCAGTTTTTAAGAGCGACAAAATAACTCTTGTACAAATGGCAAAAGAGCTTTCAACAGGAGCGCTAAGAAACATCGCCACCAAGCATATTTCCCCTTATTCTAGATATCTCATGTTTTTGGATTCAGGAGACATGTTAGAACCCTCTGCCTTAGAAAAGATGTTTTTATTTATTGAGATACAAAAAGAGTCTAGGAAAAACCAAAAGAAGGCCCTTAAAACAATTTCATTGATTAATTCAAATAGCGTGCAATTTTCCAAAATATACTTTTTCAATTTTGAGAAATTCCAAGAGATGACCCATAGGATTCCTTTTGAACCAACACCATTCTCTAGCTTCATGATTGAAAAAGAAGTATTTGATAGCGTAGATGGATTCAACACTCAATTTGATAACGGACTAGAGCTATGGGATTTTTGGATGAAATTTATTAATGCAGGTCACAGAGGATGGACCATGTCAGAAACTTTAATTTGGAATCGAATTGACGAATCCAGGAAAATAGGAACCAGGGTCGAGCATGAACCTAATTCCCAAGAGCACGAATTTATTGAGACACACCTTAAAAAACTCTATCCATCGCTGTACAAAAAGAAAGCGCTGGAATCGCTTAAAAAGCATGGATATCTGAAAAAAATTAATCCTGAAGTACAAATTTCCAAACCAATCATACGAAGATTGTCCCATCAACATCACAAAGTTCACAAAGGAAACCACAAATCAATATTGATTATTACAGAAAATTTAAATCATGACTTGCACAAGTTGGAGATCGTACAGCAGTTATTGACAGCTTTTTCTTTGGAGTACAATTGGCACGTAACAATTATCACAACTGATGGATCAGGGTTTAACCACCGATACAAGTCAGAATTTGAGAGATTTACCAATGACGTGTTTCATGTGCGAAATATTGTAGACTCCAAGGAACTGGTGAACGAAAAGCATGTGTCGCTTCTAGCGATGTATTTAATGAGCTCAAGACACATCCACAACGTTTTCATTTTCGAAAGCCAATTAGCTTATAAGATTTTACACATGATTCCACAGGCCATAGCTGATTATACGCATGTCATAGATTACATGTACTCCACTCATACTACTGAGTACATTAAGGAAAGTGTTAAGAATGATGCACTGTTGCACAAGACTTTTCTATCCTCAAACGATCTCTCGTCTAATTTTGGACAGTTCATCGAAATTAAGTCCGACAAGAAGGCGTTGCTGTTTCCTTCTGCTGTCAATAATCATGCATGGTCACCTTTGAATTCGGTTACAGAGTTTTCACAATATCGTTATCAAGAAGAGAAGGCACAAAGATTTTCAATGTTAGGAGACAAACAAGTTTTGGAATTTGATAACAATGACCATCTCGTGCTAAGTTATATAATTTCTGGAGAGGAAAATTCTCGTTGCGACAGCATGATTCTCAAAATTCTTTCCAAGATATTGCAAAACACACAAGAAAATCTAAAGAGCATCAAAATAATGCTCCTTACCGACATACGATCATCCTATCTATTGGATCAACATCCAGATCCGCAAAAGCGAAGCGTAGAATATTTATCTGAACAAGCCAAAATTTCATCTCAAACACTTGCTCCGTTCGAAGAATTAGCAAAGAATCATCCATCCAGAGTTTTATTTGTCAAACCAACCACACAATCCACCACAAGATCTCTTCGAAACGTTTTGAAACGCTTTTCTCCCCTAGCTCATATTACCTTAATGACAGAAACATGTCCTAATGTGGCCAAAGATTCTCCTTCTGTCACGCTTGCACCAACAATTTTCCAAGCGATGGCCATTAAGAACGCAGTTATCGCCCTCCACAACAATAATCCGTCTGTAGAGTCTTTTTTCAAGAGTTTAACGTTGGAGGTTCTGTTTCCTTTGATCTGAACGAGAATGAAAGTATTTCACAGGTGATACGAGTATTGACTCATTGGATTCAGAATCCAAACGAGTTACAACAGATTCGAAGCAACAATCTGGAGCTTTCTCTGAGTCATTTCAACGTTCACACAATGGCACAAACCATCTACTCGAACGCCATTCATTGATTCCCAAAATAAAATGAATTTCTGTGGTGAACCCTGTAAAAATGTCTTGATGGTGAACTCAGCCTTGTCCTGCTCACGATTTAAACGAGGCCTGGTCATCCCATCATCAATAACAAAACAAAATCAATACTTAAACTACAACACGTTAGCAATAATTATGACTGTACATAATCAACCATATTTTGCTCAACAAACACCATTCAACAGCAATTTGCAGAGAACCAACACCATGATGATGAAGAATAATAACATGCCAATGGTCGTTCCGATCAAAATGATCATCAAGAAGAAGGTTCTAAAGAACAAGGCTTCTGGTTTTGCCAAGCCACCAAAACCAACTCTTCTTCTTCACGAAGATAGTGTTTATCAAGGACTCTCCTTTGAAACATTCACCCAAAACGTTCATCGCTTATTGGGTGAAGAAGTCGCCAAAATGAAAATTAAAGTAAGACTCAACGAAAAGAAGAAATTCAAAGCCATTCGTGATGAGAAGAAGTGGAACAAGATTGTCGTTGAGAATTTATTGGCTAACTTCAATGGATCTCCAATTGAGTTCAAGATTATTGTTAAGCTCGCTGCTTCCGACAACAACAAGGCTGTCATTCCACAACAACAACCCATGCAACAACCATCATATGTTGCTGTCAATTCTAACGTGATGAGACCATCTTGGGTTGGTGAGGCAAAGAAAGATGTTGTCACTGTCTGCAATCCAAACTTGATGATGATGAAGAGCGAATCATCATCAGCACCACCATCCAATATGGAAGAACAACAACCAGTTCAATATCCATCGCTCAATTGCAAGAGACTGGTCACGAGAATAATGATAGTAAGGCTCAAGCATCATTGCCTACTGATGCATTAACTCCTCCACTCTCTGTTGTTGCAAAGAAGAAATCGAAAAGTGTTGCTTCACTGAAGAAGAAAGGCTCATTTTGATGAATAAGAAAGCTGAAGTTCAGCTATTGAAATCTCAACTTAAGTTGAAGAAACAAGATTTGAAGAACTATAAGAAGGAAATCAAGATGAAGAAGAAGGATCTTGCCTCTCAAAACGTTGAACAAGTTGGTATGGAAAATTGTGCCACTACTGAAAGAATTTATCCCACTCTCGTTTCATCCTCAGATTTTGAACAGAAGATTCGTAAACACAAGCATCATCACGGCAAGGAATTGAGTGCTGAGAAGCTCTTGTGGAAGCAACAAAAAAAGCTTGAAAAAGAGAAGAAAAAGCTCGATAAAGATTCTCAAAAACAACTCAAGAGAGAGCTTAAATTGAAGAGGCTTGAACATAAGGAAACAATGCGTGCTCAAATTGCACTCAACAAACAAGATGACATTGACCTTAGTAATGGTGAGATTTTGAACATCCCATACAATGTGACACAAGTCTTCATTGATGGAAACAACATGTTCTTCATGACCAAAACAATGAGAGATCTCATCTTGAAGAATAAGGATAAGGTAATGGTTGAAAAGTTGATCATTCATATTGCTCAAAAGTTTGCTCGAATTCTCTCAGATAATCGCCAACCTCTAAAGATGTTACATATTTGCTTTGATTCAGCAAGCCTTCAAGTCGTTTGTGTGAAGGATACATTTGTTGTATCCAGCGCCGCTCAACATGGCTTCACAACTGCTGACGACATGCTTGTGGACATGGCAATGAGACAGAATGTAGCTGGTTCCGTGGATTCTTGTCTTTTTGTAACCTCCGATTTGGCATTGAGAGAAAGATTGAGAAACTCAGGAGCAAAATGTATTGGATCTGGCTCTTGGATGAAATCATGCTATCAAAAGCTTTGTGTGAATACAGAGCTTCAATCCTTGGATGATTGGATGGCTGTTGAATTGAAAGAACTCAATTACACTCTCTAAAGATCTCAACAATCACTGCTCGATGTAAATAAACAACAACAATTCACAACAATAAGTTTCGGAATGAGCGTGAAAAAAAAAAATGAACACTTCGCAACAAGCTATGGATACCAAACAATTAGAATCCCTCATTGAAGAAGGTAACTCCTTTTTTAAAGCACAACAATGGAATAACGCCAAACAAAAGTACAGTTTGGCGATCGGATTGCTGCAAAATTATGGTGAATTTCAACAACAGCAAGATTCAAAATATCTTGAACAACAATGGGTCCGAGTGCATAATAATAGAGCACAAGTACATTTGATGTTGGTATGTACATGTCAACATTTATTGACTATAATTTTAATCTAGAAAGAATATAACGAATCTTTGACCGATTGTCATCAAGTTTTAAAATTTGATCCGCTCAACGAGAAGGCAATAATTAGACTTATACAGAGTCTCAATTTCTCGGGAGCTAAAGAGCTTGCTTTTGAAGGTAAGTATTTTTTACAAATTGTTAATATTCATTCACGTTTGAAACAATTATTATTTTGACATTTAACTATCTTTAATCATGGAAAAATATGCAACTAGCTCTTTTGAACGGATTACTGAAATTACCTGGTAATGACAAGCTGGAGGCTCAAAAAGCTCTCTTTCCAAATTTTTTAGATTTACATGATCTTATTGCTTTGGGATGTGAGCAAACAAATAAGTATATTTTCTCTGTTAAGCAATTGAAAGGAATCGAACACAAAGCCTATCATGACACTTGGAGAGTTGAGGACTATTTTGATCCAACAAATGAAAGCAGATGCTTTGACATTCCATGCCCGCCAGAACAGTTCATAGTTGACAATGACATCATTGAAAAGGAAAAGCAATATTTTGAAAGTATGTTAGTCTAACATTCAATTTAGGTACACTAATTTCTTTGCAAACTCATTCATCATTCTTTTTAAAATAGATCTTTCAAAGAAAAACAAAGGAACTCTTCCACAAATATTTGACTATGGAAATATTTATTGTCGAAAACCTCAAATTGCAACAGATCCAGAATTTCCATTGACGTATCAATATTATTATAAATTCTCTCATGGAGAAAAAAAGCCCCTTGGTTTTGCAAACATTGCATGGTTAAGATCTCTATTTAAATTACAAGCAAACAAAAAAGATTTATTTATTTTACTTCCACAAACCCAAAGTATGGAGTCATGGACATTGTACAAAGTGAAAGATTTCGGAATTCAATTTGGCAATGTGAGATGTAAATCTACAAATTGGTATGCCATTCACAGAGGAGATGTAGTAGTGAGAGACTTTGATAAGCACATTTGGTCGTTATTAATTTTGGAAAGTGTTGATCCTGCAAGACAAAACAACACGATCGAATTATTTATTGACTTTATGGGTCCTCAATTTAATCACTTTGATTATCTCTTGAGAAACAAGTTACCTTGTAAAATTTTCACACGAGAGACAGTTCAACAAGAAGAAGCAGTGTATTGTGAGGACTATATTGGCACATATAGAATTAAGGATCGCAAGATTGGCAAAGATGCCAAGAATTTCATTGATTTGAGCTATGTGGTTGAATTTCCATTAGAATCTTATTCCTCAACATTACTCAGCAAGCTTGAACAAGCGTATTGTATGAATTCAAAACTAGAAATTACATTCCCAAGCCTCAAAACCTTTTTTAACATCTCTAAGAGAATACTTAAAAACCATTTCATGTCAATGTTGATGTAACTGCACAGAATGTTGTGAATCATGAATAAACGTATTGATATTCACAATTTCAACATTCACTCCCGAAGAGTGGATAACAAAAAAAATTGAAAAAAATGGCATCCGCAACCTCCATGACGCTGTCTCTATTTCATGCGGTTACCCTCTCGGGTTTGTATGTCGGATCACTCTACATGTGGAAAGGAAGTTTAGCAAAATCTAGGAACGATCCTTCACAAATTCGTAAACGAACCATTTCAGTTTTAACGTCTACTATTGTTTCTATTTTTTATTGTGGGATGGTATATTTATTGAGTAATAATAGTAATGATACTACTCACAACAGCAGCGAATCGATATCATCATCGGAATCACTGGGATTTAGTGCCATGATGGGAATTGACTTTTTTAGAATATTTTCACAAATATTTGCTGTGATCGCAGTATTGTTGTTGAACTCGTGTTTGTTTTTAGGACCTATTGCTGAAGCGTTGAATGTTGAGAGCATCACTTCCATGTCAGAGGTCACTCAATTCTTACAAAAATCTGTTCAGTATCTTTATATGGAATTTATTGAGCTGTGTTATTGTTTATTTGAAATTTTAAAACAATATCCAAAGTTTTTAATGGATGAAGAAAATGTCATCAAATATGAGCCAAATGGAATCGATAAATCAGAAGAAGCAATATTTTCATTCCGGTCTATTATCATTGGTCCCATCACTGAAGAGGTTGTGTTTAGAAGTTGTCTCTACTATATTTTACATTATTTTGGTGGATTTTCCATGATGACATCTCTATTAGTGAGTGCAGCTCTCTTTGGAGTTGCCCATTGTCATCACATTATTGAACATGTATTACACGGGGATATGGAGATCAGGACTGCTATATTGAATGTCACTGTTCAATTGACCTATACATTTGTTTTTGGACTTTACTGTGGATATATATATGGAAAAACAAAAAGTATTATTGCTGCGATTGTATTGCATGCATACTGTAATTTAATGGGACTTCCAAGCTTTAACATGAGCAGACCTGTGTTAGCAGGTGCGTATGTTATTGGACTCGTATTGTTTAGGGTGCTACTCTTTCCTGTATTGTCTGTGTTTTGAGTTGTGTAATTAAATTATTAAAACTGGAGAAGTGTTTGACTTGACCAACAATCGAGATTTGAAACCAGGAACTATTTTATTGACATCGGATTACACAGCAAAAATTGCAGATTTTCATCACTCAAAAAGTATTTCAATGAATACTTGTAATTCATTGACGTACTTTATTTTACATGTATGTACGCTTGTGATTTTCTGATTTGTATATTGTTTGTTCATGAACAAATTATTGGAATTGACTTCTTGGGGCTCTCCAGAATTAATTTTAGGAAAATGCATTTCAAGTGAAACTGTTCAAGAAAAAAGGATCATACTTTTTTGAAAGAGCTTCTCCATTGAGAGAAGCGAGTCTCCTCTGACCCTGGACGAACGACTTTAACTGTGGCATCAGATGCGATATTATCAAGTTCAAACTCTTGCAAAGCAAAGCGTGTGTTATCTTTAGCAACAAGTCTTTCTGTGAAAGATGGAACTGAAACAACACTTTCTACTGTTGCAAATCCAACCCCCGAATTGATCTGTGTGTTTGAGCTTCTACTGTTGGTATTATTCCTTTCCAATTCAAACAAAATAGGAGCCAGCTGCTGCGAGGTTTTTAACGCTAGTGGTGTCGCTCCTCGATTCGACAGAATCCTACGCTGTTTACAAGAAGGCTGAAATCTGTTTCCAGAATTTTCTTTAAGAATCTCACCATGTTGCCTTAGCAAGGGAGTTGCTTCCACTTTCAACCTATTGAATGATCTAGACATTAGGTACGATCGTTTTTCAATTTCTTTCTTGGTATTAAGAGTTTTGAAATCGAATGGCGTATGACTGGCCTTGAAGGGTTTGTTGAAGAGGAGCAGAAGTCTTTGAAATCTGCTGAACATTACGAGCGGAAGTATTGATTTGAGAGATTGATGGCTTTGTAACTCGTGCAGTGGATTCATGAATTGTTTCAGCAAGCTATCGATATGCCTTTGTCTTTCTATTGCTCTTTCTTTGAATTTGTTTGATTTGTTGTTGATGAGGGTATCTCGAGCATGATTAACGGACGATAAGTCTACAGGAGTTTGATAGTAACTTTCAATGTCTTGAATCAATTGAGGTCTGCTGAATGAGTAGTGATGATGATCATTCAGTATAGCATGGTTGCTTAACGTTTCTTGTTCTTGGACAGTATTCAGCGCCTGATGCTCTATTACTGACGATTGAGTAGGAATTTCAACTTGTTCTTCATTCCTAAACGTGGGCTCAACGGTTCTCTCCCTCAACGATGGCCGTCTCTTTTCCATGGTGCTTGTAATTCCTGGATCTTTTTCAGCACATGGGCCCATATCCAACAAAGCCTGTCTTATATTGAACGAATGCATCCAATCTACTATTTTCAATATTGGTAAGGGATGTTTTTATCTTTTTTTTCAGAAGCCTTTGCTATGAAGATTTCATCATCAAATAAAAATGCTCAAGAAACTCATTCAAAACGGTGGTAGAACAATTCTCCGTCGTTCCAACAACAACAACAGCACTCTTGGACAAGCAAGATTCCAAAAGCGTTCATCAGCAACAACTCCATCAGGAGATAAGTCTAGAATTACTTCTACCGGTTGGACCTTTGAATCACCCAACTTGGCACAATATACTGCTTTGCGAGGAGCTATGGTTTCTATTTGTTTGCGTGGCTTGTATGTGTGGAATCTTGTCATGTTGATGGGAGAAATGTACGTTATTTCGTTTCATAATTGAAATTCGATAACCGACGAACGCATATTAATTAAAACAATTTTATCGTATGATCTGCACATCATGATGGCAATATTAACGATGATGGTTGTTTTAATGCGAAACTACAAATTTTCTTCGGAATTACTACAGCGCTTTCTATCCTTTCAATATCATTGATTTTGTCAAGAGAAAGAAGAGATTTTAAGCAGTAAGATGATGGACAAACTACATTTGTTATTATAATTTATGAAATGACTTTCGGTCAATAAACTAAGAATCCTTCTCGATGGGACATAGTTCATTCAAAATGTTGGTTTATTATGATGAATTGTAAAGACTATTGAAAATACTGAGGAATTGATTGATAGAGAGCTGGTCCGAACCAATTTGCTCCGTAGCATACTGAAACACTAAATCAAACTCGACTCCTTCTTGAGCCACCACATCTTGCACATATTGTTGTAATTCTGTTTTGGAAAGTGGAAAGTCTCGTTCTGGAACGTCAACACGGTTGGAAAGAACAGCAATTGCGCCAAGGTCTTGCTTTGATTTAACACCAAAAGTCATGCTTTCTGTTCCAGGAATAATGGGAGCATTGAAACCACGATCAGGGAATTTGTCAACTCCATAATTATAACCTCTAATGCAATCAATCGATCCCCATTCATCTATTTTGTTTTGCATTCCAAAGGTTTTCCCTTCAAATTGCGATGTGGTGGGAACTGGCTCGTCATGGAGTAATTGTTGAGGAGTGGGAGGTTGGTAATAATTAGAGAGTGTAAGTTTTGCACCGTCTGTTTCAGGTGGCAGAATTTTCCCAAATCGGTGCTTGGTTGGATCCTGGATTGGGGTGTTCTCCCAATCATAATTTCTATTGATCTGTTCTCCTGCTTCCCAAGATTGGTGTGATATTTTGTACAATTCGTTTCGTTCCGTTTCCATTTCATTTTGTTCATAACGCTCGATGGGATACAGCACATTCTTGGCACTCTCATTGTATTGAGTTTTGACGCCAAATGTGAGACCTCCTTTTTGATGTTCTTTGACAAATGTTACATGTTTGCTAGAATGTCCAACAGGTTCCCTCTTATAAATTGCTTCTTTCTTTTCTCTAAAATATGTTGCAAGAGGTGGCTCGGAAGGATGTATGGCATCTCCTGCCGTTCCGTTGCTCTCAATTTTAATACCAAATCGTGTTGCAGGCAATTCTCGTGGCTCCTCAATAGGATCTTGTCCATACTGAGCCTTGGAAAGAGAGTGCTCAGTCCGCGTCATCAAACTCAAATCATTATTCAATCCACAAGTGCTCATTCCGAAAGCTCTTCCATGTAATGAACCCAAATTATTGGGAGAGCTCGCCACATGTACCGGAATTGAGGTTCCTCTCAGTTTGGGGTTTTGAATCATTTTTTTTTTTTTTATTAATCACTGTCCATGCGTTTATTTGTTCAAAAATTCAAACGTTATTCATGGCTGTGTGTGCAATTAGTACAGTTAAAGGTGGTTCATATCATCAAAGTTAGTGTAAATATTGTTGTAAATTTCAATTATTTTTTTTGTCATCAAGGTTAGTGTTAATTTCAAATATTGTTGCAAATTTCAATTATTATTCATGGTCGTGGGTATTTCATGTATAGTTTAAACTTGTTCAAATCAATGAAATTGGGATTAAAATCGTATTGCTGTTCAAATTCATTCCAGGTGAGTTTCAATTCTTCCATGAAAAAATGATTTCGTTTCATCCACATTTTAGTAATAGATCGATAAGCTTCCTTGGTAAATACTTTGTCCCATTTCTTACCCAATCCAACTTTAGCACCTGTTAGGCTATGGATATCTTGCTTAGTCTTGATGAGGTACAATAGTCGTTTGGAGAATTTCCTGTTATTCTTTGCATATATTGAGATATTATATAAATTCCTAAACATTTCTTTTCTTATATCACTATAGTATTTACATTCAAAAATAATGTGTTGCATTGTCTCTCTACTACAGCAAGGACATAGCAAGTTCGTCTTGGATATCTTGTTTAAATTTTCCAAAGTCTTCATCACGTTCACTCTAATTTTAAATATTAGATTTATGGTTCTGAAACCGATTCCTATTGAGGGGTAAATGTTGGTGAACTTTCTGTTCTTGGGAGGAAGGTTCTTTGGCGTGTATGTTCTTTTGTGGAGGTGATGAAATAGAAGTTTGTACATTGTTTGTCTAGTGTTTTGAGTGTATAATACATTGTTGATAATAATATACCAATTATTGGATGGAATATTAGTAAGAATATTGTTACAATCAGCACCTTTCTTAGCAGCCCTATCTGCTAATTCATTTATACGGCTATAGATATCTTGTTTACCTGTATGACTATTAACATGCATAATTTTGATCTGATCCTTCACTTTTAAATAATTACGAATTTCTTCAACATAAGGATCTCTAGATTTTCTGAATTGGAAAAGTTGGTCATAAATACTTTTCGCATCTATGACTATTGTTCTAGGAGTGTTGTTATCTAGCAATCTAACAACTGTGTGGAGTGCTTGAACTTCACTGTTGTAGGAAGTTCCTTGTCCTAAGGTGTGACTTGAGATGGAAACATTCTGATCAGTTACAATACCGTAACCAGCAATATTATTGTTACATGATCCGTCAGTACCAATTAGTGTAGCTTTGTTCAAGAGGTTTGACAGGGATGTGTTGTTACCAACATATTTGTAGTATTTGCTTTCGTCTTTGATTTTTCCAAAATCCATGCTATTGAGAATGTTGCGAATCTGGGTGATATGATTGGAATGTTTGATATCATCATGTAATTTCACTTGTAAATTTTTAGGGTCAGGAACCCACATACTTAATCTGTTCCAATCTTTGTAGAGCAGGAATTTTCTTAAACCTTTAGGGAATTTTCCATAAGGGATGAGAGTTTTTTCATGCCATTGGTCACTCGATTGCCACAATCTAATATTGGAAGATTTGTTCATGAAAATTATTCTTTTGAGATATTGAGGAATCCATGGGTCTGGTTTATACCAAGTAGGGATTGGATCATTGAGGATGTCAAAACCATGCTCCTGTTTGATTCGTTCACAAAGGAATCTTGTAGAAGATCCAAGACAGATATCATATTGTTCAAGGAACTTTCTGACTTTACACATTAGGTCCGAGTAACTCATTTCTTGAACAGAAATTAATCCAAGTCCACCTTTGTCTTGATGAGTATAAAACCACTCGAGAGCTAATTTTCTCTTGGTTCTTAATCTTTCACATATAAAGTTGCGAAAGAATTTATCAATTTGTTTCTCTAGATGGTCATTAGCAAGAGGAATTAGGTGGTACAGTGCATACGGAACAATGTCTGTGTTGATAATTTTGACAATGTTCTGTATTGGAAAATTCCAGCCAATAGAGTTAGTTCTTCTTTTAACTTCTTCAATAATTGAAGTAGTGTATTTCTTTTGTTCCTCAGTATTATTGGTAATATTATTACCTAGTATAATAATAGAATCATTACTTTTGATCGTACTTCCAGATAATGTCTTGATACTACATTCCTTATCGGAGAAGAGGTTAGTTTTGGAATGATCTAATTCCATGTGATAGCCATGGAGATAGGTTTCAATGTCATGCAAAGAATTTTCAATTTCAGGTAATTCATTGGAAAATGAATTCAAATCATCAATCCATGCGCCTGTACTAATGTTCCAATAATTTGCAACACTAGCACCATTATATGTTATTTCTAAAAATTGTAAGAGAGGCTCAAGTGCAATTTTGAATGCAAGGGGAGAGAAGGTGTCACCTTGTTTCAATCCATCTTTCACAGTGAAACATTCTGATTTACCATTAGGTATAACAAACTTTGTCGTAGATTCACCTAATATTTCCAGAATTCCATCAGCAGTGATTTCATCAATTCCTAAGAATAGTAGTCCATCTCGAAGCATAATTCTCGGTAATGAGTCATAAGCTTTTTTGATGTCAACAGCCAAACCGTAAAAAGGTTTCTTGTCCTTTTTTGCCCAAGCAATCATATTGTAAATTGAAAGAACTCTGTGAATAGTTTCTCTGCCATCTTCACCACCAAATTGAGCTAATGATAATCTTCCCTTTAAAACTTCCTTCAATCTTTTGGTGATTAATTTAGTAGCTATTTTAAGTCCTGAGTCCATAAGGGCAATAGGTCTATAGTTAGCAGGGTTTGAGTGGTCCTTATTTTTTTTGTGAATTGGGAGAATGCTGACACTTTGCATTGATTCAGGAGTAAATCCAGTAGTAATGATATTTTCAATAATTTGAAAAATTTCCTCCTGTAATTCGTTACACATGTATTTGATGGTTTTTTGTCTTAAACCTAGTTCATTGGGTGCTGTGGATTTTAAATTCTGAATTATCCATTCTTTCTCTTCCGTGGTAATTCTACCGAGTATTTTGTCATTGCAATTATCAATTAATGGATGTTTGTACTTGAAAAACTTGGTAATGTCAATTTGATGATTCCTTCCTCTAAAGTTGAGATTTTGTTGATACTTGTCCTTGATCACATTGGCAACTTCATTGGGGTCATTAATTTCAGTTCCGTCAATAGATAATTTGTATGGTGGTGATGATGTTTTGTAAATTTTCTTTCGCAAGTGTTTAGAGTTGGTTGCATAATTCTGTTCCCACCATTTCATCTTCCTATTCAAAGCCTTGTCATGGCTCCATTTGATATGATTCTTGATCTTCTCTTTGACACTTGCTAGACATTTTGGAACCTGTTCTAAAGTTTTACCGATAGTGGCCAATAACTTATCACAAGGATATCCGTGCTCACTTCTATCAAGTATTAACATGAGCTTCTTGTATTGCTTATTATATTTGTAGATTTTAGGATCAAGTTTAGGTGGATTGACCTCCACAAATTTATCGCCTAGTTTATCACAAATGAAAAGCCATTTGTCGTTATCAGTTTCTAAATTCTTAACTTGAGATACACATTCTTTGCTAATGGCCAACACTTCTTTCTTATTTTTGGGATCTTGGAAGTTACGTTTCTTTCGAATTAACAAAGGTGTTCGTTGACATGAGAGATCAAGTAGAATTTTAACCATTTTGTGGTCTGATATGAAATTGGCATTCAATACTTCACCAGATGCAATAGGAAAATCTGTGGATATGTAGTCTATTATAGACTTGGATTGTTTGTTAATAGTATAATGAAGGTGCCATGATAAATGTGGGAAAGGATAGTAATTAAGATTTCTCTTGTTAATAAGATCTAATATATTTTGATCAGTTCTTCTGGATTCATTTGAGGAGTGATTCTCTGATAAGATTGCATTATAATCACCTCCAATAATGATTTTGTGATTAGGATATTTTTCAATTAGGTCGTCAAGAATATATGTGAATTCACATCTGTCAGCTGGTTGGTTTGGAAAGTACGCAGAAATAACTAGAGTATTGATCGAATTGACTTTACATTTCGCTCCAATAATTCGCGCGTTACTTCTAATGATCGGATCTAAGATGATTTCTTCAATATCTTTGAAAGTACTTTTGTTAAGGCAAATAGATACACCACATGAATCTCTTGGATCATGATAATACGTAAATGAAGAATAATATATAGAGGGAAAATCTGGACCAATATAGACGCTTTTAACTTCCTGGAGCATGATTACATCAGGAGTGATTGAATTGAGGTAGCCTTTTAGGGCTGATAATGGTTCTGCTCTGAGACCATTAATATTGAGAGTTAGAATAGATAATTCTGGAGCTACTGAAGTGAGATAATAATTTAAGCTTTTTGTGGCATTCCTCAATTTCATCTTCATATTTCTTCCTTTTGGTACAATCCTTTGTACAGTCATATAAGAAAGCTCGAGTTGCAATCCTATTGGTAATCATTAATTCTTCATTATCAGACTTGATGGTGTTTGTCAATTCTCTAAATCCTATGTCCAGTTTCAGACTCCGTTTTGATCCAAGTTCTGTGCAATTGGATCTTATTTTACCGATCCTATTGATTATCCTAATTGAATTGTCTTTGAATAAAGAGACTGATCTTGTAGTTCTGATTAAATACCATTCGGTCATTGGTGCTTTGATTTTAATAACTGCCATCGTAATAGGGTCTCGATTACAGTTTGATCACAACGGTCACAATTTATAACGGGTGATAGTTGTACAGTACTAAATTAGTACAGTACTCTGCAGAGAGGGAGAGATAAGTTTTAAATATAATTTTAATGATTCGGAGATAGGTTCTTTGGGTAGATGTTAGAGGGTGCTCAATGTGAACACCTAGCGGAGGTGTTGTGTTATTTTTTTTTTCCTCGGGGTTTTGAATCATTTTTTTTTGAAGTTTGAATTTACAGAAAACGGTTGCTAGTGGCGGCAAAATTGTGTAAATCCAAAAAAAGAA